TTTTTCGAGTCGAGCCGACTTGAACCCTATCGACTTCAACCTCTAGGTTAGAATGATGATCAACAATTCCACTTTATTCATCATGTCCTGTACATTACAATGTTAAATACAAAAACTTCCTTAACCTCCTAAGCTTCCGCAAGTCTCAAACATATTTCTGAAACTTCCCGATGGTTCCTAAGTATAGACGTCTTGATTTTTTCATACAAGTTGGTTTTTTAATCAGACATCAACAAAGTTTGGTGTCAGAGATCAAATTCCCATGAATTTTTTTCCATTTATACTAATTAATACCTCAAAGTTATCTTAAAATAATGAATATGGGCAATTCTACGAATAATTTTTTCTACAAATTTTTCTCCAAATCTATATTTCTCTTTATCAGTTGCATTACTTCCTATGTTTCATGTATTTAATAGTAGATTTTGCCGAGATCTACATATTGTTCTCACCCAAACATTTTAAAATTGGTTAATTAAAGAATTATTTACATTCTACGAATCATTACTCTGTTTCACATGAAATTTTTCGCCCAAATCTCCAAAATGTTTTCATTAATATCTTTAAGGTGGTAAAATTTTCAGTAATACTAAGTATACAAAGTGATAGCTTTAAGTAAAAGCTTCAAAACGATGTGAAAATCATATTTGTAGAAGCCTTAATTAAGCTGCAATTTGGATTCTACGAAAAATTTCATAAGTGAAACAGAGTAATTTGGAGACAATTCCTAAAAAAACTACCAGATATTAAAATCAAAACTATGAATTTCTCAAGCCATAGCTAAGTAATTCGAGTGCAAATGCAATCATAATGCTCAGTTTAACCAGTAGAAAAGGAAATGAGAATTAGTTTTTTGAAAAACTATGCACAAGTGAAAATAAAATAATTAAAAAATTTCATGCAATTGACACGGATTATTTTCATGAAACCTTTTCGTAGAATTGCCCATATATTCAATAATGAGTTCATATTTATTGCCGCACTTTTTTATATTCTCTGATGTTCACTAGCTGTTTATATTGACCGCGACATTGATAACAAATTTTCTAATAATAAATAAATAAATGCTTTGTCGTGAGTCGAGATGATTATTTTTAATTCTGATTTATTTTACAAATGGGATTTTAATTTGACGAGCTGATAGGAAAATTTACTTTAATGTCAACATTTATGATTAAAAGGTCTTTCAAATCTTCTTTTAAAACTTTCACTTTATGCATTATCTACTACTTAATGCTTAATCATCTTTAAGATTTTGCAAAAATCTAACAAATCAAGAAAGGTTTATTGATTCAATGATTTGGAATCTTTTTTAACCAGCTCATAATGAGTTTCATTTAAAAATGTCCATTTAGACCAGTGGTGCTCAATCTTTTTTGTGCCAAAGCACAATTATCATTAATCCATGACCAAAACCGATTACAGCATACGGTTTGTGAGATATCTCAACTTTTTATTGGCACACTAGTGTGCCGTGGCACACAGGTTGCCCATCACTGATTTAAAAAAAATCACAACTCTCATAATTTTCATTAATCAAAATTATTTCATAAATAGAAGTTATCAAGAGGTGAAGTTTAATGATTCTGAAAGAATTAGAACGTAATTTAGTAGACAATTTGTCTCATCAACATGAATTTTTTGAGCTTGTTAATTTACAGTCACGTGTTGCTGAATGATTTGTTTTTATTTATTGGTTGTATCGAAAAGGACGCAAAAATCCTGAATATACCGAACTGACAGAAGGTTTCTAATGATAGAACTGTCTTTAAACGTTCTATAAGCGAGGCAATGGGTCTAAGTCAATGGGTCTTGTCCTCAGACAAGGAAGTAATTAGGTATTTATAAATTTAATGAATTTTCTTCAATTTTTTAGAACTTATCTTTTATGTCAATTTTTTTTAAAGCATTTACAGGTATTCTTATTCTAATACAATTGACTCCAAAGTTTAAATTAATTTACCACAGTCCTTGGAATCCGCAAAGTAACAGACGCCCTGGAGCTCCAAAAGCTACTTGGCACAGCATGATAGAATGTAAGCTTAATGTGCGGACAGAGAAGCTGTACAAACTGGGTGACAGAGTAAGATGGAAAGCCTTTTGTTGTAACCTTAGCTCCACATAGGAACATGGTTACAGTAAGTATGTAGTAAGTACAGTTCCAACAAATCACCAAATCAGCTAATTTAACAATTCAGAAAATAATACATACACAATTCAAAAAGCATTAAACATGTTCACGTCTGCTCATGATTTCTATTTCTGTTCGTGAATTTATCACATCCAGATGTTTGTTTTAAGCAGAAACAAATAAAAACCAAATAACAGCTTACATATTAATTATAGTGTGAATATAATATTTATATCAGCAGTCTGTGCACACATTTTCAATGCTAATGAACGAGTTTATTTTTAAAAGTTAAAAATAATTATGATTTGGTATATTAAGAACAGAATGGAGGTCTAGAATGGATATTAATAGGTTTTGGTCCAAAAATTTTTTTTGCTTTAAATATTAAAAAGCTTTTATTGATTTTATGGGTACACAAATGAACTTCCTGTCCATTTGAAACTTTCTTTGCTTTTTAATTCTAAAAAATAATCTACCAATATTCAAAATTTGTAATAAGAATGTCTAGAGTCCTTAATATCCCGAACTGGCAGAAGGTGTGTAAGGATAGAGCTGTCTTTAAACGATCTCTGAACGCGCTAATGGGCCCACGTTCGCCCCAGCCAAGGAAGTAAGTAAGTAAGTAATCAAAATGTATAAACTCCCACATTAAATCATCCAAATTTATCGCAATTAATACAACACATAGATGAACTACAAAAAGCAAAATATTTCAAATTTCATGAGTTTGGTTTTATTTTACTGAATAAAAAAATTGATTATAGCAACGCACATGTTTTCAATATGCACGGAATTTACTTCAATATTAAATTCAATTTGATTTGACTAGCAACAGCCAAACGCATTGTCGTGTATTGCAAACATTTATCATCAATGTGGAATGTTCTAAATACCTTTAGTTTCCTTTAATAATAAAAAAAATGATGTGAGAGGGTTCAAGCCAAGCGATATGATACTACACAGTGAAACGAGTTGGAAGCTCTCCGATCCTGATCGACAATAGAATATTTTGTACCATTCACGGTAAATAAATTGAAATAGTATTAAGTAGCTTTAGGAAACCAGAGCTTCTCAAGAAATTCAATTAATAATTTAACTAAGTCTTTCAAATGGTTTCAAAGTCTGTCAATGAATGTCGCTATTTGTGGCTGATCTGATGGAACTGCGACTGATTTGGTTAACTGATTCTTTAATAGTTTCACACAGAGATCGAAGCCGATTTTTTCGGCTTAACTCAATTTTTGATTTTTTTGATACAAAAAAGCCATTTAACACCCATTTTAAGTATTTAAATTGAACTTTACATGCTTTACTATGATTCTGTGAAATATTTTTTCAGCATGTAGCTATAGTGAGCTCAGAATTTCAAGTTAAAGAATGTTAAGCCGAAATTTAAGCCGATCGGCTTAAAATCGGCTAAATTGAAATTCAGAGCTTACTATAGCTACATGCTGAAAAAATATTTCACAGAATCATAGTAAAGCATGTAAAGTTCAATTTAAATACTTAAAATGGGTGTTAAATGGCTTTTTTCTATCAAAAAAATCAAAAATTGAGTTAAGCCGAAAAAATCGGCTTCGATCTCTGGTTTCACATAAAATTTTTAAAAAGTTGATCCTTAATACCAAAATAAGTAGAAAATTTACAACAAAATCAAACAAAATATAAATAAAACAACAACATTGTAAAATTGAATTTTTAAGCGTTAAATATAATAATACACTTTGCAGACTTTTTATACGAAAAGTTTAATTTAAATACTTAAATCTATTAAAAAATAATGAAAGTTATTTAAATCAATGCCACCAACTGATCAAAACAGTTGACTTTCTATCAATATTCTAATTTTTTGTCATTCGTCTCGTCATTCAATTATACATAACTTCATAAATTTGGTTGACATTTGATCTCCTAAGAGATCGGAGAAGCTTAATTGAAGCAAATTTGCTAAAGAAAAGAAGCTTCAAACTACAATAAATCTAAATAAATTTCATAAGTTGGCTGGTTTTTCTTAAAATTAATTCATTTTCAATCCTCATCCTCCTTCAAAGGTTTTGCTCCTATTTAGAGTTATTGAGCAATGTGTTTCACTTAGCCCCTTAAACTTATACCTCAAACAAAAAATAAAATTTATATTTTCACAAGCATTTTTTTTTTAATTATAGAGGGATTAATTTGACTCATGTTAGGCAGAGTTGTCAGGTACCATTGGAAAGGAGCCTCACCAGAGCATGATAGCTTTTGACTTTATCCAGGCAACACCAATGCATAGGCATACCTATCCAAAGGCAAAAAAGTACCTAGTTAAAGGTAATGGCTATCCAAAGGCACTTCCAAGAAATAGGCAACTACCTATCTTAGGCATGTCTTCACCCAGGCAAAACCTATATTAGAATCATGAAGGTTCTTATATTTTGCAAAAAATTTCAAACAAAAACAGCTACCTACATGAATCTAATCTGGTTTTGCCTAGTCAAAGCCATGATTACGATAGACACTGCCTAGGTTAAGGCAAAAACCATTGCCTATTTCTCAGCATTGCTTTTGGCTAGGTATTTCCTTTGGCTAGGCATACCTTGACAAAGCTAATTTTGACGTCTTTCGAAAATCAATGCCTGGGGTAGATTTTTGCTTTTTATAGAAAATTTCAGAGCTGGAAGTCGACTTCTTCATACAAAAAAAAATTACCGAATTGACTCCGAGAAAATTAAGTCGACTCGGTTTTGAGTCGAATCGAGTCAACTCGAGCTGACTCGAACCCTATCGACTTTGAGCTCTGGGAAATTGATAGATGACAACTCTGATGTTAGCAAAATTTTACTGAAATTTATTAAATTAATTGTAAAACATTAGAAAAAAAATACTAAAATTCTTACTTGTACAAAATTTATTTAATTATAAGCATAAATGAATATATTAAATTCAAAATTATTTACACACCTAGTATTACATATTTTTTAAAATTTCACAAACTTCATATTAAAATTATTAATTGATTATTTCAATTTTAAAATAAATTTATAATATTATCTATTCAGGCTCAGTCTTAACGCTCCAATTTCTTCAGATTCACATAAATTCCATCCATTGGAGTCACAAATAAAATTTCAGGATTAATTTTTAATGGTATAGATGTCTTTGTACGGTCTACACTGAGCTCAAAGTTGTACAAAATTTTTGCAATTGTTGATTTTGTCACAGTTTGAGCAAAACGCTTGCCAATGCATGTGCGTGGACCTTCGCCTGAGAATTAGAAGATTAAAAAGTCGGTCAGCATTTATGGATGCACTTAGTTGTAAGATCAGTCTACTTCAGTGGTGGGCAACCTTTTTTGGGCCAAAGCAGGTAAGCTATGGCCAGCACATGAATTGCCCATCACTATTTAAGTTTATATCCCTCAAAAAACTTAAACTTACCAAATGGAATAAAGGAAAAGCTATGACGTTTTGCTGTCTCTTCTGGTGAGAATCTGTCTGGATTGTAAACGTCAGGATTTGGATAATAATCTGGATCATTGTGGATGGCATATATTGGAACTTGAAAAAGAGTACCTGCGACGATAGAAAAAATAATTATTAAATAGATAACTTTTGAAGTGTTAAGTCAGATAAAAGTTAGACTTAGATCTTCCAAGTACTTAAAAAACACTTGAGTATCCTACTTAAAAATTGTTCAAAGTACTAATTACTATCTGTAGTCAAGTGGGAACGTGCAATTTACGTGACATAATTAAGACCTGATAAATCTACTTTAAAAATATTAATTTTTGATAATCAATCTTTTAACCTAATTTTTAATCAATAAAATTCAAAAATAGCTCACAAAAGTGTTAGATAAAGAAAGTATTTCGCATGATAAAATACTTTTGGTAACTTTAGTGCTCCAATCACAATAATGGTAGACTAAATGTCAACTGAGATTAATGAACTCTTTGAAATTTCATCAAAAAATATTAGGTTAGGCTGAAATAACTTTAATCAAGCATATTTTGACTTCCGAGATATTATATCCATTACTAAAGACACTAGGAGCAAGCTAGGTCCTGAATTAACTAGTCACTAACGTCCATTGCCTACTCGGGGATGAAAACCTTACCTTTTTTCAACACCATATCCGTATTTGGAATTTTGTAGTCCTTTCGTGTTTCACGTTTAGCACTGAATGAGATAAAATATTTGCGTAAGCCCTCTGTAAAAATAATAGATTTTAAAATAAGACAGATAATTATGAATATTTTAACCTTACCATTGATACATTGCTCAACATATTTCATCTCTCCCAGTGCCTCATATGTCAATTTTCCATTATTTTTGTTAAAAACTTCTTCAACTTCATCTCTGGCTCGTTGTTGATAATCTTTATGTATAGCAAGTTCATAAAGTGTGTAGCTTAAAGCTGCCAACTGAGTCTCATGTCCACCAACCAAAAATACTGCAGCTTGAGCTAAAATTTCATCTCTAGTAATTACTCGTGATGTGTCTTTTGAGTTGAGCATGAGACCTAAGATGTCGTTTCTTTCAACGTTGCTAGTCCTTCGGTAATGTAAGATTCCATCAACAACATCGCTGTAGAATTTTAAAGATGTCTTTTCTGTGTTTATGATGCCAAGTTTTTGACATAAGCTTCTATTGCTTTCAAGTAAGGTTTTTTTCTTGTATCTTGTCGTAGCTAATGAATGAATTGCCATTTTGTGAAATTCAGAGTCTTCATCAGTCAATGAATTGCATTCGATTCCAAATGCGGTGATTCCAAGAATGTCACTTAAATATCTAGCCATTATGTCCCGAACTTCAAATTGTCCAGTCGAGTTCATTTTATTTTCCATAACATTTATTAAAATCTCAATTTGACGATCGATAATTGGAAGCATTAACTTTAGTTTTCCTGTGCTGAATCCTGGTGAAAGCTTGCTTCGCATAAACTTCCAATCTTCACCTTCTAAATTAATCAAGTGACCACTGACTGGATCCTGTGTAATATTGTGGTAATTACCTCGATCAGTGAAATAAGTAAAATCCTTAATCATAATTTGTTTCAGCAAGTCAAGGTCCGTGATGATGGCAACTGGATCTAAATAATTGTAAAATCCACCTACTGGACCCTGTGGCTTCAACTCTTGATAAATATTTCTCCAAAAAACTGTATGATGAATTTCTGTATCAACTTCCTTTGTATTTCCGAAGAAGAATTTTGGTTTAACGTATGGAATTTTCTGGCGTTTCCAGTAAGTTTGGCGATAACGTACAAAGAAATAAAAAATTACAGCAAATAAGGCTGATATGATGAAAGTAAGTTCGATCATGATTGGGCTTATGGAAATTTCACTAATTTAAAAATCACTAATTTTGAATTTTACTTTGAATTTTTTCACTTTTATTAAGTTAAGTCTGACTTTATGAATTCTTATGATTCCAACAAGACTTCAAGTTTATGATTGACAAACAATGAGAAAATGCTCCAGTATTTATATCGCACATTTTTCAGTCTGTAAACAATGAGTAATTCTTGTCTAGTTAAGTATTAATTTGATACGATTAATACCAATACAAATTCCAATGATTACAGTGACTTGCAATCGGGAAGTGATAAAAAGAAGTAAAGACAAATATTTTCTTTATCGGATTATTTGCAAAAATTTTAAAGAAAAGGCAGCGATTATGATTCGTTTTTTGTCTGAGGTTCATGGAAAACTTAATATTCTTGTAGATTCTTTAAATCCATGAAGAGTGTTGTTCAGCCATTTTCTGACATAAGAAGCTAGGGTTCGAGAAATTCCTATATGATGCTTAGCCAGAATATTTTAATCGAGAAAGTCGGTACAATATTGCAGTGTTGATACAGAGCTGCCTTTGACCAAAGTTTTCCTTTGATCTGACTAAGTCATGCCTTTGCAAAGGCACAACAAAGACAAAAGCTTAAAAAAATTGCCTTTGACGAAGACAAAGACTTGTGCCTTTGATTTCAAATTGCCAACGATTAGATCCACCTTTTTAAAGTCAAGTACTACGTATCTTACTTTACTTACTTACTTCGATGACTTTACAGACCAATTGTGATCCATGGCCTCCCTCAGATGCCGCCTAAAACTGGCTCTATCGCTGGCTACCGCCTGCCAATTTCCTATACCAAATGCAATATTGTCTCTATCAACAGCCTCTTTCCATGAGTTCTTTGACCTTCCACTTGCTCTTTTTCCATCCACAGAGTCCAACTTAAATACCTTACTTAATGGAGCTTCCACAGGTCTCCTCATAACATGTCTAGCCCATCAGAGCCTGTTTACTTTAATACGTTTAGAGCTCAACTCAATACTGCAATATTGTGGTTTCTTGCTGTTTCGGAAAACACAAGTCGGTTAATCGATAATGCCAAGCCAGTGTGGCTCTTGGTTGAAGCTGGATTCCATTTAAATCCGGCTCCAAGCTAGAGTTCCGCCTGTTTGGATTTGGATTTCTGATCGATTACTTTTTGGGTGTATTTTTTGCTGTTCAACCTAGTGGCCGAACTTAATTAGCAACTATGTCTAGGACAGTCAAAGCTAATCTAATGTAAGGCAGCACAGAACACTGATTTCAATATTTAATAATAACTCAAACAAAACTAGGTTTTTGAGTCAGTTTAAATGAAAAATGAAAGTAATTTCACCAAATTAATCGCGACTCACAAAAGTATTCGTAACATTTAATTTAATTCAACCTTTGGACTCAAATGCGCTTTGTACTTCATATAATCTTTCTTATCAATGTCAACAACAGTTTGTTGTGACAAATTTCTAAAGAGAGAGTGTGGATTAATTGAAATTGTGCGCTAATTTTACACACTTGAATGAGTTCATTTTGTTTTTAATTGAAACTTATCAACCTTTGTACATTGAACAATATTAAAGTGTGGCGATTAAAGGATGATCTTTGAGTTTAACTCGTTCGATATATTTGCTGCGTATTTTTCTCATCACTTCGAGTGCTTTTATGCATAATTGGGAATTTTATGGCATAAACAAAATCAGACTTGATTTCAAAATAAAATCACTTTTTTTACCACGTGAAACTTTCCTTTTATTTTCACTGAAAACACTTTACACAATCGAATGCTTCCAATAATATTAAAATATCGTTAAAATATAATTCGTTTAAAAAATGAGCAGTAGTAGTTAAATGTAAGCACAAAAGAGACAATTTGGCGCACGGATGCACGTGTTTGCTTCCATTTGCGATTTTATTTTATCAATTATGTTTTTAATTGAAAATATTAAGAATCAAAATACTTTAAACAATCGCTCTAAAATGTGATTTGAAAATTAGTTTTATTTTTTTAAGCATTAAGAGTTTTAGCTTCAATTTTAGCTTTATCGTTTACTGAAGTATGATTGTGCTTATCTCAAATATTAAAAATAATGTGTGAATGACGTTAGTGGAAGCATTGCGAACTCTTTTTGAGCTAAACGAATAAGTGTTGATTATTTGATCTGCCATGATAAGGTTCATTCTCTGTCATTTCGTACTAAATACAACTAAATATGTCCTGTGGTTAAAAAAAGGATCTTGAAGATTTTTGAGCAAAGCTTTGACAATTAAGCCACAGATTTAATTCAATTCAATTCAAATTGACTTTATTAATATTAGAATTTAAGACTTAAATTGTGCAACAGTGTTACTAAAACCTTTAAGCGCTACAATTCTATTCTTAACATTAATTCTTAAATCTATATTATGTAAGCTAGCTCAGTGTTTAGCGCATAATCTTCACTAAGCAATTGTGTGTCCAGCAGCCATTAAAAACTGTTATAGATCTTAGAACTAGCGTTCATGTCAGCTCTCATTCCAATTTTCAGTAAGTCTCAATGTCTTCAGGTCCGTTCCAGTATTTACGGCTCTCATATCTTTCTCATTCTGTCTACATAATTCTTGGCCCGTTTCTACATCTCGTATCCCCTAATTCTTAGTTTTACGTCTTAAACTGCTGCACCTAAGAAGCCGAAGTATCTAAACTTCTGAAAAATCAATAGGCTGGTGGTCTCGGGGGTCCAAATTCAACACCGACTTTTGTGACCTGTCAAGGTACTTTGGCTTCTCAGATACCATTTTATTGAATTGAATCAATTAATAAAACTTAATAAAGGCATTGTTACAAATATAATACGAAGCTACAAATAAGGAAGCACAGTTGAGTCTGGTCAGTTCTTTATTTTCAGTTTACATTTTTATAACTCAGTAAATAGGTTTTAATTTAAAGTTCGTGATCATAATTCAATATTATTATCAAACCTGTTAATATGGTTTTCGTTGAATAAATATTAGTAATTAAATTGATTTTTTTGACAGCACCGCTGAGTATTAAATATCTTTAATTTGTCAATAAAATCTTTACTTACTACCTTACTTACTTCGCTGGTCGTACAGATCAATTATGATCCATGACCTCCCTTAGTCGTCCCCTAAAGCTAGTCTATCTGCCTTTTGCCGATTAAAAATGCAACACTGTCTCTATTAACAGCCGCTTTCCATGAGTTGTTCAATAAAATCATTAATAATTAAAAATTCCAGAAGTAAGTCAAAATTCTAATTCAAAAAAAAATAAACATCTCAAACTAAATCAATCAAAATCAAATATTCAATAACGTCACAAATAAAATTCCAAAAAAGTATTCTTGAAAATCGTGCAGCTGGTGTTTGTGTTTGTTAACATTTTTGGATCAGCCAGTCGTCTTGCAATGCAACGCCTCAGAGCGTGCACCTCTCACTAGGTAAAGAATAGATTTAATTAATGTCACGATAAAACAATAAAAAATTAAAAAATTTTGACTCATGATTTCCTATAAAGATCAGATTATTTGCTCAGTGACTGAACAGTTGGAATTCGAAAGTTTTAAGTTAAAGTAAAGTGATAAAGTTTGTGAAAAAAAAATTTATAAATTAAAATTAATCAGATAATGAAGTTTTTAATGGGATTGCTAGTTCTAGCCTTCGGTAATAATTTACTTTATAATTAAATGTCACAGATAAAACTGAAAAGTTATCAAAAATTGTGTTAAAAATTTAAATTAGTGTTTAAAATTTATAAAAAAAAAATAATTTCGTTCAAATTTTAAAAGCTGCATCGGCTATTGCAAAACCAGCAAATGTTGACAGTAATGTAGAGGCTGCTGGCGAGTCAGAAGGAGAAGGTGATTTAGGACTTAATCAACAAAATAACCCAAATGTGGTCAGAAGATCCAAATTTCGAGCGAAATCAAAGTCACAAGCAGATGGAACTGCTGGCACTGGCAATGAAAATATAGCTGCAGTTAATCAAAATGCTGCTGCTGCAGATAATAAGCTTCAAGCCATCAGTAATGATGCTAATGGTGTTTCTGATAAATCAGTGACTACTGTTGATGAAAATGAAGTTAATGCCCAAAATACTGCAGATGCAACCGGAAATAATGTTGATCAAACTTTTGAAGCTGGCCAAAACAATGCTGAACAAATTGCAGCTGCAGCTCAAAATGATGTTGACACAACCCAAGAAACTGCTGACCAAACTGTAGTTGAGGCTCAAGATGCTGTTGATCAAACCGTAGCTGCAGCTGATGATGCAGTCCAAAGAGCAATTGAAGCTAAACTGAATGCTGTTGATGAAACTGTGGCTACTACTAATGGTGTAATAAATTCAGAAGATGGAGCTAATAGTAATACAAAAACTAATGCTGCTGCCGGAGGTGATAACAAATAAAAACAATAATTTTCTTATTACAACTTGATGACATCTTGACTTAATTATTGTTTTTTTAATTTATAGGTTCTTCAAATGTTAACAATGGAAGAGCTTCTGGTCAAGGAAAAGGCAGCGTAGAACTCGAAAGTGAAGAAACAGTCAATGGTGGCACAAGAAAACAACAAAATACTAAGCTTCAGAAACCGGCAGACGATACAGAAGCAGATGAAAAACCCAAACCAAAAAATGACAAGAAGTCTAAAAAGAAAGCAACTAAAAAACCAGAACCAGAACCTGAACCTGAAGCAGAAACAGAGCCAGATGAAAAGCAAATAGAAGAAGAGCCAAAAGCAGAAGAAGTGGAACCTAGAGAACAAGAAGAATCTGCAGATGAAATACAACCAGGAACCGAAGAAACAAACCAAGAGAATGATGAAGTCCCAATTCCAGACGAAGAAGAAGAACCAATTGTAGAACCAGAGCCGGAACAGAAACCAAAACAACCCGTTCCAAATAAAAAGAAAAATAAAACACCAAAAGCACCTCGAACTCCTCAAACCCCAGAAGAACCACAAACACCTGAAGAACCGCAAACTCGAGAGGAACCACAAACCCCGAGAGCACAACCAGCTCCAGAAGAACCACAAACCCCGAGAGCACAACCAGCACCAGAAGAACCACAAACTCCGAGAGAACAACCAGCTCCAGAAGAACCACAAACTCCGAGAGAACAACCAGCACCAGAAGAACCACAATCCCCAAGAGAACAACCAGTACCGGAAGAACCACAAGCTCCACTAGAACCAGAAACTCCACAAGAACCAGTTCCTCAACAAAACCCTAATAGGAAAAATCGTAGAAGAAATCGACCACAAGGTGCTGCTAACCCAGAACAAGTAGTTCCAAATCAAGAACCACAACCAAATGCAGCAGCAGAAGCTAATAGCGCCGTAAAAACAAGACTAAACATAGCAGATTTAGCAGCACTTGATGCTCAACAAGTAAATGGACAGTCTGCTGAAGGTACTGGTGCAATTGATGGGAAAATAAAGAATGCTGGAGGTAAAGTTCTCGATATTGAAGGAAAAATCGATGGTCAGTTAAAAAGTGGACTTGACGAGATAGGATTTGGTCTTGGAGAAGTAGTAACAGGTGCTGTAGATGCAGTTGGTGGATTAAATGGAAAACTTACAGCAGTTGATGGAGGAGATCCTCTTGGAGGTTTAACTGGAGGATTAACAGGAGGTTTGACCGGGGGTCTTACGGGGGGTCTTACAGGGGGTTTAAATAGTGGTTTGACTGGAGGTACAATAGGTAAACTTGATGGTTTAACAACAACATTAGGAGGATTAACAGGTGGACTTACTGCTGGATTAACTGGTGCTGCACAAGTAGACAAATCTGCAACAGGAGGACTTCTAGGTTAAAATTAATTTTTTTAGGTTAAAGATATTTTTAAAATTTTCAAATGAAGAAAAAATCCAAAAAAGTTCAAATAATAAAAAATAGTTTTTCGGAATCAAAAATGGCATTATCTATTTTTTTAACGGCATAAAAGAATTTAAATTCATAATCATCCATAAAATACTTGACGTTTCGTAAATAGTTCTGACAATTTTAATAATTTCAATTAAAGTAATCGTTAAACTATTGCAAATCCAAAATTTTAAAATTTTAAAATAATAAATCTATGAAAAATTGTCAACTTTTTCAAGTGTCATCTTCAAATTGTACCAGAAATTAAATCTACAGCCGGCAAAGTGTAACAATCAGTAAAATCCATAAAAATTTTGTTCTGCAAAAATCAGTCAACCTCCTCTAAGTGATGTGTTTATTTACAAATAAAAACTATATTCACAGAATTCACAGAAAATGAATTTAAAAAGTGAAAACTTTTACTTTATCCTGCTTATAACCAGCGTCATTTCAAGCTTTATCTTTTGCATCGGATTCTTTCCATACTCAGTCATTCAAAACTCGTCAAACCTTTCCGACAGCGAAATTGAGAAATTAAATTTGCCAAAAATTAATCGTTCTGTTTTAATGATTATTGATGCACTAAGGTTGGACTTGATTATTGATAAGAATAATTTTCCATTTGTTCATGAGTTGCTTCAGAAGAATGAAGCATGTATGCTACAAATGAAGGTGAATTTACCGACTGTAACAAAGCCGAGAATCACTGCTCTAACGTCTGGTATGTCTCTTAATAGTCTCCTTAGTTAATTGACAGATAAATTCAATTATTCACTTTTAGGTACCGTCCCATCATTCCTCGATGTCGCTAGAAACCTTGGCAAATCAAAGATCTATCTGGATACATTTCTGCATCAAATTCACATGAAATTTCAAAACATTGTTTTTTCTGGTGACTCAGCATGGTTTATGTTTCCAGACAAATTTTTCAAAAGAACTTATGCAAATTTTGATTCATTTTTCGTGAATGACTTCTACGAAGGTGATAAAAACATAACAAAATCGTTGGCTTTTGAATTGAAACAAAATGACTGGAGGCTGCTGATTCTTCACTATCTTGGACTTGATCATATTGGTCATGTCTTTAATCCATACCATGAGTTGGTTCCTGAAAAATTAAAGGAGATGGATCAGGTTGTTAAAGTTTTACACACAAAAGTTGCTGAATGGAATGATAAAAGTAAGGACAAATCTGTGATATTTTTGACAAGCGATCATGGAATGAGGAATGCTGGTTAGTATTAAAGCTGGTCTAGTGATTTAGTCTGAAAGTTTCTTCCATTTTCAATCCTGGGATTTAATCCAGGGATTGAAAACCCTAAGCATGGCTCACCTGAAACTACACTTAACACTCATCTGGAACTGCACTAAAATAAATTTGAATCAATAATTCTTAATTTTCAGGTGGTCACTCAGGCAACTCCTTCCAAGAAACTCACATTCCATTTTTGATGATTGGCGTCAATTGCAGTTCAAATAGTGAAATTTTCTACAACCAAATTGACTTTGCAACTTCATTTTCAATTATGAGTGGATTGCCAATACCAAAGTCATCGATTGGTGCATTAATTCCCGAAATGATGCTTGATATGGATGAGGATAAGAAGCTTGATGTGATTAAAATTGTAAATCAGAGGCTTTTGAATATGATCAAGTTTGATAAATCAGAAGGTGAGATTTTAGAAAAGAAAGTCAGAATTTGTGGTTGAATTAGGCCAGGCTCGGAAACTACGCGGTATTTAGTGATATTTGATATAAAAACGTTGTATTTGGGGGGAATTAGTGGTATTAAGGGGTATTTGGAGGTATTTTTGTGGAAGTTGGTGGTATTTGGCGGTATACCACCTAGTTTCCGAGCCTGGGAATTAGATTAGGGTTGAATTCGAACGCACTTCTTTAAGAAAATAATCACTTATGAGATCCCCATCCCCCCCCCCCCTCACCCCCATCTGTCTCCGCATGAGTATTATGAGCAGCATACAATTAGTTTAGTAACTTAGAAAACTTACTGTCAATTGGAGAAGAACTTGATGCCTATCATCCAAAGCTCTCGTTACTTTTTGGAACTATTTAAGGATAAACTTGTCTTATGGCCTCCCATTCAACTAATTTTTTAATTCATTTCATTCTAGAATTTTATTTAAAGCAACAAAAAGCCATGTCATTGCATAAAATCTACTCAGAAGACCACAACAACAAGAATGCATACCAACAAGCTTCTAAGTTGTTCATGGAGTCATCAAAAGACATATCAGAAAGACTTGCACAGCAGTCTTTAGAAGTTAACTTATTCTATGTCCTATTAGGACTGTTTATCAATATTTTGATCTCAATTGCACTCATCATTCCGTCAGACATCTCAAAAGTTAGAGATTTAAAAGTTGCGACCATGAAATTCATTCCAATAATATTAGTTGGATGTGGATTAAAAATGTGTATTTTTAATGAAATATTCAACCTTAAAAATGATTTTTCATCATTTTTCGTCATCATATTAATGTCAGTGATTGTGAGGATTGTTGGTGATATATTGCTGCTTAAAATTGATAAATATAAGCTTCATCTCTTTGACAATGACATTTTATATCTCCTCCTTATCGGTCACTTCTTCTTCACAATTTCTGTCGGCAGCAGTTCCTTTATTGAAGAAGAACATCAGATTTGGTATTATTTCTGTAATGCCATGTTCATAATCCTTACATTCTATGAATTCCGTGGACGAAAGAGCTTCGAGACATTCTTCACAGTCATTATTCAATGCTTTCCGATCCTAATCATGCACATATTTATTAGACGAATGAATCAAACTGGAGATAAATGGATTAACGTACAAGACATTGGAGATTGGTTGCATCAGAAAGAGAATGAGGAGCTGCTACATATTACAATTATAATTAGTTTAGCTATGACTGCTGTTTGGCTGATTTATGTTCACGTAAAAGATAAAGTTTTAGTGCCTTTTGTGGGTCTTGGATGTCTGTTTTTGTATTTTCATCATTCAAGATCGATGATCAATGAAAGGTAAATTTTTTTTAGAATTCTTTTTGTTTGGACCGACAACTAAGTTGGGATTTAGACTGTTATTAACCAGAGCTCCAGGCGAGTAGCTAGAAGGGTCTCCTCCCTTAAACGTTTTGAACCACAGCGAGAGCACGGCCTAAAACGCTTAAGAGGGGGACAATACCCTTCTGGCTACGCGCCAGCATAGCCAGGGTGGGGAGAATTTCATGAGTTAACTCACAATTCAAAATTCAAAAAATGAATTTGAGTTAAAATTCCGTTGCAAAATGAGTTTGAAAATGAATTTGAATTTAACTCATTTTTGAAAATGAGTTTTTTTTGAGTTTGAGTTTAAACTCATTTTTCAAAATGAGTTTTTTTTGAGTTTGTGTTTAAACTCATTTTTCAAAAGGAGTTGAAAAATGAATTTGAGTTTAAACTCATCTGTAAAATTGAGTGGAGTTTTGAATTGGAGTTTTAAAAACTCCCTAAATTCCTTTTCATATAAAATTCATCTCTGAAACTCTCAACGATTTTTTTAAGAGTTGCCACTTTTGCCTGAATTTCTCGAAAGGATCATTCCATAATTCTTGCTGATATGACTTGCTGCATATTTTGGATGTTTTGGTTGCAATTCTGTTCAGAATTTTTGGAAGATAATGAAGGAATAAGAGTTTATGGATTTGAAGAAATGACTGGATGACAAAAATGTTCATCCATTTGCTGTACATTTTATTACTGGATCTTTTGGTTCCAAATTTTTGCAATAAATGTTAAAGTAAGCAATGATTTTCAGAACTTTCATAGAAAAATGTTCATTATGCGATTCTTTCACTTACTGTGCCATTATGCCTTTAGAAAAGGATGTCCACGTAACTGGACATGATCATTCATGACTGGATGTAGCTGCATATGAAGATCCGATCACTTACAATGCTTCAAAAACTTTTTTTCAGCAATTTTCAGCAACCAAGTGTTCCAAATTGTTTAAAATAACCCAGAGGATGCATAGGCATTGGAACTGCCTGGTTCCGTTACATCCATAAAAAAATTTTTTGTTCCATTTTCATCAAGAAATAACCTCCTGAAACAAAAAATTTTTTTGAGGAACCGACCAGTTCCTTTAGTGCCTGGAGACTAAAAATACTAAATATGAAGTCAATTAGCATGAAGCACTATTTCTGAGCATTTTCAGTGTTCAGGCACTAAGTAACTGGTCGATTCCTCAAAAAAAATTTTTATTTCAGGAGGTTATTCCTCGATGAAAATGGAACAAAAAATTTTTTTATGAATGTAACGGAACCAGGCAGTTCCAATGCCTATGGATCCTCTGTGTTATTTTAAACAATTTGGAACACTTGGTTGCTGAAAATTGCTGAAAAAAAGTTTTTGAAGCATTGTAAGTGATCGGATCTTCATATGCAGCTACATTCAGTCATGAATGATCATGTCCAGTTACGTGGACATCCTTTTCTAAAGCCATAATGGCACAGTAAGTGAAAGAATCGCATAATGAACATTTTTGTCATCCAGTCATTTCCTCAAATCCATAAACTCTTATTCCTTCTTTATCTTCCAAAAATTCTGAACAGAATTGCAACCAAAACATCCAAAATATGCAGCAAGTCATATCAGCAAGAATTATGGAATGATCCTTTCGAGAAATTCAGGCAAAAGTGGCAACTCTTAAAAAAATCGTTGAGAGTTTCAGAGATGAATTTTATATGAAAAGGAATTTAGGGAGTTTTTAAAACTCCAATTCAAAACTCCACTCAATTTTACAGATGAGTTTAAACTCAAATTCATTTTTCAACTCCTTTTGAAAATGAGTTTAAACTCAAATTCATTTTCCAACTCATTTTGAAAAATGAGTTTAAACTCAAACTCAAAAAAAACTCATTTTCAAAAATGAGTTAAATTCAAATTCATTTTCAAACTCATTTTGCAACGGAATTTTAACTCAAATTCATTTCAAAACTCATTGGAAAATGAGTTTGAACTAGAGTTGACTCGAACCTTATTGAGTTTGAGCTTAGTTATTGAAAAACAATTTGTTATTATTCTTCCAGAATTGATCTTTCAACCACAACAATCTTCTGGATAAACATAATCTTTATAATTTTCATTACCATCCTGTTTAAGTTGACCGGAAAGTCAAAAAGTTTCAACTTTTTCGTAATTTTTGTGCTTATTTCGCTACTATTGCATCAGCCACAGAACCTTGTAATGTGTTTCGCATTGGGAGTTAGTAGTATGCTGACTAATCATGCCTGCAATAGAATGATAAAAAGCTCACATGAAAAAATTGTCGCTAAAATAATTATGCATTGGTGGCTTGGAAAATTATTTTACTTTTATCAGGTTTGTAGTTTTTGAATGATTGAAGGTTTTGAGAAATTAAATTAATTTTTTGTAGGGTAATTCAAATAGCTTAGCAACAGTTGATACGAATGCAGGATTCGTTGGACAGACCCATGTTAATATGACAATTGTGTTCATTTTTTCTACGATAAATACCTTCAATGGTCAAATTATAGCCTTAATGTTACTTATAATTAGTCTAGTTGAAGATTCCAAAAGGTGAGATTTGCATTTTGATTTTTAAGAGGCAAGGCTTGGAAACTGAGGATTAATCCTGAAAAATCCCAAAAATCCCAAGTAAATCCCTGAGCTTGCCCTGAGCCAAAAAACATGAAAATGTGAAATCCCTTTTAAATCCCGAAATTATTCATCAAATGCATCAGGAATTTAACATTTTCATGTTAATTGGCTCAGGAATTTTTTAAGATTTTTTCGGATTTTTCAGGATTAATCCTCAGTTTCCACGACGCGATAAGAGTTCTTTTTTTAAAACCTTTTTTTTTTCATTCACAGACTGATGATTGATTCAAAGACGCTAATGCTTCAGCTCAGCAAATGGCTATCATTCTTGACAATCATTCCAACAACAGTATTTCTAGTCATCATCACGCTGCTACGGCATCACTTGTTCATTTGGTCCGTTTTCTCACCAAAGCTGCTTTACGACTTTTGCACAAATGTTCTTTTGCTGATTATTTTGGTGATTGTAAGATCGGTTGTGAAATTTGAAGGTGGAAATATTTTGTAGAGCTTATAGCACCAAGTTTTTTAATAAATTGATTAGAGTAGTTTTAATGCAAATATTATTTTCAACAAATTTGTTGAGTTTAGTCATTTACAAATAAAATATGATGCTTATAAATATAAAACCCTTGATTTTTTAAAAAAAATGTCTTAAATTTCATTGTATTTCCGTTCGCGTTTCAGTCTCATGCTATTTTTGCATATCTCAAGTTATCCTTGCGAATTTCTTAATTTGGAGAGGTTTTTGTTGCCAGATTCCAAGAACATCAGCAACTTCCATAAAGCCCAGCAACTTCCATTGCCACATCTGTGTTGTTGACCTTCTCTAAATTCTCCATTATTTGATCATATTAAAACTTAATTATTTTACAATCTCAGCAATTTTATCATATTACATATAGGAATTCTAGTGGTCTGATAGTCGATTAAAATCACCTGAATGAATTTCTTTTTATTTTGTAAATAATTTCACTGCATAAGTGCTAACATGAAAAATTCAACATATATGTTCATAGTCATCAAAATATGGAAGGAAATTGATTCATTCAGAATATTATATTTTGAGTATGCAGCAAAAGTTGAGCAAAAAATTCATTTTCGATTACTATATTGACGATTAACTTAATTAGTTGACATTTAAAGCTTGGCGTGAATAGTTGGAACTAGGAATCTTAACCGAGGAAGATTAAAGTGAAAATTGTGAAATTTGTTTTGGATTATTTAAGTTTTTTTCGGTATGTAGAATTAGGTTTTTAAAAATTAAAAAGTTGAAAAATAAAATGGAAAAATTATAAATCAATAAATATTCCTAAAATCTCTAAGATCTCGGCAAAATCTTTTAAAAATATTCATACCATTAAAAAAACTCATTTATATGGTTTTAAAAAACATTCATATTGTTAAGTTGAATTTTTCAAACTATTTTAAAGAAATTACAAAATTTTCAACAGTCTTGAACTTTAAAAATTATTTATGAATTAATTTAAATTTTTTGACCTTAAACAACTTTCAATTTAAATTTTTTTATTTTGAAAAAACTTTTAATTTAAAATTTCTTACTTTAAAAAGTTTCAATGATTTTATTTCAAAAAACTTTACTAATTTAATTTTAATTTTTGTAATTATTTTTCAGATTCGTCAATCATCAAAATGTTGAATCTTAAAAACATACTAATCTTCCTCATAATTTTCACCTCAAGTTGTCACTCAACATACATCAAAACCGATGAAATGATTGTCAATGAACCTCCATCAGAATCTGAACCTACCGAAAGACTTCCAACAACAACAATTAATATTAAAGACATTCTCGATGGAATTGTCAAAGAAGAATCACAGAGAGTTGAGGAATTAAAAGCAATGTTCACTGAAAATGATTCGATTCCACAATCAGCAGAAGCGTCTATTTCTAAAGAACTTAACTCTGATGAGACAAAGCCAATTTTCACAGGAGACGTTTTTGAGATTCATTTGACAATTAAGCACAACTGGAGTGACGATTTTGTGGATCCAAAATCAAAGAAATTTACAGATTTATCAAAATTAATCGACACAGATTTGATCAGTTTTTTCGACAATCAACTAAACAAAGATAATTCAATAAAGCGAGGAAGCTTCATGCTCAAAAATGTTCTACCAAGTTCCACGGATAGTTACATTTATGTAACGTTCATTGCTGAGTCTTCTGAAAATGTTACAGGACAGATTATGTACGAAAAGATTGAAAATTGGTTGCTACTTTACAACAAGTTTTATGAGCTGGAATTTTTAAGTAACGGTTTTGAATTTAAGGCATTGACAAATGAAGAATTGAAGAAATTCGATGGACATATTGAATGTGACAATCGTGAGTCTTTAACTTCTTTTTTTAAACTTAAACTTAATTTAATTATTTTTTAATCCATTTTATTCTTTGACGTTGCTAGAATTCTGCAATCCAACACCAGAACAGTCCACAAAAGCTTCAAACCTTTTCCCAAAAGAATCAGAAACAACAGAAGAACTTCCTGAACTTTTACTTCAATCCGCATCAACAGAAGAGTGCAAACCAAATGAAAAAATCAACCGAGGATCAACATCAATTTACATCTTTGACAATAATCATGAATGTGTTGATAACGTGAAGAAACGATCACTTTTGTCAAACTCGCAGCAATGCAGTGGAGCTTCTCAGAATAGAGACATTGAAAACGAATCGTCGAATGGAAGTGAAAACTATGATGAATTAGTGGTCGCAGCTAGTGAAAATTATCCTCAAACTAGTAAAGTTGATGATGCTAAAGATGATGAAGTTATTGTTGTGGTGCGAAAGCGTGGAGATAAAGTGTTTATTGAAATTTAAAATGATGTGATTTATAAATTTTTTAAAAATAAACTTGAAGAAAATTTAAATAATTTTATAAATTTATTATGTTTTAATTCTCAAAAAATAATTGAAATTGATTAAAAAATCATACATAATTTGCAAATATCAGCCAAGAAAAATTAATCACCTCACATGCGAGTCTCATTGCATGTTCACACATTTCACTTTAACATGCCAACTTCAATTTTATTATTGCTTCTTCCTTTCCACAACAGAAGCAATTTCCTCAGTCATTAAAATTTTTAACAAATGCATCAAATTTCACTCGGTTTCAGTTTGGCATTTTTTTGTTTATTTTGTAAAAACTTAGTAGTTACTAGTTAACGAGGTCTATATATTACTACCCGAATGGTTTAATAAATACATTCATGTGTATAAATTTAAATTATGTAAGGAAATTTCAAGGAAATATTCACGAAGTTTGTAGAACTTTTTTTTTGTATTAAGTTTGAAATTAGAGAAGATTATTGAAATTGTTTTGTCTGAGTTTTGTATAAGTGCGACTTCTCATGTGATTATAAAACAGTACTACAAATAATATTAAACATTGTTTTGCAATTAATTAATTCTGAAATACGGAATGTTTAAATTGTAGAAACTAGCTTACATTCTTTCTTCGCTGTTTGTACAGATCAATTAGATTCGATGGCCTCCCTTAGTAGTCCCCTAAAACCAGCTCTATCACTAGCTACCGTTTGCCAATTGCCAATTCCAAATAGTAGAAACAAAGATTTTAAGTTTGTATTTTCTTAAATAATCTAATTTGTCCAAAAATCAAGCCTTATTCTTGAACAACAATAAAATCAAAAAGAAAGTCAATATTCAAATTTTCATTGGTGAGAAAATGTCCGTGGATGAATATTTTCCCCTTTATTTTATTTTTGCACTTGACTTTTTATGAACTTTTCCTGCGTTTACGAATTCATATTTGAGGGTTTAATCAATAAATGAACTTGACAACCAAATAAATTCAAGTGAAAAAAGTTTTATTCATATTCAAGTATTTTACGTTTCGTCTTTAGTTTCTAGCAAAAATTCCATGTGTTCGGAGGTAATTTGTCACCTTGTTTTTAAATTGAGTGGAACACTTGATATCAAAACCAGTAAATTACCAGACATAGGGACGACTAATAACTGTTTTTTTACTAATGATTCTAAAAAAATTGTCATTAGTAGTCCCTACGTAAAGTAATTAAAGAACTAGACATAATGTCTGGTGCTCGATTAAGGTAAGATTTCAAGAAAATAACTTCCTTTACTAATTTTAATTCCAGTCATTGCCAAGTCAATATCAAAATGAGCCATACAATAACGATGTCTATTAAAAGAATTCGGAATGAAAATTTTGAGCCTTTTATTAATAATGAAGGATTTTATAAAGACCGCGGGCTCGATCGTCCTCCATCAATTCAAAATCTTAAAAAGGAAGAAGAAATGATTCGTAAGGGAAAAGCTTGGTATGAGAGTTTGGATCCTCACTTTAGATTGTATTATCATAATACATTAAGCTCGGCAAGGAGACATGCAAATTTTATGAATGTCAAGTAAGTTGATGGGCATTATATTTTTGTTAAGGTCACACTTCATATCTCAGGAGCAAAGCTCGAAGTCGATAGGGTTCGATTCAAGTCGAGTTGACTCAACTTTTCTTGAGTCGACTTCTTTGTTTCGGAGTCAACTTCGAGTCAAATCGGCTTGAGTCGACTTAGAGTCAACTCGGCTATTTTTTTTTGTATGAAGAAGTCGACTCAAGTCGAGCGGACTAGAATTGACTCTAGTTGACTCGAAAAAAATGAAGTTGACTCGAAAAAATCTGAGACAACTCGAGTCGACTTCGAGCTCTGCTTAGGAGGATTGAGCCTCCAATTTAGGATTTGTTGTTCCCTTTAAATTGAAATCACCACATATTTGCAAAAGCTGGTTCCCTTTTTTTTAACAAAATTCAAATAAATTTTAATTACAGATCCCCTAAAGACTCTCTTGACATAATTTTAGCCAGCGAATATGATCACTCAAATGACTTATTTCTTAAGAAACAAGAAGTTTTTACACAACCAGAAACAATTGAAAAAATGACATTCAGGAGGCTCAAAAATACACGAGATGTTAAAATCGAGCCACCTGTGTACTTAAGTCATCCATTGAAAAAAGGAGGTAAGATATCAAATTTATTGTTATTTCAAAAATCATGAAAATTTCATTTTAGGAATTACTGAACGACTTTCGACTCACAGCGTCAAACTCATCAATTCCGGACCACATTCTCAAATCACTAATCATGGCTTTAGTCGCCAAAATGTTGATGGAAATTTCTACAATTATTAATTTTAAGTTTTCCATCAACTTCAGAGAACATCATTCAAGATGCAAATTAAGCTCAACTTTTTATGACAAAAAAAATATTTTCTGAAACAATTGCATAAAAATAAACTTGGAATATCTCTTCCTTCCTTATTTTTATGAACCACATTATCAATAGCTTTTATAACTTCTTTGCGGTATTTTCAGGATTACCTTATCAAAAGTACGTGAATGATAAAAAAAATAATTCGGAATTTTTAGTCCACAAAAACTAAGTTTAGTGAAAAATCAAACCTTTCAGCGATAGCAAGTCAGTAAAGATGCAAATAATTTTAATATTGACTTTCACTTTAATTTCAATTGTTCATGGAAACCAAAAACCTCCAGCATGTCTTATGCGCCCAGGAATTTTCAATACAAATAGCAATTTAAATACTAATTCAGACAGAAATTCAAGAATTGCTGGAGGAGAAGTTGCTGCTCAAGGACAATTTCCATGGCATGTTCATATGGTTCTTCATGATGATTTAGGTTTGAAAATATGCAGTGGAGGTTTGATTAATCCTAAATGGGTATTGACGGTTAGTATGATTGTAGTATCTTAGCTTATACTTATAGCTTATGAGCAGATAAAATCATAAATAACTTAATTATTTCAGTCCGGAACTTGTATCGTTTGTGCATCTTCAGCGATTTTGTACCTCGGAGTTGTTGATCGTTTGAGTTTTGATGTACCATGGATGACTCATGTAACAAATTATGACCATTTTATTGTTCACGAAGGATATGACATAATGAATTATGAAGATCCATTTGCTGACAATATTGGACTTGTCTTTTTGCAACACGGTGGTGAATTTTTACTAGAAAATGTGAACATCAATGTCATCAGTTTACCAATTGACTATGTTGGACAAGATTTTGTTGGAATTCCAGCTAGTGCTGCAGGTTGAAGCATTAAATGTGCATTAAAGTATGGTTTTTATTTTTTTAATTTTAATAGGATTTGGTGCCAAAGATGATCCTCCAACTCATTCGTCACAGTATTTGAATTATGTAGTAATGAATGTTATAAATAACGCAGAATGTAACGAAACTTATGGAGGAATGATGACTGAGAGCAAACTGTGTACAAATACAGCTGGAGGAACTTCAACATGCCATGGTAAGGCAACTATTTAAGGTTACAAGAATATTAAGAATAATTTGCTTAATTTCATTTCAAACAGGTGATTTTGGTGCTCCACTATCAATAAGTTCGAATAATGAAAATACCATAATTGGAGTTGGAAGTTTAAGGTACTTTAATGGTTGTACAGTCAATGCACCAGCAGTGTTCACAAGAGTAACTGCATATTTGGATTGGATACAAGAAAAAACAAGTGAAGAACCAGAAGACATGACAAATTGCACATGTGACTGTATCTGCCACACATGTCCATCAATTGAGTCGAGCAAAGTTGAACTTTGAATTTTTAAAATTAATAAATAATTGCAAAAATAAGCGTCTTATGTTTTTTTAAATGTGTCGATCAAGTTATTGAAAATTTTTTTTAAAAAATAAATTTTATTTCGTCATTACTACCTGCGACTAGGCGTATACACTCGGGATACTTGGGATTAATCCCAGAAAATAACAAAAAATCCTGAAAAATTCCAAAAGATCTCGAAAAATCCCAAAAAAATCCCAACTTTTTTTTCGAGTGTATACGCCTTGACCTCCGAGAAGCTCAATAATAGAGGTGATATATTTGAACCATTTAATTCCCTTTCGTTATTTTGATTAGGTTTCTAAAAACAGTCTCACTAACGTCAGTAACATTTATAATAATCCTATTTAAACTTTAATAATCTCTTTCCTTAAAATAATCTTATCACAAAATCTAACATTTATGGCTTGTTAATACCCAAAATATCACGAAGTTACACATTTGTCGAGCTGAAATTTAGTTTACCAGCGTCACTTAAAAGAAAATGAAGCAAAAAATTTTATTCCTGTTTTCAATAATTTTAATAATTTCATTTGTTGAATGCAGAAGAATTGCTGGTGGATGGCCTGCTGAACCTGGCTATGTGGCTTGGCATGTAAAGCTTGAACCATCTAATGGAAGTTTTAGACGATTATGTGGTGGAGCATTGATTCGATATAATTGGGTACTTACAGCAGGTCAATGCATTTTTAGTGCCAGAGACGTCATTGTTAGACTTGGTGTTTTAGACAGACTAGAAGGAGCTGAACCTGCAATATTCTGGGTTCAAGATCGAAAACATATTATAGTCCATGAAGATTATTTTGAAGATGCCAGTCAATCACTTTATAGAAATGACATTGGGCTGGTTTATTTGAAGGACGCTACAGAAGAACTCTTGAATATTTTTGATACAAATGACGTTAGACTTGTTTATACAATTCCACTTCCAATGGACACAAATTTAGAAACTGCTAATAGAACGGCAATTGCATCTGGGTTTGGATTTTACAATGATGGACCTGATGCCATTCAGTCAATGAGGCTTCAAATTGTGGACATGATGGTAATGGAACTAAACGATTGTATTTCATATCATGGAACTTCAGTAATTTCAAATGGCAATCTTTGTACAAATACAACAGGAGGTCGATCAACATGTCTTGGCGATGAAGGCGCTCCACTTGTCTCAGTTGTGGATTTTAATCCAACACTTATTGGCATCGGGAGTACAGGACTTCAAAATTGTCAACAAGAACATCCAGCGATATTTACAAGTGTTGTTTATTACCTTGATTGGATTTTGACAGAAATGGATGGAAATCCAGTTACTGATCCAACAACAACAACAACAGAAGATCCAAATTCAACACAACCACCACCTGACAGTGGAAAGTGTAATTGCATTTGTAATTGCTTTACATGTCCTGCTCCTCCTTCAACTACAACGCAAGCTCCAGGAGTCAATTATTTTTGGAAAAATTAACGTCCTCAATAATGTGATGAGTTGACATTTTTAAAGTAAAATTTTTTGGGGATTAATAAAGATTTCTTTAAGTTTTTGAAACACGAAAATGCTATTTGATTTTTCAAGCTCGTACTTCTCCTCCATGTAGAAGTCTCGATGAAATAAATAGAAAATATTGTTTTGTTATCAGGACCAATTCATAGTAGCTGTATCGAAATTAAACTATGAAAATTTTAATCCCAAAAATAACAATCTTATCGATTTAAGCTCTTCCTTAAGCCTTTTCCGTGCAATTTATGATATGTATCAGCAGAAGTAGAATTGAATCAGTTTCATTTGTGAAATCAAATAGGCTGCAAGGTAATAAACCATAGAAATACATTTTTTTGAGAACCAGAAATTTGTTCCTAAATTTTAATCAGCTAAGTTGGGAACATTTTAAAAAAGCTACATCATTATTATTTATTTGTCGACTTTACCGTCCGGAAGAATTCGTAATTATACATGTTTACTTTTTACATTGATTGGTGATACAATTCATACCACTTTGATGATGTAGGATCAAATTTCTAATCTTCATATCTACAGTAGCGCTCAAAATGATAAGGACAGCAACATTTTTTTCACATTTTTATTAATTTTGACGCACAGGATTATCTAAATTTTAAATATTAAATGTCCTTTCATACAATATATACTAATTGTACTTTAATTAAATATTTTTGAAAAAAACGGTAAAAAATCAAAATGGCTGCCGCTCAAAATGATAAGGACAGTAGATTATGTTAAGATTTTATTATATTAAGTAATATTATGGAACTTTTAAGACTTGAAACATTATGTTTGATGAATATTCTTTAAATAAATTTATAATTCACGCTTCTAGATGTGAGACTTCTTACTTAATTTTAGTGTTTAAAAATATGTGAAAATTTTGTCAATTTATGATAAATTGTCGTACAGAAACTTGTTTATTCTTTAGGTTAACTACCAAAAATTATAGATAATTTGATTATTTATCAATTTATGATCAAACATTTAGATAACTGTTAATTAATGTAAATTTTTTTCAAAAATTTTATTTTTCCTTTGCGAAATTTTTGTGAACTTAAGTCGACAATTTGAAAAAAAATTGTTAAATATTTGCAAAACAATGCTTAAATTAGTATATCATATTCACACAAAATTTTCAATTTTTGTGAATATTTCTCTTCCATTTTAATTGTTTAATAACATATATCAAGCACTTGAACCGCTTCGAAAGGAAAAGTGACTAAGCAATCGTTCTCTATGAGCTTCTCAAGACGAAAAAATATGAAGAAATATTTTTTGTAAAAATGTTAAATTTAGCACTCATAGAATACAAAATAGAGTGTTATTCGATTAAAAAAGCCAAATTTAATTATTTTATGTTAAAACTTCACTTATGTAAATCATATTTTTTTAGGTTTCAACACATTTTTCATGTTTGCCATATCAAAAAGTCTTGTTGTTGAAAGAGAACGATTGCTTAGTCACTTATCCTTTCGAAGCGATTCAAGTGCTTGATATATGTTATTAAACAATTAAAATGGAAGAGAAATATACTAATTTAAGCATTGTTTTGCGAATATTTACACTTTTTTTTCAAATTGTCGACTTAAGTTCACAAAAATTTCGCAAAGGAAAAATAAAATTTTTGAAAAAAATTTACATTAATTAACAGTTATCTAAATGTTTGATCATAAATTGATAAATAATCAAATTATCTTTAATTTTTGGTAGTTAACCTAAAGAATAAACAAGTTTCTGTACGACAATTTATCATAAATTGACAAAATTTTCACATATTTTTAAACACTAAAATTAAGTAAGAAGTCTTACATCTAGAAGCGTGAATTATAAATTTATTTAAAGAATATTCATCAAACATAATGTTTTAAGTCTTAAAAGTTCCATAATATTACTTAATATAATAAAATCTTAACATAATCTACTGTCCTTATCATTTTGAGCGGCAGCCATTTTGATTTTTTACCGTTTTTTTCAAAAATATTTAATTAAAGTACAACTAGTATATATTGTATGAAAGGACATTTAAAACTGTATAACTGGTCCAAATTTCAGCAAATTTAGATAATCCTGTGCGTCAAAATTAATAAAAATGTGAAAAAAATGTTGCTGTCCTTATCATTTTGAGCGCTACTGTAGGTTTCAAATAAAATCCAGGCTCTCATTTTAATCTTCTATGCTCGTGACGTGATACATTTCAGGTCCGTTCTGACAATATTCCATTACAAGGTAATCTTGTAGCTCTCGTTCCTATTTATCCCGCTACACTTCAAGTTCCTGATCCGTTCCTTAATCCAACGTTGCCCAAATGCCCAATTATGGCTTGATCTCGTACATTAAGCAGTCGAAGAATCTAAACTTCTGAAAAAGAACAAATTTGGAAATGGCTGGATTCGAACCGACGACCTTCGAGTTACCATACCAAATTTGAGCCAAGCGCCGTACCTTTTCGACCAGCAAGGCACTTAACTGCATAAAATTTATATTAAACTTTAACATCAAAAACAAAAAGGTTAATGACTTCTTATCTTGATTTACATAAATTTAGTTCCGTTCAGTGTTGATAAGAATGGCAATTATAAGTCTTCAAGCTTTTTTCATTTCAACTGTATTTTTTATTGGATTAATTCAACATGGATTCACAAACAATGAATTTATATTTGGAGGTGGATATGCGAACCTAGGAGATTACGCTCATCATGCACATTTACAAAGTAATTATTAAATAGCTTCATAAGATGCAAACTTTAAAGTTCTACTTCCTTTCAGTCTTCCATGATACTCACCTTTATGTATGCGCTGGTTCATTAATTCATTACAACTGGGTGCTTACAGCTGGACAATGTGTTTTTCGTTTTGAAACTATTCAAGTGTACTTAGGCTTGGTCAATCGAGAAGCAGGTCCAATCCAACACATTATAACCATAGATAATGTTTATCATGTCAGAATTCATGAAGATTACAATCCTCCAAGTGTTCTGTCAAATGACATTGCTATGATATATCTAGCTGATGCAAAACCTGAATGGCTTAATCATCCATTTGTTAGAACTGTGGATTTGCCTAAAAACATAATTGATGATTTTGTTGATCAAGTTGCAACTGCAACTGGTTTTGGACTTACATCTGACAATGCCATTGAAATTTCCTATAAATTAAAATATGTGGATATGCCAATAATTAGAAATGCAGTCTGTGCTCAAACTTTCGGAGTTATCATCACAGAATCAAAATTATGTACAAGCACTTTCACAGGATCAACATGTGCTGGTGATGAAGGAACTGGACTTACTGTAGAAATTGGTGGAACAAAGACATTAATTGGAATTGGATCATTTAGAGCTGCAGAAGGATGTGAATTGACGTATCCAGCTGTTTTCACAAGAGTTACAGAATTTATAGACTGGATTGATTTTAATGAACAGAATCCACCAAAGGATACTGAACCAGGTGACTCATGTATTTGCGACTGTGTATGTCATACATGTCCTGAACAACCGAAAAAAGATGAATTGTGAAGAAAATTTTTGTATTGTGTTGTAGATTGTCGATAATAAATTTTTTACACTTTAGTACTGAAAACTATCTTAAATTTGGTGTATAGCTCCGTCCATATCTTCTTAAATTCATCCAAATCTAAGTAGATCTAAGTATTCATGTCGAAACATGTATAAGTATTAATCTGCTTGTCTATCAAAGCATTTTTGACGAGTCTTTATTGAAAACTATCTCATCATAGCAACTAAATCCAATCAAAACTCAATCCTAGCTTGAACGATATCGAATATCACAAAAATCAGCACAAAAGAAGTTTTCCCTCCAAAAAAAAGTTATTCAAACAGAAAAATGAGCTGCAATTTGAGTCAGTTGTTGTCTTTAAGTCGTAACGCGATGAATATTGTTCAATTATTATTAATTTTTGTGATATTTTCAACAAATTTAATTTCTATTTGTGGATTTTGTGTACCACAAGAGCGTAATCATGTCTTGCTGCATGATGGAGATCAATTGAATGATGAAATTTACAATTTTTCAATACAGACAAGAAAAAGTGACAATTGTGATCAACTTTTGTGGATAAAATTCTTTATTGAATGGAAGTGGAAGAACAATGAAGAAAATTTTGATCTTTTGTCACAAGAAATGAAAGTATTTCAGGCAGCTTTCAGTTCTTATTTCAATTCTTTATTCCAAAAATTCAAAAATAATCCAATTGAATTGATTCTAAAATCCTTTGATGTAAATATGTTTAATAATGTTGAAAAGCCTGAAGAGTTTACAGAAATCAAAACCTTATTCAAATGCAAGTCAACTCTTCCAATTGTCTCGAAATTTTTGGAACAAGATTGTGATGACTTGATGAAGACATTGCTTAAAAACTTTCGAGTTAAGCAGTTTTTTCTGTATTTTCAAGAGGAAAGTGTCTCATCTGAAATTTATTATGGTGAGTTTGGCAATATTCTGACTACTTTTACTTCATCGTGCATCCGTGGCTCTGGGGATATGGCTTGAAGAGCCTATCTGTAGGTAGATATGCCTAAGCATAGGGCTAGTTATATTTGAGATCAGTACCTCAATGGCCGAGTGGCAGGGATCTTTGATCGAGTGGTCAGAAATCGCCTTTTTTGAGGTTGTGGGTTCGATTCCAATCGAACCCGACTTGTTTTACATTATTATCCGCATATAGCAGTTAAAGGGTGATGTACAGGCTCTGTACTCCGGACTTTTCTCTTACAACTAATTATTAAATTACAGATTACTTTGAGTCTGAGACAGCAGGAGATGACGAAGCCATACACGAAAAAAACATCATGAATGTTGTAGTTAAGAATCCCACAGAAGAATATACGACAAGTATGAAGATATTTATTATTAATTAAATCAAAATTTACCAAATTGTCCTTAACTTTTAGCACAAATTCCTCAAGCACAGCAAACAAGAATATTGCAAGATCAACTTGAAGAAATTTATGATGACGTCAATAATGATGACACGATAGATCATTTAACAAAAGATTTTTATATTAAGAATGTCGTGCCACTCAAAAATGGTGATTTCTATATAGTTGCAGAAATTCTATTTCCGTTCATTGATCCAAAAACTTTATCTGATCGGAAGTCAAAAAATTATCAAAAACTTCTAAAAGATTTTGCTGAGTATTCTGAAAAGTTATATGCTGCAAATCCTTTGGCTTTAAATTCTAATATAAAATGTAAGGTTGATGAAATAATTGACAGTTTTGAGAAAATTGGGAATCATTTCATTGCCATTCCAAATGCTTTTATTGTGAATTTTTGTCTTCAAATTATTGGATTTAAAATTGATCATGAAAACGTCAAACTTTTGGATGGAAATGTTTTTGATAAAATATTTGAGAACTTTAAATCTGAAGAGCTTTTTAAAGCATATGAAAAGGATGAAGAATATTTCGTGGATCGGAATGGATTTATTTTCGATAATTTCATTGAATCTAATGAAAGAAAAGTTGGTTTTTTGAATGGAGATTATGAAGATTTTGTAGACGATCAAGAGGAAGTGTTTGGTAATTAAAGCTAGTTCAACTCTAGTGTCCTTTTAATGTCGATCAATTTTTCTTTTTAGAAAATCAACACAGCTCATCGAACCGTATTGACATTAAGTTATCAGATGAATCCAACAGTTCACATCAACCAATTGTAACCAAAATTGTAATTGAACCTTACATAAGTCCGGAATATCATCAAAATCATGTTAAACCTTCACCTAAGGACAATATAACTCAAAATAATAACGAACCAATTATTGAAATTCAAGGAACAAAACTGAAGATTACTAATTTTTCCGACTCTTTTACTTGTGAAAATTGCAAAATCTTGATTTATGCTAATTTGAGTATGAAAGTCTTAGAAATTAATAATGAAAGTAATTCAAGAGAAGAAGAAGAAGAGGAAGAAGAAGACATCGATTATAAAAATTATGGTGAGAGATAAATGACTGAATCCACTAGTGTAGGGGTTTGACCAGAATGTTTTTTTGGGGGGAGGGGGAGAAGGGTTTGAATTTTTTTTGTATGGACGGGACCATTTTTAGTAGTTTTTGGAGTTTTCTCAAAAAATCTTAGCAAATTGAAGAAATTTTCCAAAAAGATGGGGGGGTTTAATCCTTACACCCCGCCACCCCCCCCCCTTTCCCCGGCTACACTTTTGTAATGATATGATTATTGTATTATGCTGCATATATGCAGAACTTGTTTTTGTGTATGTCATTTACCATATAGTACCAGTGCTCCATTTATTCTTTACTTTTAAGCAGTGGTATCCAACCTTTTTTATGCCACGGCTCAATTGGTATGAAATTTTGACCAAAAAACGCACACAGCTTACGGTTTGTGGGATTTCCCCGCTTTTCTCTGCATACTAGTGTGCTGCGGCACACGGGTTGGCCATAACTGCTTTAGAGCAGTGTTGTCAAAACTGTGTGCCGCGGCACACTGGTGTGCCGTAGAATTTTTTTGTAAATGCTGTAGTATACTATGGGTCCTTGATTTGAGTAGATTCGATTTGAATAGGATTTTTCTGGAATATAGCACCTACTCAAATCGAGGACCCTCAGTGTTTAAAAATCAAAAAAGTTTAAACAACGAAGAAATCGGTACTAATTAATTTCAATATTTTCGATAATAATTGCAGATTATAGCTCACTTGAGAAGCTAAATAACGACATCAGTCTAGCACATGAAATTGACGAGTCCAAAGGTTTTAAACATTCAAATGAAAACAGTCAAAAATTCAATAAAGATAATATTCAAGATTTTCTCGAACAAATTGGATTTTCTGATGAAAGTATTGAAAGTATTGAAAGCATTGAAGAAGTAGACATGAATGAAACCAAAAATATTTTTAAGATATTTGATCCAAATGATCCAATGTGGAAGAACATCATCGAAACATCAAATATTGATAATAATGAAGAGCAAGCAGGTTCTAGGTACACAAATGACCTGTCAACAGAAGACTGTAAGTTTATTTCCAAATCAAGAGAAAAATTATTAAATACAAATTTAAGTTATAAATTTTATTTTGGTAGATTCCGAACAGTTTTCAGTTCAGTTTTCATCTGAGCATGACACAATTGAAACATATTCATCTAAATTGAACCACCAAAGCTCAACATCCGATAAGATTTCCTTAGTGGAAACACTTGATTTAAACAAGAATGATGAGACATTGCCGTCTACCGATAATTATGTTATGATCAACAATTCAAACTCATTAAAGAGTCAAATAATGTTGACAGCAATTTTTGCATTTCTTGTGAATAACTTTTAAAATTTTAATAAATGCCATACCAGTGAATAAATAGAATATTCAATTTAATGTTTAATTGCAAGCTTTAAAAGTTCACGGATCATGAAACTTTATTCTAATGTTTGAGTGTCGCTGGTTTTTTTAAAGTTTATTTTGTAACATAATCAAGGGATTGAAATAGCTCGAACATTAAGTCTTGAGTTGAAGCTAGTTATATGAGATTGAGCTACTTGAGCTTTGAGTATAGAGAATATTTTCAAAAATTAATTGAGTAGCTTGAGGATTGAAGTGACAAATCCCCTTACATTAAGAGAGATTTCCTCATTTACATGTCTTTAATCAACGGTTTCTCGAAATACACGCTACATAAAAAATAACATTCAACAGGCTGATACGAACAATTCATGTTCGACAGACTTATCGAAAGTCTAGGGGAGTTATAAATTATAATAATATGCACGTTCGAAAAGTTTAAATTTGAAAAAAACCGTTACAATTTTGTTGATTTTATTGGAGTTTTTGATCGTTTTGAAAAACATTTATCTATATTATGCTTATCATTAAATGACTACATAATATTTCATCTTAATTTCATAAAAATCTTACTTAATTTAAGTTTTAATTTTTTCCTAATTTTCGAAAATTTCGAATTGCAGGGTATGAAATTTCGAATTTTGTATGGCAGACAGACAAATAAGATATTTTCACAAGTTTTCTTGGAAACTGTAACGGTCGAAACCATCGAATTGTTCGTATCAGTCAACAGGTTGTTCCAGGCTCGGAAACTAGGGATACCGTTAAGAACCGCTAAATACCCCTTAATTTAATTAGCCTTCCTGTGCTCTAATCGTTCTGATTTTTTGGGCGGCTCTTGCCAGACACAATTTCAATTCAATTTATTCATCTTAAGTTGTGCAACAGTGTTTACTAAAACTTTAAGCGCTACAATTTTATTCTTAATATTAATAATTCTTAAAGCTGTATTATGTAAGCTAGCTCAGCATGTAGTGCATAATCTTCACTAAGCAGTTGTTTGTTCAGCAGCCAATAAAAAACTGTTTTTAGATCTTAAAACTAGTGTTCACGACGGCTTTTGTTCCAAATTTCAGTAAATCAAAATGTCTCCAGGTCCGTTCCAGTAAAAGCCCTTCATGGTAAATTTATGGTTCTCGTATCTTTCTCATTCTGTCCAATAATTCTTGACCCGTTCCTTCATCTCACATCGCATAATTCTACGCCTTGGTACAAAGTGTCTGGTCACAAATGTTATTAGCGTGCCCCGAACGAACGAAGTAACAAGAAAAGTGCATTACTAAGCAACATTTTAGAAAACAAGTTTTTAAAAATGCGCTTATAAATTTTAAAAATCCCTTTGCCCAAGTCGCAAATTCAAATTTTTTCATAACAGCCAACAAACAAAGATTAGATTAGAAAATAAATCGCATGACTAAGATTAGATTAAACTTTATTTTTTTATTTTATTCAACACTTTTCTTATAAGAATTTTACATTGATTTAAAATTATATGGCAAAGTTAACTTAAAAGTAACAATTTTCATACTATTTCATACATTTTAAGTACTTACACTGATTAATTTTCTTATAAATTAAATTCACATGCGTATACACAGAACATAATCTCCTTATGAGTAGAATTATGAGAGGAACTTTTACTTGAGATGTTTTTTTTTTGGATTCATTTCTGAAAATAATGATCCCATTGATGAATTAATATTTTTGATTGTCTCTTAAGTATGCCTTCTTTTTTGCTTTATATTTTAGACATTTGCCCCACCAACTATACAGTATGCACGTATTCTCGGATTTCTGTTGATAATTTTTTAAGGAGGAAGAAGAAAAAAAAGAAACAATATAATAAATTATAGTCATGTCATTTATGGGGTACATTTTTTATTTCCTGGAATTTTTTGGTAATCATTCTGATCTCTGGTGAGTATCTATTCAGGCGCGTAATTAGGAGGGTCTTGACCCCCCCCCCCCCCCTTAAACGTTTTTAACCGCAGCAAGAGCTTGGCCATAAAACGCTTAAGAGGGGGATAAGACTCTCCTGGCACGCCTGTGTCTATTTAAAGAATTTCAGTCAACAGAACTTACCAGCACAAAACATTTCGTTTGAATAATGTTGAAAAATAATTTTCCGACCATATTAGCATCACTTGAATCGGCCATCTTCAAGCATGTCCTAAACCTATATATTAAGTTCAAATTTATAGAATAAAAAACATAAGTTTGATGTAAAATAATCTAAATATTATGCATCAAGATTGCCATCATCAATGAAACGCATTTCAAGCCTAACACAGAATAAAAACAATAAGGAAAATACAACAACACGAAAAAAAAAGAAGTTATCAAGTGGTCGCATCTTCATCCCTTTTGTCAAGTGTTTGTGAGTGAAGTTAATTGGCCTTTACCACTTATAGAGCGTTATAGACTATTTGTAGTTCGTATACATTTTAGTTTCTAGGAACAGGATAGACAGAAGATAGATATAAATGTGTGCTGTATAGTGCAAGAGACACACACGAACAGATGGAGAGAAAAATGGTAAGAATTTATTGGATGACTGTAAATTGCGGGATCATAATAATATTGAAGTGTGTGGCATGGAACTAAAAATCACTTTTGGGTCAAAAAGAAAAAGTGGACAATTAATTTCAATGATTAAAAGAATTTGTCAGATTTTAACCAAATGCACTGTGTCAATCAATTATAATGGGACATGCTTCATGTATGAAATATCAAAACTGCTTTGATATATTTTTCTTTTTCTTTCTTTTTATGGGAAGTACCATGAAAATGTGTTTACAGTTCGTTAAGTGGAAATAATGAAGGAAAAAAAGTCTTGAGAATTATTTTGTTTTGTTACGTTTGATGGACCAAAAAAACAAATCTCAACGCATGTAATTAACACCGTAGATGACAAAATGTAAGCATGTTAAAGCTATAATTCATTATTAAAACTCTTCTGATGCATAAATTTTTAATATCAATTTGGAAATAGATTTTTATGAATGAGAAAAAAAGTCATGTCAAAAAATATCTAAAAGGTGGCAAGTCAGCAAAAAAATTGTTCAACAAAAGGTTGCGTAATGAAAAAATAAAGAACAAAAGGATTTTTTTTACGCATTTGGATTCAAAAAGGGTAAAGATAAATAAACATAATGCTTATGATATGATATATGTAGGAACTAAGTAGATAAAGTGCATGCAATTTGTTAATGTTAAAGATTTTAAGAAAATTAAATTTTAACGTACTTTTTAAATTCAAAACTGTTTCAAAACCATACAACAGTTGCTATAAAAATTTGAATTTTTTTATAGTCATCAGAAAACCGTTATTTGCTATAAAAATTCAAATAAAACTTTTTACAGCAAAACACGTTTTTTGGTGACCTTCTATCACTATCTGTCACCAAAAAACCGTTAATTTAAAAAAAATTTAAAATTTTATAGCAAATAACGTTTTTTCTGGTGAATATCTAAAATAATTATTTCATCGATTCTAACCCAAAGAAACTTTTCAAAAAATTTACGTCAAATCTACAAAAAAAAAACTATAATCGAAAAATTCACAAGAACTACGAAATTTCAGAGATTTTACCGGTCATCACACTTGCATCGCATAATCGTATTTAAACTCCAATTAAAGAGACTCCACTTTTGCTCGAAACTAGTTATATAATGTGGACAATAATCGTGAGATCGACAACATTTATCTAGCAGGAGATTACAAAAAAAAGATATGAATAAATTCAATGAGATTACAACTGGAACTAAATGGAAAATACCTGTCTTTGAGAATGCACCGATTTCCGAATACTTTTTTGCAGTCCAACCGATTCCACAATACTTTGTGTAAGGAATTATCAAGAGATTACTCAAATCTCGCCTTTTGCGTCTAGACCTTACATCAAATGTGCATGATAAAATGGATTAAAATAAAAGTATGAAGGTAGGGGGTCCACGGTTTGAATTTATTTTAAAGTTAAAATTTAGATATTCAAAAATAAAATTTGGTTGGTTCAAAAATAAAATTAAAATATTAAGAACTTCCCATTAACGAATAGAATATTAGAAAAATTCAAACCAAGGACCTCCAAAAAATTCCCAGACATTACAAAGGATAATGTATTTTGGGGCGGATTGTGGCTGCTTAAAAAAAATTAAACACCAAAAATAATTCAGCATAAGAAATGATAAGAAAGAGCAAAATGCAGTCTTGGGAAAGTTCCCTAATGTCACTCGAAAATCAAATCATCAAAATCGCATCAAAAACAATCATCATCATCACACATGTGGAAGATAATCTCCTTTTTTTCAATTGGCTTGTTGGATTTAAAGTGAAATAATTCAACACATGAGAAATTGCCTATTCACAAAAATACAATTGACATTGTACATACATATTATGAAGAGGAACAGAAGCATCAGTAAAGATCACATGAGGGGAGGATGAGGAAAAAGCATTAAATTGAAAATCAATTTATTTACGGTTTAGGGATAAAGTTGTTTTGTCTGTTCATACAAATAGTTTTTGACCATAATGATATTAGATAGATAGAAAGTAGACAGCATATTCAAGAATGATGGCAATTAAAAATTATTGCAAATTATCAAATATCAACTAGCCTTCTGTCACATTTACAATGCGATAATGTAAATGGTCGAATATTAAACAATCCGTAACGTTTTTGAATTGGTGGAATGTGTACTTTGCATAAGTCGTGTTTTCGACAGCACTGGTCTCCTTTGGAAGGGCCGAGTTCTTTGTATTCTTGAGCATTACTTCCAGAACCACACCATTTCGTATGTGGAGCTATAAACCAAGAATCTGTCTGTCGTTTTGCTCTAAAATTAATTTTTTTTTTAAATTAAAATTATGAAAAAATAAAAGTCATAGTTTAATAAAATATTCCTTCGTGGCTGTTGATTTGGGGATTTATAACGCATTTTCCGGACAAGTCGGATAATCGAGACGAAATCTTAAGTCAAAATGACACTGGGACGTGGATGGCCCTAAGTTGCTGTGGTACCGTCCTGTGGTAGGATTTCGTCTTAATTATCCGACTTTTGCTACTCGGGTTTATAATCAGTCTTGGCTTTTAAGCGCATTTTTGAAACTTGTTTATAAAGGTAGCTTAATAAATACAGTTTGTTCGGCTATTTGGCTGTTCAGATGCTCGATTATTCGGCTGTTCGGCTGTTAAGGCCAAGAAAAACTCTTTAACCAGACATCAAAGAGAGTTCGGGTTTGTTTTATTGGCTCAGTTCTATCGAGTTATTGGCTGGCCGAACAGTTAAAAGTCTTAAAACAGTATATTTATACTCTAATTAATTATTTTTTATTTCAAATGAAAAACACGTGATGGGTGCGTTGAGAAATTTTAATTATTTTCTACCGTTTTAAAATTTGTAATCAGAGTGCGTTCAGAAATTCTATTTTTCTAACCGGTAAAAAATTTGAATTCAAAAAAACCTTTAAATGAGAAAGACAGTCTATATGGATATTTATTATAATTATTTTTTAATTACACTAAAATTAATGATCTTCTATCTTCTAATAATCTGTAAATGAACGCAAAATAATTAGATAATCAAATACTGATCGCTAACACAAAAATGCGCTTAAGTCCCTCGATTAATAACACGAGGACTTCTGTAATTTTTTTAAAATCAAATTTTCAACAGATTTCAAAAATTCAAATCTTCATCTTTTTATATTTTTTTAAAAAAAACTTTAAAATTTTGAATTTTTGAGGAACCAGAAATTTTATTATATCAGAAGAACATTGCAGCCAGCCAATGCGATCAAATAAAACACTGCAATTCTTAATAAAAATAATATACAGCATAAAGAAAGGAGGTAGAAATGCAACATAAAACTAAAATCTCATAATTAAAGAAAGATTTAATAAATTAAAAGGCAGCCCGACGATTCTGTTGGGAATTAAAAATGAAATTATCAATTACCTTAGTCCGGTGCTCTCGTCTTTCTGTTCGGCATTCAAATCTTCTTCATTCTCTTCCATGTCCGAATATTCATGTTGCAATTTTCTTTTAATTTCTTTGTGCAATTTATTGCATTGCTTTTTAAGCTTTTTCAAGTTCATGAGGTCCATCATGTCATCAGGAATATCTTGAAATCTTCTTATCTTTGTTAATTTTACATTTGGCTTAATTGTAAGCACATCTTTATCAATATTTTTACTCTGATGATGCTTCGCATGTTTGGCACTACTTAATTTTTCATTACGGATGTAATCGTATTCATCAATAAATTTATCCACAAAATCGCTTGCTATATCATTTCCATCCTCAATATATTCACAGTCGAGGAGATTCTTTCCATTGAATATAAGTTGTGCGAAACTTTTTCCATTTGTCAGTTGCCATAACGATGTTAATTTAAGAGAACTATAAAAGAGAAGACAATTGAGTGGAAGTTGGAAATTTATCGTGTGCATAGAGAATTAGAAAAGGTCAAAAATCTTGAGAATTATGGATTTTTTTTTTCAATGCACTCTTGCCTTTATTTTAGTGGATATGACAGGACAGTGTTCCGCCTATGCTTTTGAAAATTTATGTTCGACACTTTTAGTTTTACAAAAATTTAGAAGGCAATGGCTTAATTGAGATGATTGGAATCAATGAACTGCTTGCGAAAATCTCGTTATTTTATAATTTTACAAATTCGAATTTCTGAAAACCGTTAATATTCAAATTACAAGAAGTCGTTAATTTTTTAATCCCTAATTAATAAATGATTAACACCTTCAAAGTCACACCTAAGGCGTAATATTTAATCTTCTTAAAAAGAATGAAAGTAGCAGAAACTAGCATAAAGAATAAGAAGAGGTCTGTTTAAAAAACAATAAGTTATTTATGAAAGTTCGCAAACATGAGTTTCTTAATCTCATGAATAATTCAATCGTGATGTCTAAATAGAGAACATACGACTCAATTTAAGAGGCTAAAGCAGAATGAACGAAATCAAACATTTAGAACTTTTTTTTAAAAATAAATTGAATTTTAATTAATCAATTTGTCTGGTCAAGACATGTATCCAATAAATGTATAGATTTCATGAGAAATCCCTACATCATTTATATTACACGAAACATAGAACGGAGACAATAAATTTTCAATCTTTAGGCTGTGTCTGAAATTTTTATGGTGTCTTATTTCTTTTTTTCTTATTTATTAAAATCAGTTATTGCCGAGATCTTCTAGCGTGTCTTTAAAGCAGAGACATAGACAGAACCGAATAGCACTAGTGGGTTAATCGATCAAAAATCCGGTACCAAGCTGTCATGACTCTGGCTGTTGTTGGATTCAATTCAAATCTACCATCACGCCAGAGTCACACCAGCTTGGTGCTGGATTTTTATTCGATTAACCGACTTGTGCTAGATCTGTCACAGGTATTGCCCGTTAACAAACATTGCCTCTCACTGGCAGTTTTTTTATGCCTTTGACATGCAGTTAACTGTGACATTCAGTGCCTGTAAAAAGGCAATACTAGGGTTTCTGAAGCCGTTAACGAAAAACGGAAAACGGCCGTTTTTCATTCCGTTTTTCCGTTTTCTCATAGTTCATACAATGTAATTTTAAAAAAAAATTTTGTTTATTTCCTTTAAAAATTATTCTAAAAAACAGTTAAAAGTTTCTGCAATTGAGATTTATTATTATGGATTGCCTGGAAAGTTTGAAAATCTAATTTCAAGTAGTATATTAGAATCAGAAATGTAATCATAGTTGCGAGTCCAGTTTTGTTTGTTGTTTAGATACAACAAATCAAAATCTGGACTCAAGAATTTACAATGGGTTTTTCATATTTGATTTTTATCAATTTTTATGAAAAATACAGGAAATCGATCGGAAAATCTTCAAAAACTTTATGATGCTTTGTTGTGTATTAAGTCGACATCTACAGATGTAGAGCGAATATTTTCAATCTGCAATAATTTTTGCACAAAGATTCGTTCAAGGCTGGCTGATGCATCACTAAATGTTCTTGTTTTTCTTAAGTTTTAATATAATAAAATGAATAAACAGTTATAATAAATATAAATAGAAATCTACATATTATCTATATGGGCAATTCCACGGATGAGTTGCATTTCGAAAAAAATAAATTTTTGATCCATGTTCTTCAAAAATTTGATTGCTTCAAAAATAAACTTTAATTAAGCTTACACTTTTTAAAACGAGTTAGAGATCTTCATTGACTATTAAACTTTTAAAAACAAGGTTTGGTTTTTTAAAAATTATTTCCTCACGGATTTGGCTTAAGCGTTGGTATATTACATTAATTGCATTAAAATTATTCACTTTTCTGTCTATTGAGTGTCTTTCAAGTCAATTTAAGACAGAGATCGAAGCCGATTTTTTCGGCTTAACTCAATTTTTGATTTTTTTGATAGAAAAAAGCCATTTGACACCCATTTCAAGTATTTAAATTGAACTTTACATGCTTTACTATGATTCTGTGTAATATTTTGTCAGCATGTAGCTATAGTGAGCTCTGAATTTCAATTTAGTCGATGATAAGCCGATCGGCTTAAATTTCGGCTTAAAATTCTCAAACTTGAAATTCTGAGCTTACTATAGCTACATGCTGACAAAATATTACACAGAATCATAGTAAAGCATGTAAAATTCAATTTAAATACTTATAATGGGTGTCAAATGGCTTTTTTCGATCAAAAAAACCAAAATAAGTTAAGCCGAAAAAATCGGCTTTGATCTCTGATTTAAGTATGCAGAATCATAGAAGAGGATAGAAAGAACGGTTAATAAAGACAACATTAATAGTTGTAAAGACATCTTAAAGTGGTAAATTTCTGCTTTCATATTCAGAATTCAACATTGTGTAATATACCAACGCTCACAAAAATCCAAATATTTCATTAATTAAGGCATGACAAGATACATAAGTTTGTGAAAAAATTGCAGCTGCAAAGTTCTCTAATTAAGAGAAAATTCGATTCAGAGATGAATATTTTGGAAAAATCAATCCGTGGAATTGCCCTTATAGCACAATAATTCTTTATCTTTTGAGGAATATTTCATTTATATTTGGTTATTTAAAAAACTTAAAACGGTCCGTTAACGGCCGTTATTGAAAATAAAAAACGGAAAACGGCCGTTTTCGAAAATGCCGTTTTTCAGAAACCCTAGGCAATACCTATGACAGATCTGTTACCTTGACCTGTGACAGGCAACTTGTATCACAACTCTGCTTTAAAGTGCTTTTAATCTTCTAGAACAGTGTTGTCCAAACTGTGTGCCGAGGCACACTGGTGTGCCGGAGAATGTTTTTTGTAAATGAAGCGAGCTGTATGCTGTGTGCGACTTCGGTAATGGCTTACCCCTAAGGTGTGCCGTGGCTCAAAAAAGTTCGGACAACACTGTTGTAGTGTATTTAAAAATTTAACAGCTAGATTTTCAGTTGAAATTAAATTTTAAAATTTTCTAGCCGTTATATTTTTAAAAAAATATTTTGAAGTTTTTATTTTGTAGTAAAAACTTTGTTTTTTTAAAATAGAAAAATAATGTGATTTTCTCTCAGTTTCAGAAAAATAGCTCGGATTGCCTCGAGAGACTTAAAAATTCGATTTCCTGACCATTAATCACTGACACTCACTCACCTGTTAACATATCTTTTATTCTCTTGTACATCAAGTGTCGTCTGCTTTCCCAAGAGATTCTTCCATTTTATTCTTATTTCCTTTTCATTATCATTGAGATGATCGATGATAAGGAAATTGTCATACTGTTGCTGAGTATTATTATTTTTTAGCTTCATATGCTTTATATCACTAATAGTTGTGCATGAACTTAATACACAAAATATCGCTATTATTAAATATATTGAGCAATTCCAAAGTACTTCCATATTTAAATTAATTGTTTGAGCTATTTAAACCTTAAATTCAGATCACAAAAGTTGTTATTTCCAATAGAGAAATTTGTAGCTGCTTTTTTATCGAATTCAAGTTGACGGGCTTTGAATCTGAAACAAAAATACAATAAAATATTGATACGTGCTATGAGTTTCGTCTAATTAATTTAGGTATCATGACTCGTCGTCATAAATGGACGATATAAAGGCAAACTTAATGATAAGATAATTTGAAAATATTTTTATGCTGAAATAATTAGTCATTGCACAAACATATGGCATCATTTCATAATCTTCACACATTGTTTTAATTCGCGAAATATAAAACTAAAGTCAACACACACGATACATATTTTATGTTTCATTAACGGCATTTGCACATTCTGCTTTTATTTGACATTACGAATGAGATAATTTTCTTATTCTTTTATTTTTATTTTATTAGGAGCAGGTAGATAAAAATAGTCAATAGATGTCGATGGATGTTGATGATATAAAGTTTAATTGAATTTCAAATTAATTGGCGATGATTTCAACTGTTTTTTTGATGTTTAAAGTTTTTGTAAAATTTAACGCTTTTCTGAGATTTAAATTTTTGAACTTGATTTTTGGTCAAGTATTTTGCATAAATTTAAAAATGTTTTTTTTTCTATTTCACGCATTAATTTTTTAAGAACTCTGCATTTTTTCTAACCAGAATATAAAATAATCTGCATTATTTCTTATACAATCATTTAGAATTCTTTACCAGGGTTGAGATACAGGTACCTGTGCAGAGGTGAGAACCGTGCAATTCCTTGATAATTTATAAGGTTTTTCAAAACAAGACCATACAAATTATACTAAAACCTTACAAATTATCATGGAATTGTACGTTTCTTACCTGTGCACAGGTGCCTGGATCGCAACCTTGCTCTCTAATATTTAAATTAAAAAACCAAGAAAATCAAATTAAAAAATTCAAATTTCAAAAGTACGTTAAATATTCAATTAAAAAATGATGTGAAGATTAATTCAAATTGGCAAAAAAATACACTACAAAAATTATCACCAACCAAGAAGATAAAGCCAAAGAATGCAGTAATCCGATTTTAGCATAAAAACAAACATAAATTCTGAATCAGCAATGAGGCGATTGAACGTCACAAAATCGGGAACCAATCATGTACGATCGGCTGATTGGGCTCAAGAAGAAAAAAGATACTTTCATTGCCAAGAAAATTTGTGCGATTTTCACTTTAATTTGATAGTTTTTTTTATGTACCTTTAATTATTTTACTTTCACAATGACTCAATTTTGTTACTTTACACTTAATTATGGCATGTCAGTAAATATTTATCGAGTCTTAATTAATTTTTTTTTGCAAATTAGATATAACTGTCTAAAATCACTACAATCAGTTATTACACGTCCGAGCACCTTGAGCGATAAAACAGAACTAAAAGACTGTAAAACGTATCGCGTGGTATAAAGCATGAGTAAGAATAGTCGATAGATAAAAATATATGCTTCACACTTCTAACTTGCAATTTTAGTGAGAGATTTTTGTGTCTGTGAAAAGACCTTTACTTTCTTGTTGATTACGCTGTTCCACAAAATAAAGAATAGTAAAAGCAACAGCTAGTATAATTATGTTCACTAAAAAACACAGCATGACATTTGAGAGATTTTAATGTTTTTAAGAGAAGTCAACTGAAAATAACTGCCATTCAGAATTCAAACCAGCTGGGCAAAATTTAAATTTCAAAAAAAAATCTTCTTCAAATAAAAATTAAGGATTTTAAGAATTAAACGCTTTTTGGGGAATAAAATAATGGTCAGTTAATAAAATACATCCAAATCTATCGAAATATCATGAAGCTGTATAAAAAGATATTTCCACAATACTCATCATTAAAATTTATTAGCGGAAAATAAAAGTTATTATCATATTTCTTAATTTTATTTCCAGTTTTGCAATCAATATGATAGTAATGTGACTGTTGGGAGTCCACAAGGAAGAATTCATCAAGTCCAGTATGTTTTGGATGCTGGATAACTTGGATCAGCAATTGTTGGATTAACATTTATATATTGTACAGTCTAAAGTGCTTTAAAAAGAACTATCTCTTGTTTGCTCATCAGTGATCATCTTCCGACTGGATGCTCATATCGGTATTTCTATTTCTATGGAATCAACGCCGATGCTCGTGTTTTATGGTAAAAATATTAAATGTTTCCATTCCCTAAATGTTAATTTAATCATTTCTATTGTAGTCGTTACTTGCGTCAGGAATGCATGAATTACAAGCAGTTAAGTGCCTTGCTGGTCGAATAGGTAAGGCGCTTGGCTCAAATTTGGGATGGTAACTCGAAGGTCGTTGGTTCGAATCCAGCCATTTCCAAATTTGTTCTTTTTCAGAAGTTTAGATACTTCGACTGATTAATGTACGAGATCAAGCCATAATTGGGCATTTTGGCAACGTTGGATTAAGGAACGGATCAGAAACTTGAAGTGTAGCGGGAGAAATAGGAACAAGAGCTACAAGATTACCTTATAATGGAATATTGTCAGAACGGACCTGAAAAATATCACGTCACGCCCACAGAAGATCGAAACGAGAGCCTGAATTTAATCGAAACCAAGATTTGAAGATTAAAGCTTGATATAGCAGATTCCATTTTTGGGTATTATGCCGTCGTGCTTCAGGTTTTAAAATGGCATCATTTCCAAAAATCAACTTTATTAGACATATTATGCATTAAAATTGACAATAAATTTCCCCCCCCCCCCCTGGCTACGCACCTGTCCAGTAGTTGAAGAACGGCAATTAAAATGGAAAGCATTTCGCATCTTTGATTTCAAACTGATATCAAAGAAGACTGTAATAAAGACATTAAAACATGAACAAAATAAAAATACAATTTTTTTTTTGATTTAGAATCAATAGAATCTATTGTACCATTCCCATTTAATACTCAGTACATTGTCATTTAAATTTCAAGCGTGGAAGTTAGTGGCTTTCCACGTCAGTCGTGTTTTAGTAGAGATTAATTCCAAAAGATAATGTTTAACCAAAAATTATTCCTTTAATGGTTTTAATATTGAATTGTGTGATCCGCTTATATGTTTTTTTGCATTAGAGTAGTCTAGGAACCTCTCATTACAGCCTTCAATGGGACAAAAAAATGGACGTTCACCTGAAAAATTAAAATTCATGAAATTAATAAAAACAAGTTTTTTACCCAAACAATTACCAGTATGTGCTGCTCGTATATGATAATTCATACCAGGCTTGTATTTAAATCTTCTTTCACAATAAGAACATTGATATTTTTTTTCTAATGATTCTGCATGAACTCTTAAATGTGAATTTAGTCTAAATTGAGCATAAAAAGCTTTTTGGCATAAATGACATTTAAATTGCTTATTATTTTGATGAACTGCTTTATCGTGGACACGTAATCTTCGTTCACTTTTAAATAATTTTCCACATTTACTACAATTTATTTCTAGCTTGCTATGAACTTGTTTGATGTGTGTGCTCAAGTAAGCTGCAATATTATAAATGAAATTCAATTAATTCTTCAAATTCCAGGTTGTAGAACTGATGAAATGATCAAAAATGACCAAAATTGAACAAAAATGAACAAAAATGAACAAAAATGAACAAAAATGACCAAAATTAATCAAAAATGACCAAAATTTACCAAAAATGACCAAAATTGAACAAAAATGACCAAAATTAATCAAAAATGACCAAAAATGATTCAAAATTGGTCAGAAACGACCAAAAATGATCAAAAATGACCAATAATGTAATTTTATCAGTTCCTTTATTTTGTAGCTTACCTGCACTAGCAAAAGTCAGAGTACATTGATCGCACATAAATGTTGATTCCGTTACATGTTTTACCATATGATTTTTCATCCTATGACGAAGTTCAGTTTTCCATCCGCAAAAGTCACATTGAAACTTTTCTCCTTCATCATTATCTCTTTTATGCTTACTTATTAAATGCTCTTTTAATTTGGCACCGCAAATAAAATGTAATCCACAATAAATACAGAAATTAACTTTACTTCTTAAATGCTTTTTTTGGTAATGCAAGTAAAGATCTTTAAAGTTCCATCTGTATTCAGGTTCAGGACATAAAATGCAGCAAAATTTGCTATGAGGACAATGATTTTCAATAATATGATTTAAATATGCTGCAAAATGTGGTAAGGATTTATTACAGTCATAGCAGTTGCGTTTAAACTTGTTCTTGTGTATTTTATGAAGGTGTTCATTTAGTTCCAAAATATTTGAAAATTTATTGTGCTCTGCACACTCATAACATGTCCAATCAAAGGATGGCCAACTTTTGGAACTAAATAACTGAAGAACTCGAGAAGATATTTTTCCTTCGTCCAATTTATCTTCATCAAGTATTTCAAGAGTTTCTGGTAAATCACAATATTTTCCTTTCATTTCATTTTCATAAAGCAATTTTGTAGTAATCTTTATTGCTTCTTTTGCTCGTCTAATTCCGCGGTTTTTTTTACGTAACTCAGGTGGAATTTTGTTGTATTTTCGCTTAGTTCTTTGCTCTTCATTGATCTAAAATATTTAAAACAATTTTTGGAATTATTAATTAATATTAGAGATCGATCCCCGAGTGGACAAAGAACTACTTAAAAGCTAACCATTGACTTGCCTTTGCAACTAGACTTACGGACGACTAATGACATATTTTGGACGTTCCATTTAACTGGACAAAGGTTTTGTTTTAAAGTCTAGTTCAAGTCTAGTTAACGTCTAGTTCTGTATGACTTATGAATTTTGTCAAGTTAAAAGATTGGTAAATATTGGATCGTTTAATGGACTTTAACTAGCTGTGTCTACCCAGGATTTTTTTTAATACAATAATGCAGTGCATTCGAATTTCTGTTGGGATCAAGACGAGGAAAATTAGGATTAATCCTGAAAAATCCCAAAACTCATTTTTCTTTATCTACTGGATGTAAACCAGCAAAACAAAATTGGAAAATAAATAATTCTTCATTTGATAGAGTCTTACCAAAAAAACTTTGGGCTCAGGAATTTCTCTTTCACTTTCTTCACTTTCTTTACATGAAAAAGGCGAGGCAAATGTTTGAAATATTGAATATTCCTCTTCTATTTTATTACTTTCAGAAATTTCTTCTTTCACTTCGATTTTTATCATCACAGTATTTATTAATTTTAATCAATCTTGTGCATTTTGGATTTGTTGAAAAAATTTATAAGATATCCTTAAACTGGATATACATCGCTTACAAATCATAGATTTTGCCATAACATAATCATTAAGTTTTATATTAAAAATTTCGTTTATTTGTTCACATATTTGAAGTTCTTGATCATCGAAGACTATTAAAAATGTAGTTTTTTCACAAATTAAACACTTTTTATCCATATTGAATTTAAATTATATTAAAAATACTGTCTTGAATCAGTACGAATAATTCATCAATAACTTAATTTATCATACATATTAAAAATGTTTTCTTAATGTGTGAAGTGATGAAAAATTTATTTTTATGTTTTGACAAAACTAAAAGACCAAAACAATTCTATTTATATTCACACTAGAATTATATCCAATAAATATTTTTAAAACGTAACGTAACGTTGAAAAATTATATGTGGGGCCCGTCAAAAATGAATTCTACGTCATCGGAGACCACTTTTAGTCATTTTTTGTGATTTTTTTCCATGAAACTGTATTTTGTTCTTTATTGGTATTATAGAATTCGCCGAGACGAAGAGTTTGAAATCATTATCATTTTCCTAGCATGTCTGGTTCCTTCTGTAGAGCCATTCGAATACCCACCGATGACGTAGAATTTTCGGGAAAGGGTATTTTGAGTGTAAACAACCTTTAATAACTTCTTTATTCCCAGCTTAAATTTTAGTTTTTCTGTACCAAATTGTGCTATTTCTTCTATTTGTTTATTCAAATTATCATTTTTATCAATACAATGATTGGAAGTTACTTAAATTAACACTTTAAGTTTCAAAATCTTGTAACGAATATCATTTTTTTGAATTTTCTTGTATGTTTTTGGTCAACAAAAAAATTTTATTTTTAATGTAATACAGCTCATATTTAAATATCGATAGTATGTTTCGAAGGTTCTATTTTGTGTTTTAAAAGAGCTAAAGTTACAAATTCACGAGTATTAATTAGATTTTCAGCTGATTAAAGTTTTGGTAATTTTGCTCGAAAATATGTGAAATTTTTGAATTTTATTAAACCGTTAAACTGAAATTCCTATTATTTTTGACGGGCCCCATGTAAAACATCATTTTTTTTGAGGTCTTCGGCACGTAAGGTCTCCTTTGCGAGGTATACAAGGATAAACATACTAGCATCTGGATCTTTTCTTAACAGCATCTTGCGCACACGAATTGTGACTAAGTACATTGCAGGGCTCATCAAGTCTATAGACGGAATCTTGTCTTTGCAATGTACAAAGCTTACAAGGAGCTCGTATTCTACTATAAACTGCAGATTCCGTTTTAATTTGAATCACAGTGCTTCCAGCTCAAAGGGATGGTCCCTTATCACACTTTACCTTTTGATACCTATATTTTATGCATTAAAACGAGCTAGAAAGTTAATCTATGACAGCATAGAGACTCTATTATGCCCAGGTGCAATCATATTTGATGTTTTATGGAGCTTTAAAATGATACCTATTTAAGTATTATGTGAAATAAACTCTTGCTTGCAAGTTTTTAAAAATCGACCAAGATCTAAACAAAAATAATGTTCAAATAAGTATAGGCAGTGGCATACATAGTCGCTGGATTAGAGATCGCCAAAATTTAGAAATTAAGCAATGTTGAACGAACAGGCAGCACAAAGTCAATCTTTGACAATATTCTCAAGCAAATTAAAGCTCACTGAGCGTGATTCAAAATCGTGTGAAAGAATGTCAATTTTTCCGAAACTCCATCTATCCGTGAAAGTGATCGTAAAAGTAAAGTTTCGAATTTTTAAAATTCGCTATTTTAATAGTCACTCGTTGAGAATTTGTTTACAAACATAATGAAAATCGAATTTGAAAAGTCATGAAAATATCGCTGGTAGACGAGATTTAAACAATAGAAATTCTGAGAGTTTAAAAACACAAATTACACAATTCCATTCATATGTCAACACATTCAGAAACATTTTATGCAAAGTTTAAAGAGATTTGTTGTTTACAAACATGTTTAATGATATTTGCCATTAAAAGAAGGATTCAAAGAATCAATAATGATATTGAGGAGAATGCAACTTAAGTGATAACATCTTGAACAAATAATTCAATCTTAATATTGACTAAGAAATTTAACGAGTTTTAATTTTTTAAAAAAATACAAGTTAAGAAATATTGCAAGTCGATTTTAGTCAGTTCATACATTTTACAGATTTGTCCACAACAAGTTTTGCTTAAAATTAATTTTTTAATTTTATAGACAAATTTCTCTGAAAACTTATTAGCAATGGACGAAAAATATGAAGGCGGAGTAAGTTTGGAAGATGCAACTAATAATTCATCAAAAATGGACGACGAAAGCAGAAAAACTCCGGAAAAAACAAATCAAATTCCACAAAGTTTTATTGAGTTAAATGTAAGAAAAAAATGATTTAAATTTAAATTAAATGTAAATAAATAATTTAATTATAATTTTAGGATGGAATCGAAAAGAGTTCAACAATCAAGTCTCCTGCAAAGTCTTCAAATATAGAGGACGAAACTGTCCAAAAAGTATTGATAGATATTAATTTTGGAAGCAAAAAAACATACTTTGCATTAAATGAAGACTTTATAGAAATTATTAAAAGATATTTCAAAGAAAAGATTGATGATTTGGATATTTCTGATGATGCATCTAACAAACGAATTTGTGTATCTGAGAAGTTGGTGAAAAAATCAGATTCATTTTTAATTGACACTACGCCTAGGAAAAGTTCAGCAGAATCAACTCCTCGATACACACCGTTCAGCAAAACTATATTATCAAACATAAAGGATAATGTCGAAGAAAAACCAGTGACAATAAATTCATCAAATAAATGTTTTAATTGTGAAGGAACTCATAGTTTACGTGAATGTCCGGAGCCAAAAAACATGCTTAAAATAAGAAAAGCTCGGAATGAATTTAACAAAAGAGAATTGCGTTATCACGACAATGATGGATATGCTGACTTAATACCTGGTCAATTAAGCGATGATTTGAAAAATGCATTAGGATTAATGGACAATCAGCTTCCATTACACATATATAAAATGAGAAACTATGATTATCCTGTTGCGTGGCTTGAAGAAGCAAAAGTTTATTATTCTGGATTACAAATTCTTACCGACAAAAATATTGAGCTTAGCGGTGATATTCGTGAAAGTTTTAAATATGATATTGAGAGAATTTATGATTTTCCAGGATATAATGTATTACCTAGCTTACCATATGTCGATAAACATCGATTGTATAATCTACCACCTATGCAAGCTCATCATTCAAAAGAAGAATTTATTTCATCACTAGGAGACGTATGTGTTGTTAATGGATATAAAAAGAGAAAACTACGCGATTCAATAGAAAAATTTGATACATCAACTAATGTAGAAGATGTTGAAATGGATGTTGAGAATGACATGCCCTGTAATCAATCAACTCTTAATGAATCAAATAGCCAAAACTATTCGCCTGAAGATGGTGAACTGTCAAATCATTCTGATACCTCCTTAAACTGCGAAGAATTGGATTTAGCAAGAAATAAGCTATTAACTGAACTGTCAGAAATTAATGAGACGCAATCTGAAAACGATCCTAATTTGTTGAAAGTTGACTTGACAGAAAAAAATGTCGACTTGACAGAAAACAACGTGGAAGATTTAGGAGGAATTAAACAAGGACATGTTGAAACTACAATTTTTGGATGTCCAGTACTGCCATCATTTAGTCCGTTTGAAAATCTGCCGTCAAATGTTAATTTTCAAGAAGGAGTTTGTGATGTGATTGCATTTGAAAATCTTACAGAATCAACTGGAAAATATGAAAAAATGAAAGGAATCATTAAGAAAGTACGAGTATTTGTAAAGGATCATCACAAAGACTAATTTCCAAATAAACTATAAAATTAAGTTTTTTATTAATAGTTTTATTGTTGTAAAATTAGAGATTACTAATAATGAAATAAAATGTTGTTAAAAATAATACAAATGAATCTTTTTAAGTAGAATCCATTTATGGAATATAAAGGTTTAATATATCTTGGGAGCAAAAATTGATATTTATTATAATAATTTTGAAAATATTTTCTGTTAAGAATCTAAACCTTATTATGTTTGTCTTTATATTTTGAATTTTAAATATAGAAAACTCATTCTCAATTCGTGCGTATTTGTCATTTTATAATATATCTAAGAATATATTTTTTGTAAATATTTAGTAGCCCTTTGTATTATCAAATCACATTTTCGATATAACACTGCTTTTATCAATTCACCATTGGATCATTTTCATCATTGGGACCCTTAATAAAATAAACACATTAATCTAATTATTTAAAAAAAATTAAAATTTAAAATTTCCTTACATTATCACGAGAATGTTTTGTATTTGTATCTCCTGTCGATCGTTGTCTTAGAGAATTGGGTCTGATTAAATATAATATCACAGCAGCTATCAGCATAAATATTAAAAATGTAAAATTATTTACACCATCATCAGTAGCTGAAGATGATCCACTTTGATGACGAACTAAATCTGTACATTCGTTATCCGTGCATGCTGATTGTCCATTGCGAAGCTAATAAATTATAAAATATTCTTATCATGAGAAAAACTTTAATACACAAGCAATTTGAATTTAATAAGCTGTAAAAATATCAAAAGCTTGAATTCGTTCTTTATGTTGTTAGATGCATACACTCAAAAAGAAATTCTACATACCAAATTTAATAATCGTCGCATCGCAAATTCATGTGAAAATATACATTCACATAAAGATTGATCGAAATCTTGATCATCATCCATGTTTTTTATGTCAATTTCCTTATCCTGTAGTTACTCAGAAAAAATAATTTCAGCTTTGCAAACCTAAATTTAAATATTCATTAGAAATTTACACAAAAAAAATTGAAATCATGTTTTGGGTCATTGGATTTTCAAAAATGTAAAAAGAAAGAAAAAGGAAATAAAATCACAATAAACAAAACATGAAAATTTTCTTTCAAACAATGAGTTTTGAAACAAAGATTTTTCATGAATTAAAATAAAAAAAAACTATTTAAATATCCAGAAAAATTATCTTCGTGGCAAAAATGGAAAGCTGCAATTAACTTTAAATACTTACAAAAAATATTTATTTTTGTTTATTATTTCCACACTAGATATTATTTGTTTACTTTGTCACTTTATATTATTTTAAAAGATATTTTAATTTTGTCTCAATATATCTGACTAGTTTTAATCATTTAAACTGAAACTACGGAATAAAGAAAATTATTTAAAAATTACACTTAAAAATAATTTGAAGAATGGAAATCTAGGGGGCGAATCATAATATATACTAAGAGGAAAAGTCGTATTTTAGTTTTTTAAAAAATTAGTACACAACCGTTTTTTAAAAGAATATAAATTATGATTTTAAAAAATTTATCCTTAATTTTAAATTGAACTTAATATTCATAATCATAATTTAAATTTTTTCTTTTTTACATTATTTTAGTTCCATTCTTTATTTGCAAAGAAATTTCATCACTGTATGTCAAAACTGCATGCACAAGTTGATCTTTTTTGATACATTGACTAATCGATGCAAAGACTTATAGAATCAAAAAGAATTGAATCGAATTCACACATGTTTCAAGTTTTGCATATTTATGAATTAATGAAAAAAACTTTAAATTATCATAGTCTTAAAATTTATCAACCTTTATCATATACATTCAATTCCCTGGTGTTAAATAAAAGGCAATTTTTTGATTGCGTAGAATTCGTTCAATTCTAAATATCGATAAACAATTTAACTTAGCCAGTGGTCTTAAGCCCACATTTCGGTCCACAATAGATCTAATACCAGCAATACCAAAAAAAAAACTAGTGTATCGGGTAGAAACCCAATTCGGATGTATTCACACCGTACCATCAAAAGTCTTATGGAAAGACCAAGATTTGCTCAGCATAAGTTTGAAAGTATAAAGCTGAGCTGCGCTACCATAGCAAGTCTCCATCGATTAGCTGTGCTAATCTTTTAAAATCTTAATATTTTTGATTTTTTAAAAAACAGTTGGGAATTGTTATATTCTTAATAAGGAAATCAGAAAATTTCTAATAAATCTTCACACTCTAAGTTTGGGTAATGTTTGGGAGGCAGTTCAGAAGGTAGGTATGTTTTGCAAATTTTGTGAAGCCATTTAAAAGTTGTTTTTGGGGTAAGCTGATATCATTAAACGGACTAAGGTAAACAGGCTCCCATGGGCTAAACATGTTATGAGAAGACCTGTGGAAGCTCCATTAAGTAAGGTCTTTAAGGCGGACTTTTTGGATGAAAAAGAGCAAGCGGAAGGCCAAAGAACTTATGGAAACAGGCTGTTGATAGAGACAGAATTGCATTTGGTATAGGAAATTGGCAAGCGGTAGCCAGCGATAGAGCTCGTTTTAAGCGATGTCCGAGGCAGGCCATGGATCACAATTGATCTGTCATCGAATTAAGTAAGTAAAATTTTGGGGTAAGTGGGTCTCCGTTTGAGGGTGTTTGTGAAGTTTTATTTAAATATTACTTACACTCCTTTTGTTGTTTGGGGTGACATTTTTTCATTTGATGACATAGATATACTGTGTACACCAGTGGTGACAAACTTTTTTTGTGATAGGGCATACTTGATGAAAAGCTATGACCAAAATTGCATCGTGGAATATCTCATATTATTTCATGGCACATTAGAGAGCCGCGGCACATGGGTTGACCATCACTAGTGCACGCCAATAGTTTCAAAAAATAGAAATAATAATTCTAGTCAAAATTGTTGTTTCATAAAAAAATTATTTTAAATTAAATTTTGAAATAAAAATTAAGTCTTTCAAAATAAAACGAATCTTCTAAAACAGTGATGGTAAACCCGTGTTGAGAAAAAAAAATGAAAAATTCCACGTGTGTGATTTTGGTCATGGCTTACCTTCAGGTGTGCCGTGGCATAAAAAAAGGTTGGCCAACACTGTTTTAAAGCTTATTCAATTTTAATAATTAAAACAATTATGTTTCAAGTGCAATCGATTGACAATATTCTACAGGTAAAGTTTTTTCATCATTAACTAGCTTTATTCATTCGAAAAGAGATTTTAAATTTACTTCATTCGACTCTCACGTTTTATGGACATTTTTTCAAGTTTAATAATAATTGTAACAGAAGATTTAGTAAAAAAAAAGAATAGAAATATTAATATGATAAACTTAAGATCCTAAAATTGCGCATGGCAAAATTTTATCACTTTTTATTGGTTGCTTTCAAGCAAATATATTTTAAGTTTGAAATATGAGAGCAAGCTGGGAGATGAACGCACTTGACAACTTTTATTCTTCATGATAGAAATTTAAATTCTTCGAAAGCTGACATTTATTAATTCAAGTCTTAAAACTTTACAAATTTTTAGATGATTGAATAAATCTGATTTAAATCAGTGTTGTCCAAACTTTTTTCAGCCACGAAACACTTTAAGTTTAGATATTTATTCACGGCACACCTAAGGATGTCCTACGGCACACCAGTTTGTACAAGACTGCTCTAAAAGGAAATTCATGAGCAATAAAAATTGACAAGACAAAATGATTATTTTTGGATCTACAATCACTCAAAATTTTCGCACCAAAAGTACGCTATCGCTTGTAGTATAAATTGGCTGCAAGAGCTGTGAAATGTTTCAGTTGATAAAGGATTTTAAGAATCGCACTAACAATAGGTTCAAGTGAAAATAGTGGAATAGTAAAAAGAAATAAAAGAATTTTCTTTTGTTAAGAGAGAGCTTCCTATATTTTTTTGAAAGCTTCCTTTTTATTCTTTTTGCAAAGAATAATTACATGCAGGCAGAATTTTGCTAATTATGTGATTCCAGAGTATTTAAATTAACTCAAAATTTGTTTTCGCTGTGAGTAGTAATTTTACATTATTAACGATAAAATATTATTTAAATATCGTTTCGTGAGTTTTACTAAAGTACAGAATCTTAAAAGATATATAAAACTTATAATATTCACATTTTACATACACCATGCATAAAATATATAAAAAAAAGGTTAAAAAGAGAGAAAATGAAAAAATCTCATTTAGTAATGTTTGAAGCTTAGAGGCATACGAATCACTTCAAGTATCGTTTTAAGTCAGTTTTAATACCATTGAACGGATATGAACAAGTTTAGGTTTTATAAAGCATGAACAGTATTTTTTTGACCGTTAAAGAAGTATTTTTAATGTAGTGTTAAGTGAAAAGTGTTGTTTTTTTATTCTACACGCTTCTGTGATTTATCGTACTATTCTTTTTTCTGTCGTATATATTTTTAAAGAGATTTATCAAAAGCATAGGTTTAGAAAAAAAAATAAAAAATATGACAAAACAAGTGTCAAATAATGAGAATGATAGAGGTAAAGTATCACATCAATTAGTAAATTCCACATGGTTCTACATTGTTTTTGTTAAAACAAATTTAAATTAAATTGATTTATCCGGAAATTAACTTAACTTACAATTAAATGAATGAAGCGTAGAGTTCATTCATAACATAAATTTTTTTAAATGAATTATTATTTTAGAAAAAACAAAAAATATGTCAAACTTGAACATTACAAAGGAAAAAAAGTCCTGTCCTGTCCATGTCAAAAACAATTGTTTAATATAAGTATTAAGATGTATTCAATTAAAATGAGTGTCTGTGATTTATATGATTTTATATTCTCGACAATGATGTCCTTTAGAAATATATATATGAATAATTATGAAGCTCTTCATTTCATATAATTTTATGTGGATATACATAAATTGATGACAAATATGTTTATTGATTTTATTTTATTATGAAGTGATTATTAAAATATTTAAACCTTTACTCATCTTTTTCCAAATAATGATAAATAAAAATCCATATCAACAAAATTATTTCATCTGGTTTTTCCATGAATTATAAAAATTTAAATATCGTGTTTGCATCTGAAAAAAAGTAATTTCACAAGAACCTTACGAATCCAATGTTATTTTTTTGTTATTGATACCAAAAATAACTTATTATTCTAATAATATTTTGTATCGAAAATAATTCGCAGAATGAAATGACAAATTTAACATTTTTCAACATTAATCCGACTAATTGTGTTTACTTTTTTCATATTATTCCTGTTTAGTGCGAATAAATGATAAAATCTTTAAAACGTGTTTTAATCTCAACAGTAATTTTAATAATAATAAAATAAATTTACTTCTGCTTACTTCAAGGTCGCACTCATTTATTCAATGCAATGTCAAAGTTTCATTTCGTTTTGAATTGCATTTAAATTCATTTACAAATAATAATAATAAAAATATATATGTTCGATAGTTATTACTTGTAGGAATTGCAGACAATTAAAACATTTATTTAGAAAAAGTTGCTTAAACCACATTTCATTGCTACCATAGCTTAAGTTAACGGAAAGATTGCTTTGCATATGTTATAATTGTAAAATAAAAAGTAGAATCGGTACTGCAATAGGAATAGAGCATTATATTGTTAAGCATGAAGGTTATTCTCAATTCTTACACAATTTTTGATAGGTTTTATAAAAAATCAAAGAAAAAGTTCTTTTAAATCAATATTTTTTTGGAACACATAAGAAGACATAAAACAAATGATGGAAATTATATGACTCCTTTCAGACCATCCTGATTGTTTTAGTCTAGGCTCAAAAACTAGGCGTTATACTACCAAATACTGCTTAATACCCCCAAATATCGCCTGGTTTCCGAGCCTGAGTTTTACTCAACTTTTATTAATCTAAGCCAGTGTTGTCCAAACTGTGTGCCATGGAAAACTGATGTGCCGTAGGTGACATCTTTAAGTGTGCCGTGAAAAATGTCTAAAGTAAAATTGTTCCGTGGCTGACAAAAGTTTGGACAACACTGATCTACGCCAAGGGTGCGGAACTGAGAATTTATCATTTTTGATCATTTTTAATCAGTTCCACACCCTTGAATCTAACAGACAAATGAGTATACTCATGGTACCGTGACATGCTCAAGAGTGTATTACGGTACCATGAGTATCCTCACTTGTCTCTTAGGATGAGTTTTGCACAAATGTTAGAACAGACATGAATGAATGCAATATTTATAAAAAATAATATTTTATCGTCATGCAGCTCAGTGTTGTCCAAACTTTGGCACACCTTAATGGTAAGCCATTACCAAACTCAAACACAGAATGCGCCTCGAATCATTTACAAAAAATTTTACGATTTTACGGCACACAGTTTGGACACCACTGATGTAGCTGATTGTCAAATCATTGCTTTAATCCTAAGAATACAAGATCTTTGTACAATTTCAAAGAAAATAATTTATTTATTAGAGTTATTTCACAAAATCATATTTTTTTCTCCACTCATTCATAGGCAACCAAGGTGAAGCGGGAATCTCAATGTCATTACTGGGACATCTTAAGAAGACACCAAAAACACCTATACCCGAAGAACCACGTGAAACATGGTCTGGAAAAGTAGATTTTCTTTTATCAGTCATAGGATTTGCAGTTGATTTGGCCAATGTATGGCGATTTCCATATCTATGTTATCGAAATGGTGGAGGTAAAATTTATTTGTCATTCATTATTTTTGCCTTTAACATCAACAAATAAGATTTTTGAACAGACAATCGAGCAATAACATATTTTTTTAAGCCATTCATAACCGGTTAGAAACTTTTTGCTGAAATTTTTTTGTATATTTTTTTGCTATAGTTGAATGATTAATTGTTAAAGAATAATAAGATTAAGGAATTCCTTGATTTTGTATGAAAAATGATGGATATCAGGGAGGTTTAAATATGTGCGAATACCTTAGGGCCATTCACTTATTACGGAACGCTTTTAGGGGGAGGGGGGGTCTAAGATTTTGTAACGGTTCAAACAAGGAAATTTTTTTTTCATAGAAATTTTGTTACGAGGGGGTCTAAGAAGTCATTTTTTCGCGTTACGTAATAAGTGAACAGCCCCTTAGTTCCTCATATAAATATATTGATTTTAAAATTAATTTCTTTTTTACGAAATTGTCGAAACCATTGCAGTCAAGATCAATATTCATTCAAATTACTAATAATACTATTAAAACTGCGACTATAAACTAATTAAGAACGCCTTTAAAAATTTTCATCACATATTTTTCTACCATCAAAAAATTATTTTTTCAATCTACTTTGAAAGCATTTAAAACACAACATCATTGTCATTTACAAAAATGAACCAGAGGCATGGAGAGTGTAATTGAGACATAAAAGAACACTGACAACAATTAAATTATGGATGTGCTATCACAGATTTTTTTACTATATACATAATTTCTATATAAGGAATATATAAAATAGTATCTATGAAAATTTTTATTGTGTGAAAAAGTTGTTGAAGACATTTGTCACTAAAGGAATTGAAAGAGGGAGAAAAATCGGAAAATCAAGTTGCAGAGAAAATTAGCAACTTCCTTATTGCTCTGACATGCTTTCTAATGTTCAATCACAATGAAATACATTAGACTTGATAAAAATGGGGGGTAAATGTTCCTTTATGCTTCTTTTCTAGTCCTTTCAAGTGATAAAAATATTGAATTGGCATCTTTTTGCTTATTTTTATTTCTCTTTTTGTTGTTAGAGTTCTGGATTAAATTAAAGTTATTGAAGAAATTTCAGGAAATTTAAATTTTGGTTTTAAAAAGTTTTTTTTTTATTATCACCTCAAAAAATGATATTCCATTATAATTTTCCAATCCATTAAACATCTTTTTTTTTCAACTATCAGAATCTCATGACAAATTCCAACTCTCCCCTTTCCTTTAACTCAATGGTCACGAGTCAAAAGATTTAACATTCTATGGTGAAAGAAATACTCCATTACACGTTATTACACTTAACATTTTACTCACATACATCGAGTATGAACTCAGACTTGTTGAATTACGTCCACTTATCTTTAATATCAGAGCTCGAAGTTGATAGGGTTCTAGTTGACTCGAGTTGACTAGACTCGACTCAAACCGAATATACTCAACTTTTCTCGAGTCTTCTTCATTTTTTTCGAGTCAACTCGAGTCGACTTCAAGCTCTGATTAATATCTTTAAAAAAATCTTTTCTCCGTGACAACGTAAAAAAAATCAAATCTTTCATTTCAATAATACGAGCTATATAGGACAATATGAAACTGTTGCATTATAAAAGGAGAGAAAATAAAAATCTTTTATTATCCGCTTAATGGTTTATGTGAAAAACTGGGGAAATGGATTTTTTTCTATAATTTTTTTTACATTATATAATCATCGATGTCATTATTCTTAAATGAATTCTTAATTTGACTTAATTCATTCAGCTAGCTTTAAATTAATTTCTCGAAATATTAAATCATATTGTTGCCAGTTCACTAATATTAAGACTTAAGAAGGCGCGTAGCCAGGAGGGTCTTGTCCACCTCTTAAGCGCTTTAGGCCGTGCCTCGCTGCGGTTCAAAACGTTGAAGTGGGGCAAGACCCTCCTGGCAACGCGCCTGGACTTAAGACTTAAGACTTTTTACTTTTAAATGCTCAGTTCATTTTAAAAAATATTAAATTTAAAAATCCGAATTATTTATTTTTCTAGGGGCATTTTTAGTGCCTTACTGTATAATGCTGCTGATAGGTGGAATCCCACTATTTTATATGGAGTTAGCCTTGGGACAGCATGAGAGAAAAGGAGCTATAACGACATGGGGAAATCTTGTTCCTTTATTAAAGGTATTAAAAAATTTATTATGCATAAATAAAAAATCTTAAGTTTTGAAATTTCAGGGCTTAGGTTGGGCAGTAGTTTTAATTGCATTTTATGTGGACTTTTTTTACAATGTAATTATTGCTTGGTCATTGAGGTTCTTTTTTGCATCCATTACTGATGTACTGCCTTGGACACACTGTCGACACAGTTTTAATACAAATTCTTGTAAAGCGGTAAGTTCAACTTGATAATAAGAAAATTAAGAAGAAAATAATATTAAATTATTATTATTATAGTTTGAAGTTAACTATTCTCGTTCTACTGAGCCATCTTTTCTTCAAACAACTATGAAACCATTTTTTAATTCTACTGTTGCATCCACAATAATTGATAGTGAAATAACGACCGTAGCAACTAATATTACAATAGTTTCAAATTCATCAAAAGCATTCTCCTCTGCTTCATCAGAATATTTTAATCGTTTTATTTTGGAAATTCATAAATCGGACGGAATTCATGATTTAGGAATTATTAAATGGGAGATGGCAGCGTGTTTACTTATTGTTTATTTGATTTGCTACTTTTCACTTTGGAAAGGAATTAGTACAAGTGGTAAAGTTGTCTGGTTTACTGCCCTGTTTCCTTATGTAGTATTATTAGCATTGTTGATTCGCGGAATCACTCTTCCTGGTAGTGCTGAAGGTTGGTACATAAAATTTATTAAAATTTTAAAAATTATAAAAAATATAAATTGTTTCATTTAGGAATTTCCTACTATCTAAGACCTGATTTTGATGTGATTTTTAAGCCAGCAGTTTGGGTTGATGGTAAGTCAAAATATGGTGACAACAAGGCGTGGAAGCTCAGGATTAATCCTGAAAAATTCCAAAAATCCTTAAAAACTCGCTGAGCCGATAACCATGGAAATGTGAAATCCCTTTTAAATCCCGTAATTTTTCATCGAATCCATCAAGGATTTAAAAAAGATTTTTCATTTTCATGTCTATTGGCTCAGGAATATTTGAGTGACATTAATATCAAAATGATTGTTCATACTCAAATAAAGCTGTGATATATTTTAATTAATAATAATGATTCTTGTGAAAAGGCACACTAGTGTGGCGCGAAAACATTTCGAAAAATTCCACGAACAGTATGCCGTGTGTAGTTTCGATCATGGCTTACCACTAAAGTGTATTATGAAGAAATTTTTGAAAGTTTTATGCTTTCAGGCATCATTTTTTTGTCAGATTTGAAATGCTGATAAAAAGATGATGTGTTTTGATATAAAATATTATAGGATTCCTAAGATGGTCACCAGATTCAACAATAATATTAATTTTTGTAACAACATTTTTTTTTTCTTTTTTATCACAAAGCTGCAACACAAGTTTTCTTTTCTTTGGGTCCTGGATTTGGAGTTTTACTAGCGTATGCTTCATATAATAAATACCACAATAATGTTTACAAGTATGAAAAATACTTCCATATATTCTGAATTGTTTTTCTACAATCATATATTAAATACTTTCAGGGATGCACTTCTCACAAGTTTTATCAATTCAGCCACTTCTTTCGTTTCCGGTTTTGTGATTTTTTCCGTTTTGGGATATATGGCTTACACTTCAGGACAAAAAATATCAGACGTAGCTACAGAGGGTAAGTTTAGCTTGTCACTTTAAAATTAAAATAAGTTAAGTTGATTTGGGGAATTAAGGTTTAACTAAGAAGCTATAATACACGTAAAATGAGCTGCTTAGGTCAAAACTCAACTGGGGCAAAGATCAAAAAATCTTTAATTTTTTTATATTCACACCGTTTTCACGTGTGAATCTATTGGTTTTGTTCAGATTGAAAAATCAGTTTTTAGAATTTTGTGAGGATATGGAGCAAGATAGCTTAAAATGTTCAGAGATGAAAAGTTTGTGCCTTGAATTTCACATCTTTTGCAAAAAACAGATTTCAAATTGGTTGCGGCATTGCTGAGAAAATCGCAAAATATGCTTTCTGTAAGCAAGCAAACAAGCAAACAAGCAAACAAGCAAGTTAATCAGCAAGAAATCTCAATAACGAGACATCGTAGAGACTTCTAGTTTTTTACATTTGATCCGTGCTGCTCTATAGAAGAGCTGTATTGTTTTTGGGCAAGGAAGGAACAGCCGTTGCTTCAGAAAAAGCAAAAAACTTTCCTTTCTTACGAATTTTTCAAATTAAAAGTTCACTGCGATTTTTTTTTAAATTAAACTTTGGATGAAAAAAAATTTTTTGAGCAAAGAACCAAGAAGGAAATACATTTTCAATTTTGGACTAGGGGCTAAAGTTTGTGGAAAACAGCTGTTTTTGAAAAACAGTCTGTTTTCGGTTTTTGATTTTTAAAAACAACTGTTTTCCTGTTTTTCTAGAATTCAAAGTAAACTGAGTTATCCTAAGTGTTTCTCTAAAATAATGAAACTTTTTGGTGGTTATAAGCAGTTAAGCATACATTTTAGAGCTAAGCATTTTTATTTCTTATTTTTTTATGTTAATTAACTCTAAAAAATATAATGAAATATAAAAATGCAAAAAAAAAATCCGAAATAATTTATACCTTTAAGTAACATTGCATTGTTGCATTGTAAAAGTTCCATGAGCTCTAATATTTTAATTGAAATATTCAAAAAATCTTTCTGAATAAAAAAATATCTTGTAAAATTGTTGATTATATATTTAAACTTTAGTAAATGCTACAAAAGGTTCAAAAAATTTAAAATTTCGATTGCAAAATTAATAATGATTACCCATAAATTTAAAAAGGATTTCAAACCTATTAAACATCCAAAAAATATTAAAATAGTAAATACATTTCAATTTGAAATGCTAGAAAAATATATTAAGTTCTTCAAAAAATTAATAAATTTTTTTTTCTGTAAATTTTATGTAAAAATGAAAGAAAGAAAACAGATCTGTTTTTGAGACCTGTTTTCTGTTAACAGATTTTTGTCGAAAAACAGCTGTTTTTCTGTTTTCTGTTAACAGATTCCCCAAACCCTACAAAGGGCGACCCTAGTCAAAATCAATTTTGTCACTTTTTTCTTCGAGGGTTTTTCCAAATGAATTAAAACTTTGCTTAAAAATTCTAGTGCTTAAAACAAATACAAATAAAACATCCTAAAATTTTTTTTGAGCAAAGAACTAAGTAGGAAATACATTTTCAATTTTGGACTAGGGGCGACCCTAGTCAAAATCAATTTTGTCACTTTTTTCTTCGAGGGTTTATCCAAATGGATTGAAACTTTGCTTAAATATTCTAGTGCTTAAAACAAATACAAATAAAACATCCTAAAATTTTTTTGAGCAAAGAACCAAGTAGGAAATACATTTTCAATTTTGGACTAGGGGCGACCCTAGTCAAAATCAATTTTGTCACTTTTTTCTTCGAGGGTTTATCCAAATGAATTGAAACTTTGCTTAAAAATTCTAGTGCTTAAAACAAATACAAATAAAACATCCTAAAATTTTTTTGAGCAAAGAACCAAGTAGGAAACACATTTTCAATTTTGGACTAGGGGCGACCCAAGTCAAAATCAATTTTGTCAATTTTTTCTTCGAGGGTTTATCCAAATGAATTGAAACTTTGCTTAAAAATTTTAATGCTTAAAACAAATACAAATAAAACATCCTAAAATTTTTTTGAGCAAAGAACCAAGTAGGAAATACATTTTCAATTTTGGACTAGCGGCGATCCTAGTCAAAATCAATTTTGTCAATTTTTTACTTCGAGGGTTCATCCAAATGGATTGAAACTTTGTTTAAATATTCTAGTGCTTAAAACAAATACAAATAAAACATCCTAAAATTTTTTTGAGAAAAGAACCAAGTAGGAAATACATTTTCAATTTTGGACTAGGGGCGACCCTAGTCAAAATCAATTTTGTCACTTTTTTCTTCGAGGGTTTATCCAAATGAATTGAAACTTTGCTTAAAAATTTTAATGCTTAAAACAAATACAAATAAAACATCCTAAAATTTTTTTGAGCAAAGAACCAAGTAGGAAACACATTTTCAATTTTGGACTAGGGGCGACCCAAGTCAAAATCAATTTTGTCAATTTTTTCTTCGAGGGTTTATCCAAATGAATTGAAACTTTGCTTAAAAATTTTAATGCTTAAGACAAATACAAATAAAACATCCTAAAATTTTTTTGAGCAAAGAACCAAGTAGGAATCACATTTTCAATTTTGGACTAGGGGCGACCATAGTCAAAATCAATTTTGTCACTTTTTTCTTCGAGGGTTTATCCAAATGAATTGAAACTTTGCTTAAATATTCAATTGCTTAAAACAAATACAAATAAAACAGGGGCGACCCTAGTCAAAATCTAGTTTTTCACTTTTTTCTTCGAAGGTTTATCCAATTACAGTGAAACTTTGTGTGAGTATTATATTTATACAGAACAGTTTTAAATATCTAAAGCAAGAAATGTATTCTATATGTCGTCAGACCCAAATTTTATAAATTTGGTTCTACATATAAAAACAACGTGACTTAAAATTTTTCCAAAAAAATGATTTTTATTAATTCAGAAATGTGTGACCTGAGGATTAGAATGCTTATACAAAGTTTTACTGTATTTGGATTTATCCTCGAAGGGAAAGAAGTGAAAAACGAGATTTTGACTAGACCTGTCCCAAGTTCATAATTAAAAATGTATTTCTACTTATGCTGAGCAAATCTTGGTCTATCCATAAGACTTTTGATGGTACGGTGTGAATATATTTTTTATTTTAATTTGATAAATGGAATTATTTTCAGGGTATAAGAGCCCCTTTTGTCTAATATTTTTTTAAAGACACTGAAGATTACACTTAAATGTAGGGGTTCTAGGATCAGGATTATTCCAAAGAATCCGGGAATCTTTCTCCCGTCCCAGTTTCCCGAAACTCCTGTTTCATCAGAAATAATTTTTTAAAATTTTTCTATTGAAATTTTAATTTATTTTAGCTTTTAATGATATAATTGTGCATTTTAAAGTCAAAACAAACAGTTTTGGTTCCAATTTTGAACCTTTTTGTATGCCTTAAATTCCCGGGAACATTCTCGTTCCCGACCCTCGTGCCCGATTCCCAAAATTACATGGAAACGGGAATTCTAGAAACCCTACTTGAATGAAGTAGTGTGCTTAAATTTGATTTGCTCTGAATAATTTAACCAACAGTTTAGAACTGATAAAATAATCATCAAATAACTTTTAACCATTATCACTTACACAATATCCTTAAAAGTTAATTTTAACAATATTGTATAACTTATAACTTATTTTTTCTTTAATTTCTCATGATGATATTGACTCTTCTAGGCCCAGGGTAAGTTATAAAAAAATAAAAAATAATTTGAATAAAAAACTTATTCCATAATTTCTTCTTCTCTTTATATTAATTGGTTATATAGACTAGTTTTTGATGGTAAATATTAATCTCATTTTTCTCAAATAAATTTGCAATTTAATTTAAATATTAATTTTGTATTTTAATTTCTCAGTTTATCCAGCTGCAATTGCAACGATGCCAGGATCTGTATTTTGGGCATTAATATTTTTCATGATGTTACTTACTTTAGGATTAGACTCCTCATTTGGAGGTTCAGAAGCAATAATTACAGCATTAAGTGATGAATTTCCAATTATCAAAAGAAATCGAGAAATATTTGTTGCATGCCTTTTTTCGGTTTATTTTTTCGTTGGTCTTGCATCTTGTACGCAGGGAGGATTTTATTTCTTTCAACTTTTGGATAAATATGCTGCCGGATATTCCATCTTAATTGCTGTTCTGTTTGAAGCACTTGCTGTCAGTTGGATTTATGGCACCAAAAGATTTTGTGCAGATATTAAAGACATGATTGGTTTTTATCCTGGAAGATATTGGATATATTGTTGGAAGTTTGCAGCACCTCTGTTTTTAATATTTATTATTGTTTTTGGATTAATCAATTATGAGCCATTGTCTCACGGAGATTATGTTTATCCACTATGGGCAAATACTCTTGGATGGTGTATTGCAATTTCATCTATGGGTATGATTCCGGGTGTTGCTGTGTATAAAATTATTATAACAAAAGGAAGCTTCTTAGAAAGGATACGAATTTTAACGACTCCTGTTAAAGATCAAGCTCTACAAAATATTAATGGAGTAACTTCAGAACAAATTCGAACGAGATTAACAACAAATACTGAAGGGGAAGATGTTTGAATTTATGCAAGTTTTAGTATTTATTATGTCTAAGATAAACTTTTTTTTAACTTTTAACTTATTATGTGCTCAAATGATCATTGTATGGACAATACAAAATTTTAAGAATGTTACAAATATATAAAAAAAAACATTTGTTACAAAAAAAAAGCTATTTGAGTGATTCAAAGATTTTTAGAAGAAAAAAAATTGTAATAACAAGGAACCACAAAACTATGCTGTAAAGATAATAGAACTTAAACATTATTCTCATATTCAATCTATTATATCTGATTTTTCAATGAAAGAAAAATATAATAATGTTAACGTTTTATTTAGATTTTAAGTAGCTAAAGTAAGAAACAGATGCAAAAAATTTATTATATAAAGGAGTAACATGTTAACTAAAAGAGTAGACCAACTTATTAAGAATCAATGATTCAAATTTTTGATATTAAATATTTAATTGTTAAAAAAACAATTAATGTGATTGTTTTATGAGAAAAGTTTTTAAATTGGGGGTTTAATAATTATTATCAAAAAATGAAGATTTTTAAAAAAAAAACTTTTAAAGATAAATCCGTATTAAGCATGTATGTGGAAGAAATATGAAAAAAAAATATTTTGTAAAAGACGATTGAAAAGTTGAATTTAAATTTTTGTCATCTTTACATAAAAATAAATTAATTTATGTAAACTCAGCCATATGACTTAAATTTAAATTCATTATGAATAAATTAGTATGGAATTATGAATATATTTTTCCACACAGCCATTGGAAAAGTATGTTCACAAAAATAAATCTAGTTCCAAATCATTTTTACAACAGTGATGCAGGTTTAAATTAAACGAACATTTAACCAACTTATTAATTATTTAAATTTATTGTTTTGAGTATTTTTCCTCAATGGAATTTATCACAAACGATATTAATTTTATTATTTTTTTAAGTTATTAGAAAAAATGGGTAAAATTTGAATATTTCTATATTAATAGATGAAAAATATAATTTCCATGTTTCAATTCAACTTTGTTTCTTCATTCCTTGGTTAAATAAAACACAAAAGAAAATAAAAATTGTTTTTCAATGAATTACATTTTTAAAAGATTCTAACGATGACTTTCCGCTGCAACAATCGATCCCTAGACAAAAATCTTGATTCCTCTTAATTTGAGAATTTATACTGCTGATGTTCAACTTTCAGCTTTTAGACGTTTTCTGTAATTGCCAGTAAATAATTAAAAATTATTTTAATATACGATTAATCGGAAAATTAGTTAAAATAGAGATTTCTTGGAAACAAAAAAAAACATTATTAGATCAATGAACCAATATTTGATTGAATTGGATTCGCCTTTGCCCAAGAAATTCTAATCATTAATCATCTTGTTTCAAAACTTTTTACTACGTTTTTCTTAACTTGCTTTCTTATCTGTTTGATTGATTGATTGATTGATTGTCCGCAAAATTTCGTACTTTTGTAATCGATTTTTCGACCACTTCTACTGCTCCAATCGAGCTTAAATTTTTAATGCACACGTATTCCCGGTGACAATACAATATTTTAACACTTTGGAAACACAAAAATGCTTAATTATAGTACAATTTATGTAAAACTTTTTTATATGGGAAAAAATCCGATGTCAATGATATGAAATTTTGATTTGTTTAAAATATTATACTTGAAATGCTCAAAAGTCATTTATATGATTCATTATAGTTTAAATTATATTACTAATTATTAATTATACCATAAATTTGAGCAGCTAAAGATATTCTGGTAAGACAAAAAAATTGACATGTAATTTTTTCATGAATATTCGTAAGTGAAAATTTGAATTTTCAAAAAAACCGTTAAGCAATAAATACGTTACGAATTAATGCAAAATAACTATATATATGAGATATGCATTTACCACACATAGTTTGAGCATAAATTTATGCTGTTTTAAATGTATTGCATTATTTATAACACTTCACCAACTTAATTAAATTGACTTTTCATTTTATTAACGGCTTGACGTATTTTTGCATAACATATAAATGATATTCATTGAATTTAAATTTGAAAATCCGTTATAAATACGTTACATATGTGATGTAATTTGCATCTTTATGTTAAGAATCCACACGTTATGAAGAAGAAATGGTACAGATAAACACAAAATCTTTACGAGTGATTTTTAATGTACTTCACTGATGAATGCTTTAAAAAAATTAAATTTTATAAAACGAATGAAAAAATTTTGAAAGTCGTTACTAATTTCCCATTGAAAACTGGTAATTTATAAACAGTTGAACGTAACGAAGTGCAACGAAGTGAAGTTCAACACACCTGTAACCTATAAACCTACTGTAATCTATAAACAGTTGAACGTAACGAAGTGCAACGAAGTGAAGTTCAACACACCTGTAACCTATGAACCTACTGTAATCTATAAACAGTTGAACGTAACGAAGTGCAACGAAGTGAAGTTCAACACACCTGTAACCTATGAACCTACTGTAATCTATAAACAGTTGAACGTAACGAAGTGGAGTTCAACACACCTGTAACCTATGAACCTACTGTAATCTATAAACAGTTGAACGTAACGAAGTGCAACGAAGTGAAGTTCAACACACCTGTAACCTATGAACCTACTGTAATCTATAAACAGTTGAACGTAACGAAGTGCAACGAAGTGGAGTTCAACACACCTGTAACCTATGAACCTACTGTAATCTATAAACAGTTGAACGTAACGAAGTGCAACGAAGTGAAGTTCAACACACCTGTAACCTATGAACCTACTGTAATCTATAAACAGTTGAACGTAACGAAGTGCAAAGAAGTGAAGTTCAACACACCTGAAACCTATAAACCTACTGTAATCTATAAACAGTTGAACGTAACGAAGTGCAACGAAGTGAAGTTCAACACACCTGTAACCTATAAACCTACTGTAATCTATAAACAGTTGAACGTAACGAAGTGCAACGAAGTGAAGTTCAACACACCTGTAACCTATGAACCTACTGTAATCTATAAACAGTTGAACGTAACGAAGTGCAACGAAGTGAAGTTCAACACACCTGTAACCTATGAACCTACTGTAATCTATAAACAGTTGAACGTAACGAAGTGCAACGAAGTGAAGTTCAACACACCCGTAACCTATGAACCTACTGTAATCTATAAACAGTTGAACGTAACGAAGTGCAACGAAGTGAAGTTCAACACACCTGTAACCTATGAACCTACTGTAATCTATAAACAGTTGAACGCAACGAAGTGCAACGAAGTGAAGTTCAACACACCTGTAACCTATAAACCTACTGTAATCTATAAACAGTTGAACGTAACGAAGTGCAACGAAGTGAAGTTCAACACACCTGTAACCTATAAACCTACTGTAATCTATAAACAGTTGAACGTAACGAAGTGCAACGAAGTGAAGTTCAACACACCTGTAACTTATAAACCCCCTATAATCTTTATTTCTCTGTATCATTAGAATAAGACTAAAAAGTAGAAAATAAAATACTTTATAAAAAAAAACTTTTTAAAAAACTACGTTTTTCGCGTAGACTAAAAAGTAGAAAATAACTTTTATTCTTGGTTGTAAAGAATTTGGTTTTAAATTTTCAGATTATATTTAATAAATTTTTATATCCTAGTCAATATTGTTCACAAAGTTTCGAATAAGTGCACTTTGATCTTATCGTATAACTCAACAACTTAAAAACGTGGGCGCATTAATTTAAGTTTATCATAAAGTATTGATTTCACATAAACTTATTTCTCCCCTTAAAATGCGCCCACGTTTTTAAGTTGTTGAGTTATACGATAAGATCAAAGTGCACTTATTCGAAACTTTGTGAACAATATTGACTAGGATATAAAAATTTATTAAATATAATCTGAAAATTTAAAACCAAATTCTTTACAACCAAGAATAAAAGTTATTTTCTACTTTTTAGTCTACGCGAAAAACGTAGTTTTTTTAAAAAGTTTTTTTTAACCACTTACTTACTCTTGCTTACTGTATCAATGGATATAACGAGAAGGTATGCACTTGACATTTGGTCAGCTTCGGAGTAAAAATTCAGCTTTCCCAATCCCGCACAATTTTATTAACAACAATCCTCGACAATTTTTTTTAAAGATTTTGGCCCAGCAGAAAAAAATACAAATTCTTGGGTTACCCAAAATCCTCTCAAAAAACCCAAACACCCGAATATTTTGGATTTGTACTTGACGTCCCTAAAAACTAGTAATGCAACCGAACACGCTTCATGGGAATATTCACACCATTTATTTATTTATTTAAAAACTTTAATGTCAAAGGGTACAAAAGTGTGTATCAAAGCTCCACTCCACTCCGTTCCATTGCACATTGCTTGGCTCCGCTCCATTCCACTTCGTTCCGTTCCGCACAGCTCATCCACTCCCCTTTCTATAGCTAAGACTCCCATCAAAAGTTTCCTTTCACAGACATTGAAAGCATCTCAATCGATCTCCATTTACACATTATACGAGAAATTTGGCAACTTATATGTTATAAAGCGTAAGTCAAACATGGAAGATCGTGGCTTTCTACGTAAGTCGTGTTTTTTTTAATAAAAATTTCAATGATTTTTTAGAATTAGAATTTATTGAAGAAATGTTAAAATTAAAGAGGTAAAATAAAAATTCGGTATGTAACATTGGATCAAAACAAAACATCACTAATTTTAGTATAAAGTAAAGGTTTGACAGTTCGAAAGTAGCCAGTCAATAGAATTAACCTGATCTCTCTACGACATCTTCCTACGGAGATCTCAACTTCCAGCTGAACAGCTGAACATTGATAAGCTTCTTTTTTGAGGAAACGTTTTGAAAAATGCGTTAAAAATGCCATTTCAACCGGATAAAGACGACCCAGTATCGTATAAAATCTCAGCCAGCCTAGTTCTCTGCTTGACGTTACACATACATTTTTTAAAATTAGAAACTTATCAGCATTACTATCACATAAAATTCTATATTTTTGACAATGTTGAGCATGAAATTTAATCAAATGTTACAAAAATTCACGTTTATTGAGCCTACAATGAAGACTGCACGAACGCTTTTGATTATATGAAAAAAAATTTATCTCATATTTCAATTTTAAAACAATGAGAATTGTATTTTTAGCTTTCTTTATAGCACTTCGGCAAGGAAGTTTCATTTTTCTCGGTTTCCTTACACGCGCAAAGTGAGAACTTTTGGAATTGGTTTTTTTGGTAGTCAGCAATATTGTTCTGTTCATTCATTAAATTTTGCAACTTTTAATTCATGAATGGAAAAAATAATCGCTGAAAATATGTTGTCAAAAAATAATTATAGAACCTTCAACAGGTCCTTCTCCTCCACCTCATCCTAAAGATGACCAAATTCTTCTCATAACATTCTTAGACCTTATAAAGTTCAATGAATTTTTGTTTATCCGCCACACCACTTCAAGTAGCAACGACAGTTATTGTAATCTGACTCCTTATTTTGACTTAAAACAAGGCACAATCACACTCATAAAGCAAATAATGAGAAAAACTTTCATTTGTATTTGTTTTCAATTGAGAAACTTATTTATACTCAACCTGTTCATTCACTTGGTAAAAGTCAAAGAGTTAGCATTATTAAGCATAGATATTAATAATAAAATTAAAACAAATGAAAGTGGAAGTTATTTACGAATTAAATAAGGAGTCAAAGGCAAGAAAAATGTCACCAACAGCTGTTATTTTTATGATGGTTGTGATGCTGATTGTTGCTGCTGGTGTCTATGTTGCTGTTGATGCTGCTCGACCGCAATCAATTGAAGCAGCTCGAGCTGAAGAATTTCGACAAGTTTTACGACGATTCTATTTTAACAAAAAGGGAATTGAAATTCCAATGAAATTTGTGAGCGGAACCGAAGTAGTTAAAGAAACAGTTTTTTATGCATCAATTTTTGTCAAATTTCCGATTGATTTAATCGATAATAAGATTTTTGTTGGACGTATTATTGGCTTAATTTCTTTTGAAATTGAAGATGCTTTTGATCGATCATCAAATGGAAATAAAACTGTTAAAGTCGAGTTTAATCAGCCAGCACGAAAAGCATTTGAAGACATCCTAGAAGTTGTGTATTTGGTGGAATTTTCCGAAGGAAATTCAAATTTCACTGACTTTGTGTTGCCGATTATGAATCAATTTGATCGTAGTGCTGAGTTTTATTATGATTTATTAAATCAATTTAAACAGTTTGGAAACTTTACTGAAAATATTTATGAAGATAATGAGAAGTACGAAATTGTGGACGAGTCGAAAGAAGAAGAATACGAGGAACAAGAACAACTTCAAATTAATCCCAAAGTTAGTTTAATTGAAATGTTGAAAAATTAATTTTTTTGTGTTTAAAAAATTTCAAAAACTTCAGTTTTATTAAAGTTTTGTGAGTTTTTACATTTTTTCAAGTTTCAAGTCAAGTTTTTTTTACCAAAAATTAAATTTAAAAAATATTGAAAAACACTTTTAAATAAAATAAAAAAAAAATCTAAGATTTTAAAACAGTACCAACAATAATTTTAACCTTTTTTCAGATTCTGAATGTTTTTTTCTCTTCATTTTTAACATCTTTAAAGTATTTTTTATTGAAAAAGTTTAATTAAAATTTAAAGAAATAGTCGAGACAGAAGCAATTAAAAACCAAAATATTTATGATCTAATTTTGAATATTTTTTAAGGTTACAATTTTTTTATTTAAATTTTATTTTATTACAATGAAATTAATATATTTTAAAATTTGGAACTAAAATTCCAAAAATCATAAAAATACCCTAAAAACGTTTTGAAAATTCTCTTTTTTAAAATTTTTTTTTTTGAAAATTCTCTTTTTTAAATTTGTATGATATTTATAAAATGTCAATTGCCCGGCATTAAGGAACATAGCTTGAAAATTATTTCTATCACTTTTACAAGAAAAAGTTTTACTATCGCACATGTGATTCTATATGATCGTTGTTTTCAACATCGTTTCATTTTTTTCTATTTAGGAACATGATGAATATTATTTGTGACATCTTAACTTAATTTTAAATTTTATTCTTATTTCAAATTATTTAATTTTTATAATTTTGAATTAAAGTTTATTATAAAAAAAATTAGTGTTTTGAATTTTGCCACGATCACGTCATCTGCCCGGGTAGCTCAGTTGGTAGAGCGTTGGACTTTTAATCCAACGGTCCAGGGTTCAAGTCCCTGCTCGGGCGAACGCTTTTTTGCTATTTTGATAAATTTATAAAATTAATTATCAATGTTTTAAGGTTCCTAAAACTATTCTACATATTACACGACATTTGAGCCATTAGCAGACACAAATGTGCTCTCTGGTCCACACTGTTCATCAATTTTGTCCTGAACATCTTCAATTAATTTCCCACAAGACTTACAAAACTGCAAATCAATACAAACATTTTCTCGCAAATCCAGAAGTTCTAAATTTGGTAAGGCTTTGAAATTGACTTCAATTCTTTTAATTTTACTGTATCCCATCCAAGCTTTAACAATTTTTTTGTTATTTTTAAAGAATCTAATTGGAATCGCTTCAATAGGATTTGTATATGACCAAATTTCTTTAAGATTAATCAAATTCCAGATGAGCTTTTGCGGCAAAATTTTGATTTTATTATTAACAAATGCGAGAATTTCCAAGTTTCTCAAATCATCAAACACGTCTTCATCAAAATGTTCAATTTCATTTCCATAGAAATTTAAATTTTTAAGCTTTGGCATTTTTGAAAGCTTCGCTCGTTCGATGAATTTCAGACCGCACAAAACGATATAAAATTCAGTCAAATTTGTGAATTTTTCAGTCACGATGGTCATGTCAGGAATAAATGTCACTTTTGCTTGTTTAATGATGACTGTGTTGACATCATTAAAAGTCTTTCCATTCGTTGGCATGCCATCAATTGATGAGATTTTAACGTTTGACTCGAGAGATTTTAGAGTAAATGGACTGAAGCATTCAAAGCGTCTGAAATGAAAAGGAATCTTTTTTAATAATCAACAGATTTGTAAATAAAAGGGGTTTAAAAGGTGATATAAAAAGAGATAATTCTTAAAATTCCCCTTAAGACCCCCTTCCCCCCCCCCTTGTGACATCCAATAAAAGTTTTCGTCACAAAAGAAAAATTATTTTCTTATTTCAAAATTGGATGTCTCAAATTTCCTGACCCCCCCCCCCCTTAATAATAATAGTAATGTGTAAAGGGTCCAGCCTTTCAGCTGGAGGCAATGCGATTCAAATAAGAACAGAATCTTTTATTCCATACCCTTTAGACCAGGGGCGTAGCCAAGGGGGGGGCATAGGGGGCCCGGGCCCCCCTACGAAAATCTGATAATTGTTTTATTAAGTATTTATAGAGAAGAACCAGTTAATGTAGAGGAAATGATGAAGGAAATTTCAAAATCAGCACGAAAAATTAAATTTAATGTATGAATAATGAATTCAATATTTAAACTTATGAAGAATGAATATAGATTAAAGGATACAAAATAACGGTTTTTTAATTTTCGAAAATGGGCCCCCCCCTTAAAAATTTTCTGGCTACGCCCCTGGTTTAGACCTACAGTTAATAGTGGGATCCGAACCACCCCCCCCCCCTTTTCCTGTTACAAAATCCTAAACCACCCCCTCCCTAAAATCTCGAACGTCATATGCAAACGACTCCTTACTCATATTCAATGTTTTCCTCATATTCGCACTTTAGCGGCTCCAGCTTCCATTCAGAAATTCTATTTCCTGTTATTTCTCTATTCACCCAGCTCATAAATTTCGGTACATTTGTGAATAAAACAAACTCATTTTCATGGCATTCACGGTAAACTGAAGATGATATTATTCCTACGATGAAGTATGAACCACCAAGTTTGACATGAAATCCACCACCGGAATCGCCTGTTTATTTACGATAATACAAAAAGGGCAACATATTGATATCAATTGCTCATTATTAGGTCAATAGGATTCAACAAATCTCTCACCTCGACATGGATTCTTCCCAATACTTCCAGCACAAAACATCCTCTTGCTTGAAATCCTCGCAATTACATCTCTTCCTATCAAACAATCTTCCTGTGTTATTGAACTTATTCTTACAAATTTAGGCTTCATCTCATGAGCTTCAGCAGTATCATCAGACAGTCCATATCCAACGACAGTTCCATCAACTTCAAATACATTCATATTTGATGAAGGCAAACAAACCGGTTGGATGTAATTTGTAAAAACTAATTTATTTACGAGTCTTAAAATTGCAATGTCTCCATCATAAGTTTCTTTTTGCGAACTCCAGTCTGAATGGATTATAATGTTGCTAATTTGAGCTCTGACTATTCCTCTTTCATCTGTTTTATTGAGATCATGAATGCCGAGGAGCGAATATACTCTATTTGGTGCTAGAGTCGATGAGTCGCCTTTGTTCTTGAAACAATGTGAAGCTTAAATGAATTTTTGAAAATAAAATCAATTTTGGAAATAATAATAAGAAAAAATAGATTTTGATAATATTTGAAGATTTAGAATCTTTTATTTATAAAACTAGGAAACATTGCTCTGATATAATTTCATTAAATGTTATAATGCACAAAAATAAATGTCAACAATTTTTTATTTTCGTTATAAAATCTGAATTTTTGGTGAAAAAAGCGACTTTTTGACAAATTTTTTGACAAATTCTTTTAAATGTTATCAGCAGGCGTTTAGCCAGGAGGGTCTTGGTTCCCTTAAACGTTTTGAACCACAGTGAGAGCACAGCCTAAAACACTTAAGAGATGACAATACCCTCCTGGCTCCGCGCCTGGTTATCGCACTTTTCACTTAAAATTCTCATTATTTCTCATCTCCTTTTTTACTTAACAGTCTTTTTTTGTTTCTTATCCTTTTTTTCTTTAATTTCAAATTTACGAACAAGAAGAGGAACTCTCATATGATGCGGCATCAATGTGAACAAAATTCCTTCACATCCTTTCCTCATCCAACTGAATTTTTCAGGCAAATTTGACCATTGACCTTTATGGAAGAATTTTGCGGTGCTTTCATTTGACTGCAATTGTTTGAAATATTTCTGAGCGTAATTATCCTTTTTTTGTGGTATGTTTGTAGTTTGAGCGAATCCAATGGACGTTAATGCCTTGCCAATATCGATTGGTTTCTTGAGTGGATCCTCAATTAAGAACACTTGTGCTTCAGCATTACTACCAGAGTTTGAAAATGGGATGAAGGTTACTTCTTTGTCCTTGACAACAGCTTCAAGCCATCCGTAGCCGAGATTACCAACGTTAATGCCGGAAATCTAAAAGTTGATTGAATTATAAAATTATTATTATTTGGGTTCAGGTAGCTGATTAGACCTTGAATAAATCAAGTTGAGTATCACATCAAGTAACAGAAATTTACAAACCTTAATGGGAAGCGATTGGTCGGATCTAAATGGCAATCCAATTGGTGGTTTATGATTAACCATCAATAGTGGTCCACTATTTTGAGTTGGCTGAATCTTAGTCACAAAACCTCTTTGGACAATTTTTTCGGTAATAAAATGATTCGGAATATCGGAAGCTCTGACAAATTTTTTCAGTGGTCGTTTTCGATAGCAAGCATAAATCAATAAACCAGCACTAACACTGTAAAAGCCGAACTAAAATAGAGATGATCAATATTATTATTTTGATGAGATAATTTTCTCAGTGAGAAAAAGAAAAAAAAAATTGGTAAATAAAAAATAATTCCTTACCTGCGTCATTCGATTATTTTCCTCGATTTTCTTGACCATGTCGTCAATGTTATTACGAATTCTTGTCAACATAATCACAACTTTATAGTTAAATATTTAAATTTAACAAAATAAAACTTTATAAAAATAATAAATAAATAAAATTTTGAATTAAGTAAGTTTGTGAGGTATTTTAGAAGAGCGACAAAAACAATAATAAGAAGTTGAAGTGCGAAGGGGGAATGAAGCTGTGTTGCTTGTAAAGTTTCGCACTGAATATTGTGCTTACTGAACACTTTTGAAACTTTTTTTTAAACGTCAATATTAAAATTAATTTTAAAGATGAAAAAATAAATTTAACGGATGAAAGTTTATCGCAAATATTAAACTTTGAGCTAATTGTCAAAAAAACTTGAAACTATCTTTTGGTTTGTAAGTCACAAGGAACTCTATAAATTGGTTTTTACACTCATGAATCAGGGAATTTCCGATTTAAAATAATTTAACATAATTCCAAGAATTGCTTAAGTTAAAAATTTTACAATTAAAAATCAAGTTTGTAAGGTTAATGACTTGATTTTAAAACTAATCAAGACTTATTTTGTTAAAAATTACACAAATAAAATCCTTACTTACCACTTAGCAAATGCTGTTTACTAATAATCGTTGAGCCACAGAAGAATTTGTCGTCATTGTGATAAAACAGAGGAGCCATCCACGGCCACTGACCTTTAGTTGCATATTCACTACCAATTGAAAATGCAGTGCCGACTTTTGTTCGTCCACACTCTTCAGCTCCAACACAAGTTATAAAAAAAATAGCAAACAAAGATTTCATTTTATTTCACTAAAGCAGCTGATGCTGTTTACATCCGATTAGTCTTAAATTCACAACAAAATTGATTTGATGCAACAGAGTAAGCTAAAAAAATCAAGAGAATCGGAGATAATCAGAAAGAGAATTCAGAAAAATTAGAGATGTAAAAAATTTAAGAGACTGTAAAATGTGCTTGCAGCAAAAATGTTTTTATTTTAATTTAAATTATAAATATAAATTTGATTACAAATCTTTAGTTTTTCAAGTTTTCTTTGATAAATAGTAGGCAACAAATCAGCCTCTTAATAATCCTTTATACTATTTTATGTCTAATTTTCAAGGCAAAAGCTTTTCGATGAACAATTTGAGCTAAGCATTATTAATCTTTGTGAAAATTAATATAAAAAATTACAGAAGTCCTCGTGTTATTGATCGAGGGACTTCAGCGGATTTTTGACCCAGCGATCAGTATTTGACAAGCATCAAAATGCGAATCAATAAATTTTTTTTTGTCCTTTGACGGTTTTAAAATTCAAATTTTATGACGGTTTTATACATTTGCAATTATCTCGCTATTTTTATATTATTTAGGTGCGATAATTTAATTAGCGATTCTTTTTGAACCAAACAAATTAATTTTCACAACAAAAAACTCTTAAATTCAACAGGATTTGTCATTTAACCATTTTCTTGAATTCAAAAGAGTTTTTCATTTAACGGTTTTTTGAGATTCAAATATTTTAACGGTAGAAATAAATTTGAATTTCTAAACAAACCCTGAAAAATTTTTAAAGCGGTAAATTCAAATTTCTAAACGTACTCATCACGTAGTTTTGTTTATGAAATAAAAAATCATTAATTACAGCATATATAAATGGTTTGAAAAACTTTAACCATTCGAAGGTCCAATAAATCAATAGTAACGGAGCTAATAAAACAAACCCGAGGTTTCTACGATGTCTCGTTAAAAAGTTTTACTCTACCCGAGCAGACAATCAAAGTGCATTATTAAGCTACTTTTTAGTATCTATAAAAATATTTAAAATTTGGATAATGAATCAAACATTTCCAAATAGACTTTAAGATTTCCTCTAGAATCTTCAAAATCAGTAAATAATTCAAAAACATTTAAATTTGTAGGTTCAACCTCCCTTAAGAAAAACTCCTTCAAATATTTTTCATGTCCATGAAAAATTTTCAGCATATACTTAGCATACACACTAGTATCAGCTCTAGAAACAATTAGAGTCAGCAGTAAATCACTTGAGTGTGAAAGATGAATTTCCTGCATTTCAGTCACATTGAAATAAGATTCATAAATTTTTAAAATACTTTGAAATGAGTCTTCTTCCCAGTCTTGCATTAAAGGATTATAGAGAAAGCCAATTGGAAAACATGCAAGATCAATTACACAAAAACGTGTTTTCTTTAGGAGCATTTTCTGCATATTAATTGTTGTGTGTTTGACAAATAACATCCATAACATTTTAAAGTAAAAACCACCTTTGTAGATCATTATTGGAAATAAGTAAGTGTCATAAATTTCGTAGATTTCATGTGCAGAATAAATATCAACAATTTTGTTTAATAATGGCAAAAAGCGGATGTTTATATTTTCTACATAGACAATTTTAGTAAAAACATTAAGCAGGAGATCTTTTTGTTCCGATTTGTTGTATTTTTGGTCAGTAAATTTTAAAAATACTGTAATTAAGTCAACCTTTTTTCGATTTTTTAGTTCCTCAAACATTATTCCTGATTTAATTAATTCATTAAATTCATCTTTTGTTAAATTATTTGCAATAGATTCAAAAACATAAGCTGGATCGTCATTAAGCTTTAAATGGTCATCAAGTTTATAGAAATCATGAACAACATTGTCATCACTGAATTTCCCCGATTTTTCATAGCAATATTCACTAAACAAAATGACTCCTTTCTGGTTCTTTCCTCGAATGAATCTTTTATATTCCTCATCACTAAGGTAAGGTTTTGTAAGATTTTTTAACTCAACATATTGAATAGCTTCGTATTTTTGCTTAGGATATCTAAAGTAAGATGTATAGTAAGTCTCATTTTCATTAAATTGAAGCATTTGTCTTAAAACTTCCTGGTCACGTTTGAAAAAATAAAATGGAAATGAAAAATGTTCGTACTTAATTAAATCGAACATTAAGAATTTCTGATATTTTGTAGACAATAGCTTTGATATTTGCTTCTTAAATTGCTTCGAGTCTTCTGGAGTTTTGACTTGAATGTAGGAATTCAGGAAGTTTAAAATTTCCTTCTTTTCAGCAAAAACTGCCAACACTAAAATTCTCAGCTCCGCTTCTTCCTTTGAAGGTTCGTCATTTGCAATATAAACATTTTCAATCAAATACTGCGCAATAAAGAACTCAGCAAAGGTTCTGTGTGCAAATTTAATATTTCTAAAGCCATTTATGTATAAAATTCCCATTCGAGAAATTTCGTCACCAGTCAGTTCTGGTGGATTTTCTTGTCGCATTATTTTTAACTTTGTGGATATTAATGGCAATTTTGAATTAACTTGTGACTCCATTTTTATAGCGAATGACTGATAAAGCTTTAAAATGTCAAAATTTCTATATTTTGTAATTGAATTATCGAGAAACTCTAAAGCAAATCCGCCCTTTTCCTTCCAAATTTCAACTTTCTTGTTGACAAATTTTTCATAAATTTGGTATAAATTTTCAGATTCGTAAATGTTGACATCATTTGATATTAAATCTGCAATCATACCTAACATTAACGGAGTGTCAAAACCTTCATTGGACCCCGTTGATGTCACAATTTTTTGAACTTTTTCAAGATAATTTGGAATTTTCGATTCTTCAACATTTTCAGATATAAAAAATTTCTTAATAAAAATTTCTTGTTCATTTTGATCAAATGGAATCAAATTAAAGATTTGTGCTGTTAAATTGTTTCTCAGCAGATCTGAATATAATGGTCTGGTACAAACTAATTGAATATTTGCAGTATGAATCTTAATTAACCTAATTATTTCCAATACTTGAAAGCTATATTGTGGTGAAATTTCATCAAATCCATTCCACAAAAGAATCAAATTTCCGGACATGAAATATTCCCGAAAAATTATCCTTTCAAATTCATTGTTAGAACCAAGTCCAAAGATAATTTCAAGCATGTCCTGAACACTTTGCAAGGTTTCATTTCCCTTGTACAAATGTTTATGCTCCTTTAAATCGATATACGAAACCCACCGAGTAGGAAATTCTTTCTTAATTCTCATTGTGAACTGTTCAAAAGTAATTGTTTTACCAGTTCCAGCTTCACCAGATAGAATAAAAAGTTTTGTATTGTTAGCAACTTTTAAAACCTGTTCAATGTCAAGCGGGTGAACTAGATCTGAAAAATTTACATTTAAAGGATTGTACATTTGAAAAAATAAATCTGAGCACTTTTTAAACACGGATCTTTGCCTAATCTCATTGATTTTTGTGATTTGAACCGACATGTTTTGATCAACAAAGTTCTCGTAGAACCTCTCAAATGATATATTTGACTTAGTAAGGTCTAATGAATCACATTGATTAATTATCCTTCCTTCAACGAACTCTAAATACCCAAAATAAATTTCCCGGATATTCAAATTTTCTAATTTCCTATCAACATGAAATTTCGATTCATTCTTCATCATTTTGTGCACGACTAATTCCTTCTCATTTAAAATATCAATAATCTGATTTGAAGTTAAATAATTTAAAATATTAGAATTTATCTTGTGCAACCTATCGAACCTTAAACTTTCATTTTGGAATGTAAAATTTGAGTTTAAAATTTTATGTTTCAATTTTTCTGATAAAGTTTTCCAATCATGCGTGATCTGTTCCTCTAAATAATGCAAATGGGGATCATTAAGATGTAATGTATTATTACTGAGCATTTGTGAAATGTGATCGGAAGTTAAATTCCTATAAACTGACGAATTTTCAGGAAACAAATCATGGAATTCTAGATTTATATCTTTGTAATTAATTGGAGCCTTAATAACTTTCATTCTTTCCTCAACAGACATCTCATTAAATTTATAAGTTGGTGTATAAAGGAACAAAGCAATTCCAATTGCAGCAACAATCCCAAGAACTCCTAAAATCCCACCAATTATCGATATTTTCTTAAAAATAGAAATTTTCTTATCTTTGATTTCCAGCTCCTTTTCATCACGTCTTTGAATCTCTGGCAGAACCTGCTCTAGTTCTGGGACGATCTTATTTTCGTAAAACTCAAAAAGTTTAATAAAAGTTGTTCGAACTTTGGCTAGTTTCTCTGGTAAGTTGCGGTAAAAAGCAAGTAAATGGACAACACGAACAATTAACTCAGCATGATAAGCTTCCTCAGGATAACAATCGTAAATAGAACTGATAATTTCCTCATCTTCTGATGCATCTTCACAAGCCATTGACACTTCCTCAAAATCATTCATTGTCTTTTTATCTTCCTTTGTGTAAGGATTCGCTTTATTTTTGTAGACCAGATTCATAGCAAAGTGACATAGCTCATGGATTAATACTGCTAAAGTCTCATGCTCTGTATCAGGATGAAGAAGCTGTTTGGCACCAATGAAAATTTTTCCAGAAAAGTAAAAAATTCCTTGTGTAGACTCAGTTGTTGTCGGATCAAGAACATTTACAGCTTCGCGATTAAAATCAAAAACAATCATAAAGTTTTTAGAAGCAGCAACGATTTGAAGGATGATTTTTATCATAATATTCTGGCTTAACAATTCAAATGCTCTCTTAACTTTGTCATGTTTATCCTTTACTTCAGTTTCATCAAAACATGCTGTGGAATTAGCAACGAGAGTATGAATGTGCTTTTCGAGAAATGGCTGTGAATACTTGTTTTGGATGTCTCGAACTCGTCGCTTAGTATCAACATCATCCATTTCTTCATAATATTCTGCTGGATTCTCGTGAGAACCAAATCGAAGCTTCATGCTCAAGAGAAAGTCAAAAACTTCAAACGACTTGCTTTCTAATGCAATCATAAGTGCTGATTTGTTCGCAAAATTGTAAAAATGGCGTAAATTTTGATTTTGAATTAATATTAATTCAAGTTTTTCTTTTTCGTTGGATCTAATCAACTCGTGGACTTCCTCAGTCACATTGCAAAATTCTTTTAATTTGCCTTTAAAGTCGTTAACTTCGAATGCTTTTGGATATGTAAAGTTATTTTGCAGTAAAGTATAGAGGATGTCAAAATTAAGGTTAACCATTGCTAAAGTTTGAGCATCGATTTTGTTGTCTGCTGAACAGGTTTTCATCTTTAGTTTAAGGAGAATTCCAACAATATCTGCTTTGCCGTTCTCTATAGCGAGCATTAGTAAGTTGAAATTACGGGTGTTTGCAAGCAAATCAAGTTCAATTAATCTAGAACTGGATTCGAATGGAAATTGACTGATGAGACCTAAAAGTTTTTGAAATATTTTTTTTAACCTTCAAATAATAAGAAACATTTTTGTGACTTACCCAAGTGATTAATCTTCAAGGAATTTGCCAAGAATTTAGCAACAAATTCACACAAGATTAAATTTTCTACCCAATTTAATTTATTTGGTTGCTTGAGCTCCAAAAAATCTTCATATTTCTCTGATTTCCAATAAATCGTCCAAACTTGTTCAATTTCAGACACCAACAATAGAACTTGTGATTTCTTTTGATACTTTCCGCTCATTACTGCAAGATCTGCAGGCTCCAGTTTTGGTAAAGAATCATTGAATCGGAATTCGATCAATAAATATTCCAAATTCTTGCCTATATTGCTTATTTCAAACAATCTCATAAAATCATCCTTATCACTGCACGATCTTACTATGAAATCAACTTTGTCTGTTAAGTTGAAAGGTTGTTGGGGTAAATTTTCAATTTCAATCTCTTCATGTTCAAAATGAATTTTATTTGATTTGTCTTCATCAATATTTTCAGCTGCATTAAAAATAGAAGATAAAATAAAATTAAGGAATTTCATCAATAAACTAATTATAAAAACAGCAAAAATGCATCTTTTCGCTTAGACTGTTATGTAGGTATATATACCCGAATTGCCCAAGTCGGTAAATTGAATAAAAATCCAGCATCCAGTTGGCATGACTCTGGCATGGTGCTAGCTTCGATTTCAAACCAACACCATGCCAGAACTACATTGGCTTGGTACCGGATTTCTGATCGATTAACCGACTTGTGCCATTTGGGATTCTGCATCAATATAACTTGTATACTGATATCATGACTTGCATATCTTGGCAACTCAGTTTTGACCGATTCGAGAAAAGATAGCTGAAGCTGTAGACAAAGAATTTGTATACTCTAGGTCATGAAACTTTGCATGAGATAAACTGTCGCTTAAATTTTTAAAATATGAGATACATTTGTAAAATTTAAATCCATGATTTCATAAATGTCGTTCAATAAATGAGTTAATATCTTGCAAGAGTCATCGTATTTTTTTTTTTTCATTTCCTGGGTTCAATGATTTTTGCTCCAAATTGTGATGAATACACGTATAATTCATAAAAGGATTTTCTGCCTTGAATTTCCGATGCATCATCAATGATTGTGTCGAGAATGTAAGAAATTGGATGACAAATTTTTCTTCAAACAAGTGCCTTTGCTTATTCTATAGGTTATTATTGTAATTAAATGAAGTTTTGTAACATTCGGGTTAATTATTGTTTCAACTTTCAGAACTTAGAACTTTTCTCGCAACTCGTTTTTTGTTCTCAAAAACTTATTTACATTTAGTTTTAACCACCTGGATCATTATGTTAAAAACGAACGAACAATAGTCTGATCCTCAATAAGGTCCACTATTTTAGAAATGCATTGCAATGTCGTTTATGTAAAAAGTAAATAATGTTTATTTAAAATTTGAGACTCTTGAAATTTTAAAAAAAAAATGATCACGAACAAACATTTAAAAATAAATCCTGGACACCAATAAAAATCACATCGTTCGTTTAAATAACACGTAGATTTACACTATAGTTTATACTACCAATTTTAATCTAAATATATCTCTTTTTCTGTAACGCTTTAAAAGGAAGGGGTTTGAAATTTTATGACAATTTATAAGAAAGTAAATTTTTTTCTAAATTAAATTTGGTAAAAAGAGGACTCGATGGAGGGGTTTAAAATTTTTATCACTTGTTACTAAATCAATTGATTGTTCTTTTGTGATGCCTTTTTCGATAGAAATTATATTCGAGCATCTTTTCATGGTAAAGTAATAACTGAATTTTTAACCACTTAATATGCTCATGATACATGAAAGTATAGATTTTTTTTTAAAAAAACTCTTTCGAAAGCAAATTTTTTTCGGAAATTTCACCCAAAAATTACAAATGTCATGAATCAATAACTCGATAGTCAATTTTGCTACCCAAGAGTCTCTGTCGAGACATAATTTGATTTTAATTTATTTTTTAAAAATTTACTAAAGTTACTCACTTTCAAAACTTCTGGAATGTGATTTTATCCCAAATAAACTTTTTTCTATTGACTGCCTGATGCCCATGGCAGACGATTTAATTTTTTTAATGCTTTTTTATTAATAAATAAACTTTTTGGAATTAATCCTAATAAAATTACTAGCAGATGGTTTATGTTAAACTGAAATAATTTGAGTTTTTTAAATGCAGTTGTTTTAAATGCTTGATGATTCAATTATAAGTTTCACTCTTGAAAAAAATTTAATTTTTATGATTAATGTAGAAATATTTTGTTAAACTACTGAATGAATTTTAGTTTTCAAATAATTTCCTTGAGTGTTTCAATTGTAGTAAAATAGAGCAGATAATAAAATAAAGTTGTACGTTTTTTATTATTTTTGATAAACTAGAATTAAAATCTAGACTGAAAAATTAGTCAACTTACTATTATATGCTAATTCAGTTCATCGACTCATCTCATTTCATGATTAATCTCAGAATCTCTTGAAATCCTCCACAAGTTGACCAATAATCGAATTGTAAAAAAGTAGAAAAATTCAACAATCGAAAGCATTGAAATTCCAGCAAAAAGTCCCAAAAGTCCACCGACATAAGAAACAACATCCGAGAATGTAAATTGTTGATATCTTCGGAACAAAATGATGTCATCCATGTTCATCGTTACAATTATTGTTGTCTCATTATCATCTTGATCATTTCTTATATTATAGTTGATATTGTAGCCAACAGAGTTGCAGAGTGGCAAGCACGAGCAGTTCTGTTCTGATGAGAAATGTTCGAAAACATAAATTTGATGTTGCAGATCACGAAAACAATTGTCTAACATTCTTGATATATTTTGACATACATCATGAATATTTTTAAAAGGTTGATTAATGTCTACACATCCACAGCTCTTTTCTGTCACATTTGTAAGGCATTCAATATCACAATTCTTTTGTGAATATGTCTTAAAATATTTCAATGACTTCTCACCCTCAAAATAACATCCACGAATTTCTGGCTTTAAAAATTTCAAGTCATGATCTGTTCTGATAATTTCTGGAGTTACCGTTACGTCAACTGTAGTTCCATAGTCGAAATTCAGAAATTCTTTTCGTTGACTAAATGTCGGCAAGTCATCAGAATGATGAATCATAAATGACTGCTTAATACAAATCATTGTTTCATACATGTCATTAAAAGGCATCTTAATCTTTGCCTTAAAAATGACTTTATCTTGTCTGTTGAATGTCAAAGGATATTTGGTAAGAATAAGGGAATCATCTGAGTTGGTAGTTATATTTCTCGTGTAATTGAAATCTAAATGAATTCTGTGAAAATAAAATGCATTAAATTAAGAGAAATAAGGTACTGTTGGAAGTCAATTACTGATCAAAATTAAGCAGCTTGTCTGCATCAATCATATTAAATGTAAATCCCATGCCTCTGGATGTTCGAATCTCTGAATATTTTGGTTCATATTTTCCATTCAGTAATGAAAATTGATTCCTAAACCAATCAATATTTGAATTCTTTTTCAAAGCTCTAATGATGTAAGGAATGTAGCTAAAGTCGAAGTTGTCATCATATCCATCATATTGCTCATAACAGAAAGCTCGCTGAGCTACATCACTAAAAATCAACAGTAGTATTTAATGAAGTTTGATTGGTCCATGGAAGGAATACATTCACTTACAGTATAAACCCTTCCCTTGTTGTCTCATTGTTCAATAATTCATCAGCATTAAATCCTGAACCTGTCTTTTTAAAATAAATTTTCCATACAACATGACTGGAATGTGCAAATTCTGGAACAATCGTGATAGCTGGAAATGGAATCTAAAATTTGATTTTAAATCATTTTCTTTAATTTAATATTAATCAAAATTTTAACCAACATCATCAACTGATTTGTAATTGTCATCATATGCAATAACTCGGCTATTTGGAGCACTTGCTTGTGTACTTAAGATTAGATGGAAACAAAAAACCATCGACGTTGTAAAGAAGAAAATCCAAGTTAATCTAAATATACAGAATTACATTAGAATTTCATTAAAAATTTCATATTTTTTCATGACTTGCCTACTGATCAATGAAAACTCATGAATGTGCCACAATCCATGAATAGATGATTCACTCAAAAATGATTGTAAAAATTCTATAAATTTTGAACATTTTGTATTATTTTCTTCAAATGGATAAACTTTTGCATCTCGTTTGCCAAAATGTTTGAACAAAACACGGATTGTGAACCAGTAAATGATTTCTACAAAAGAAAGTGCAGAAAATCCAGCAAAAAGTCCCAAAATTCCACCAACATACGAAAAAAAATCGAGCCAATTGAATTGCTTTTTGCGGACTTGTTGATTGATTTCATTCGTTTTGTACTGAAGTTGGAATCCTAGTGTTTCGCGTAGATGTCCTGAATTTGAGCTATTAATGCAATTAAAAAAGGCTTTTTATTGCCGTAGATATATAAGAAGTCATAACTTACTCTATAGTTCCATATTCTTTGATTTCAAAATTATATTTAACAAAATCGCATGGTTCAAAACATTCACAAAAGTCATTATTCTCTTCAAAATCAGATTTAGCTTTTGAGTAGCAATTTATTTCATTTGCCGAACAAATTCGACTTGTTGAATTTCGGATCATGAAAAATTCAATGCAGCCACAATGATTGAGCATGAAATCAGAAAGACATTCGTTCTCGCAGTTGTTTTTTGTGTAGACTTTGAAGAACTTTAAAATTTTCTCATTTTCTAAATAGCAATTACGTCTGTAATGAGACAATATAGTAGATCTCGGAATTACACTACGTTATAACTTACTCAGAAGGTCCATACTCAACAAGCGACTCGTCTATTGAGTTTATCTGAGGAACCACAAGGACATTCGTTTGATAATAAATGTTCAACTTTATAACTTTAGAATTTGCTGTTGGCAGTTCGAATGGATCATGAAAAATAACTGTGTATTGTGCTTTAGTCAAATCTCCTAGTTTGTTTATATCAGGATGAAATCCAGCTCTCAGTCCAGCTTTTGATGTTGAAATACTAATTGGAAATTTATTAATTTCTATATTTATATCCTCAAACCATCTTGGAAAGTACTCGTAATGAAAGTCATCAGAAGTTGAATTAATATTTAATAAATCATGACTGAATGCTATGTTGTATGTAAAGCACAAACCCCATTCTGTGATAATCTCAGTTATATACTGCTGATCTTCATTTATCCAATAATAACTCAAATCAAATCCAAGCTCTTTATCAAACTGATTAGCGACTTCAAGAAAATCATCAGTTGGGATTGAGAAGTTAAGTTTGTTAAAAACTCCACGATTTGTGATGAGATCAATGATTTGGAGACGCTTCAGACTAAATTGGCAAGAAAAAAAATAAATGCGAATATTAGCGATTCTTTTTTTAAAAGCAGTTCATGCTTGCTCCTAAACGATTATATTGGCAACCAAGCGTTCATTTGATTTGCAGATAAATAATAAAGTTAAAAATCTTACATCTTATATCCCAAATCCTGTGGCTTAATAATCCCATTTTCAATTCTTTTAAGAAACTCAATGTAACTTATATTTCCATATTTTATCTCATCCACAAGCTCTGGTTCAACTTCAGCACTTTCTAGATGAAGAACGCTGAACGTATGTTTTTCATATTGAATGTTTAAGCTGTATTTATTAATGGACGGTCGATGTCCTTTAGGTAGTTCAAAAATTTGCTGTGGACAAACTGTTACTGCTGGAAAATTAATCTAAAAATTTTTTGATTTAAAATAAAAATTCTTTTTTTTATAGCTTTCATACGTAAAAGATTCATGGTCTAACCTCTAACACAGAAAATGACTGCTCAGACAAATACGTAACAATCGGAAAATTTGCAATTTTTATGACAAGTTCTACAATCAAGTTTGAAGCATAAATAACAGAAAGAATCATCGCAATAAGCCAAAATAATCTGGAATTTTTATTAAAAAATAAATAAATTCTTTTGAAAAATAAAATCAATTGAGTTTTACCTTTCAACGATATGGAATCGCTTTGAAATGTAAGCAAGACCATGAACTGTCGAAATTTCAAAATATTTTTGTAAGTCAAGCTTCATAATCTTCCTTAAAATTTATTTTTGTGAGCTTAAAACGGACACTTTTGTGGATTAATGTTTAATAAAATGAATAATTCTTTGCTCTAAAAATTTATTGCATGCTAATTTTTATCATTGAAATTCGTGTTGAATATTATCAAGATTATTATCCAATTGATTGTTGACATGAAAAACTTTGTAAGCTCCTCTGTTCGGGCCTTGAAAATCTTTTTAATCAGACATCGTAGAGAGCTCGGGTTTGTTTATTTAGCTTCGTAATTTATCGACCCATCAGACACCACAACACAGCTGTATATAGCTCAATATTAATAAAAATGCAGCTGATACAAAAATAAAAGGCTGGATGTTAAGTGCCTTGCTGGTCGAATAGGTAAGGCGCTTGGCTCAAATTTGGTATGGTAACTCGAAGGTCGTTGGTTTGAATCCAGCCATTTCCAAATTTGTTCTTTCTCGGAAGTTTAGATACTTTAACTGCTTATTGTACGAGATCAAGCCATAATTGGGCATTTGGGAATCGTTGGATTAATGAACGGATCAGAAACTTGAAGTGTAGCGGGAGAAATAGGAACGAGAGCTACAAGATTGCCCACGAATGAAATATTGTCAGAACGGACCTAAAATGTATCACGTCACACCCACAGAAGATTAAAACGAGAGCCTGAATTTAATCGAAACCTTGATTTGAAGATTGGAACCTTGATTCTAGATCAATTATTGTAGCTGGAACTGACAGATATGGTTTAAAGATAAATAATGATTCCTTACCTCTTGGCTTTAAGATTAATTCGACAAATAAGTTTCACAATAAATATGTATTGTTTTAACAGCTTTGGATGAATTCCAGTTCCAAACAGTGGTCAAATCGATTCCTTTATCTAAATATCAAAATGTGTGCTAGAAAAATGTATGTCTGTTCTCAATTTTGAAGAAAAAATCGCATGGGTTATCAATAAAGCTCAATTTTTCTGTTTATTTTTGATAACATTTTTTTTTTTATAAATTGATAAAAGCCAAAATCTTATCGAAAGTGTATTAATCAACTTTTCGAATTCTTATAAATATGAACGAAACTTAAAGCAGTCTTCAGTTTGTTACGAATTTCAAGATGAAACAAATAGTATTTGTATTGTTTACTGCCTTACGATTTGCAAACTGCCGACGTAAGTAAATTAATTGTTGACAAGACTGTTGCATTTGACAATGTGATTTCTATCGGATCAAACAGAACAAAATTGTGGAAGAGATGCAGAACTCGGTGAACTTCCATATCATGCCTCACTTCAATTTTATGACACAAATGAACATTTTGCAAGTGCAGCTATTTTAAATGCTAGGTGGGTTCTTTCAACAGCTCGAGACCTTGTCGGTCGTTCTGCAGACTCAGTGAATATTATTCTTGGAGCTATTCAGCATGACAAACCAATCAGCATCCAACGAAGTTCCGAAATTCGAATCCATCCAATGTACGATGCTGTTAGAATGATGAATGAGTAAGAAAAAAAAAGAAAAATAATCTATTATTTTTGAACATTAATAAATTACAGTATAGCAACAATTCGCGGAAGCTTCGCAATCAATTTTCCACCATTAATTGATTCTATAGCAATGTCACCATTTTTTGTTGATGTTGGAACTCCAACTCAAGTAAGATCTTTTATTATTGCTAAAATAAATGCAAAAACTTACGAAACTTTTTAGTTCTCTGGATGGAATCCTTTTACGACTGCACATCCTTCAATCCTTCAAGTGACTGATCTTGAAATTGTTCCATGCATTAATTCCGATTCAATGACTTTCACGGGAAATCAAATGTGTGCAAAATTAATAGGGCAAGAAAAATCATTAATTGAAAGTTGTCGAAGAGATCCTGGAAGTTTTTTGGTTGCTAATAATATGCTTGTTGGTATTAATTTCCAACATAGTGTTGCGGGTGAAAATTCATTGGTATGTTAAAGCTACTTTTTTAATGTATTTTTATTTACTAATTTATACTTTCAAATAGTTTGGCTTTTCAAGAATTTCAACATACCGTTCTTGGATAATGGGCAACATTCCAATATGAATATTTAATAATTTACATTCTTTTAAAAATCATATAAAATTATATTAAAAATAAATAAATTGATTCGAAATCTATCAATTTTTTAAATTTCTATCAATTTTTAAAATCATTGAAAATATTACTAAAGAACAGCTGAGCACCTAAAACTTTGCTACCACGATTTATAGTTTTCGATTAAATTCAGGCATTCGTTTCAACCTTCTATGTTCGTGACGTGATACATTTCAGGTCCGTTCTGACAATATTCCATTATAAGGTAATCTTGTAGCTCTCGTTCCTATTCCTCCCGCCACACTTCAAGTTCCTGATCCGTTCATTAATCCAACGTTGCCCAAATGCCCAATTATGGCTTTGATCTCGTACATTTAGCAGTCGAAGTATCTAAACTTCACTTGGCATATGGAGCTTTCTTCAGTTTAAAACATCTCTTAACATCCAAAAGTCTGTCTAGAGGAACCAAGATCATGTTGTATGAGACGCTGATTCGAGTTATTGCATTATATGGCTCGGAAACCTGGAATTCTACGCAAGCGGATGAGGAAGCTATTGGTGTCTTCGAAAGACGAGTCCTGCGAGCGATTTATGGTCCTGTGAAGGAAGGAGAACAGTATCGAAGCCGACACAATGACGAACTATATCAGTTGTTCCAGGATGCTGATATTATTACGGTTCTCCGTGCAAATCGTTTGAGATGGGCTGGACATGTCTTTAGACGTCCACAAGATGCCCCAGTACTAAGAGTGACTGTTGCAGACTTTGTGGATGGCAAGAGATCTAGAGGAAGACCAAAGAACACCTGGATTGGATGTGTTGATAAGGACGCTAGAGTCCTAAATATCCCGAACTGGCAGAAAGTCTCGAAGGATAGAGCTGTCTTTAGACGATCTCTGAACGCGGCAATGGGCCCACGTGCGCCCCAGCCAAGGAAGTAAGTAAGTAAGTAGTATCTAAACTTCCGAAAAAGAACAAAATTTGGAAATTGCTGGATTATTACCGACGACCTTCGAGAAACTATACCAAATGTGAGTCAAGCATCTTACCTATTCGACCTGCAAGGCACTTAACTGCTTTACACTAAATTAAAGAAACTCACCCGAATTGCACAAGTTGGTTAATCGAAAAGAAATACGGCACCAAGCTGGAATTACTCTGGCATGATGCTAGATTAGATTTAAATTCAGAATCAAGACAGAATCATGACTTATCGCGGGCATGTTTTCTGTCAACCATTTGGAGTTGACTGGATTTTATTGATTGTTCTTTGTGTATATTTGTAAATTTAACTACCTGGAATTGTGAACGGTCTTTAAATAGCAATAAGCTGATCGACCATAATAAAGTTAATTAAGAAGAAGAAGAAGAAGAATGACAGAATCATACCAGCTTAGTGCCGGATTTCTGATCTAATAACCGACTTGTGTCATTCGAGTTTTGTAATTAAGTTGATTTTAATCTTAGTGCACTTAAATAAAATATTGTTTTTAAATTAGTTCTTGTTATAACAGCTCATTTAATTTTATTGATAAGATTCTCTTATTTTACAATGGAATATTTCCTGAGATCCAGTTTCGATAAAATGAAATTCTCAGATAACCATCCTGAAATATTTGCACAAATAAATTTATTTTATTAGCTAAAAAGAATAATCTCCAATATTTACCAATAAAACCCCACAAGCACGTGGATCATGATAAAATGGTATTCCAATTAGATGGCTATCAAGAACAAGTGGACCACCTACATCTCTAGTACAAATAGCAGTTCTTGGATTAGTGCCACCAGCGCAAAAATGATTTGATGGAGTAAACGTCATAAATTCCGTGTCAACACATGGACCAGTAGTGACCATCGTACTTTGTAAAACAACTGATTCACCAGTTTTGTCACCATTAACAGCACCCCAACCAGACACCTTTAAAATAGTTTAGGAATTAAAAAGAGTAAGTATTAAAAATGTAAATGAGCAATTTACTCTAGCAAGAATTCCATCATTAACGAATGTTGGAGATAAATCAATCGGTGCTATGCTTGTTGTAAATGCTATTACTAAAGAGGATCGAACTAGCCCGACGCTATAAAAAATGTCTTATTAGTTCCAAAAATCAATTTTTAAAGCATTCTGAAAACTTACTCATTAGCCAAAGTAACGACATTAAATAAAGGATGTGTCCTGATTTCCATACTTTGCCTTGTCGTGAATGCAACGTCAAGCCGATGAATTCCTAGTGCAATATTAATTGAATTTGTAGCACGCCCAAAAAGTCCATGAGCTGTTGTCAAAACCCAACGGCTATTAAGTAAGGATCCACCAGCAAAAAAGAATGTTGTCCCCCAATATTGAAGTGCTGCTTGATATGGAATTGCACCTAAGTTTACATTAGTACCACCGAGTATCCTGGATGTGGAATTTGTTGCTTTATTTAATAGAACGATTAGTTTTATTTGGTTCAATTAGCTAATTTTGTAAAACTTACATCTTGAAGCAGCACATGCTGTTAAGAGCAAAATTATATAAACTGTTTTAATCATGTCGAATTTTTATAATGTGACTTAAGTTTTCTTTCTTTTTCAATTTATACTAAACTTTTATCTTTGTGAAATTAATCTAACGATAAAAAATATTGGCAATAAAAATTGAAAGCCTGCCTGGTATTAGGTATTAACATTAAGCCTAGTAAAGCACCAACTTTGCATAGGTTATTTCCAAGTCGTTAAAACTTAGGATTAATACTGAAAAATACCAAAAATCCTAAAAGGGATTTCACATTTTTATGTTTATTGGCTCAGAGATTTTTTAAGGATTTTTGGAATTTTTAAGGATTAATCCTAAGTTTCCACGCCTTACTTATTTTTTAAAAATCACAAATTTTGTCAAAAACATACACAGTTCTAGTTAAAAGTAATTTAGCAATGAATGAGATTGAAATAAAATTAAAACGAAAGAGGAAACTTAACGTGAAACGCTAACCATGTGCACGGCTCCTAATACAAATCGCTAGTCACATATCTTTACATTAGATTGATAAATTTGCACATTACTTAAAAAATACTAAGAAATAAAAACATTTGTCGCCTAAAGAGCGTGTGCCACGTCTAATAAAGCATTTTATCTTTGAATGAACGGAAATTAAAAACAAGTGCTTTTTTAATAATCTCAATATATTCTGGCTTTCCACGAAAAGATTTTAATAAATGAGTTCTTGGTAAATTTTTCAATTTTACTTGCATCACTTTAGCACATTGAACTTCCTTTCAGTTGCTGATTTTGTTATCAGTTGTGATAATTATTTGAATGGTTTTATTAATCAACTTGAAGCGTTCTTTCCTTTCGTGCATATTTATAATTAGATTACAATTTATGAGCAGAATATTTTTTTGGGGAATTAAAACGACCCACAAGTTCTCAAATTTATATGAATGAATCTTGTATAAAATCAGCTTTGTTTAGCAAATTCTAATTATGGAAGGCAACAAAATTCAACTTTAAATCAGAATAAGAAGTCGGCTGTCTTTGACAAAATCTGGCTGCTGCTTTTTGGTGACACTATTTGATCACTTAATGAGCTTCTGTCTGCTTGATAATAATACAAATGTTGAAGGGTTGCAACAAAGCGATGTGTTCCGCTAATCCAAATTCTATTTCGTAATTTTTTTCATACAAAATTCATTTTGTAGGTACAAAACTTAAATTCAAAATCAATTATATTTGTAAGTTTAAAATTTTAAAAATTAAGCCCTTAGTTTGGACGTAATCTATATTATAAAAGCCCAATTCACTGACGTACTGACTCTTGAACGGAAGCTATGTGAAGCCGTATGAAGCTAATGATTTGGAAGGTGTTGATAAGATGGGGGTTTGGTGTTACTTGTGGGTGAGTGTCAGATGTGGATTTAGGTGGGCCCATGTTTGAGGGGGCTTGTGAAGCCATATGAAGTTTTGTGGTAGGATTGATATTAAAAACTTTATAGCTGTTTGCGTCTTACATTTATTTACAGCGCCCCCGAATAGTGTTAATAAATTAGTACAATATGGCACTTAATAAATTTAAATTTTCATATGTCTAATGCTAGGTTTTTCTATTTCATTGGCACTAGCTTGCTAATAAAATACTGTCTGCGACAAAAATGCTCTTAAGTCACTCAAAAAAGAAAGAGGAATTTTGTTAATTTTTTGAATATTGCTGAAAATTAAATTTTCATTTAAAATAAAATTAATATACAATTTGGTTAATTATTGTAAATATAAACATTTTTTTATTTTAACAAATTTTAATTATATTTAAAATGATGAGCAAAGTTATACAGGAATATTGCCTAAGATCCATGCACGATATGATGAAATCCTCATATATCCATCCTAGTTGACATAAGAAATTAAAATATTTTGCTGCTGAAGATTTTAAATAAAACTCACCAAAAATTGACCACAAGCTCGAGGATCATGATGAAATGGAATTCCAATTAATAAATTATCTAGCACAAGTGGTCCACCAACATCTCTGGTGCAAATACCAACCAACGGTCTAGTGTCATTTGTAGGAGCTCCAGCGCAAAAATGGTTTGCACTATTAAATGTCATAAATTCAGTATTTACACAAGGTCCTGTCGTAACTGCAACTCTTCGGAGCACAACGGATTCACCAGTTTTGTCTTCATTCACAGCACCCCAACCGGAAACCTTTTATGAAAAAAACAACATTTATTTAACATTTTATTAAATAATTATAAAACTTCTACTTGTGCTGTCACACCATCATTAATAAAATGAGTTGCAAGTGTCATTGGTGAAATTATGACACTAAAAGCAATTACGGCAGCAGTACGAATAACTGCAACGCTGTGAATTAATAAAAACATGTTTAGAGATGTACAAAATTATTCGAATTGTCAGCCATACTCATTTGCATGTATTGACTGATCGTACAAAGGATGCGTCCTAATTTGATCACTTTGTCTATTTCCAAAAGGTATATCAAGTCGATTAGTTCCTAAAATAACATTTATTGAATTTCCAGCTCGTCCAAAAACACCTTTGGCTGTTGATAAAACCCAACGGGTATTAAGAAGAACTCCACCAGCAAAATGAAATGTTGTGTTCCAATATTGTAATGATGCTTGATACGGAATGTCACCATGAGCAACAACTTGACCTCCGAGTATTCTCGAAGATGCGTCGGCTAAATAATATAAAATGGTAAATTATATTTATATCAATTATTAGATTATCAACTTACGTCGTCCAACGACAAGCACAATTCCAACACAAATGAAAACAAGTTGTCGAATCATTTTGATATTTTTGAATGTTGTTCTCTTTGAGTTTTTGTTTCAATTTATACCAAATTTTTATCAAGACTGCATCTAAGATAATGTTTATGTCAAAAATTTAAGTGATATCTTTTTATTGAAATAAAATTTAATGTTTGTGATCCACTCATTTGACACATTTTTTTAAATATGTTTTAATTTAAATAAATTATATTTAAATACAAAAATTGAGTTCCAGGTTCATTGCAAGATTTTTTTTTGTAATTTTTTTCATGTTTATTTTAGACATTTTCTTAAAAACCCCTGGAAAATTGAACATTTGTTTGGTAAAGGTTAGGATTTCGAACTTTTTTACAGCAGCGTTTTTACTGATATCAATGTGAATACTGGAATCGCGATGTTTTTAGTTTTTGAATTAAAACTATTGTTTAGTAAAAATACTTTCTTGGTGCATTCATTTTAGCTGGACAATCAATCAGTTTTTGATATAGAAACCTTAATCCTGATTTCAGAGACATTACATTAAATTGACATCATCTCGGTTCGCTGCACCACAAAAATATTCAAAATACCTTAAATCACATGAATGGATTTATATTTTTTATTTGATCATTCCTTAGGCTATCCATCGATTGAAAATTTTTGATAATTTTGAAGAATAGAATTTGAAAATTTGCCTTGCAATTTATATTTATTTTCACATCGTATTCGCGAAGCGAAACTCAGTTGACTCGTCAAGCTTTATATCTTTAAACTTATGCTGTGCAAATCTTCGTCTATCCGCAAGACTTTCGATGGTATGGAATATATCCGCATTAAGTTTCTACCCGATACACTAGTTTTGGTCTGTTCTGTACTGCCCAAAAATGAACATGAAGTTTTTGGTGATGAAATCTCTTTCTAGACTCTGGTGTTATTTTGGCAAAATGATTCGCTGTGTCAAAATCTTTATGCCTCTTTTTAAGGAACGCCTTTTATTTAGCGGCACAGCTGGAATTTTTTTGAGGCAAACAATTTGAGAACCACTGCTTTAATAAGACATGTAGTGAGCAACGTCTTTGTGATAATTTGGTTAATTAAGTTTTATACTGCACAAAAACGTAATTTTGCAGTAATTTTTATATTAATAAAAAAAAACTTTAAAAACTTTTTTGTTTTAATTCAAAAAAATACTTATTTTTATTTAAATTTTAAAAATCACGATCAATCTATATAAATATTGTATTTAAGGCAATGGTATGTTTCCCATAATCCATGATCTATAAAATGAGATTCTGATGTAACCGTCCTAGAAAAAAAAAATAAATGAAAATTTTGTTATATATAGAAAAACATATCAATACTTACTGGTGACCTTCCACAGAATCGTGGATCATGGAAGAATGAAATTGCAATTAGCATATTATCAGCTATAAGAGGCCCACCAACATCAATTGTACAGATTGCTCCTGAGCTCCCAGTTGGAGCTTCAGCACAAATATGTTGATTATTATTAAATGTGATAAAATCAGATGCAGGACATGAAACAGTTACAACACTAGCTCTTTGAAGGATAACAGCTTCATTAGCCATATCTTCTCTAGTTGAACCCCATCCAGATACCTAATAATAAATTTCAATAATATATAAATTGAAATAAACAAATTAATATTTTAAAAATAGACACCTACATCTGCCACTACTCCAAAACCAGTGAATGTTGGAGCCATAGTCATTGGAGAAATAGTGCTGGTAAAAGCTATAACTGCAGCACTTCTCACTACTGCAACACTGTCAAATATTGTCATATTTATTATTATTTAAATTTAATAAAATCAAAACTTTTCTTACTCATTTTGTCGTGTATTAAAGTCAAACATTGGATGAATCCTTATTTCCATGCTTTGTCTATGTGTAAATGGCACATCACGTCGGATGATTCCAAGAATAATATTAACTGAGTTTCCAGCTCGTCCAAATAATCCTTTAGCTGTTGTTAAAACCCATCGACTGTTGAGTAAAACTCCACTTGCAAAATGAAAATCAGTACCCCAATACAGGAGGGATGCTTGATATGGAATCTCACCAAGTGCTGCATTCCGTCCACCAAGGATCTTTGATTCAGCTAAACATGAAATCAAAAAATAATTGTAAAGACAATATTAACTTGATGAGTCTCAACTTACGTCTTCCTGCAACAATTGCAATTGCAACAACAAGAATAAAAATTGTTTTTATCATTTTGATTAATTTTTTGATTTGTTGGTTGTTTATTTTTTAAGTGATGACTTTAAACAATTTTTCATCTAATTTATACCAAATTTTTATCGCCAAATTACTCAATTGCTATAGATAAGCTTTCTTTATATTCGGTAGGAACTGCTTTTTCGTACTTGATAAGAATATTAATAAATACTTATTGGAGTACTGACCTAACAACTAAAATTTACAGACATTCTTGCATTTGTTTTAAATTTGTTTAAATTCACTAGTTCAACAGATTTTGTAAGGCAATAAAAAGTCTTAAAAAGTAATCTAAACTGTAAAAAATTTGCAACTAGATTGCATTTGAAACTAGAATTTGTCAATTACAATTGAATTTAGATCCTTAAAATGTTGAGATGATCAATTATTAACATTTAACAAAGAAAGAAGGCAAAGTTTAAAAAAATCAAATGATAAGTTGGTTTTATAACAGGAAAATGTCAAGAGCGATTAATGTATGCGAATCAGTTCTGAGAAAATTATTATATAAAAAAAAATCTGATAACATTCTCACGGTTTATAAAATTTGAAGTTCATTATCAACATTCTTACATAGTCAGAAATTAGTTGCATATATTCAAGTGCTTACCTCAATTATGGACTTTAAAGATAAGGACGATAAGTTTGTAAATAAGAGAGAGCTTATTTAGAAAACTCGTACGACTTTTATTTTAAATAATTACTTAATGTTTTAAATATTTGGAGACATAAAAAACCCTTTACCAATTCAGATCAATTGTGATGCAGAGGTGCGCTAAGGCGATTCACAGCTAATGAGAGTTTAACGAATGAAGATGCACCAAACAACTGCACACAAACCTAGTCGTACAATTTAAAGTGGGATCCAAACAACTATGATCGCTGTTGCAATAATTAAGTACCGAAGCATTAATAATTAAGATGATTATTGATTTTTACTTAAATTTAGCAAGAAAAATAGGGAATTATAAAACCAATTTTATAAAAAAGATCAGAAAACATAGACAATTAAGGTCTCCTCTGAGATTACTATTGCAAGAACAAATTTAGTAGAAGTTAAGGTTTTAAAGCATTTTCTGAATTTAAAATTAAGACATCAATTTTAAATCAAATAAAAACTGTAGAAAATTTATTATTTTAAAAATAATATTTATTAAACTTAATTCAATGTTATTATTTATTCACTCAGGACTGTTTGCCATTATCCATCCTCTATAAGATAAAATTCTCATGTATCCATCCTAGAATGTGATAAAAATTACTTTAAGACTTCAAAATATAGAAGACTTTTGACTTACTAAAACAACTCCACATCCACGTGGATCGTGATAGAATGGAATACCAATGAGCATGTTATTCAACACAAGTGGTCCACCGACATCTGTTGTACAAATTCCAACTATTGGTTCTTGATTTTCTTCATAATTTCCGGCACAAATATGATTTATCGCTGAGAAAGTCATGTTCTTTGTATCAATACAAGGTCCAGTAGTAACATCGACTTTTTGAAGGAAAACACTATGCTGCGTTGCATTTTTGTCTAATGCGCCCCATCCAGAAACCTTTAGAGATTTTTATTATTTATAGGGTTTTTGTGACAATTTGAAGAATCTTTGCATACTTACATGAGCAATAATTCCATCACCGACCATGAAAGGTGACATTGAAATCGGCGAGACAAAAGATGAGAGTTCAATGACTAGCTGAGTTCGAATTGTTGCGATGCTAATTATTAATTTAAAAATTGAATTATTTTACATAAAAAATTGATAATCAAATCTCACTCATTTATCAGCAATATATTATCAAAAAGTGGATGAACTCTAATTTCTGAGCTTCGCATACTTTCACCTGTATCAACTCTAATAATTCCCAATATAATGTCAATTCCATTTCCTGGATGTATAAATACTCCATGTGCTGTTGTAAGCACCCAACGTGTGTTTAATAATACTCCGCCTGCAAAATGATCAGGAGTTCCCCAATATCTTAATGACACTTGATATGGCAGTTCTCCAAGAAAGACATTTCTGCCACCTAGGATTCTTGATGATGGTTGAGCTAATAAATTAAGATTAATTAATTTATGGATGTTTATTGAAATAGTATTTTAAAGTTTTTTGACTTACGTGCACCTAGAACAGCCGCAAGCAATAAAAAAATAAGAAAAACTGAACGAAGCATTTTTTAAACTTTAAATGTCAGCCCAATAAATTTATGTACTGTAATTTATATTAAAAAGTTATCAAAAATTATATGATCAGATTAAGGCAAATAACGATAACGCAAAATTAATTTTGACATTTATTAAAAATTTATTATAAAATATTTTTACTGTTCATCTGAGTTTTCATTTTTACAGCAAAAAATATCTAAAATTTCAATTTAATTAAAATCTTGAAAAGCCAATTAAATAATTTTTCATCTTAAATATCGATTTTGTTGACGCGTTGAAATCCAAAACTATTTTATTTGTTTATGTTCTTAAGGGCGATTGCGTTTTTACAACTCTGCATAATTCCATGACCCGGGGGGTATCAATACAAAGAACCTATCCACAATTTGAGCTTCTCAAATCTCACAAACCGAATTACCATGACTAGAACAGCGAAAAGCACCCAAAATCCGACTAGTTATTTTCTGGGATCGAACCAGGATCGTTAAGGGTTGATAGGACAACACTCTTACCAGTACCTAACTGCTGATTTCTCACTGTTAATTGCAAAGAATCCGTTAATACTATTTTTTCTGTTGAAATTGCACACGCTACGTATTTTATGTGCATTTTATCTTTAAATGAACGGAAATTAAAAATACGCGTTTTTTAATACTTTACTTACTTCGCTGGCCGTACAGATCAATTGTGATCCATGGCCTCCCTTAGATGGCGCCTGAAGCTGACTCTGTCGCTGGCTTCCGTTTGCCAATTAACCATACCAAATGCAATACTGTCTCTGTCAACAGCTTCTTTCCAAGAGTTCTTGGGTCGCCCGCGTGTTCTTTTGCCATCTACAAAAACATTCTTAAAGACTTTATTAATGGGAGCTTCAACAGGTCTCCTAACGACATGTCCAGCCCAACGGAGTCTGTTGACTTTGATTCGTCGTACGATATCAGCTTCATTGAAAAGCTGATATAATTCTGCGTTACTCCTGCTTTTGTAAAAGTCACCTTCTCTCTTCGGTCCAAATATAATTCGCAAGACCCTACGCTCAAATACACCAATTGCGTTCTCATCTGCGATAGTCATATTCCATGACTCAGAACCGTACAACACTACTGGGCGTATTAGTGTCTTGTACATCACTAGTTTGGCATTTCTCGCTATTCTCTTCGAGTTTCTTAGCTTTGTGGTTAAGGTTGGCGGCTTGCTAGGCCAACGCAACCTATAAAACCAGAGCCCCGTTGGTCTCCGCCCCACTATGTGGCTTGGATTAACGGTCTCACACCGCGAGAAGGTGGGGTTGGTACATGGTGGTGCTAGGCTAAGTGCAGCACGAGGCTGCATATGTTACGCATTCACACACCTTCATGAGACCCGTTTTTTAATAATCTCAATATATTCTGGCTTTCCACGAAAAGATTTTAATAAATGAGTTCTTGGTAAATTTTTCGATTTTAATTGCATCACTTTAGCACATTGAACTTCCTTTCAGTTGGTGATTTTGTTATCAGTTTTGATAATTATTTGAATGGTTTCATTGAGGAACCTCAAAGTGTTCTTAAGGGAAAAACAACATTTTAATATCTAAGATGATTGGATAATTTTCAGAAAAATTAAACCATTTGTATTTTTTTTTTCTTTTTAAAGTTTTCTTGAACCGGTTTTGAATTATTTTAATAAGCAAAGTTGTTTTTGGTAAAAAAAATGAATTCTTCTAATTTTGTTGCAAATTGGAATAATATTCACTCTTAATAAGAATTGTAAGATTTGAAATTGTCATTTCTTTCCCACGTTACGTCCGCACTTAAAAGATTATTTTTAATTTTCTTATCAAGCACGAAAAAGCAGTTCCTACCGAATATAAAGAAAGCTTATCTATGGCAATTGAGTAATTTGGCGATAAAAATTTGGTATAAATTAGATGAAAAATTGTTTAAAGTCATCACTTAAAAAGTAAACAACCAACAAATCAAAAATTAATCAAAATGATAAAAACAATTTTTATTCTTGTTGCTGCAATTGCAATTGTTGCAGGAAGACGTAAGTTGAGACTCATCAAGTTAATATTGTCCTTACAATTATTTTTTGATTTCATGTTTAGCTGAATCAAAGATCCTTGGTGGACGGAATGCAGCACTTGGTGAGATTCCATATCAAGCATCTCTTCAGTATTGGGGAACTACTTTCCATTTTGCAAGTGGAGTTTTACTCAATAGTCGATGGGTTGTTACAACTGCTCAAGGTGTGTTTGGACGTGCTGGAAACTCAGTTAATATTATTCTTGGAATCGTTCGACGTGATGTAACATTTACAAATAGACAAAGCATGGAAATAAGGATTCATCCAATGTTTGACTTTAACACACGACATAATGAGTAAGAAAATTGTGAAAGCGAAATTTGAAGAAAAATAATCAAAAATCGTTTTCTCTTATTAGCATTGCAGTAATCCGAAGTGCTGCAGTTATAGCTTTTACCACAACAATATCTCCTGCGACGATTTCACCTTTATTCTTTGATATCGGAGTGGTTGCAGATGTAAGTGGACAGTTCATAAAATTGTATGCATTTGTTTCATACAATTTTGTTCCTTAAACTTAAATTTAGGTATCTGGATGGGGTTCAACTAGAGAAGACATGACCAACGAAGCCGTTATCCTTCAGAGAGCTAGTGTTACAACTGTTGCATGTCCTGCATCAGATTTTATCACATTCAACCCAATGCAACACATTTGCGCTGGAACTCCAGTAAATAGTACTGCACCAACAGTTGGAATCTGTACAATTGATGTCGGTGGACCGGTAATGGCTGATAATATGCTCATTGCAATCCCATTCTTCCATGATCCACGATTCTGTGGAAGATCACCTGTAAGTTTAGAAAAGGTTTTTGAATATAACAAAACTTTTATTATTTTTTAATTTTTTAAGGATGGATACTTGAGGATGTCATTCTATAGACCATGGATTATGGGAAACATACCATTGCCTTAAAAATAATATTTATAAAGATTAATATAGAAAACATTATTTTTTAATACCAAATGATGAAATATTTTTTAATTCAAACCTTGCTTAAACATCGGGTTTTCTCCTTTTTTTACGTCCCTCCCGCCCCCTCCCCCCTACCCCGGAGCATGGATTCCTTTTGTGTGTTTTAAATTTTTTATATTATGGTGAGTGTGACCTCAACCCCTTCGTCCCTCTTTGACTACGTCCTGATTTGAACGCACCACAACTTTTAGCCATTCAGTTTATAATGGAATCGAAACCACTTGCAAGCTAAATGGACAAGTTTTTATTTTAGTTTAAACTTAAGTTCTCAATTTGTCTTCTTACGATTCACGATTCGCGTATTCATGTTGTTTTTAATCTCGGAGAGAAAATTTATTTTTTTTGTACTTATCTCACAGTCTTTATTTGCTCGTCTTTAAGCTAAGATTTTTTTTTTAAAATATCGCAAAGTTTGATTTTGATTCGATTTTTTAATTTTTAACCTCCTAAGTATGTTTAAATTGTAAAAAACAATCACGTAAAAAGTGAATTATTTTAATGATTAAGAAGTAAGCAGTCAAACATATAAATTTAAAGAAATAAGTTGTTTGCTACTAAAACAGTAAAAACATTGAAACTTCCACGCTGAACCTTCCGAATTCACTCCAAAATGGATTTTAAGTGCATCTTAGTGTATTCTCTCTTTTTTATCAATGCTCAACTTACTTTCTGCTTCAAATGTAAGTACCGCGAATCAAGTTACACTGGCTACGAATGTGAATTAATACCAGACGCAATCATCATTGGACATCAACAATTAACAGACATTCAAGATGACGACATCCATAAAGTCAGATTTCATGGAAATAGCAACAAAATAACAAATTTCACTGAATCACAATTTCCATTCTGCAAAAGATTTAAAAATGCAAAAGTTTTTGATGTTTACGAAATTGAATTTATTGACAAAAATTTGCTTAAAGATTGCAAAAATTTGATTGAAGCTTGGATTTATTATACGGAAGTTGTTGAAATTTCATCGGATTTCTTTACTGAAAACTCAAAATTAATCACTTTGGTTCTATCGAGGAATAAAATCACTACATTACCTGAAAATATTTTTATTAACCAGCATGAAGTTGATGAACTTCTCCTTGATGAAAATGAACTAAACTTTTTACCATCTAAAATTTTCAAGTCACTCACAAAGCTTCGCACATTATATCTTGGTAAAAATCAAATTGAGGTGCTTAATCAAGCATGGTTTGAAACCTTAACAAATTTAGAACATTTGAGTTTAAACGACAACGAAATTACAGATTTGCCAGAAAATGTTTTTCTATCTCTTGAAAAATTACAAAAACTATGGCTTGATGGCAATCAGTTGACAACAATTCATGCTGATTCGTTTTGGGATCACAGACATTTGACTTCAATTTTATTGAAGAATAATAAAATTCAAGCTTTAGATGAAGATTTGATTGATTTCACAGCAGTTAGTACACTTGACATGACAGGAAATATTTGCTATAAGAAAACAATCACAAAACGGGAACAAATAAAGCGAAAGCTACAAATGTGTTTTGAAAACTACCAACCTAGGGATAAGCGTAAGTGTCATTGAATTAGAATATTAATTTTTGAGTGTTACAATGAACAGAGAAATTGAATCATGTATAGGCTGTCCATCGGTTTTGGTAGATTTTTAGTCAAAAAGCGGGATATCAGCTCTGAAAAGTAAGGTTCAAAAGTGCGCAGTTGGACAGCCTAAGCATTTCGTTATTATCGTTTCTTCATTTATCAAGTATCTAATCAATTATAAATAAAAATCAACTATACTTCACAATTTCAGTAAATGCAAAAGGTTCATCATTATGGAATGTATTGGAGGTAAGTCATTAACTGTGTACTTGACACTTTACTTATATCTAAAATATAAAACCAGGGTTCACGTGCTTGTGGGAAATCAAAGATAGTTTTTGGAACAGCTTTTTACGCAACCCAAACTGATCATGGTGGACATCCTTGGTAAGTTTTTGTTGAAATTGTCTTAGTTTTGTAAACTTTTCGTGACCTTTTTTAAAACAGAGTTGCAATCTGTCACAGGTCACATGTTAATAGGCCAGATGTTGACAGATCTGTCAACAGGTGACCTGTGAAACAGGTGGAGGCCTGTGAGAGGTGATCTTTTGACAGGACCTGTCAGCTGTGCCTGTGACAGGAGCCTGCAGTCCCAACTCTGTTATGAAATAGTATAAAATCAACCTTAATTCCTACAAATCATTACCAAATTAATAAAATCTCGAAAATAATAATTACAATCTTTACAGGAACGCAGCAATAATTAGAAATAATGGCAAATTTCTGTGTGGTGGAACGCTTTTATCACACAAATTAGTGATCACAGGTCCTACAACTAATTAAATTCCTGAAATTATTATTAATTTTTTCTTGATCTTTTCAGCCGCTCACTGTCTTGAAGGAAAACGAGGACTTTATCATTTTGATGCTCGAGATATTTCTGTTATTCTTGGAGCTCACAACATATCACAAAGTCACGAAAAAGGGAAAATTACGGTTGGTTTAAAAGCTACTCACATTCACCATGAATGGAATCCAAACGTAGACTCATATGATGCAGATATAGCTATATTGGAACTAGAAAATGAAATTCCATTTACTCAATTTATTCAACCAATATGCATAGTCAAACCAGGATCAGAAATTGCAAATAAAACATTTGGTTATGTCACTGGATTTGGTAAAAGTGAACGAGCAGATATTGAAGATATTGCAAGACTTGTAAAGACACCAATTCACAGCTATCAAGACTGTGGTGCTGAAAACAAAATTCTTCAATCTTTAATAAGTAATCGAGCATTTTGTGGAGGATTTGCAAATGGAACTGGAGTGTGCACTGGTGATAGTGGAAGTGGATTAATAGTTGTGCATGAAAATCGTCATTATCTTCGTGGTATAGTGTCAGCTTCCTTATATGGCGGAATTAATGGCTGCAATCTGAATGAATATTCAATATTTACTGATGTGTTAGGATTTTATGGATGGATAAGAACTGGAAAAGATGACAAAATTTTGATTCAAGAGTTGTTGGATGAAAATCGAAGACTTAAAGCGAATGGCACTCAGATACATAAAAATGCTTAGTAATGCCACAACATTTAAATTGTTTTGTTTTTCTTATTCTAATTTACTAAGTTTTAGAAATAAAAACTCAATGACCTAATTTTACCTTTATTGCCTTCAACTTTAATTCCATCAATGTTGATAGCAAATAATTATTGTCATTATAATAAACAATTTGAATCACAATACAATCTTCTTGATGGGAACTTACCTTTGAACTTACTTTTGCATTTTCCATAGTAAATTTTAAGTTTGCTTTGCTTGCTGATTTTAGTTTTTATTCAAACCTCGATGATAGAGGAAGTCAAAAAAAAATAATAATGCAAAAATCTCAAAAAAATTTAAAATTTCCCATCAAAGTTAAAAGTGTGATTCCAAAAAAACGAGATGAAGTTTTAAATATGAATGGTTGGGGATTTAAAGATTCGTACTTCACAACCAAAAACGGAATTCTTACTTTTGCTGGAAAAAGGTTAAAATTCATATTTTACATTCAAGCTATTTTATTAAATCACTTAATTCCCAGATACATCATGTCTAACATCCCTCTCAAAAATGCTCGGGAACAATTCCTTTACATCCTTGACACTGACATTTCCAACTTTAAACCGATTGCTAATCCGATCCATCTTGAATCTGACTATCCACCAGCAGTGACCAATGAAGAATTTTGCAATGAATTAAAAAAGTCAAAAATTGATTTTTCTCTCGACTTTAATGATCGCTTCCACAGATGTCGTGGACAAGCTATGAAAGATTTTTACATTTTGAGGTACGGAAGGTTTGAAAGAATACCTGACATTGTTGTTTTTCCAAGAAGTCATGAAGATGCCGTTTTTTGTGTGGAACTTGCTAATAAATTTGGTTCAGTCATCATTCCATATGCAGGTGGAACCAACACAATGTTGAGTTTAAGTCATAGTAAAGATGATCGAAGATTTTTTATTTCACTTGACGTCACTCAAATGAATCGGATTTTATGGATTGATAGAAAGAGTATGTTGGCATGTATGGAGGCTGGAATTGTAGGACGTGATATGGAAGAAGCTTTAGAAAAGGAAGGATTAACTGTTGGACATGAGCCAGATTCCATTGAGTTGTCCACTTTAGGTGATAAATTGAACCTTTATGATTCTCAAATTATTATTTAAAAATTATTTCACAGGTGGTTGGGTAGCAACCCGCTCATCAGGTATGAAGCAACAAACTTATGGAAATATTGAAGATATTGTTGAGAAAATAACTCTCGTGACAAGCATTGGAGTTTTAGAAAAAGACTTTCTTGCTCCAAGAGTCTCAATTGGACCTGATTTTCATCAAATTATTCTCGGATCAGAAGGAACTTTGGGAGTTATCACTAAAGTTGTTGTCAAAGTTCACAAGAAACCAGATGTTCGTCGTTTTGGAAGCATTGTCTTTCCTGACTTTGAACACGGAGTAAAATTCATGCATGAAGTCAGTAAATGGCCAACGAAGCCATCGAGTTTGAGGCTAGTTGATAATGATCATATTCAAGCTGGAATAGCGTACGAAAGTCACGATACTTATTTTGCTGCTTTAAAAGGTAAAATAAAGACAAACTTTTTAAGATTTTTTCATGGGTATGACATTAAGAAGGTCTCGTTGGCAACTTATTTAATTGAGAACACAAAAGAGGAAGCGAAGAAGATTGAAGATAAAATTAAGAAGGTTTCTGGAAACTTTCAAGGAGTTTTAGGTGGTCCGGAATTTGGAAGAAGATCTTATTTACTTACACATGTAATATGTTATACTAGGGTTCGTAATTGCTATGCATCTAAAGTATACTCTGAAGTATTGATCATTATTTTACAGGACTTTTCTTTTGACCTTGGTTTTCTTTTCGACTCGCTTGAAACTTCAATCACTTGGGATAAGCTCTGGCCCCTAATTGTGGCACTTAACAATACTTGGCAGCAAGAAATGAAAATCAGAAAACTCAAAAACGGGTTTGCAATTCGAATTTCACAAATTTACCATAGTGGTGCATGCATCTACTTATACTTTGGCATTGGTCCAACTGGAGACCGCAATCAATTTAAAGAATTTGATGAGTTAAACAAAATTTTAAAAGGCTTGATGCTTAAAGCAGGTGGAACTTTATCACATCATCATGGGATTGGAAAGAAAAATATGGAATTTTATCCACAAGTTGTGTCACAAGTTGGAGTAGAAATATTTAAGGCTATTAAGGAACAAGTTGATCCAAATAATGTTTTTAGTGTTGGAAATATATTTAAATGTAAGTTGTAATCCGAAACTCGGTTAAAATTGAAAAATTAAAATATTATGGACAAAAAAGGTTAAAGCTGTTATTTTAGACAAAAATCAATTAAAATATACTTTATTGAACCATTTAAAATTTAAAAAAATCAAAAATAAATTAAAAATAATAATAATAAATTTGATGCCAATCCAAAAAAACTTAAAACCTTTCTTATAACTTACATTTAATCATATTTCCAGCTCCAAACACATTAATTGGATCAACTTTTTCCTTTATTGCCTTGAAAAGCTCAACTCCAACTTTAGACACAACTTGTGGATAAAATTCCATATTTTTCTTTCCAACTCCATGATGATGTGATAGAGTTCCTCCTGCTTTGATCATTAAACCTTTGAGCATTTTATTAAGGTCGTTAAAAACTTCAAATTGATTTTGATTTTCAGTTGGTCCAATTCCAAAATATACATAAACACATGCACCGCTGTGATATATTTGAGATATTCTGATTGCTATAGCATTTTTGAGTTTTCTCATTTTCAATTCTTGTTTCCAGGCACCTTCTAATGTCGTTACAAGTGACCAGAGCTTGTCCCATGTCACTGAAGTTTCCAAAGAATCAAAAAGAAAGCCAAGATCGAAGAAAAAATCCTTAAAAAATATTTTGAGGTTTGAATTTGTAAATTTATTTTTATTCCTTAATTACCCTTGTGTAACAGACAACAAGTGTCATTAAATACGTCTTTTTTCCATACTCAGGTCCAGCTAAAATTCCATCAAATTTCTTTGCTGAGAACTTGAATTTATCTTCCAATCTATCAGCTTCTTCCTTATTATTTTCAATCAAGTAAGTCACCAATGAAATTTTCTTTATGTCAAATCTATAAACATTTAACAAAAAGTACTGCTTAACTGCGCTAATCAAACCTGACAAATATGATGGATGATTCTCAAATGTCATTCCGATTTGGATGTGACAGTTATCCACTAATCTTAAACTTGATGGCTTCGTTGGCCATTTACTGACTTCATGCATGAATTTTACTCCATGTTCAAAGTCAGGAAAGACAATGCTTCCAAAACGACGAACATCTGGTTTCTTGTGAACTTTGACAACAACTTTAGTGATAACTCCCAAAGTTCCTTCTGATCCGAGAATAATTTGATGAAAATCAGGTCCAATTGAGACTCTTGGAGCAAGAAAGTCTTTTTCTAAAACTCCAATGCTTGTCACGAGAGTTATTTTCTCAACAATATCTTCAATATTTCCATAAGTTTGTTGTTTCATACCTGATGAGCGGGTTGCTACCCAACCACCTGTGAAATAATTTTTAAATAATAATTTGAGAATCATAAAGGTTCAGTTTATCACCTAAAGTGGACAACTCAATAGAATCAGGCTCATGTCCAACAGTTAATCCTTCCTTTTCTAAAGCTTCTTCCATATCACGTCCTACAATTCCAGCCTCCATACATGCCAACATACTCTTTCTATCAATCCATAAAATCCGATTCATTTGAGTGACGTCAAGTGAAATAAAAAATCTTTGATCATCTTTACTGTGACTTAAACTCAACATTGTGTTGGTTCCACCTGCATATGGAATAATGACTGAACCAAATTTATTAGCAAGTTCCACACAAAAAACGACATCTTTATGACTTCTTGGAAAAACAACAATGTCAGGTATTCTTTCAAACCTTCCGTACCTCAAAATGTAAAAATCTTTCATAGCTTGTCCACGACATCTGTGGAAGCGATCATTAAAGTCGAGAGAAAAATCAATTTTTGACTTTTTTAATTCATTGCAAAATTCTTCATTGGTCACTGCTGGTGGATAATCAGATTCAAGATGGATCGGATTGGTAAATGGGTTAAAGTTGGATATGTCGACTTGCAAGATGTTTTGAAGATGCTGGCGAGATTTTTTAAAAGGCATTTTACACAATGGATATCTAGCGAAATTGGTGTAGCGTTTAAAAGAATTAATTTTGAATTTTATTTGTGGTTTATAAATAAATAATCTACCTTTTCCCACTGAACATCAATATTCCGTTTTTGGTGGTGAAGTATGAATCTTTAAAGCCCCAACCATTCATATTTAAAACTTCATCTCGTTTCTTTGGAATCACACTTTTTACTTTGATTGGAAATTTTTCACTCATTTTATAGTTTTTCATAATTTTAATTTTATTCAAAAAAAAAGTTTAATTAAATTTAACTTAAATATTCAAACTAAGTGCACTGTCTTCGAGTGCAAAAACTAAACTGATTTAAAAAGAAAAATCAATGAACCATTGCTGATGAAAAATTAAAAAAAAAATAATTTACTTAAGCTGAAAATAAGCTAATCCAATATGCGAAGCAGAGAAAGATGATTTTCGATGCCCAGTGAAACGTGACTTATTGAGTCTTAGTGAAGTGAAAATTTGGCAAATGAAAATGTTTCAATCAAAATCAGAAAAGTTAAATGAGTGGTCAAAGAATGAACTTTATAGATTGCTCTCTTTTTTACTGCTGTTGCTATCTCAAAATGCATAAACATCTCTACAGGGGCGTAGCCAGAGAGGGGAAAGGGAGGGAGGTCCTTAGGTGGCCGGGCACCCCATTTCAGATTGAAATTTCATACAAATTTTTTTAAAATAATAAAAAAAATCGAATAAAAAAACGTTTTATTGATTTTTAAAAAAATGGGACCCCCTCCCAATGAAAATTCCTGGCTACGCCCCTGCATCCCCAAAATATTTACTTAAATCATACGTTGACTGCATCAAAAACGAGATTTACCTGATTTGTGTTGAATCATTAAGCAGATTGCTTCTGTATTTACTCAAAACTTTATGTATATCTTTTCACAGCATGTAGCGATCATCTGAAGTTCTTTAATTGAGCACTTAGATGCTTCGTTGATTTTCATGTAAATTATTTTAAAAAAATTTGCATTTTTTTGAATTTTATATAATTTTTTTTATGGTACACAATACTTAATTACTTTAAGTATGTTCCTATGTGGATGTTCGGTTACAACAAAAGGTTTTCCATCTGACTCTGATGCTGGCTCTGTCACCTGGTTTGTGCAACTTCTCCGGTACGCATAAAGTTTACTAATTAGTGTTGGACAACATGTTGCTAAGGTAGAAGATATGAAGCTAGCTGTAATGTCATAAGCATAAATCCTTGTCATATCGACAACGTTTTTTTTACAAATTATTCGAGATCGATCTCTGGTTGGAATTGAGCCCACTTCGTCACAAAAGATGGTTCTAGCAGATTCGCCTATAAATGGCTCAATCCACCAGATTCCATTCTTCCTAGGCTCCGCACTGTCTTAACATTTTATTTTAAAAAATATTCAAATTAAAAAAACAATCAAATCAAAAATCAACAATTTAAGTGCAATAAATAGTCAACAAATCTAAACATTCACAATAGTTCCATAAATTCGAAACTTAAAAATCATTTTATTTTCCTTGAACCAAGTCACTTCTCCTGCATAATCACCTGATGGTGCAATCACTTTTGGAAGTTTATCAAGGTCCAATGAGAAGCCGTATATTTTGTAAGTTCCCTGTAAACTCAAATGCTTAATAGTTTTTAAATCCACCTTTGCTGCGCCAAAATGCTCTCAGTGCACATAATGACTTGATTAAAAAAATGCAAAAAATCAAAAAATTTACCGCTTTCAGTGGACAATTTCCTTCAAGAGTTTTTGGAAAATCAGATTTATCAGCCAATTCTGGATACACGTAAGCATCATTTGCATAGAACTGACACATTGGTGTTTGTGGAAATCTGTAAGGCATTTGTCTATATTCTCCACCTTGCTTCATGAATCCTCTACCTTCAACTATAATTTCATCTCCAAGTGGTTGATAAATAATAACATCCCCAATAACTGACCGAGTTTTGTTGAGTTTTTTGACTTTTACTCCTGTCCAGTCTGTATATTTCTCATCGGCAAAAATCTGCTCAACCCGGTCGATTTGAACGTCAAAATAGGCACTGTTGTGTCCCTAATTTATTTAATTTAATAACAATTTTAATCAAAGTTTAATTTAAACTTACTGTTGGAATTTGAAGAGCTTCTAAGGATGTGTAAAGGAATAAAGCACAGATTAAAAATCTTTTTGACATTTTACTAAGCTTGTTTTTCACTCGACGTTAAAATTGTGATTGAGAGTCAACAATCAATGAGTTATCAAATTTAACAAAGATTTTCAATTAAAAAAAATGATGTTTTGTTGATTTTATCGTCGAATTTGTTTGATGAAAATCGGTAAATATTGAAAATTATTTTCAAAATTTTAGAAAAAACTATCAAGTCAACACGTGCTCAAAAATTAGACAATTAATGTATTTATGTCACATGTTTTGCTATCATGTACTTACCTTTGATAAATGAACCTTATAGTCATGCTAAAATTAGTGAATTAAAAGTCTGATTAAAATTCTAGAATCGAAATTGCATTGAAAAAATTCTAGAATTTTAATTAGAATTTAATAAAATTTGATTTCAATTCCAATTCTATTTCGATTCTAAAATCAGCATTTAAATTAAACGAATCAATTCTTCAACTGCTTAGTTCCGTGGTACTGAGCCCCTTCTGAAAAAGTCATGAAACGTTGAGAAATGGAGAAAAAACAGTCAATTGGACACATCCAAAATTTTATTTCTCCATTTCTCAACGTTTCATGACTTTTCCAGAAGGGGCTCAGTACCACGGAACTAAGCAGTTCAGCTTGTTCCTTCAGGCCCATATTGGACCATATACTCATATTTAACCTAATAATGCAGCAAATGCCTTCATTTTTGTTCAGTTCCTGTCGAAACATCAAGTTATTGGTAAAATTTTATGGAAGAATTTCAATTAAAATTCCAGAATTAATTCGTTTAATTTAAATACTGATTCTAGAATCGAAATAGAATTGGAATTGAAATCAAATTTTATTAAATTCTTATTAAAATTCTGTCAGAATTTAAATTCACTAGCCTAAAATTGCAAAAAATGTTCAATTCTTTCATAACAATCGATTAGTTTTCTATAAAAACTCAACAAAGTAATCAAAAGCTTAAAAATCTTGTGACACACAATGTTGTTGCACTTTCAGCTGGTCATTGAAAGATGGCAGTACTTGTTACTATTCATAAACTGAAAGTTATCGTGATCGTTCTCAATATTTTATCAGTTATTTGCGTGTGTCTTCACGGTTTTTAAATTGTGAAGAGATATTAAGATCTGATATGTGAACAAATGGTCAATTATTCTTGTTTATTGCAAGTTTATTGTTGTGTCGTTCTGAATTTGAAAGCATGAGCTGGTTGTTAAAGAATGGTAAATTTAATTGTAAATTGTCATGATGTATGATCAATTATGTTGATCTCGATAGACCATTTTTTAAGGTTAATGGATTCTTTGTTTATAATTATTAAAGTCACAATGGAAATCTTTGATTTGTTGCATTGTTGAAATTTGAAGATTTCAAGCTTATATTAAAATTTTATTCTAAGGATTCAATTAAGAAAAGACCTAAGCCAAAGCTTAAAAACTAATGAATCTCTCCTTTAACGTTTTAAACCGCACAACAGATCATCGTTCGCAGTATCGCTTCTGCTCTAAGCCAAATCCTACATTACATTCCATCTTCTATCCACCTTTTAAGAACCTTTTAATCAAAATATGAACAAAATTAAACAGCTCTCTTTCTACTTGATTTACATAGAATAGTGGCAGTAATCATGAAATTGTGCAAACATGACACATTCAGTGCAATGTTCTACTCTCTTTAAAAATATTTCACATATAAAACCTAAAATTGCTTTTACGCGAAAAAGAAAACTTTCCCAAAATTACAATTACAAATTCCCAAGTAAAAGTAAAATGCACAAAAAATTTAATATTCAACACAAAAATGCCTACAACCGGCGCATTCAAAGCAATAGTCAATTCAGTCACACTCGCATCAGCTGCTGATTGTGTTAATTATCGAAGCTTCGTTTATTTCAAATTTACTATTTTTGTGAGAAAATGTCTCTCATTTCTATTTCTCTACTTCCTCCTCAATTCGGTACTTTTAAATATCGCGCGTGCTCAAAAATTTAAAAAATCTGTTTATTGAGTATTCAACATTCTGTACATACATTCAGTACATTTTTATCGTTTGAATAAGTCGTACGTGTTTTTAAAAGAATATTTTTTTTTTGTGCTGCTCATTTGAATTTTTAAGGCACATCGAGGACTATATAAGCAAATTCAAAGGTCATTATTAAGCATTGGATTATTACGAGTGGATTCTTTAAAATTTTGCTGATTTTTTCGTTTATTTTAATTTTGTGACTTTTAAAAAAGTGAGTAAAATTTTTGGTTGGTTTTAACAATTAGCGGTGATTGAAAAGAAATTAAAAAGTTTGCTGATTAAGTTTTTTTCTAAAGATTGAAAATTTAAAGATTTGAAAACATTGTGATAAAATGAGATTAATTAATATCGCAGTCATGTGGAGTCATTGAATGGATTTTTGATGCTCTAATTAGTGAAAAAATTAATTAAGTGTGAACTTAAGAATTCAATTTTAATTTTCTTTTATTTTACAAATAAATTTTTATATGAAGCTTTTAATTCATCTTAAAATAAATTAAAATAAAATTAAAAATGATTTTAATTCTTTTAACGATTGTTCTTCGATACATATTTTGAATTAAAAAGGGATCCATTAAAGCTCCGGTTTTCTTTGCATCCAAACATCCCCAAAAACATTCATTAGGATCAACATTCATTCAAATTTCTAAAGAATCTGTCTCTAAAATATGAAATTCTCATTAAAACTCAATGAAATCATTTTTTAAGCATCTAGAAATTATTTCCATTCCAAATGTTCATTAGAATCCAGTAAGACATTTAATATTTAATCAACAACAACTATCAAATTGACAGCTTAAGAACAAAAATTGAATTCATTTTCAAGGTTGCAACTTCAATTATTCATTCTTTTGTTTATTTATTAAAAACATTTCAATTGCATGTGGTAATAAAATCAGGACATCAGTTGTGATTTAAGTCATAAGTGATCAGAAGTACTTTTTTCTTCTTTTTTTCCAAAGTCAGATTTAAAAAATAAATTTAATAATTTTAACCTTAATTATTGAAACCTGGCTGTCTCGATTACCTGATCCGGGGTTTTTGGGGATCGAGTTGAACATAAAAAAATTAAAAATCTTTCATTGTCAGATAAGCCGTACACTTATGTCGTCCAGGAGGTTGTTTTTTTTTGAAAAATGACCGATAATTTCGGACGTCATAAGTGAATAACCCTTAAGATATTCAAGTTCTAATTTTGGTTCCGATTTGAAGAAATTTCGCAAAACCGAAAATCGCGAAAGTCTAATTCAGTGTTGTGCAAACTGTGTGCTACGGCACACTATTGTGTGTGTGTGTGTGGTTGTGTGTGTGTTTTGAAAATACCACGAACTGCACGCTTTGTGCGGTTTTGGACATAGCTTACTATCAATGTGTGCCGTAGGTCAAAAAGCTTGCACAGCACTGGTCTAATTGAAACTTAAACTTTTCTAAAATAATCTCCGATATTCGAAGATTGTAAAAAAATTGAAATTTTTATTATTTTTGATAAAAAAATCTTTTATTTTTTAAATACAGAATGTTTAAGCTTTGAGGTGCTTTGAGGTTAAAAATTAAAAAAAAAATAAATATGAATAATAATGAGAATCAAAAATAAGCGATAGTGCAACAAAATTGCAAAGTCGACAATTCGTCAAGCACACCAGCATAAATTTATGATTAATAATTATATATGGACAATAATTTGAATATGAATGCTGACCAATAATTAAGCTAATAATCATATCATGTAATATGTAATTTAACTTTGCACAAACGTTAGAAAAATAATGAAAAATTCTAATCTGATTTGATTGCTGAGCGATTTCTAGTGTATAATTTCAAAAGTCTTTGTTTAGTGCATTGTTTAAATGTTAATGTGATGAAAAATCAACCCACAATTGAAAAACAGAACAACAAAAGTAAAAGTTCATAAACCAAAAATGTAATCAATAATTTTAATGCTCTTTTTATAATTTGAATCATGAAATAAATGTCAGATGTTAAATTATTTTAAAAATCTTACATTAACCAGCTTTTTATATACTTGACAATTGACCCGGAAGTTATTTGTTTTCACTCATAATTAGCATCGAGTCTCACTCAACTTACAAGTTCAATGTCAAACTATGTACGATAATTTATTGATAATTTTTCACCTTTTCTCATTAATTTTTTTCTACATTTTCTTTGAACCTCAGTTTTAAATTCTCGTTGTCTGTCAGACTGTCACAACATATGTAATAACATAGCAGGGAATTTTGACAAATAATTCAAAAGGTCGTGAAACTAAGATTACTTTTTTTGCCATTGAATTCTATGAAATTCATAAAATTGGGTTTTAATCAAGGGGAAAACTACTTCATGGGTTAAAAAAAGGGAAATTTTCCATCAAAAATGGTAAAAAAGGTAAATTTCCCATCAAAATTTTTACCATCCAAGTGGTTTTCTCCATGGTTTTAATTCAAGAATTTAAAATGTTTTATTTTAAAGAACATCAACCGAAAATGCGCATTTGTCCCGCAAACATTTCTTCTTGTTTGCAATTAAAATTGAAATTATTAAACAAGTGTATAAATCAACAGCAAGTTAAACTTGCTACTTTCATTGAACGCATTCACGTTACTGAATTTAAATTTGTTTAGATCTTTTTGTGCTTCAATACATGTGCTACTATTGTACTTGGTTGTAGTGACGCTTGATTGTTGAAACTTAATACTTGAAGAGGCTAGTTTTTGCTGATCTAAAGTGTTTTTTTAAAAAAAATGTTAGTAGTAATGAAGGAGAGGAAAAGATAATTGTAAATATTAAAGCAGTGGTTCTCAACCTTTTTACAGCACGACACACATGTCATCAATCTTTTGGTGGAGCACCCAAGATTTTTCTCACGGAGAACTAAAGCTCCGCGGAACAAAGTTTAAGAAACAATGTACTAACGTCATTAGACATTAATCCGAAAATAAATTGGATTTTAATTTAAGTTTTTGAAAGCTATTCATGATGGCTTTGTAGTTTAAAAAAGTAGACGCTCCAGAGAAAGGCAAAATGATGAGAATTTTGAAGGTCAATAGGAATAAAAATGCCCAGAATACTATATCGATTAATTTTTCAAATCCTAAAGGACAAAACTGTTTAAACAATGCAAAATACATATAAAATATTCATTCATTATAGCGACCATAAAATGGCTTGTGACAATTATAGCTTTTGTCAAGAAAAATCTAAATTATTTACAACCAATGTCTGACTAGATTCTCACATAAATATCCTCATTCAAATTATTGCTAGACATTTAATTTTGCTTAGAAGCATTTGAAATAATTGTATTGAAGTTGATTCATATATTGACTGATTGTAAAAATCAAATTAATATCAATTTATAGATCTTCTAATGATTTTAATTAATATAAAAACTTAGATAGAAACAATTCAAAAATTAGGACAATGCTCATGACTTTAGAAAACGGTAAAAAATCAGTTATTTGCTAAATTGAAGTCAAACTACGACAAACAAAAAGTGAAATTATCAAATTTAATTCACGCGCTTACCAAAGTTGAACAAGACATAAGAAAATAATTGATAATCAGAGATTTGTAAAAAAAAATTATAAATGAAAGGTAAAATGAAAGTAAAATAGATCAAGTCATCTAAAATCTCTTAGATAATGAAAATAGGAGAAAAGGAGTTCATTGAACTTGACCTTTGATGGATTGGGAAAGCCGAAGTCTGACTTCAAAGCTGACCAAATGTCAAGTGCATACCTTCTCTTGGATATGGATTTTCAATGGATACCATTGATACCGCTAAGTCCACTGCTGCCATCCGAGCCCTTTGCCGGAATAAGTACTTTAAAGGATAGATTAAAAGTCTATCAAAACAACCTCGCCTGTAGGGTGGCAGCCCCACATTTAAGCTGGATATGGTGAAGTTTACAACCAACCGTTCCCGAAATCAACATGTACAAAGAAAGCAACATAGATAAACAGGACTGAAACTTGAAATTTGATTAATCATTCATTAAAACTATTAATCTTCTTACAACGACTATGTCTATTAACGAAGGACAAATTCAGAATCCAATTTATATTTGATACAAATCTTTAAATTCCCTCTTAAGTAATGAAATAACATATTTTTCTATGTTGAGCATAAGTGTTCAAAAAACCAGCTCTTTGATCAACAGATTAACATCAATTTATGATAAAATATTATGCGAATCTCTAATCAAGCAAAATGAATTTTTACAAACAAATCAGCTCAAGTTGAATCATAAATATTATCAAGCACTCTCATCTAGTCATCCAACCGCAAAATTATTAAACACATGTTAAATATCAGACAGTCTTGCTTACGTTTTTCATATTTGTGTTTACGTTATTACCTCACATTCGTTTCCTCTTCTCAATTCTTCTTTTATTCACTACCGCGCATTCGTCTCTTCTCACATCGATACAGAATTATGCACATCCATTTCATGGTTCAAACTTCTTTTCTCTCAACTCTCGTTTTGCTACTCTGAAGATGATCATTTTGCCATAAAAAATTATTTCTTCTCCTCTCGAATGTGCGTTGAGTTTTACGCGAGATAGTTGTAGTTTACATTTTGAGCTGAAACGACTGAAAAAATCAATTTTTGTGTTTTTGTTATTCCGTTGATTTAAAAAAAAAAAAACTTAAGTTTTGTGGATTGGATTGGAAATTATGAAATAATTGTGTGAAAAAATAAAAATCATTGAGTTTTAGGAAGTTACAAAAAAAATATAAGCGATACAAAAGATTACTTTTTGATCCATACGCAGTTCCTATAACAAAACAACACCAAAGATAAACGTTAAATAAACAAGAATTAAAAATGCTGAGAAATAGAAAAGATGGCAAAATTATCTCAGATGTAAGAATCAAATTTATTAGGTTTTTTGGGCTATTAACAATATTTTCGAAATATATTCTTGGGTTTTTTTAAAAAACCACCCGGAAATTGACAAATATTCAAAGAATCATGCTGAATTTTTTTGACATGCTAAAGGCATAAGCTTTAGATTTTTGAATGCTTATTTACATACTTGTATGTTTATGGTGCCTTTACTGAGGTTAAGTGATTAGCTAACGCTATATTTTGACAGTATGACACTAAAAAGTAAGAGTACGTTTAAACCACTGATATTTACAGCAGAGCATCTAGTTTGAATAAGTTCTAAAGCATCCAAAATCCACCATTCAAACCATTCCCACAATCGACAAATAAGTCCTCAATTGCTAATTTAGTTTAATGACTCAAATGCATCTTTAACGGTTGCTGCATATTTCTTTGCATATCCAAACAATCTCGTAATAAATTTCACCATAAAACCTGATATGTAAGCTTTCCTTCCTCTTTAAGAAGATGTTGCAATCGGACCATGAACTCTATAATGAACATAAAATGCATACAAAATATTCTTGTGTAAAAACATGTTGTGAGATTATACAGCAAAAGAGAACTGAAGATGTTAGTGAAATAAATCATTGAAGACAAAAAATGTTAAATTTTACTCGAGAAAAATCAATACAGCTGAAAAAAAGATTAAACAGGTTATTTTTCTTCAGAAATTATGCAATATTATTTTGGTAAATTCTTGTGGCATAATTTATTGACAATTATTAAATTATGAAGTTTGATTACAAAGTCATCGGACGTTTGATTTAAAATGCTGAGTTCTGGCGAAATTACATTGAAAATAGAGGATTTATGAGCTTTTAAGCATTTAATATTTACTTTAATAATCATTTACCTCACATTTTTTTCGAATCTTTAACAATTAGTGATCTGATTCATCTTCGCGAAGCGTAGCATACGTTATTAATTTTCAATGCTGACGATAAAAAATTCAACCTTGAGGAAATCTTCAACAGACCAAAAAATATTTTATTTTGTGATTAAATTGAATTTATTATCTAAAGCAGTGTTGTCCAATATTTTTGAGCCACGGCAAACCTTAGCGGTAAACCATGACTAAAGTTGCATACAGCGTACGGTTTGAGTCACTTTAAAAATTTCTGCGGCATTCTAATGTACCCCGGTACACAGTTTGGACAACACTGATCTTAATCAGAAGCATAAAACAGAAAAAAATGATTTCGTTCCTTTTGGTAAATAAATTAGTGTTTTATGGCATCTGTAGATCGAAGTCCACAAGTCAAAAAGGGTTTTCATGGTAAATGTGTCCGTATCATTTGTTAATGAGACCCTCGAACTAATTAAGGTCTTCAAATTCATAATTTTCAATAATATTTTATGTCAAAAAGTTGCTTTAAACCATTCGAAACAGCTCAATTATTAGCAATATTTAAAAAATTCATGTTCCATTATTTCTCAACTTTAATTTTTTTTCAATTTGTTTTTTCAATGGAACCACAAATACAAGTCTTTGGCGACCACAAATATGTGCTAATAATGAAAGACAATAATTACGGGCTACTTGTGATCGACATCAAGTGCGATGAAGGTCATACGTAAAAAGAAAATAAAGACATTGAACTTTTTTTTTAGTTGAATGAGTTGCAATAATTTGGATTTTTGGAGATTATTGAATTAAACCCGTTTCACAAATTCATTTATGTCTGGAAAGTTTTTATAAATTCTTGAATTAAATTTGAAGAATATTTTGCAGCATCATTAAGGTGTGGTGCTTTATATTAAGGATGAATTGTGGACAATAAAGGGGTCCTCGATTTAAATACATTTGTTCGAGGAAGATTCAAAATTTAAATATTTTTGGCAATGCATATCGAATCTTTTTAAATCAAAGTCTTCTTGTTAAACAATAGTGACTTATAAAAGAGCAAGCCAGAAATCGAATTGTCAAAATGATTAAAATTTCAAACAACCAACAGAACAACTCAATACTAAGCATGTAAAAATCCTGCAAATGAAAGATTTGTAGATTTCTATGATTTTTTAATTTTATTCAACAACCAACTTACAAGTAAATAATAAACAGTTCTTTAGTCATTAAACAAATTGCTCAGTTGAGAAGAGATTTGTGGTTGAATTCAACAGTATTTCTGTGATGAGTTCTGATGATTATAATAACTTTAAAAATCTATGTAGAGTAACAGTAACAATATTTATGTAGTAAAAGAAGTTATTGACCGAAAGTAATAATAACATTGCATAGGTTATGTTGCAAGCGGGTTAGAAACAGTAAATGGCAGAGATCGAATTCGATAGGGTTCGAGTTGACTCGACTCGACTCAAAACCGAGTCGACTCAACTTTCTTCAAATCGACTTAGAACTCTGGTAAATGGCATAAGTAGAGAAAACTCATAAAATGGATGCAGACTTCTGCTGATGACAGAAGTGTACCTACAATTATTTTAAAATTATCTTCAATATGCTAGGAGAAAAATTCCATAAACTCCCCAAAACCTATACGATCCTGGTATTATGAAGTTTAAGATCCGATTTTAGACGTTTTGATTTAAAGTAACGTAATTAAAAAAACTTTATTTTTAGAACCTCATTTGCAACTTAAGAATAATCTTTAAATGCACAAATAAGCTTTTGAGGTTTTGAAATTTTACTTTGCTTACTTTTTACTGTAACCATGTTCCCAAGTGAAGCTTAAGTTACAACAAGAGGTCTTGCATCTGACTCTTAAAAAAATCTTTAAAACTCTCAAATCTGCAGAAGAAGATAATATTTGAAAACCTATTTTAATTCAAAAATCAAATAAAGAAAAAGTTTCTAAATTATTTTTCTTAATTTTACCTAAAAAGTTTCAGTTTTTCCATAAGCAAAGGAAAATAAATTAAAAATAGTTTTACACTTAAGTTGGTCTGATTAACATTATTTTAAAAATGGATATGATGAAGACTTTCAGTAAAAAAAATTTGGCAATTTCTGTGAGTTTTAAATCTGCTGAACCATTTTATGACTGAATATATAAAAAATTAATTATAGTTTTCAAAAAAATTGACTTATTTTTACAAGTTGAAAACTTAATTTTAATTATTAATTTTTTAGGCAGACGACATCAAATCAGACTTGTCTACTGATTTCCTATCAAGTGAAAAACTGCTTAAAATCAAACCCGCAAAAGTAGACTCAACAGATATGAATGCATACAGCAATGTTATGGACCGACTCCGTTCAACCTTTTCGAGCGGCAAAACAAAAGATATAAAATTCCGTAAGAAGCAGCTTGAAGCAATGTTAAAAATGTACGAAGAAAATAGAGATGAAATTTGTAGCGTTTTGGATGCTGATTTGCGGTAAGAATTGTTTTTTTTTTGCTTTTTTATAATTAAATAATTTTATTTTAAACTTTTCAGGCGTCCAAAACAAGAAGCTATTGTTTTTGAAATCGATGTGATGACTAATGAGATTCTGCATTTATTAGCGCATATGGATGAGTGGTCTACTCCTACAAAGGTAAGAAAATTTTAAAAATTGGTTAGCAATCGCAGAGTCGATTTGAAGTCAATTGGATTACTTATAGCAGTGTTGCTCGAACTTTTTTGAGCCACGACACCCCTGAGGGGCAAGCCATGACCAAAGTCGAACACAACATACGGCTCAAATCATTTCAAAAAAATTCCAAAATCACCAGTGTGCCGCGGCACACAGTTTGAACAACACTGAGTTTTAGTGTAAAAATAACTTAGCCAAGATACTAACATTAATCACGTTCATAAATCAAATCCTTGAAGTTATTAATTAAGATCTCACGTTTTAGTATAATTTTATTAAAGTCAATTATTTCTTGTAATTGGTCATAATAACAATATTATTAATTTTACTTCATTTGTGTACGTTTTATGTTGCATTAATTTGCATAATTGTTGATTATTGGCTTAAGATTGAGGCGATTTGCATTTTTGAATTTTAGTTCAAGAATTAACATATTTTTTTATCCAATTATAGCCTACAAAAGGTCTAGCAAATCTCTTCGATGAGGTTCTTGTCTATAAAGAACCATACGGAGTAGTACTGGTCATTGGTGCTTGGAATTATCCAATTCAGCTCAGTCTTGTTCCTATGGCAGCTGCAATCGCTGCTGGAAATTGTGTTGTTTTAAAACCTAGCGAAGTTTCATCTCATAGTGAAAAATTTTTGATTGAGAAGATACCGAAGTATTTGGACAATGTAAGGAAAAATTGACATGCATTTTTTGAAAATCATTTTCAAACCTCAATTCATTTTAGGACTGCTATCAAGTCATCGCAGGAGGCGCTGAAGAAACAACAGAACTTCTTCGAAACCAATTTGATTATATTTTCTATACAGGATCAGGACGTGTTGGTCAAATTGTCTATACAGCAGCCACAAAATATATGACACCCGTGACACTTGAACTTGGAGGTAAATCGCCTTGTTATGTTGATGATTCAGTTGATATTGGACGATCGGTTCGAAGAATTTTATGGGGCAAAAACAGTAATGCTGGACAGACTTGCATCTCGCCTGATTATATTCTTTGTACCAAAGAAGTTGAAAAGAAATTGGTTGAAGAATTTAAAGCTGTGATTAAGGAGTGGTATGGAGATGATGTACAAAAGAGTCCTGATTATGCTAGAATAGCTACAGATGGACATTTTAAGTATGTAGATATACAATTTAAGTAGTTTTATAAATTAATTCAATTTTTTTACATTCATAGACGCCTCACAACATTCCTCACTAATGGAACTATAGCTGCTGGTGGTAAATATGATCCTGTCGACCGATTCATTGAACCAACACTATTAATTGACCTGAATCCAAGTGATCCAGCACTTCAAGAGGAAATTTTTGGTCCAATAATGCCAATTGTAACAGTTAATGATGTCCATGATGCTATCGATTACATCAATGCTAGAGACAAGCCACTGTCAATGTACATCTTTACAAACAACACAAAAGACAAGAGTTTAATGATTGCAAGCACTTCAGCTGGTGCAATTTGTGTGAATGACACTGTACAGCATTTCGCAAGTAACATTCCATTTGGTGGCGTTGGACCAAGTGGGATGGGAAAATATCATGGGAAGAACAGCTTTGATACATTCACACATGAGAAGGGATGTCTTGAGAAGTCAATCAACTTTTTTGTTGAGAAATTGGGAGAGTAAGTATTATATTTGAGAATTTAATTACGTTATGTGGAATTATTTTGATAAAATATTAAATTTAATTACTTTTACAATTTTTAGTGCTCGATATCCACCATATAGTGACTGGAAAGAATCATATTTAACATCATTAATGAAATTTAGAAATTATTGGAAAGTTCCATATTTCTCTCAAATTGTGATGTTCTGCCTGGGAATAGCTGCAACTGTATTATATCAAAAATATGGAAAATCAAACTAAGTAGATTAAAGGACTTGGAGATAGATGTCAACACAAGGGGCAGTTTTTCGTCATACACCTGCACATACTTATAAGGTTTTATCTTTAAAGGAAGAGTCAGCGTATCATTAGCGGTAGATGCACGAGTTAAGTTTAAGGGATTCAAAAGCTTAAATGTAAAAATTAAAGACTTGTAAGATAAGTTTTTGTTCAGCTTGGAGATTAAAAAGCATAAATTATTTAAAAAAGTTTAAATCATATATGTAATAGAAAATTGTGAGAAATATTATTATTACTAATATTCTATAAAAATTTATAATAAATCATCAGCACGATTCCTATAATAAGTAATTTAAATTTTAAATTAGATTTGTTTTCAGTTCTTTCAGGTTTAAATTTAAAATTAGGTTCAATATTGTGTTGTCTAATCAATAAAATGAATGGTACTAAAAGTGACACTAGCAGACTTTGTGGATTGAAAGAGATCGTGTGACTGAAGTACCACGGCATGAAGTGTCCAATCACTTTGAAACTTTGCCAGAATTAAGTCCATATTACGTCCAATTGCGCCCAACAAAAAAATAATTGTGTCCTACTTCCTGTGGCTGGATATAGCAGGTTCCATTTTTGGGAATTATGCCGTCGTACTTCAGGTTTTAAAACGGCATCATTTCCAAATATCAACTTTATTAGACATATTATACATCAAAATTGATCTTTTAATTACGTCCAATTGCGTCCTGCAAAATTTTTTGGAATTGGATATAGCCAACAAGAGTTATAAGAGTAAATGCCATAGGTCGAAAATGAATTGGACTTACATAATTCTATCAGATTTAAGCTGCTGAGGAAAAGTAGACGTGTTTTGATATATAACATGATAGGATTTGGGCAAAAAAAATATTGGTCCACAAAAAGTACTGTCCAAAACTTTGGCAGTCCATAACTCTTGTTGGCTATATCCAATTCCAAAAATTGCAGGACGCAATTGGACGTAATTAAGAGATCAATTTTGATGTATAATATGTCTAATAAAGTTGATATTTGGAAATGATGCCGTTTTAAAACCTGAAGTACGACGGTATAATTCTCAAAAATGGAACCTGCTATATCCAGCCACATGAAGTAGGACACAATTATTTTTTTGTTGGATGCAATTGGACGTAATATGGACTTAATTCTGGCAAAGTTTCAAAGTGATTGGACACTTCATGCCGTCGTACTTCAGTCACAGAAGAGATCAAGAGAAAGACTGAAGAATTCTTGGATTGGTTGTGTTGAAGAGGACGCTAGAGTCCTTATCAGGGGCGTAGCTTTAAGAGGGGTGAGGATTTTTGTGATTTTTTCATAAAAACCCTAGCAAAATAAAAAAAATTATGCTTACTTTAGTAGATTTGTCCCCCCAAATCCCCCCCCCCCCCCCCGTGGCTACGCACCTGGTCCTTAATATCCCAAACTGGCAAAAGGTGTCGAAGAATAGAACTGTCTTTAAATGTTCTCTAAGCGCGGTAACGGGCCTAAGTGAGCCCCAGCCAAAGAAATAAGTAAGTAAGCAATGAATAAAGACTCATACGATAATAACGGACTAAACATTTTTAAATCAAAAGCTTTGTAAGTGCTAAAATCTTTTTAGACCCGTGAGCTTTGGTCATGTCAATCAAACCAGCAATTAAAAAATAATAAATATAGAAACTTATGTCCAATTTCGTTATGTTTTCTTCTCGTGGTTTCAAATTATTAAGTTGTCAAACTTTAAAGTTTAATAAAAATTTGATGCTGTCGTATCCACAGTAATGACAGTTTTGTTATACAATAAATCTACAATGCATACAAGTTCATTTTAATTTAATCTGATTATCTTGATCACACAACCTTTTCATGAAATGATAAGAAAATTAAACAACAATAGTATTCAGCATCACAAAATATATTAGTCTTATTTGTCGCTTGTATCATGGCATCACGCAGGAATTCAAGTTTTCCACCTCAAAAAGTAGAAAGACTGCTTCTTAAACATGGCAGACGCAATGTGAAAGCTGAAAATTTACCTGATAAATTCATCAAATTTACAAAGGATATTGTCCACACATTAGTTGAGATGCCTTGGCGTAAATTGTTATTCATTGTCATCATGACATTTTTCACAACTTGGACATTTTTTGGCATTGTTTATTACGTCATTGCTTGGACTAATGGTGATCTAGTATTTGATGAAATAACTGGTGAGAGGATGATTGGTGATCGGGATCCTTGTATTATGGGAGCTAGAACCTTTGCGGGATTCTTTTTGCATAGCGTTGAATCACAAGTGTCAACTGGGTGAGTAGAGGCTACTTGATCAGATAGACCAGTGTTGTCCAAATTGTGTGCCGGAGAAATTGTTTTCAAATGACGCGAGCCGCATGCTGTGTAGCTTACCCCTAAGGAGTGCCATGGCTCAAAGAAGTTTGGACAACACTGAGATAGACAGACATCCAAAACAGGCGAACTAGATATAACAGACAAGACTGTCAAGACAAACAAAAGAGACAAGATAAATTGTTTAATAGATTTACAAAAAATAATTTTAGCTACGGAACGTGGTATCCATCTGAAGAATGTCCATCAGCTATAACTGCCCTTATAACCCAATTAGTCTTTGGACTAATAATTGATTCAGCAATTGTTGGTATCGTAATTCAAAAGCTAACTCGTCCACCAAAACATGTATACAAAGAATTCAGTAAACACGCTGTCATCTGTTTAAGAGATGATAAATATTGCTTACTATTTAGAATAGCTGACTTTAGACATACACGATCAATAGATAGTAAGATAAGAGCTTATCTATTTGAAGATGTATTGACTGAAGAAAATTACATTGAAAAGAGACAGAGTAGATTGAAAATTGAGGAAAGTGGGAGGCTCTTTATGCTGTGGCCGCAGATTGCTTGCCATATTATTGACAAAAACTCGCCATTATATAGGATGGGACCAAGAGACTTTGCTGAAATGAAGTGAGTTAAATTACTTTAGAGTTTTCACTCAAATTTTTTAAATTTTTGTGAAATTTTTCAAGTTTTGAAATAATCATTGGACACAAGGGAGAATCCAGCTACTCAGGTCATACAACTCAAGCACGCACAAGTTATCTTGCTCGAGAAGTCCTCTGGGGATTTCGATTTGTCAACATTACTTCATTTGATGATGAGAATGAATGTTTTGTTGCTGATGTAGATGCAATGGATGATATCAAGCAAGTTGAAATGCCTCAATACTCTGCCAAAGTTTATGATCAATTAAAGACCGTTGGTGATGGAAATGAAATTGTGTGGAGGAGTGAATTAAGAAGATTTGATGTTGATATGATAGAAAGTGCAATGTAGATGTTTTAAATCGAATTCTTAAAATATATTTTTAACTTTCATCACAGGTCTGTAAAAAAAGTTCTTAAAATAATACGAAAAATAAAACCTAATTTCCTGTTTATTTTCCATTTTAATTAATTCATTCATTTTCTAAAATCAAGACAGTTTTAGAAATATCTAGGGGGGGGGGGGGGAGAAAAAACGAAAATTGCTATAAAAAAATCCAAAAATGTTTCCTTTGGTGCTTCAGTTCCTTTAAATTTGACTTTTTCAATTTCGTTTGTGGAGTACTTGGAAATTTCATCACAGTAAACATTTTTGGGTTTTTTTTTCATAGCAATTTTTGCTCTGCCCCCCCCCCCCCCCTGGAAATATCCATGTATTAAATATCCAGCACGGTTTAACCTTTTAAATCGTTTATAATCTCTAGAAATCTTGACTCCAGACGAGTCGACTCGAGAAAAGTTGAGTCAACTCGAACCTTATCGATTTTGAGCTTTAATAAAAAATCATCAATAGTCAAAAATTCTTTATCAATTATCTGAGTGCGATGCTGTTTGAGTCAGATTTAGGTGCATTCTAGCTTATCTGTGAGAACTGAAGTGGCTCGGTTGCGAAATGGTTTAGTTCTTCGGTACCTAATTATTGAGGAGGCTCACAGCCTTCCTTTGTGGGCTACAGGCAGAAATATCATCAAAGAGTGGTTCGGATCCCACTTTAAATTTTAGGTCTAGGTTTGAGTGCAGTGGTTTGGCACATCCTCACTCTTTGAACTCTCATTAGCTGCGAAACGCCCTAGCGCACCTTTGGATCACAATTAATCTGAATAGGTAAAGCTTTTTTCTAGCGTATCTGTCTATATCAAGTGCACAAAACTGATATACTAACTTTTGAACTTTTTGATCTTTTTTGGTCAGTTTGGCACTGTGATATACAACATAAAGCTTGACATTATTTTTTATTTATTATCCATGGGCTTTTGAAAATAGGAAGAGTTGAGAACTTATCTCCTGGAAATGGAAGATTTTGAATCAACGGTACAATAGATTCCATCACAAATGAGGCACTGCGATCCTGATCGATGATGGAATCTATTGTACCGTTGATTTAAAATCCTCGTTGCCACAAGTAACACATTGCTTGGCTGGAATCCTCTCACATTATTATTAAGAATTAATCAGCTACATATCAAATATTAAAATTTATATTAGTTCAAACTTTTTAAGCCACAGCACACGCTGCGGTTCATAATATTTTTCAAAAAAAAAAATTACAACACACAGTTTGGAAAGTTCTTACTTATCTGATATCTATTTTAATGACATTAATCGTCACTGTTTTCTAAACAAAGTTTGAGAATTATAACTTAGACCTTCAAGAAATCAAACAAAATTTAACCAAAAAATAACGATGCTATAATTTCGTAATATTATTAATTACAGTACAAAGTAATACTTTCTGTGTTCTTAGTCAATAAAATCAAAAAAAAATATCTTAATCCTCAACTACGCATTCATGAACTTTTTCTTATCATAATATTCTTCTTATTCATCAAAAATTACACAATATTCTGTCATATAAAAGTACGAGTATATCATAATATTCTTCTTATAGCAACGCTGTGAATAGAAAATAAATGAATTTCACAAAAAATTGTAACAAAAAAACGGCATGCAATTTTTTAGTATATAAAGGAAAAATGTGAATAAAAAAATCAGTTTGCTCTTAGCGGCTCAACGACACAAACTTATTGAATTTTTCAAAAGTTCTTCAATAGAATTAAAATTTATTTATTTTTGCATTAAAGAAGGAGCATTAAATAAAACAATTTATGCTAGTTTGAAGTGAAAATAAAATTAGATTCGCTGCTAAAGCGCGGTCTGCAAAATTTTCTGTGCTATTTTTTTGTGGGAATTTAGTTGAGAAATTTTAACAAAACGCATTAAAATTTAGAAGATTCTGGAAGTAAGAGAGAGTAACTAGAGATTGCATAAGCTCATAGAAGTGGTTTTTTTTTAAATCCAACAAAATAAATACTGTAAATGCCACAAAAACCATAAAACTCCTGACAACCAAACAAAACATCCACCCAACAATAATAGCTCACAAATATGAGTGAAACCCAAAGAACTGCATGTCTGGAATGGACTCTCGTCGAAAAGAAACCACCAAAGAATGTCATCGTTAACTCACCAAGCATATTTAAACAAAATCAACAAAAATCGTTACTAGAAATCGAGGCAGAACGAAATTATAATGATCAAAAGAAAATTGACAATGAGGTTATTGTAAGTGGATTAAAAGCTGAACCGAAAAAAGATTTTTGGTTGGAATTGATTAATATTGCTGGAATTAGTGACGAAAAAATTGAAAATCATGGAAACTTTAAAGGACAAAATGGAAAATTCTTCATAACCATTGGCTTTAAAGACAAAATTAGTCAAACATCATTCACAAAAGAAATCAACAGTAAGCAATCGTTGATCAAGAATAAAGCTCGACAATTTTTCGTCCATAACCGCCTCACTAAGTTTAATTCGTCTGTTGAGAAGGAATTGCAAGAACTGACCAAATCAGGTGCCATACATGGACACAAGCGTGAAGGATACTTGTTTCAAGCCAAATTCACTGGACACTCATCATGGACCCTAATCAATACACAGCATGCTCTCAAAAAATTCACTAAAGAAGCAACACAAACCAAGAAAATTGACGACAGAGTCGAAAGAAGAGAAAATGTTCAAAAGCAACAAGAACTCGACAGACAAGTTCGTGTACATGGATTAACATCGAAGCCGCAAAAAGTCGATGACGTCGTTACCAAGTTCATGCAACGTTTTGATCTCTCGTTTGATGACGTTGTAAGCTACACAATTAAAAATATTGATAGTAGATGGACTATTTTCATTAAGTTGTCAGACAATTTGGCATTGAGAAAGATTTTGACATCAAAAACTAAGAAAATTCGCTTAAGTTATTTAACTGGATCTACAGCTGAACATTTGATCGATGCAAAGGTAACTTGGAAGCGAGCTTTGACGGAATTCAATCATAAAGTTAATAAGCAACTACAAGAAGCTTACAAAAAGAAGATCATTCATCAATTTGAGTTCGCTGATCACAGGTTCCGTGTTAAAGTTGACCAATCTTCATTTTGGGTGCCAATTGAGTGTATCTACGATTTGTATGAAATTCTAAAGACAAAAAAGTAACAATTTTAACCGAAACTAAAGACAAGCATGCACAAAGTCAATAATGATAGTTTGAACACATCAACAAGTGTCATGTCAGTCAGCAGTGGATCTAGGATATAAATAGTTGAAAATGACTGACCAAAGATAAAAACAGATTGCAATTTAAGAATAACTGCAATAAAAAATACAAAAAAAATCGAAAAAATAAAAATTGTAATTTACAAATATAAAAATGTGGTTTTAACTTTAATTTTTCGGATTTTTTTTTGATTTTTAAAACTTTCAGATTTTTTAACACAAGCATTAGTGTCATTTTTTGCGTAATCACATTACCGGATCAAGTTCAACAGATTGCGTTGGGCTGATCATATTATCAGGAGCCCTGAAGAAGCTCCAAGTAACAAAATCTTTAAGTCTCATTTTGTAGATGGAAAGAAAATGCGCGGACGACCAAAACATTCCTGTAGGGAGGAAGCTGTTGACAGAGATAGCATAGCATTTGGTATTAGCGATTGACAGAGTTTTTTTCAGATGCCAAATAAATGAGGCAATGGATCACAATTGATCTGTAAAGCCAGCGATGTATGTATGTACATTTCCAGATGAGCAGAATTCAACTTAGCATGAGTTCTTCCGAGTTCATTAAACTTAAGTACATAACAAGAATTGAATACTTCGTACTAAGCAAAAATTCTAAGTTCTGTAAAATAAATAATTGTTTTCTCAATAATCATTACTGACACATCCTTTAATAAAAATCAATGAACCCTTTATGATCCACGCCATTTCGAAAGAACTTTTTGTGACCTTGAATGTGTCTTACTTATTTATAAAAATGCGCACTTAGTCATCGCAAAAGTGTAAACAGATTTAGTGACAAGACATTTTGTTATTTAAAAAAAAATAGAAGATCAACAGGTTTTTATTAGGTATTTATTTTTATTTAATGGTGAATGACAAATTCAATGATTTACAATGTCTTAATACGAGACTGTTGAAGATGCTTATTTTCCCCAATGACCATGACCTCGGTGTCTAAATTTAAAAGAATGATCAATTTAATGTATATTTATTTGAAAAATATTAATTCTTACCCTCCATAACCACCATATCCACCATAACCTCCTCCATATCCTCCATATCCTCCGCCATATCCTCCATATCCACCTCCATATCCTCCTGTAAAGTTAAAAAGCATTTTAATTATTTTGTCAAGATTATTTTATTATTTAATAGAAATCGTATTTAGGCAGGTCGATAATATGTTGCAGATCTCGAAGTAGATAGGGTTCCAGTCAGCTCGAGTTAACTCGACTAGACTCAAAAACCGAATCGACTCAACTTTTCTCGAGTTGACTTCATTTTTTTCGAGTCAACTCTAGTCGACTTCGAGCTCTGGTATTTCGTTTAAATATTATAGAAGATTTGCAGATTTAAAGTTATGGACCTTTTTTAACATTTTGCAACCAAATACAACATAATATTTATATAGCAGCTCTTACCATATCCACCACCGTACCCTCCATATCCTCCATAACCACGATGACGTTTTTGACGTAAAACTTCACTATTATCATAATCAGCACTGTCACCTTCTAAATTCACAATGCTTAATGGATTTTCTTCAATTTCTTGATTTTGTCCAACTTCCTCAACAGGAAGGGCGCACACAATGGCAGCAAATAATGCCAAAATAATTAAAAACTTCATCTTTAAAACTTTTATTTGAATTCTTTCACTTGAATAATATCCAATGCGGTTCAAACACTTAGCGAGACTGAAAATGCTGCAAAATGATCAGTGCTTATATACTCTTTCTCTTTCAATGGAATGTTCTAATGTGTCCGATAAATAAACCACGTGATGTTATACAAAAGAATTGTCCTGGAACAAAACAAAACAAAAAGAGAAACAAAAATAATGACCGAAATGATCGCTGAGATTGAGAGGAAAAACCCCTGAGTGTTCATTATTTTAGACTTAAGGAATATCTTTGCGTGTTTCCTCTCATTCTGATTTTTTGATTCAATTAATAAAAATTCCGGTTATGATTCTTAATGACTGTAGTATTTTTTTTTTATATTAAATGACTGTTTTGGTTCTTTCTGAATGAGTTGGCATGGGAATCACCTGAGAATATATTAAATATTATTGTCTGTTTAAAGATTGAAGATTGTTTGCATTGAAAAGAAAGATGAACAAGTGTTAAAAATAAAAGTGACAATTTAAAGTTATCAAAGTGCAGTCAAACTTTGTTGATTTAGGATGTACTTAAATGAGTTTACATCTTGAATAATTAGTGATCACGTCTCTCAACAGTTAATTACGTAAATTTCAAAAAATCAAAAAATTATTTTATTTTAAATTTTAAATCAGAGCTCGAATTCGAAAAGGTTCGAATGGACTCGAGTTGACTCGACTCGGCTCAAAACTAAGTTGACTCAACTTTTCTCGAGTTGACTTTGAGTTTTGATTTAAATTACATTTTTATTGATTCCGAATGAACAAAAAAATTCAAATAATTTGGATTAAAATAAAAATTATTAAGTTTAATTCAATAATTATTCAACTCCAGTGCCTCTGGTTGCGGAACCACTTCAACTTCCACCATAACCTCCACATCCATTACATCTTCCAAATCCACCACGTCCTGAAACATGGAAATTAAGATTTTTAAAATAATTCAAAGCTGCTTTTAAAGTGAAAATTTTGAGCAACTTTTCAGAGCAACTTCAACTTTGATTGCATTTCATAATATAAATCTATAAAACTTTAATCACCAGAACGTTTTGAACGAAGAACATCAACAAATGTAAGAGGTGAACGGTCAGTTTCTAAATCTACAATGCTTAATAAAGATTTGTCAACATTTTGATTTTGATCAGCAGAAAGTGAATTGATAAGGACCAAAAAACATTGCAAAGACAATCAAGAACTTCATTTTTTTATAAAATATAAGAAGAGAATAAATTAGACTAAGGAAGGAAAATTTTCATACTTTACTTTTAAGTAAAAATGTTTTATTGTGTTATTTTGACGCTATTATTAACTTTATAATCTTTAAGTTACCACAATAAAATTGTAGATTTTTAGTCAAAAATCATGTTTTAATATTGTTTAGGATAAGTTTAATGAGAAAGTTCAGTTAAAAATCACGTTGGGATAATCAACAACAACTCAATAAAATAATGATTCAATTTAATTTATCTTAACATCTTCAAATTCCCAGGCTCAGAAACTAGGTGGTATACCTCCAAATACCACCAAATACCCCCTTTAAAATACCATCCTAATAGTTTTCGAGCCTGGAAAAAAATTGAATGTTTCAAAAATGTGTCAAATCTTTATTCAGATTCAGCAGTAAATGGGAATCAGTGACCTAAGTGGTTGAGCGTTGGACTTACGTGCCAAAGATTCTAGGTTCTATCCCAGGCTAAGCCAAGTTCAAGAAGCTCTTTCTCCATTTCACCGTTCTAGCTACGAAGCTCGGTTCGTGTGTTGATTGTAGTTTTGAGGTTTTCGGAACATAAAGTGTCTCCTTTGCTATGTATACAAGGTATCATCCCCCTGGATGATTTCATTACAGCATCTTTCGCACATGAATTGTGACTAGGTACATTGCAGGGTACATCAGGTTCTTAGACTTACACGTGTCATTGCAATGTGCAGAGCTTTTAAATGGTTTGGATTCCACTACAAACTGTAGATTTAAAGGGTGGGGTACAATAGATTCTTTACAAATTGAATCGCAGTGCCTTCAGCTCAAAAAACTGGGCCCTCTTCATGCTTTTATCCTCCTTTATCTTACTCGGAATTATTATTTTTTTTTTGAATCTAAACTTTATTTGTTTTCAATTAAATAATTAAATTGTAGTCATGGTTTGATAGTTTGCACATAAATTTGTCACTAAATATTGAACAACCTTTTAACATAAATCTGGAGCTTTAAAGTCACTTAACTAGAGTTTGAGCCAAAACCGAAAAGGAAAACAGGACATCCTTAAAAAACAATTACTTTATACAAGATAAGGAGTTTTGATTGTTCTAATTAAATGATCTATAAAAAAATTTAAATCTAAAATTTTAAGACAGAATATTTCAGTCAAAATAACATGAATAATGAAAAATTATGAAATTTTCTTCATGAAAATTACAACTGTAAATTCAATTAACTTTTATTTTAAATAACCAAGCACATTAAATGTGCTTCACAAATTTTGTGATGATTTTATTATCTTTACCGTCTATAGCCTCTCCAATTCAAATAATATTACTTAAACATTTGCAAAAAAAATATTTTAATGGAATTGAATTTTAAACTCCTGTTGGTACACTCCCTCCATATCCACCATATCCTCCACATCTTCCATAACCACCGCGACCTAAAAAACATTTTAAATTTAAAACAAATATTTCTTAATAATATGGATCCTCGATTTGAGTAGATTCGATTTAAGTATCAAAAATTAATGAATTTTTTTTTGTAACGGACATTTTTCATTCAAAAAGTAAATAATTCGATTTGAATAGGATTTTTATGAAACAAAACACCTACTCAAATCGAGGACCCACTGTATGTGCAGTCACAGAATCCAACAAATATATTTGAACCACTGACCACCTCGTTTTGAACGTAGAACATTAAGATGATTATTATTATTAACACTGTCAGTTTCCAAATCATCAATGCTTAAAGGATTCTTTTCAGTTTCTTGGTCCACAGCAGTGGACGCAGAAACAATAACAGCAAGAAAAGCCAAAATAATTAAAAACTTCATTTTTTTAAAACTTTTTATTTCGATTTTTAGTAGTTTCACTAGAATTGTAGCAACTAGAAAATACAGAATTGTGTTTAAAATATAACTGACTTGAGTTAAGCTTTTATACTTTCTTTTTAAGTGACAAGTTCTATTGTGTTAATTTGTGTGATTATTTAATCAATCTTATTTAAGTTAATTAACTGATTTGACACATTAAGTTGTAGATTTCTTATCAATATTCAAACTTTAATGTAGTCAGGCTTGCGTTTTTTTCATCACAATTATATGATCAACTGGAAATATCCACAAATACTTAATTAACTTAATGTAATTCAAACAATAAAATTAAGTTTTTCAAGTAAAAATGAAATCTTAGAAAAGTTTGCGTTTTTTGGAAATACAAAATTTTTATTAATCATTTAAATTGTAAACATTTTTTGATAATAAATGTTAAAATTGAGAAGATTATTTCCCCCAGTGACCATGATGATGATGTCTATAAATGTAAGTTAATTAAAAAATTATAATTCGAAAATATCTAAAATGATAACAATGCATACCCTCCATATCCTCCATACCCTCCATAACCGCCATATCCTCCATATCCTCCATATCCTCTTCCATAGCCACCAAATCCACCTCCATATCCACCTAAAATTAATTTAAATTTTCTTACTCTAGTTTAAATAATTGGAGCTGAAAAAAATGAATTTACCGTATCCACCGTACCCTCCTGGGAATCCAAATCCTACAGAAAAAATAAATAAAATGTTAAATTCGACTCAAATTTTATCACGACTTTTCAAGTCACTCACCACCAAGTTGACGTTTGGGACGCAAAACATCAAATCCTTCACCATTTAAACGTTCGTCTTTAAAATCAACAAGAGCCACAGGTGCTTCCTTAATCTCTTGATTTTGTCCAATTTCATCAACTGGAAGAGCGTAGACAATTGTCACAAACAATGCCAAGACAACCAAGAACTTCATTTTTCGTAATTTTTAACTTTATCCAATGAGTTCAAAATATAGAATAAAACTAAGAAATTAACCAAAATAAAAGCATCTTTTATACTATCAGGGAGTTAAAAACCGGGAATTCGTGAAGATAAAAATGTCAATAATGTGACGTCATACGAAAGATTTGTGTTAAAAATGCGGACAGAAGATAGAAAAATTCAAAACCAGAAAGCTGATTCAAATGTTGAGACGTCAAGAGGAAAAACCACTGATTGTACTTTATTGAATTTCTTAGATCCGGAATTGAAGACAAATTTAATTTATCTTATTAAAATAGGAAACGTGCACGCTGGAAAATTTATGTGATGAAATCTAAGATTAAAAAACTAGTGTTGAATTCGCCATTATAGATGTGAATGGACGAAATAAGCGCATCATCCTCGCGTAGATCAGTAAACTTATATTGAAGTTACATACCATTGATCCAGTCATAATAAAGACATGCCTTGAATCAAAAACAAAGATCCAGTAGCATTTAATTCATGTTTGGATCTGAAAACTAGTTGTTCCTCACCCTAGACAGGTTTGAGCTTCTGCTTCAAAAATAGAGCTTATAGGGATTGTGTGCTTGGCCTCCGACCCCCCTACTCCTACCTTATCAATTTCCTTTATTCAGGAACACTAAGATGAATAAAGAAAAACAAATATGCGATATCGTCTTCAAAATCATAAAGCAGCTTTCGAATGCAAAAACCAGAAGTCTCTAAGTGCTTCCAGTTCTGAGAAAAACGGGCAGCTTGTCTGCAAGCAAGCCAATCAAAGTGAAACTATAAGCGCGTTGTATACTAAGGAAAATGCAATAAAAATTATTTTCACAATAATGTATAAATAAAAAACTATTTTTAATAAAAGGTTAAGACAAAACGTAAAAGACATAATTTAGAAATAAAATTAACGTCACTCAAAAATTCAACTAAACTTTCTCTTGTAGACTTTTTCCACTTACCAATACATTTAAAACTCTACAGCTGATCACAAAAAGTTTTCATACAAAAGAATTTTCTCTTATTTTTGTTTTCATTTTATTCTCATCGGCATTTGAATTTTTTTCGATATTAGAAACTTAATTTTTGTATTTTAAAACATAAAAATCTCAAACAATGAACAATTTACCACAGAATCCTCCATCATATGAGTCAGTTATTGCCAGCTCAACAGGTATAAATCAGGAACATTATTGCTTGCGGTAAATTATCAAAAATTTATTTTCTTTTGTTCAGATCAAATTGGAGCAGTGACGATGACACAGCCAGTATATCCAGTTTTACCATCAGCACCACCAATGCAGATGCCAATGCCACAGCCAATTCAGAATTATGGAAGTATAAATGAAGCAATTCAGGCACAACCAAGTGTCAATCAGCCAATTGTTAGCGATGTTACTGTGATTGTTGGTGTTAATGGATGTCCAATTTGTAGGATTGGAGTGCTTGAGGATGATTATAGGTAAGCAATGCTGATCATTTTGTGGGAATTTTGTAGAATAATCCATTTTGTTATTTTTCCGTCTGATTCATAAACTTTTTTATCTTTTCAGTTGTTTCGGAATTTGCTTGGCAATATTCTGCTTCCCTCTCGGAATTTTATGCTGTTTGGCGTGTAAAAACAAAAGATGTAGCTCTTGTGGAGCAATTATTTAAAAAAAAGTCATTGATACTTAATTGCTTGAAAAATGTATTATTAAATAATTTTATTACATTATGAAATAATTGAAAATTAAATAAAAATTATATAATCAAAATCAATTTTTTTTCAAAAAAATATTAAAAAAGAGTTTTAAAAATATAAAAAAGCCCAAAAGTTAAAATATAGCGTTTGAATTGCTAAGAATTTCTTAAAGGGTCGTGCACTTATGACGTCCAGGGATGGTGGGGGGTCAGCAAGAAAAGAACAATAGAAATTCCTGGAAATTTATTTTGTTTTTAAAAAAATTTATTAAATATTAAATATGATGCGTGATTGAATAAATTTCCATGCAGAAAATCTCAAGCCCTTTTAATACATAGCTCAGATTCATCAAGTGATTGGAAAGTATTAGGGTCGTCAAACCTTTGGATTGATGCACTCTGGGTCATTGACTTGTGCAAAGTTACAGAAATCAATCGTCCGTTGTGAACAAAATCTATGTGTGACGCATGATGTCAGCACATCGACAAAATCAACATTTGTAGCCAAAAGTAAATAAAAGATAAAAAAATGCTGCTTTAATTTTAATTTTTATCTTAAATTTATACAACTTTATTTCAAACATAATAATGATAACTAATAACTTACATCATCTTATACTCTTTACAATTTCATTTTTGATATGAAAATATATATTTTGATTTTTGTATTCATATTTTTAGGTATTAATAACACTTTTTTGAAATCATCATTGATTTATTTTTAGGTATTTGGTATTAAAGTTTAAATATTAAAATTAAAAAATTTTCAAATGGAAATTTAAATTTCGAAACAAATTACATTTTATTTTATTACTTTTTAAAATAATTGTTTTAATAAAATATTTAATTTTCAGCATATGTTTTCATGAATATTATTTATTATTGAGTAAGTAACACAATTAGTAAACATTTTCGAAACGCAATTGAAGTTTCAATTTTTAATTTTTTTGTCCTTTGTCAAAAAGGCACATTTTGAGATTCAGACATTTTTTTGAAAAATGATCTTTTGAAAGAATTTCGACCAATATTTTTTTGAATTCATTAATTTCAATTGCGATCAGTTAAAAATTATTTGTTTTACAGAAGTTTGAATGATGCTTTAAAAGTTTAAAAGCGTATGAATTTTGATTTATTTGAAATTTAATCTCAAAATTCAATTGCAATTAAATCTTTCAGATCATTCTCATATTTATTTGAAACTATTGACTAACAGACACTGGGATTCATTTGTGATTCATTTTAACATTTTTGGCTTTGCTCTAACAATATTTGTTTTTAAATATTTTTTTATAAAAATACACGGTTTGTAATACATTTGAAATCATGAAAACTATTAAATTGCATTTGAATTAAATAAATTTTAAAGTTTGGAAACTCAGGATTAATTTTGAAAAATCTCAAAAATCTTTAAGAAATCCCGGAGACAATAAACATAAAATGTGAAATTTCTTTTGATTTAATTTAAGTTTTAAATCCCAAAATTATTCATCAAAAGCATCAGGGATTTCACATTTTCATGTTTATTGGCTCAGTGATTTTTTTGAATTTTCGGGATTTTTCAAAATTAATCCTGAGTTTCCAAGCGTTGATAAAGTTCTAATTTTAATTTAAAAATGTGAAATTAAATAAATTTTGGTGCAAAAATGATTTATTTTTAAAAATTATATATTTTGAAAAATGATAAATTAAATCAAATATATTATAATGACTGAGGATTTTAATCTCAGAATTGGTGACTTAGAATTTTTTTGGGGTTATTTTCATACATTTGGATATAAATTTTCAAGTAATGTGCTAAGCTGAGTGCAGTACTTCACAAACAATTATAATAGAATATATAAATAAACATTTAAATATAATAAATATCAATTTAATATTAAAAAGGAGATTTTAAAAATAAAAAAAGGAACAACAATAAATTTATTGTAATATCGAAGTGCGATCAGAAATTTTTCATTTAAGACGTGGTTTAGTGGATTTGGAACTCATGTTCTTTTCTACCTGGCTGCTCCAACATGTCCAGCGTTTATCTTGAGACTGTTCCTCAACATCATAAACCCAAATCACACATTTGTTAACGACTAGATTGCAATATTCTACTCAACTTAAAGAACTCTCTAAATCTCCGTTTGTAGCTTCCGATATTGCTGAATTTGTCCACCATCTGAATGCGGATGCTGGTGCTGCTGTGAACATTTACTACAGAATCCATTTTTAGGACTTCCAAAGAAGCTACAATTTGGTGATCGGCACTTGCTTGCAACATCATATGAATGCCGTAAAAGAGGTCCATCAACCTGATCAGAAATTGGATATCCATGAGTTTCAGTTCTGTATCCTGTTGACGGAAGTGTCGTGACTGTCTGTGTATATCCATTTGTTAAGCTCTCATTATTTTCAAAGTTAATTAAGTCATTTTCACTAGGTTCATCACGTCCTTCAACTTTTATTGGAATTATTATCGTTTTACCTTTTGTGACGTAATTCTTAGTCTGTGCAATTGTTGGCGGTGCCAATGGCAAGCCAACAACATTATGTGATGGTTTTGTATCATTAAAAAATGTTGACTTGCTCAGATAAAGCGTTTGATCAAGTTCATTAAGTTTCTTAACACTAGGTATTCTCTGTACAGCCGTATGACTTTTTGCATCTGTTTGTGTATAGAATTTGCTATTGCCGGTACCATAACGTGGTGCTTCATACTCAAGATCTTTCTCAACTTCTCGTTTCTGCTTCTCAAAACAACCTGTGCACAAGTAGTGAGTTTTTTCCGTACCAAAATTATCACAACCGGAATTTATGCAGTGCACAACTTGTCCATCACATATTGATGGAAGTGGGCGAGCTTCAATTTGAAAAAAAAATTAAAATTTTAACGGATTTAAATTTTTTAAAATGTGATTCATACCTTTTTGACTCCCACCATCCGTTTTATGATACAAAAATCTATCATAAGCACATTCCAAATAATTTTTAATCATTTCCTCCTGAAAATCATGTCTCTTAGCTCTTAATTGTGAACACAAGAATCGATATCGTCCATTAACAAGCCCTCCACCCAACGTTGGTGTCATTTGTTGATTAAATTTATTGCTCGTATTATTCGACTTGGCGAGTTTGGTAATGGAACCGATATTCTTTTTGATTTTCTTGCTCATACTTCGTCCAATACTTCCAAATTGTTTGGCTACACTCTGAAGTTTTGCAGATTTGCTTTTTTTGCTGACAGAGTTTTCACATTCTGGTGAACTAGATCCAGCGAGGAAGTTGTTTTCCTCATTGTTAAGGTTTATTGCTATGTCCAATATTTTCTTATCATATTCCTCCTCACTCTCATTTGAATTGTAAATCTCATCATCTGGACTGATTGCAGGACTAGCGTAGCTGATTTCTAGATATTCTTTAAGTAATGCTATATGCTCAACTTCTGTTAATGCCCAACTACCTTCTCTACCGTCATATCCCGACCAATTAAAATTATCTCCAGGATCTATTGGATATTGTATTGGTATCAATATGTTTTCATTATCAATCAATGGAATCAAAGCAGGTGGAAATTCACTTTGGGATTCCATGGTTACGAGAGCTGAGAAATGAGCAGTATCATAAGCCAACAATAATGGAACCTTGTGACAATCCATTGGTGTCAAGTCCATAGGTAAATAAATTCCACCAAAATTATTTGGTGCCAGTGCTTCGCCATTAATATCTCTCAAAATGGTATCACTTAACACAATTATTGGTCTACGGAGGACATAAGATAGTGCTAAGACATGAATCTCTTCTAATGAATCATAAGTTGCATTGGCATCAATAGAATCGCCATATGACAGCGAAAATTGCTTTTCTAAAATCATTGAGCGACGTCTTGCTGCTTGCTTATTATTCCTAGGTTCTGGTGATGCAAGAGCAACAATCTCTTCCCACTCTTTTGCCCATTCCGTTTCACTAAAGACTAGTTCTGCTTCTTTGTTTATTCTTGTTTGTTGGAACCTCCATCTTCTCCAAAGAACTGATCGGTATTGTCCTTCTGAAAGGATTTTGTGGAGAGCTTTTCGGAGGGTGAGTCGACGATCATGAAAACCCCAGATTGCTAAGGATGCTGCATGAAGCAGGCAGTTGCCGTCCTAAAAGATTATTTTTTATGCTACAATTCAGACTAAAGTATTAAAATTAATTAAACTTACCCCTGACGTTGACAGCGGCCACAATTTCCTACATAACCCCACATCCACCCACCAATTAAGTCTTTGGCAATTTTCAAGTGAGTTGAGCGTTGCACACTCAATTAAATCTCTTTCTAAAAATTTTCTAAATTCCTCTTCATACTTTGTCAAATCAGGCAAAGTAAATGTAAAGTCTGGCGTATCAATGAATGGAGAAATTTGATTCTGATCTTGTTTCGAATGAAAATCCATAGCCAGTTCCTTTCGAGCCTTCGTTACTAAACTTACATTTTCGTCATTCGCACGAGAAATTCCACGCGATAATTTTTTATCTAAAATTAGAGTTATTAAAGCAATCGTAATGATTCATAATGTTATAAAATATTAAAAAGCAAATGAAGTGGTTATCGACAAAAAGCTACAAAAAAGAAGTCGGAACATTTTGTCAACTCACAATCTACTAAGTCAATTGAGTCAGATTTTGTCAGGTGCGGTTTGTGATTTTCGCTACTATCACCCGATTCGCAATGATTATTCATTGATGAGATGTGTTGATGACTTAAATTTCGACTATTGTCGGTGTCTAGATGGCACGACAGCTCGTCATCTGACTGATGATCTAAATTGTTTGTTCTATTCTTAAAATAGTTTTGTGTTGATGTGTCTGTTAATTGATGTGAAGGATATGAAGTGGATATATGAGATTTAAGTGTTTTTTTGGATTAATTTGAATGTTTGAGTGTGTGCGTGTGTAAGTGTGTGTTAGTGACATTGTTTATGTAAGTTTGAAACAAAAAGAGCACAAATATTAGCAAAAATTTGTCTGAATTTTGTCAAAAGATATTTTAAGGTTATGCGAAGTTAATGTACTAGATTTTTTGAATTACTAGGTTTTAATTGATTTATCTAAATAAGGACGTTTCTTTTAAAATAAGTTTAAATAAAAATTTGAAAAAAATGTAAAAAAATAAGATTTATTTAAAATCGTTTTCAAAAATTCTCAAAATTTGTTTAAAAAAATTGAAAATTTGGCGGGAAAATGAAAAGTTTTTTAAATTTCAAAAACTTAAATCACAATATTAGGGTTCGTTCACTACTGACGTCCGAATTCGCAATCATTGTTCAAAATAAGGATAACGGATTTCCAGACTTTTCTATTGTCTATTCCCCACCCCTCCTCCCATGGACGTCATAAAAGAAATGCCCTTTATAAAATATTAACAAATGAATCATTACCATTATAGTCTATAAGTGCCTTCTTCAAATTCCAATTCCATGCACTTAAACAGCTTATAGCATCTGCTGTACGATCACATTTGGATATTTTCATAAATTCGACAATCAATTCATTTTCATTCATTTTTTTCTTCTCTTTTTCTTTTAATTTGAAATAAATATATTTTCAAATTAAAAAAAGAAACAAAAATATCGACTTAAATTAGCTATCCGAGTATTTTGTTGCTGTTAGAAGCTACTTTGTGTTATTTATTATTATATTACTATTACTTATTGTTATGTATTACTATGTTATGTGCACGTACACTAGCTCGCTGTGAGGAACAAAAGAACAAATTAATTTAAATCTTGTTAGTTTCAAGTTACAACAATTTTTTCCTTCGATTATTTCACACAAAATTATATGATTGAGGTAGTTTGATGAGTCAGTCACTGAGGATTAAAATTGTCTCGTCGAGTTTTGCTTTGCTTTGTTTATTTATTTTTTCTTATCGAGGAAATTTTCTTTGCGGTATATTACGATAAAAAAGTAAAAATATTTGGGGGTACACTAGACTGTAATGAATTTTATAATCAATTAAATGAGTCATTAAACCAGTAAATGACTAATTAGCAAGATAATTTGTATTATTTTTGACTTCATGGTTGAATTAAAAGTGATTTTCTGATACTTTTGAAGTTTTTGTTTTAATTTTTTGATTTTGATTTTATTAATCACGAGAAATTTATTGAAACTTTGCGCTCAAAAGTTGCTACGCATCAGAATTAGAGATTGAAGCTGAATATCACGTTTTTACTTAAAAATATTGGTTGATTGCGGCTGGAACTTTGTGACCAATTTCACACGGGTAGTTTTAACCTAATTCACTAGTTGTCTATGCCGGTTTATATACTCCGTGCCAAAGGTCCTGGGTTCAATCTCAGGCCATGTCTAATTTTCGAAGCACTTTTTCCATTTCACTGTTCTAGTTTCGAAACTCAGTTCATGTGTTTGGTGAAGTTTTGATGTCTTTGGAACAGAATGTGCCTCCTTTGCTAGGTATATAAGGATGTACTAGCATCTGGATGACTTCCTTACGGCATCTTGCGCAAATGGATTGTGATTAGAGCTTGCAAGTGGTTCGGATTTCACTATAAACTGAAGGTCTATAGAACAGATTTGAATCGCAGTGCCTTCAGTTGAAAGGCTGGGTTTTTCCCACATTTTTATTTCACACGGGATATTTGTACCTAATTTACTAGTTGACAACAAGTGAAGTTGTCTGTGCCGATTTGTCGGTTGATTTTATGTTTAAGCACTTAGAAGAACTGCTTTAATAACACCCTTCATTAAAACCTCATTAACTTAAGCAATCACAACAACCAAAAAACTGCGGTAAAATTAAACTCTTCAACCAAGCTTGGTCAAGGCTGAAACTCATTAAAAGTAAAACAATAACAAACACAACACAAAAGAAGCTCTTTCGAAATGTTTTTTTTCTTGAAGATCACAATTTCTTAAACTTTTTTGGTTTGCTGCAATGTAAACGCATTTTGAAAGTTTAAGCAAAATACTAGATTTATAAAAAGAATTTAAATTTGGAACAACTTTCAACTCAAAGCTCGACTTAAAACACAATTTTAGAACGACTGTCAACGATCATTAAGACCAAAAGAAAAATGAAAAAGTGTTTGTTTCTATAAAATTCAATACGAAATGAACGTTTTAAAAAGATTTATTATTAATTACTAAATTTATAGATGTAAAAATTTTAAATAGAATATGAGGAACTTGGTGGCGTTTTCCATTAACTAGTCAGATAACATTAGTTTGCACAGATGTTTTCCCTTATCGTTTATTTAATCGTCTATGAGTCTGTTTAAATATACTCGAATATGAGCTATGTTAAATGATTCAGTTTTGTATAATAGAGCTATTTTGGATTAATTTGGATTAGTTTAATTTATTGTAATCCAATTATGTTGAATTCAAAAATTACTAAGGCAAAATTATGAGTTTTTTCAATGTAAACTTAAGATTAGAGCTCGAAATCGACTCGAGTTGACTCGAAAAAAATTAAGTTGACTTGAGAAAAGTCTCGGTTTTGAGTCGAGTTGAGCTCTGCTTAAGATCAATTATCAAAAAAAAAAAAAATTAATTGTTATGAAATTTTGTATATTAAGTTATCAAAGTATTGAATCCAGACGATAATTAAGATAATTTTTATTAAAATGCAGCCCAATTTCGACCAAATTTCATCCTCAACTTTAATTAAAAATAAAAAAAAAACTGAACTCTAATTACTCAAAAGTTTATTGATGATTTAAGTTTCCACATAAAAAAACACGAACATTTCCACTAAAGAGTGCATCATTCCACATTAAGCAACACCTTCTCTGACCATAAATAAATGACAAATTCCAAAACCAAAAAATAAGTTTCTGTGTTGATTCACATAAATTTGTTCTCAATTTTGTTGCTATTTCTGCTATTTTATTTCATATTCATCACCTCAAATCATTAGCACGTACGACAAGCACACAACAAGTCTAGCCAAGGTTTATTGACCGACCCGAAATACAATTTTTCCATCATTTTCGGAAAGAATTCATGAATTTTTAATATTTACAATTGTTTACGTTCAATCAACGTCGATGACCTTGACACATTAATGTGCACAAGATTCGTTGTCGCAGTTGCAGAAAAAGAGTGACTCAAAAATTCCAAAAATAGAAGCAAAAAAAATCTTTTTTTCTCAGTGTGAAAGTTTCGCGGCATTGAAATTGCAAAGGTTGACTAGAATGATGATTCATCGAACAGGAAGTCGACCTTTTTTTCATCAAAATTTACGCAATTTTTTTAAATTTTCCTCGGCTTTTTAAATTTTTCCACAAAACTCGACAACAATTTTAATTCTTTTTGTTAATTTGATTTTTATTTTTAAAACGGAGAAAAAATTTCACTCACTTTTTTATTTTTGTTTTTTTTTATTAAGAATATTCTTTTATTTTTTAATTTTTCACAGTATTTCACTTTTATTTATGGATCGTCTTAAATGTTAAAATTTTTGTCACTGGATAAAATAACAAAGTAAAATAAAATTGTTGAAAATTCACTGAAATGAACTCGAATAAAATTAAAAAATTCTCTTTTGTGTGAGAATTTGAAAAAAAATTTCAACATTTAAGTAAAACTTCTCTAAAGTGGATTTGTGTTTTGTTATTACCTCGATAAAGTGAACTTAAGATTGTTCATTAATTCAAGATTTAACCCTTTATATTAGAAAATTTAACGATGTAATTTTGTCTTCGCACTACTGACTTAACTTCAAAACATGTGGAAAAACTGAAAGCTCATCTGTGTTACAATAGATATTGATATTCCATAAGGATGCTGTGACAATTCGACTTAAAAACAGTTTTCCTTTCCGTACAAAATCAGTCTACTTCCACTGTCATCCTCACAGAAACCTGTAGCATAGGAAATTCCATGACAAAATTCTAGATCACGATTTGATAACTAATGACTTAAGATGCAATGCACGATTTATGAAAAAGCTGAATCTGATTCTAATAAACAAATTGGTTGGATAAAGCAGAGCTTGAAGTTGACTCGAGATTATTCCTCAAATGCATCAGGAACCTAAAAGGGATTTTACATTTCCATTTTTATTGGCTCAGGGATTTTTTTAAGATTAATCCTGAATTTCCACGCCTTCGTGTTCATTGATCAAATCTAATCAGTCGATTAATAAATTGGAGAATTCAAATAAAGTGCTGTTTACTTATTAAGTTGGATTTTTAAGGTGGAAAAGGAGTCTAAGTTTGTTTCAAGAGTGCAGAACTGCTAAATTACATTTTGATCAATTTTGATCTTTTTTGATAAATTTTTAATCAATTTTGATTTATTTTGACTATTTTTCGACCGTTTTTTGATCATGTTTGATCATTTCATCAGTTCCGCACCCTTGAATTCTGTATAATTTCTAACAATGAAATTTATCCCGTTTAAATTTTTCTTAATAAAAAAAAGAGGTCTAAAAAGTGATTTTTCTGCGTGTGAACAAGCTCCCTGACAAGCCCTAATAGGAAAAGCATGAGAAAAACTTAAAAAACAGAAATATTTAATCAAATAAATTTTAAAATTTTGGTTTATTTTAATCATAGTTTTAATATCTTATTGTCAAGAAACTTTTTAAGAATAGAAAACCTTTTTTAATATTGACTTAAGTTCTTAATATTCTTAAAGAATTTCAGCATCATTTCCGGCAACTCTTTCATCTGAAATCCATCTGACAAATTCTGTCGATGCTTCTGGTCCAATCCAAATTAAAGCCATAACAAAAGCTTCAAAGAATCCAAGGATAATTCCACCAAAGACGTCTAAGATGTGATGTCGGTAAAGTAGGAGTCTTAAATTATTAGAAAGATTATTGTTTTATTAAATGATTGAAGATCCTCGAAAGGATTAATTTTGATCAAAAAAAATTTGTCCCTTGAAAATTAATCCTTAATAAACTAAATGCATATCTTGTCCCACTTGTTTACTCACCTTGAAACACAAATTGCAAGCCACCAAGCAACCAATGGTGGCCAGAAAAGAACTGGGAAAGAATACAAAAACATGAAGAAAAGTAGCAACATACTCGATCGTGATGCATGTCCACTGGGAAATGAGTACATATCAGGTCCTAAAAATTTGAAAAAAAAAACATTATACATTTTTTAAAAAGATTGTGATTGTTTTAATCTTGAATCCTACAATTGAGCTCCTGCAATTTATATGAAAGGAATGTAAACTGTAAAAACAAGTGATTCTCAAACTTTGTGCCGCAGCACACCAGGTGTTCCACGATAGAAATTAATTGCTAAAGTTGGACCTATATTTTCATGTTTTACGACTTCAAAAGGATCATGAAAACAATTTAGAGTGCCTGAGACTATTCAGGTGTGGCGTGAAAATTTTTAAGAAAAAAATGTGCCTTGGAGCAAAAACGTTTGACAAACACTGACATAACCCTTCTAAATGGATGCAAATGTCTTGAAAATTTTGGAGACGAGAACAAAAACCTTGTCGTAGAAGTCCTGATGATTCAATATTTTGAGATTCAGTGTTTATCGGTGCAGCTTGGTGTTCTGGATTCCAGTTTTTAAGAAGTCAGTTTTTAAGAGTTTATTTATATTTTTTTAAATAATTCAGAGCTCGAAGTCGACTCAAAAAAAAAAAATAAAGTTGACTTGGGAAAAGTTGAGTCGACTCGGTTTCAACTCGAGTCATCTCGAACCTTATCGACTTCGAGCTCTGAATAAACCAATTAATCTTACCAATGCAAAATGGATCATCGTTGATTGCTGGTCGTCGTCTTCTTGTGATTGCTAAAATTAAGTAATTGATATTAAACTTTAATAAAAGTATGTCTTAAGTTGAAAAGGAAGGTTTGAGTAAATTTTAATTAATGTTGGTCAAAACACACAAACAAAGTATTAAGACCCATTAATGACATTAATAATTGTCTTTCCAGATTTGTCATTTAAATTATTTTTAGAAAAAAGATGTAATTCTAAAAATAGATTAAATTCTATTTTTTTTAAAGCATGAAGCTTGTAAGCTACATAAAATGAACCTTAACAGAACTCTAAGTTAAAATTAATCAAACCACAAATCCACCAACCTTTTATAATAGCAACCGCAAAGATGTCAATGATCAGAGCCACAAACAAATTCACTTCCATTTCATGTAATTTACTATTTCCCATGATATATGTGAATGCGATAAGTCCAGCAAGCCAGACAACTCCATGACAACTCCATTCGAGAAATTTACAGTGATTCTTAAAGCTTCTAATTTGAACAAAGTTGAGACAATGAGCTACAAATTTTTTCGTCAGTTCCACGTCTTTTTTCAGGATGTTCTTAAGAAATGGTGGAACGACTCGTTTGTCACCTTCGAGCCGTGTATCTGAATTTATCTGTCAAGATAGAGAAGAGATTATGTGGATTAATTTGTGACTTTGTTGACATCACGAAAAAGATGAAAGTTCAGATTTATTTTGAGATTTTATGAAGATTTATTGAGGATCTAAGGATTAATTGGAGATAAATTTGATAGATTGTACTCACAACTGCTGGTTCACGACGCATTTTATGGTGATTGACTGATGCAATTAAAATAAGTAAATGTGAAAAAAAATTGGCTCGTATTACTCACGAAACTTTTTTTATTTTGGTTGATCCAACGTCAGTGATTAAGAAACTTTTTTTAAAATTTGATTTTCTGCTTATTTTTGCTTAACTTTATGTTTTCAGAATTATAAGCTTAATGAAATTTGCTAGTCTTATCAGCAATATAATGAGATTCGTCAATCAAAGTGAATAGATTGTTAGAGCTTAAGTGAAACCTTGCAATAACTAGCGATCAATTATCCGTTTTTTTAAATAGCTCATTAATAGGAGAAAAGATATCAAAAGTTAAGGTCCCTTTATGAAGCCACCAATCTTATTTGAGCTGTCTGAACAGGCTCCTACTCACTTGCTACGCCCCTGACTTCCCTGGTCAAAAATTCAGTTATTAGACAATTTTAGTATTTTCGTTTTAATAAGCCTGCCCAACTTAAACTTCCCTTTTATACAAGGGATCTATAATTTTGGTTTCAGACATGATTAAGGCTTTACTGGATATTGGTTTTCAGTTCCAGACATGATTAAGGCTTTACTGGATCTATGTTTTCAGTTGCAGACATGATTATGGCTTTACTGGATTTTCATTTATAGTTGCAGACATGATTTATTTTTTACTGGATTTACGATTTCAGTTCCATAATTTACTTATTTCTCACTGGATCTTGGTTTTAGATTCAGACATGATTAACACTTTACTCAGATTTTTTTGAAAAAATTCCATTGAATAGCAGTCACATGTGACCAATGTCTTTACTTAATTTAAAGAAATTCTCTTTATTAAATTAAAATATTTTTCATACATTTAAAAATAGATTGACTAACATCAATTTGTTTAATTGGTAAGCTGTTTCTTGAGAGCCTTAATTTCTTCCATTAATTTATCAATTCTTGCATCCTTTTCGTCAATTATATTCTTTAAACGAACGACTTCTGTTGAGCAATTGTCAATGTAATGAGATATTTTGTTCTTAATCTCAGTTATTTCAGGTCTCAAATCTGATCGATTGCTCAATAGTCTAGTAATAAATAGACATAAATTCGGTTCAATTTCTGATAATATTTCTCCCTTTTTTAAGCAATTGACTTTATTCGAGCATTCCATGAATGTTTTGCATCTCAGAAGTAATTCAATTAAAATAACTCCTAAGCTGTAAATATCTGATTTTTTTGTACAAATTCTTCCTTCTAATTGCTCTTTTGCAGCATATAATCTTGTTCCAAATCCATAATGTGAAACCATTTCATTACTGTCGAGAGGGCAGCTTAATCCAAAATCTCCTAATTGAAATAATATTGAGGAACTGTCAAATGACACAAAAACATTGCCTGGTTTCAAGTCATGATGAACTATTGACCTAATTAATTAGATTTAATATTAATAAAGTTTAAAAATTGACTTTCATATGAAAAAATGAAGAACATCATGTACCTGTTATGGATGTACTCAAGTCCGTTACAAATTTGTTGAAAAATGCTCATGGCAATAGATGTCATATTATCTCCATTTAAATTAAAGGATTCATAATAAGATTTAAAGCTTTCACATTCGTTTCTCTCGTCGAGGAAGTTTCGAAGAGTTTTCTCACACAATTTCATTTGAATGAAAAGTACAGACCACGCGAGTTTAACATGTGGAATTAATGACTTTGACTCGGAACTACAATTGGATAAATTAAGACGACGAATTCTTTCTAGATTTGAAAGGCTTTCATTATTATTTGAAGGAATTGAAGAAAGAACACTTTTTGCTGATTGATGATTCTCGCTGTATTCAAAATTGATACTAAAGCTTTCATTATTATAAGTATTAAGTCTTAAAGAATCATTGCTTTGCGTTATTCGTATATTGGCACTTTCATTTCTCGTTTCCCAACTTTCTTCTTCATGTGTTGCTAACCGTGAATGTGATTCAAAAGAGATAAGTGGCTCTAACCAACATGATTTATATGGAACGACATTTAAATGATTAAGTGATGCAAATGTCTTTACTTCCTTCAAATGTGGCAGGATATTTTTAACAGATGTTGATTTAATAAGAATCTTTTTTATCGCATAAATATGATTATCTAATTTATGTCGTGCCTTAAAAACATCTGCAAATCCACCGTGAGCAATCTTTTCGATTTCTTCAAAATCTTTATAATATCTTGACCATTCTAACGCATGCTGTGGCTCACCATTTAAGGGAAATTCAACAATATTATTATTTGGTAGTGTATTTTCACGTGCTATCTTCACGAGTGCATTAATGGCAGTTTCATAAGATGATCGAATATTTTCAAATTCATTTTTTTGGTAGCTTTCATCTATCATTCGCAGCTCATGTAGTTTAAGACATATCTTTTGATACAATTCATTGGATTTATTCCTAAAATCATTTATATCATTGAACTTTGTAGTATGTTCTAGAAATAGGAATTAGACTTACTTATTTCCTTCAATAAAGTTGCACAATTGTTTAATTAAAGATTGAACTAATAAAGAATATGGTGTAGATGGTGTTAAGGCATCCAAAATAATTGTCTTTCCTGTATCTATCTCATCCTGATTTTTTGTTGATAATTTTCTTCGTACCAGAACTAGCTTATTAGTTTTCTCTTAAATTGTGAAATTACGATAAATTATGTCATTTCTTTTTTAAAATAATTAAGCTTACCATCAAAATTCTTGTTTGTCTTAAGATTTGCCCATGAATCGTTATCACTGTTTTCACTGTCTGTGCTAGAAGGCATTCTTAATTAAAATATATATTTATTTTACGATATAAATGTTATACTGTATACAAAGGTCTCAAATTTTAAACTTCCGCGTTAGTTTCTTATACAATAATTTTGGATACCGTTTTTTGAAAATTTGAAATAATTGTTCAATGGCACAAAGAACCGCAGAATATATAAAATCAAGAAACTTGCTAAGCTTCTAACGTGTTAAGTTTTGAATTTTATAGAAATCTTTTAAACTTTAATGAACAATACATAGAGAGTTCTATACGATGGTTTCAATCTTCATTCTATTTTTAAATTTATTATAGTATAATAATCATATGTTGATAATGGACAAATATCTTTAATTTATTGAATCATTAGCAGTAATTCGAAAAACTATTTTTAATGTTTTTTTATAAATTAACAGCAGCGTACCTAGGAGAGATGGATGGAGTTGCCACATTTTGTAATTGCTTATTTGAAAGAACGTTTGAATTAACTTGGATTCTTTCATTATTGTTAACATAAAATTCAAAAATAAAATCCAAGTTAATTCCAACTCCTTAACACTACACATCAAATTGTGTATAATTTTGTGCGAATTTTGTTAATTACTTTAAATAATGAAAAATAAATATTTATAATATTCACAACAGAAATTCTATTTCAGTTACACTCTTTCAACATGACAATTATTTTGTGGATTCTAATAATTATTGGATTTGTGAATGAAAGTTTCGCAAAGGTTTGTAAAAAGCATTAAGTAGCATCAATAAAAGTATTAAAATATGAAAAAGTATTCTCTAGGATCTTAAAATCTACATCTATAAAAACAAAATTACAGCCGTCGAAAGTTTTGTAAATGAAACTTCAATTACAGTAAAATGTAAAGTCAATACCAGAGACAATCCTTGTGAATGGACACCAAAAGTGACTTTCACGTTTCCTAAAGATATCCAAAAGCCATTTTTGCAACTTAAAATGTCAGATTTGGATACTTCAGTCAGTATTGTTGATCATACAATGCTTGTATGCTCATTAAAAGCAACTCTTGGACTCGACATGATTATGAAAATAATTTGGGAACAAATTTCAAAATATATGGACTTGATAATTAAGTGCCCATTAGATGCTGTGAGTTTATTCTCAATATTTATGATTAAAATGACTCAAATCAGTTCTTTTTGTATCATATACGGCCTGTTTCACTAAGGTGGATTATCCTCATTTTAGGATTATCTATTTCTTCGATGCGTGGAAAATCAAAATAATTTTTTTCTGATGTAGAATTAATTGGTTAATAATAATCAGAACAGTTTGACAAAAAATCTTTTTATTGGATAGTGACTATAGCAAAAAAATTATTTTAGTATATGGATTATCCTGAGATTATCCTAGGATAATCCTGAAGATTATCCGAATTTTCAATCTTGGGGGGACCCAGTTTTAACATTTTAGAAAAATTATGTGGATAATCCTAGGATAATCTCAGGATAATCTTCGGATAATCCACCTACTACGATGATCTTTTTTTGTGAAATCCATCATCAAAAAATTATTTTCTTTAAATCCATTTTTTCTGATTCACCGTGCAGTTTAACGAAGTAAAAAAAATTATGGATTATCCTCGGATTGAAAAAGTGGATAATCCGATCGGTGGATAATCCACCTTAGTGAAACAGGCCGATAGGGATCACATACAGTAAGAAGCTTTCATCAGTCAGGATTGAAGATGTTATTTACTTTTCTTCCCAAAAACCGGCAGTTCGCATTAAGCATTATTGTTAAAATTCGCATTGGAAAGAAAATTGTTGAAATATTTAATTTTTCTGATGTCATTGAAATTGTTGAAGTTTAGTTGATCAAACAAAAATAATTATTTTATCAACTATTTAAACTTGTGATTTTTAATTAAAAAATTAACAAAAATAATTTCAAAATTTTTCGAATTAGAAATAATAAATTAAAGTCTGAAAACACAAACCGATGTACCATGACTAGAGCAGCCAAAAATCACCCAAATCAGACAAGACATTCCTTGGGATTGAACTAAGGTCAAATTTTAGATAAGCTTAGGGGCTGTTCACTTATTACGTAACGCGAAAAAATGACTTTTTAGAACCCCCCCCCCCCCCCCTCGTAACAAAATTAGTATGAAAAAAAAATTTCCTTGTTTGAACCGTAACAAAATCTTAGACGCCCCTCCCCCCCTAAAAGCGTTACGTAATAAGTGAATGGCCCCTTAGATTGTGGTTTAAATTATAAACGGACTTCGATCGTAAATTCACAATGACTTTCTAATTTTGTAATTAGGAAGGAGTAATCGTGAAAAGCTTGATCATTAAGCCCAGATGATTGCTGTCCACCCTTAAAAATAGGCTATTCCAGTGCTTGAAGTCGATAGGGTTCAGGTCGACTCATTTTTTTCGAGTCAACTCGAGTCGACTTCATTTTCTCGAAGTTGACTTCTTCATACAAAAAAATTGCCGAATTGACTACAATCGACACTTCGAGCTCTAGGCTATTCTCATTAGGGGTCGTTCACTTATGACGTCCAACATTTAAAGGGGAGGGGAAAAAAAATTTGTGACACACTTTAAACGAGGGGGGGCTGGGATTGGGTCTGGAAATTTATGGTATTCAATTTTTTAATCAGGAAATTATAATTTTTTGTGTCTTGGATTGGACGTCACAAGGGAGGGAGGAGGTATTGACCCTTAGAGTTGTGTGATAGAGGGGGTCTAAAATTAATATTTTTGATTGACGTCATAAATTGTTTCTTTTGCAAACCCGATTTGTGAATGAGAAGTCTCAAATTCAATTAAATTTGATTAAATAAAACTTTAACATTTTTCAAAATAAAGCCCAAAAATATTTACTCTTAAAAATTAAATCATTTTATTTTTTCTTTCGATTAATTTGACATTTTGGACAGTACCATTTGCCTTTTGGTTTCGTCGTCAACCCAACGCAAGCAAAGTGGAACCATTCTAATAGGAAAAAATTAAAATAATTAGAATTTGTCATAAAATCTTTAAAATCCATTTTCTTACCAATCGGGCAGTCTGAATTGTCACATCCAATCATTTCACCATACGAAACTTGATGGCACAAGCAGTAAGTTGGTTCGTTTGGATCCACTGGCATGTCAAGAACATCTGATGGATGAGGAGTAAAATGACCTTCGGCTGGTGCTTCCTCAACTTCAACATTCTTTTGCTGAAATGATTTTTAAATTTGAAATTATTTTACAAATTTTTTGGAAAATAAAATTTTTGATAATTGTAAAAGAAACTAAACAAACCCAAAATATTGGTAATAATGAAAGTTAAAAATGAGGAAAATGAGTTAAAAGTAATGAATATGATGCAAATAATGATTAAAGTTTTAAAAAAATCTACAAAAATTAATTTTAAATTATTGTTAAATTTTTTTAGATCTCTTTTTTTTTGATTCCTGTTTTTTTTTGGATTTTTAATAAAACTTCTTAAGAATGTCAAATATTAAAAAAAAAATAAATACGTTGTAAAATCTAGAATTTAAGTAGCAAAATCTACAAAAAAATGCTACTTAATCAAAGAAAAAAAAAATTACTACAACAAAATCTTGCAAAGATGAAATTGATGAAGTGCGATGATTACCTTTTGAGCCTTACGTCCCTCTTTTTCTTGAGTTACCTTTTGCTTTTTATTACTCTTATGTTGTGCTGTACTTGTGGTCTTTTCCTCAATCTTTTCTTCTTCATCTGACAATGATCGTTTCTTTTTACCAGTGACTTTCGCATCTTTCGTTTTCTTTCGTCCTTCTGTGGGAGATAAAAATTATTTAACATTAATTAATAAGTTGGGGACTTTTAGTCTTAAAACTTCTCAGATAATGCGCGCATTAAATTTTTGTCGCATAGTGCGCAATAATATTTTTTTGGATGATAATGCGCATTTGATAATATAAATTTGCTGATATTCCTGAGAAGCATCTATATTAGCTTCAAATGTCTTTAAAATCTTCAGCATTATAAACAAAATATGCAATCCAGAACTCAAGTTTGTCTCCTTCATACTCACTCTTTCCTACATTTCCATCCTCAGATTTGTCCCTTGTAGTATTTGTCTTATCTTGAATTTCACCCTCAAACCTCGCCAGATCTGAATCTAATCTTCTAATATGCTTATCAACTAATTCATAAGTTTGAATTGCTAATTGAACTTTGTCGTCACCGTATTCTTTTGCTCTACCAAATAGCTCCTGGATGTGCTTCAATTTTAATTTTTTCTCCTCTTCAGAAAAATTTTCCTTTGCGCTAATTGTGTTTTTCATTAAGTCTGAAGCTTCCTAAAATGATGAAATAATTAAAATTAATTAAAATCTACTTGAATATGTCTTTTTTCGTACCTCATCAATTTGTTTCATTAAATTTTGCGCTCTTGTGTCCAATTCTCTCATTAATGTAAAATTTCGTTTTAATTCTGTCGGCAGACTCTCAAGTCCATCAAGATAATGCTCAAGGTATAGCGCTGATGTCATTTTTAATTACTAATTACCTTCTTAAATTTAATTTAAAGTTTGAAATTGAAGAAAAGAAAAATTAAATTTTTATGTTTATTTTTTTCTGTTTACAAGCTTTAATTCAGCAATGTTCAGCAGGTAGTCAGCAGAGGCAGTTTCTTAACAGCTGATTGTAAACAGATGGAAGGGGGAGAAATTGCTATGGTTAAGAGTTTTTTTTAAATAGCTTGAATTGTGCAATTGCACAAATAAAGTTTCAAACTTAACGTTTATTGCTTAAACGCCACTTTTCTGAGTGAAACTTTGAATTTTTTTTTCCGATTTAGTTCCTTAGGACTGAGGTTGATTTACTGTCGCATGATATTCTGTGTAATCATGTTCCTATGTGTTGGAACGTTAAAGGAAAACGGAGTGTTGGCAGACGGAAAATTACTTGGCGTACAACCGTAGAGAAGGAGGCAGAACAACAACTAAAGAAACTAGCAAAAGTAGCTGTTATAGCCAGGGACAGAAACCTGACGATTCACAGTGGATCATCATGTTCCTATGTGGAGCTTAGGTTACAAGAAAAGGCCCTCCATCTGACTCTGTTGCTGGCTCTGACAACCTAGTTTGTACAATTTGCCTGTTCGCACATTAAGCTGAGATTCTTTTATGACTGTTTTATGCCATTTAGCTTTTGGAGCTCCAGGGCGTCTTTTTCCTTGCAGATTCCAATGATGTTGCATGATATGGATAATAGGAACTGATTCAGATTCTTAAAATCTACAGTAAGTTTTTTTCTAATTGCCGTTCATTAAGTTTTTTAAAAATACGATTCACGAGATTTTCTATCTTTGTCTGTCCTTCAAATCTGTATCCCGTTTTCTTGAAAAAATAAATTGAAACTAAAGCTCAAGTTGTTCTGCAATAACCATTGAATAGAATAGAATGCTGTGTGGGGTTTGCTTATAGTAAAAGCGGCACTGCGATCGATGATCTGTTGTACCATCCCTAGTCTCCTATGATAGAATTCCAATGTATTTAACAAAGCCAAGATTGTCCCTGATAATGCAGCTTATTTATATCCCCATCATTCAAGTAGTTCTCATCAAAATGCTTGACACATTGTCCTCGTAATGATTGATTATCATTGCCTCATAATGATTGAATAGCAATAATTATAATTTGCATGAATATGATCCCAAATTATAGCCAAAACTTATAGCTCTCCTAATATACTTTTATTTTTAATAAGTTAAAAATTCAGAACCCAAAAAAAATAATAAAAAAAATTGCCGTGACCAGGATTCGAACCTGGGTTACTACGGCCACAACGTAGGGTCCTAACCACTAGACGATCACGGCTTGCTTTTGCTCTGTTTCTGAGCTCTTTTTCATTTTGGATTTAACGAGTACTTTAAGCTGTTCACACAGCAGCACAATTAGAGTTTTTTTTTATAAATTTCAATTTCGTTGCGTTTCAAACCAAATATGAATTAAAAAGAAATTGCGGATAAAAATTGAGCATGAAAGAAAGCTGTGAGAATATTAAGTGAAAGTATGAAATAACTGGATTGAGTGGAAAGAGAAAATGAAAAAGTTGAGGTTAGATTTGACAATCTCAGCTGAATTAGTTGAAGAGATGCTAAAAATCTAGTTTCGCATCTTTTTTTTGAGAAAGAGTGAATCTTTTGTTTACAAACAAATGAGAATTTTGATGTTGTTTAGACTTAGCAAATTGATTTTCTCGATTCTGCATTAAAGGGGTTGTAAAAGTTAATAAAACATCATCTTTGTTGAATAGTCAGGGAATTAAAATCAAAAATATGTCAACTGAAGAGATTCCATTACTATTTACTGTTAAGAAGGAATACTGCAGTGATGACGAAGAAGATTCATCACAATATTCAGGTTTAAATCATTGTCAACAAACCTCAACAAATAGGTCAATCAAAAACAATATTAAAGTTCAAACTTTAAGTTATTTGGACATTGAAAACATAAAGGAAGAATCAGATAGTGAAAATGAAGATTTTATCTATGAGAAACACATCCAATTGGATAACTCTAGCAATAATATAAATCAGATTGTTAAAATAAAAGAAGAGGATGAATATGAATTTCGAATTGTTGAGCTCATCTCACTTAAAAACGAAATTGAAGACAATAATCGACTAGATTCAATAGTGGAATTCGAAGATGAACAGAAGACTAGTTTTCGAATTGAAGATCTCAACAATTATGAAGATCAAGGATCAATAGATGCAACTGAAAGTCAAAGAATTAGTTTGAACCAATTTTCAATGAAACCAAGAATTAAACCATCGAATATAATTGACGGGAATCCAAAATTGGATCAATCAAAACTTGAAAAACAAAATTTGATCTTGCATGCTTCAAATCGATATATACAAGATGTATCGAATAGAAACCTTGTTCCTCATCAAGACAGTTTATCAACAAACATCAAACAGGAACCAAATGATGATGACTCAATGACTTCCTCGTCAGTCACACATTTGACAGCTTTTGATGTCTCAAAAGTTATCACAGAAAACTTTATACAAAAGGAAATTCTTCAAAATTCCTCAAAAATTTACGAAGAACCTTTGAAATTTGACAAAACTTGCTATCAAAAATTTGCAAATTTATCAAATATCCTCAAAAGATCAACACAAAATGAGAAACTTATGTCTAGAATTCTACTTAAAAATACTTCCAATTCTCCGCCTCAGCAAAAAGCAATCAAAATGCAAATAATATCAAAAACAATAAGATTGGACAAAACTGACTTAACAGAGCTGCCTACAAATGTGATGGAAAAGTTTAATCTACAAAAGCATTCAGTCAATTTTGAGAAAAAGGAAGGTCAAGTAATCAATATGTTCAAAGTTCCATACTATGTCTGTACAACGTGCTTAACAGTTTTTGATACTCAAAATAATTTTTTCATGCACTACAAAACTTTGCATGCAACAGTAGAGAAGCCTTTTGATTGCTGGAAGTGTGTGACTAGCTTTTGTACCTGGAAAGATTTATTAACTCATTTAAAGTGCCATGATGAAATACGATCGTTTAGTTGTAAATATTGTTTTCATCCATTTAAGTTTAAAGAAACTCTTGAAAAACATTTAAAAACTGTGCATGTAGAAAAAGTTGAGAACATGTCATGTAATGTTTGTGGAAGGAATTTTGACAGTGAAAAAGACTTGTTGGTTCATTCGAATAGACATGCTCGAGCTACGCAAATTGTCATTAATGGAGATCGTATGAGCACAAATGCTGTACAAAGTAAGTTGTATTATTTTACTTAACGTTCCCGAATAGCACAAAACGGTTAATCAAATAGACATCCGGTACCAAGCAAGCATGATGCTGGCTCAAGGGAAAAATACTTGGATGGTAAAAATTTTGATGGGAAATTTACCATTTTTTTCCCTGTTTTCCTATTTTTTGTGGAAAATTTCCCGTCATAAAGGAGGAAAAATGGTAAAAAATGAGAAAAACTGGGATAAAATTGGGGAAAATGGGAATAATGAGATTTTTCCTTTTTTTTCCATTTTTACAATTTTTGATGGAAAATTTCCCTTTTCTAACCGTTAAGTCGTTTTCCCCCTGTGCTGGCTCTAATTGAGGTCCAGTACCATGCCAAAGTCTTATCGGTTTGTGCCATTAAGGATATTCTACGAGCTTATGGGACAGTGGTGTGAAAATGTTTTTTTCTTAATTCTTTAAATTTGTTTCATCACAGGAAACAACAGCATCAAATGCATCTTCTGTCCAGAACAATTCTTTAAAAATGAAAAACTTGAAGAACATTACAAAACCCACAAAGCACTTGTTCCGATGAAATGTCGAAGTTGCGGTAAAGATGTAATGATCAATCCTCAATATATCATCAAAAATATCAAAATGAGAGAATTCAAATGTGTTGAATGTTTGTCACCGATTGGCTATCAAAAATCAAACTCAGAAAAAGGAAGTTCAGTCTCAATTACAAATGGCTTAGTAAAAATCGAAAAGAAACTTGAACAGAAAGCTTCATCCTCAAAAACTGCAACGACAGTCAAATTGAACGAACCTTCAAAATTAATGACGAAAAACCAAGAAAGAAACAAAATGTTAGTAAAATGCAATGTCTGTGGCATCGAAGTTGGTTCAAATGTTAAACTTTTCTGGCACATGAAGAAGCATGTAGGTGAGAATCAATGGCTTTGTTTATTATTTGGGACCTTCTCAATTGATGATGATCCACTGTGAATCGTAGGGCGTTAATAAAGCGGTTGAACAGGTTTCTGTCCCTGGCTATAACAGCTACTTCTGCTAGATTCTTTTGTTGTTGTTCTGCCTCCTTCTCTACGGTCTTCTCTACCTTCTCAATTGGGCTACACAAATTAACATTATTTATTTATTTTTTCAACAGATAAAAATGAATTTCAATGTTCAGTTTGTCATAAAGACTTTGATTCCCGTGAAGCAATGGTTGAACACTGCAAAACTCAACATTCAACAACAAATGTAACGAAATGTAAAATTTGTAATAAAGAGTTTCATTTTGTTGACTTGGAAACTCACATGAAGATGCACAGAGAATCTACTTTAGAATCATCGTCAACGCAGACATCCTCATTCTCACCAAAAATTATTAGACTCAACTCAAAAGGAGAAGCAACAAGCTCAAATCAAATTAAATCTAATACAATTGATAAGAGATTACTTTTTGGAGCCAATTGTCCTACATGCAAAGACTATGTACTACACACAAATTTTATATCCCATAATCAAAAACATGACAAAGAAAAAACTTTGAAACTTGTTCAAAATATTCAAAATAGAAGAAAACAAGAAGGTCAAATAAAAAATTCAAATTCTGATTTAGGAAATGATGTTAAAAGTTTTAAAGGGAGAAAAATTATTCTCAAAAGAAAACCTGAAGAAAATAATGAAGGAGAAGTCGTTAAGCGAATAAAGGTTGAGCAATAAACTATAATGTACATATTAAACATAAACAATTGATTTAATTTCTTTTAGTTGATATCTTTTCACAATTCTAAATTTAAAGTTTGGAGCCTACGGGGTAGCTTTTTTTCTTATTGAAAAATATAAGGGGAGGGGGATGTGGCGGGGTGGTAGATTTTTGCGAATTTTTCAAAACAAACCCTTGCGAAATGAAAAATTTTCTGCTGACAAAGCAAGATTTGTGCTCAAACCCCCCATTCAGGAAATCCCTCAAATCGTTTGCTGTGTGTGGTTTTGGTGATTATTGGTGCGGTTTAACCTCAAGTTGTGTCAAACTCGAAAAAGGTTGGCCACCACTGAACTATGTATTAAGCTATTCGACTAATTATGTATAAAGAATATTCATTAAATGACAATATTTTTAATTATTTAAACCAGCGTTGTCAAAATTGTGTGCCGCGGCACACTAATGTGCTGTAGAAACTTTTTAAAACTGACACAAGCCGAATACTGTGTGTTATTTCGGTCATGGCTTACCCTTCAGGTGTGCAGTGGCTCAAAAAAGTTCGGACAACACTGATTTAAACTAAGCACTCTGATGACACAATATTTAATGTATGTTATATGGTTTGGTAAACAAACTACTTTCGTGCTGTCTCCTTAAGGCTATCGCTACACTCTGTGTGATTTTGAAAATAGTTTCGATGGAACCTCCTAATTAAACTGCTCCTTGAAGATTTATATATTTTTGTTTAAACCTAGTTTCCTTTATTTAATACCATTTAAAGTTACACAAAAAAAAGGTTTTTTATCACTTAAAAACTGTGATAATTGTCAAGACATTTTCTTAACTTATCCTTGACTTCATTCCGTTTACGTATGTTTTCCTGACTACAAACATTTCCCATCATGTCAATCCAATAAACGTAAGTAAAATCTATGAATTTTTCATCGATCGAAAATATTTTGTTGTGGCTTAAGTCAATCGTATTTAATCTTCCATTTACAGGAAAAGAGTCCCAGTGAATTGTTGTCAATTTGTTGGTATGCAGGAATAAAAATTGTAAATTTACTAATGGTTTAAAAATATTTCTGCTCAGTTCTGAAATTCCATTTGCACCAAGATTTAATAATTCGAGGTTTTGTAAATTTTCAAACCAATTTGGGTTCAAAGTTCCAAGTTTATTATAATCCAGCCACAACATTTCTAAGTTGTTGAGTGATTTGAAAATTTTTGGGGGTAAAGCTTTTATTTGATTTTTGTTAAGTGATAGATTTTTTAGATTTGTCAAATTTATGAAGATATTTTGTTGTAGGGTTGTGAATTTGTTGTTATTCAGTGACAGCCAAGCTAGTTTATGATTGTTCAAGAAAAAATTGATTGGAATGTTTTGAAGTTCAGTGTTATTGACCGAGAATTCCTTCAAATTATCACAATCTTTTATTAAATTCTCGTTAATCCACTTGAATCCATTTTTGATGATAATTGTCTCCAAATCTTTAAATCTTTGACAAATTGAAACTTCCGATTGATTAAAAAATAAATCATCTACAGAATTTCCATTAATTTTAACAATTCGAACGTCAAAATCGTTTTTATTTCCTATGTGAGTTCCAACATTATTCAACTTCAAATCACAAGTATATCCAACATTATTCACAAATTCATCCAAAAAATTACATTGAAAACCAAAAATCTGATCAAAATTCAAATTCAGAAGCAAAATCGAGCAAAACAATATTAAATTCATGACGAGATAATAATTTTTAATGTTAAACTTAGAACATTTCAAGTACGACTAAAAAGCGCAAACAAGATTAATCTTATTAAAAATACTTGACGTCATTATTCTCGAGCTGATAATGCTCATTAATAGTTTTTATGTTATGATTTTTTATTTGAAATATTAATTTAATACATTTCGCAATGAGTCAATAACAAATGACAGAGAAATACTTTTCTTAAACTTTATTATTAAAAGTTCTGACTTGTCTGAATTTTATTTACACGATACAAAAGTTGTCAGATAAGTTTGGTAAAATGACTCACTTTGATATTTAAGAATTTTTTATGATAATTTATGAGAATTTATGTTAAATATGGTTAAATGAACATTAAGTATAGAGATTGAAACTCCTTCAAATCATAGCTACCTCTTAATAACTTAAAATAATTTAATAACATCTAGTTTTGATACATTTCTTAACAGAATTTTGAACTTTAAATTTATTGAAATTTTCCCCTCATTTCTGCTTCACTTCCTCGTCTGTTTACAAATATAACATCACAAAAAAATTGATGCAAAGGATCAATTTTAACTCAGTTCTCTCAGTTGAGATGATGAAATCACAAAGAAATAAAGTGTTAAAAATTTTATTTCAAAAATTTCACCATGAAAATATTTTTATCAATTTTTGCTTTAATTTCAATACTTAATTCCTCAATACTAGGAAATTCAAATGATCAACAAGTGAGTTTTATTCTTAAAATCCGACCAAAAATTAATTTACTTCAATTTTTTAGATTCACACAGATCTTGCTCGAGCTGATGAGCCTTTAATGGTGCTTGTTACTTTATCAGGATCAATGATCGCAATCGATCCACAAACAGCCAATCTTAGATGGTTTCAGCAACATGGCCCAGTTATAAAATCAACAAATAATGAGAAATTAAATTTTTCATCAATTTTACTGCCAAATCCAGTTTCTGGTCAACTTTACAGTCTCAAAACCACAAAAAATGAGGAATTTGAGTTATCTAGATTAGACCATACAATCCCAGATCTAGTGCTGAAGTCACCTTTCATATCAAAAGATAAAATCTTGTACACAGGACGTAAAGCTGATTCATGGTTCATCATTAATTCATTAACTGGAGAATGCAAGACTGTTATGGGTAAATATTGATTTTTATTTTACAATTTTCTAATCTATTGATGGTCAGTAGTGAGCTATGCATTGTTGTGTATTAATATGGAAAGAAATTGTGTGTTCAAAGTGAAAATGAGGTTTTGCGCCATAAATAAATTAAGCTGCATAAAAAAATCATGAGTATACGCAAGAGTTTAATTAGAACGAACAGAGATCGAAGCCGATTTTTTCGGCTTAACTCAATTTTTGATTTTTTTGATAGAAAAAAGCCATTTAACACCCATTTTAAGTATTTAAATTGAACTTTACATGCTTTACTATGATTCTGTGAAATATTTTTTCAGCATGTAGCTATAGTGAGCTCAGAATTTCAAGTTAAAGAATGTTAAGCCGATCGGCTTAAATTTCGGCTTAACATTCTTTAACTTGAAATTCTGAGCTCACTATAGCTACATGCTGAAAAAATATTTCACAGAATCATAGTAAAGCATGTAAAGTTCAATTTAAATACTTAAAATGGGTGTTAAATGGCTTTTTTCTATCAAAAAAATCAAAAATTGAGTTAAGCCGAAAAAATCGGCTTCGATCTCTGAGAACGAAATAAAAAGCGGTATTGAGTTCTGATTCTTCCTTGAAATAGCTTTGGCTACATTTTTGGTTCCAAGCAGCCCCCCCCCCCTCTTAAACGTTTTGAGCCGAAGCGAGAGCACGGCCTAAAACGCTTAAGAGGGGGACAAGACCCTCCTATAATAAAAACGATAAATTGTCCTTGATTGTATGGATTAAGATTAATTAAGGGAATTTTTCTTATTTTTTAAAAATATAATACAGATTTCAGCGAATCAGAGGACAAAACAACAGATTTGATTCCATCCAAATCAATTTATGATGTATACATTGGAAGGTGAGTTAACTAGCTTGACGTAATGAAATTTTAGCAATTTCAGAATTCCGAAATGCAACTCGATTTAATTTCTATAAAACCAAACTGCAACTATTTGAAATTGTCTTTAAACTTAGCCCTAGTAACAATATGTATTACATTGATGTTCCCATCAAAGGTCAATGTAATCGATATAAACCATTTTGGCTACTAGGGAGCACCCTGACCCTGAATTGGTTTGAAATTCGAATCATAACTCAATGTTTATCTTTACTTACTTACTTCGCTGGTCATACAGATCAATTATGATCCATGACCTCCCTTAGTCGTTCCGTAAACCCAGCTCTTTCGCTGGCTACTATCTACCAATTGCCAATTCCAATCTCTCCACAACAGCCTCTTTCTATGAGTTTTTTGGCCTTCCACGTGATCTCTTTCCATCTAAAAAAATCGGATTTGAAAACTTTATTTAACGGAGTGTCAACAAGTCATCTAATAACGTGTCCAGCCTATCGAAGCCTGATTATCTTTACTACGTGTTATTAATATTATGTTTACTTTTTTTATTGTATTTCTTTCGTATTAAAACGAGATAAAAAATCACCGGTAGTCAAAATAATTTGTCCTTGAGTATTTCTTGATTAAACTTTTAATATCTTAAAGATAAGCTTTAAAAACAATAAATTAATTTAACAATTTTATTTATCATAGAACACAATATGACGTTTGTATGACAAACATGCAAGAGAGTAACAACACTAGAGACCATTGGAATGTCTCAATGTACCAATATAATGCATTTGAGATGAATTCTGAACTTTATGATAAATATGGTATGCTTGATAATAAATGCATAAATTCAAATATTTAAAAAAAAATAATTTTAGAATTTGTCCACATTGTAAGCAGTTCCAGTGGTAAATTACTCACACTTTTGAAGAACAGCGGAGAAATGCTCTGGCATAAAAGTGACTTAAACTCACCGATTGTTGCACTATTTTTAATGGGCAAAAATGGATTTTTAAACATTCCGTTCACAACTGTCGATGATGGAGTTTTTGACAAACTTATGGAGCCATTGGCTCATGAAAAGTTTAGAGACTTTAAGTTATTGTGAGTATTTTGTATTTAATCGACTGATAAAATCTGTTGAGCACATTGATCAAAGTACCCGAATAAGCACAAGTCAGTTAATCGAATAGAAATCTAGTACCAAGCCGGCATGACTCTGGCATGGTGTTGACTTCAATTTAAATTAAGGCGTATACACTCGGGATTTTCGGGATTAATCCCAGAAAATCTCAAAAATCCCAAGTTTCCTACACAAATTCCAAAACTCAAAGAAAAATCCCAAAAATCCCAACTTTTTTTCGAGTGTGTACGCCTTGATATAAATCGAGTAAATGCCAGAGTCACACCAGCTGGGTGCCAGATTTCTGATCGATTCGACTTGTGTTATTTGGGGTTGTACATTGATTATCGATCTAGTGAAGGATACCCTAGAATCCAGTCTTTGGCTGATTCACAAGTTTCTTTAAACCTTAGTTCGATGATCATAAGCAGGCGTGGAAACTATCCTAAATATCTCATTTATCCCAAATATCCAAAATAATCCTTGAGCCTGTATGCATTAAAAATTGAGATATCCCATCGAATTCCAAGATTAAATGTCCAATACACTAAGGATTCGTTAGGATATCTTTATTATCGTGCATACAGGCTCAGGAATTATTTAGGATATTTTTGGGATAAATGGAATATTTGGGATAGTTTCCACGCCTTGATCATAAGCTATAAAGTTGATCTTAATTATCAATTATTAATCTTAATTATTTATAAAAAAATTATATTCTTTTTAGTGAAACTGTTTACGTCGGTGAAAACAAAAGTGCCGGTGCCAACATCTTCTATGCTCTTCCGTCTTACACCGACAACACAACTTACATAATTAGACAAAATGTAGAGAATTTCTTTAAAGACCCTACATCAATATTAGGTCATCATCAACTTTATTCTGAAAATGATGCTTCTAAAGTTCCTTTATTGGAAGATAAAAAGCAAGAAGTGATAATAAGTGGAAATAAAGACAAAGAAGTGCTCGAAAAAGATGAAAGAGAAAATTTATCATTTATTTATTCTGTCATGTTCATGATCACTTTAGGTGGTTTAACTGTGATAATAAGTTTTATATATAAGAGGAAACTAGTAAGAGAATTTAGTAAAAGTAGCAGCAATAGCAGAAAGAAGGATAATAAGGAGGATGGAAAGTTTGTGACGCCAACTATTGGTGATGGTAAGTACTAACCTCAAAATTTCAGCTTTCGATCGAATAATCCTAATTTTAAAAACTTAATATTTTAAGACGGTAAAGTTACAATCACAAAAATATCATTTGACCCAACAACACCCATTGGAAAAGGATGTGAAGGAACTTTTGTTTACAAAGGAAAGTTCGAAGGTCGTAATGTTGCAGTCAAGCGACTTCTTATTGATTGTTTCACATTAGCTGACAGAGAAGTAAAAGCACTCAGAGATTCCGACAATCATGAGAATATAATTCGATATTTCTGTACTGAATATGATCGTCAATTTTGTTATATTGCTGTTGAACTATGCAGCTGTTCATTAAATGATTATATTATGGATAAAAAATACAAATATTTGAGAGAAACTATAAAACCTAAAGAAGTCTTGTATCAAGCTACAAAGGGCCTGAGTCATCTTCACAATTTAAATATAATTCATAGAGACATAAAACCTCAAAATATATTAATTACATTGCCTGATGTTAGGAACGATGTGCGAGCAATGATTTCAGATTTTGGGTTAAGTAAGAGAATCGACAATGGAGTTGTTTCTGCGACTAATAGAGCTGGTGTTGCAGGAACTGATGTGAGTAGGGCTAAAAGATTGTCAATAATGAAAAATTTGAATATTTTTTTTATTTTTGTAGGGTTGGATTGCTCCAGAATTACTTAAAGATGATAAATTGGTAGGTTTTATAAATTTCACTAAAATAATATTCAAAATTATCAAAACAATATTCATTCCAAGACAAAAGCAGCTGACATTTTCTCCCTTGGCTGCGTCTTCTTCTTCACATTCTCAAATGGCAAACATCCTTTTGGAGATTCATATAATCGACAAGCTAATGTCATAGCTAATAAATTTGACCTATCAATCTTATCAGACAATGATTATTCAAATATTTTTGCAAAAGAGCTCATTACAGACATGATAAATGCTAATCCTCAAGATCGACCAATTTCAGATGCAATTTTGAGACATCCAATATTTTGGGGTGAGGGTAAATTGCTTGATTTCTTGCAGACTGTGTCAGATAGGATTGAAAAGTTGCATATTCGAGATGAGCCATTGTGGACATTGGAAAGGAATGCAAGAATGGTGGTTAAGGATGATTGGAAACAAGTCATTGAAGAAGAGATTTTAAATGACTTGGGAAAGCAAAGGACGTATCAGGGGATTAGTGTGAGGGACCTAATGAGAGCTATGAGGAATAAGGTGAGTTGATTAATTAAATTAAATAAAAATTTTAATCAAAACTTAATAATTTTGTCATTCAAAGCGCAATCACTACAATGAGCTTTCTGACGATGTTAAAAACATATTTGGTTCTATTCCAATTGAATATTCAAACTATTGGCTTAGTAAATTCCCACATTTAATGTCGCACGTGTATCACGGAATGCAAAGATGCAGCAAAGAATCAAGTTTTGTCAGATTTTATGTTCGATATTTTACATTTACAAAGCCAGAATATTTATATGACAGTAGTTTGGATAATGTTGAGTTAGCTGAGCTGATTCAAAAAATCAGAGACGAGTATGCTTCTGGAGGATATGGAAATAATGGATTTAAGAGCCAAGATAAGAAGCATTTTGGTGGAAACTGGAATAAAAGTCGAGGCAAAAGAGGATTTTATAACTTTAAAAATTTAAATAGTGATAATTAATAAATAAGTTGTATTTTGAACTATATAAATTAAAATGAATTTATTTTTAAAAATTTGCATTATCCAACATTACAGCCAATACAAACATTTGATGGAAGTTTAACGTCACGAAGTCCACCATTTTGTATCCATTGTTGTGCTTGCCTTATTGCATCTTGCACTGTTTGGTCATTAATTACAATGTCTGCTGGATATGAATCTATAATAGGGAAGATCATCTGAAAATAATTTAATAATTTAATTGTTTTTCGTTCTTGTAAGGACAAAAAGGGCATAAACGAAAGAGGACCATGGCCACAATCACAGCCACAATTTATCTTTTGGAGTAATATATCCTAAAACGTCGAACCCTACGATGTAAATATTTATAATTTGAAATATAATTTAATTCAAAAAATAATCACAATTCCTCAAACAAGTTTTTTAATCGCAAATAAATTCCCAACTACGCAATTTACATTTCAATCGAATTACTAATTTTATTCATAATAATTCAAAAAATCTCAAAACATTTTAAAATTTGCAATAATATTTAATCAGATGTCAAAGCTGCTAATTAATAAGCCAGCGATGACTAATTTTCAGCTTATTGAAGCTGACTTTTGAGTCGACTTATATCATCGTTTGATAAACATGTAAAAATGAAATTGTTTTCTATATAAAGTCAACTTTGGTTCACAAAAGTATATGAAAGTTGATTTTTAACATTTCTTTATGAAATGATATGCTTCACAAGCATAAGCAGAAATGAATTCCACATATAAAACAGCAAACTACAAGAACTTGACTAAAAATATTAATTAAGGTAAGATAAAAAATATCCGAATAGCACAAGTCAGTTAATCGATCAGAAATTCGGCACTAAGCTGGTGTGACTCTGGCATGGTGCTAGATTCGATTTAAAACCAGTACCATGCCAGTGTCATGCTAGTTTGCTGCCCGATTTCTGTTCGATTAACCGATTTGTGCCATTTGGGATAAGCTGGTAGTAAAATTCAGTTAATTAATGTTGATGTTATAAGTCGACTCAAAATTCAGCTTATACAAGCCGATCTAAGCTACCGTGCTAAGTGACTTTGATCTCAAAATATAATTAACGACGAAATATCCTCATCCAACTTGACAATTAATGCATATATTATTTTCTCCATTCCCCGTATGTGTGTAAGTTGTTGAACCATAACTTGATGATGAAGAGTGAGACACGACTTGTGTGTGAGAAGAGGTGGAATGAGAAATAGTCTCGACTTTTATGTTCCTGGCTGTGATTGATGAAATCATCAGCTGGAAAGAGGAAAGAGTTTTGTAAAGAAATGAATAACGGAAAATAAGAAACGTTCAACATGAAATATTTTGAGAACAAATAAACTTATTGTGTAGTTAATTCTTATGGGTAAACTTATTCTTTTGATAATGGATGATGTATTTCAGGGAATATCCTTAAATTGAGTTCGTATTAATAGAGTTCTTGAAATTGATAGTAAAGAGTTTTAATATTTTTTAAACATAAACTGTGCATTAGTTATTTCTGTTATTTCGTCAGAAGTACAAAATTTTAAGCATTTTATTAAAAAGATTTTTAAAACCGGGATATTGGAAATTTTAGACAAAATATTCTTTGTAAAAGCGTCCCTTTAAAAAGTTTACATCCTTAATTGTATATATAAAGGAATACAGTGCTATCAAAACAGCGACACAACACACTATTAAGTCGTCATAATTTTTTAAATTTGATACGAAATATCAAGAAAAATTCAATATTTAAGTTAAAGTAATAAGGAGAAATCAACATGATGAAAAAAAAATTTGAAAAAAAAAATCTTTTTTTATATCAAATTTCATGGTGCTGCTTTCGTATTATTCAATTATACTGCAAAGTCATATCTTTCAATTTATAAAAAGTCTGCTTACCAGCGTACAAATAAGGACAAATTTAATACTAAACTTCATTTCAATAAATTTATAATTAAGAACTGTTTAAGTTAAGTTTCAATCAACAACTGACTGCAATCTACAGAAATTAAGGTTGATATAAATATTTACAGAATATTTGAGAATTTTCCAATCAGCAAAATCACATCATCTGTAATGTAGTAAATAATCAATTGAATTTGATGAAATTAATCGAGAATTGAATGGAATTTGTCGGGATTTTCCAGTTAAAACTTATTTGTATTTAAATTTGCGTTTAAATGTGGTTTGTATACCGATATAGTTCCAAGTTAAAATGTCAGTAAAGATGTGGTTCGGATCTAAATAAAAATGACCAAAATTAGGTTAAAAATGATCTGATTTCTTTTTATATTTAAGCATATCGATCAAGTAAATTTTTAAAAGCTTTTAAGTAATATTAAGGGAGTTCAGTACTCAGGATTAAAAATTCCTAAGCCAAAAAATATGAAAACTGTAAATCCCTGGTGCATTTGATGGCTAATTTCTGGATTTAAAAAGGATTTCATATTTTGGCTCAGAGATTTTTTGAAGGATTTTCGGGATTTTTCAGGATAAATCCTGAGTTTCCAAGCCTTGACTTTGTCTTGACTCATACTCAATACTCAATATTTAAGTAACGAGAAATCTAGTCAATTTTTAACCCCTGGAGATGAGTTAAAATATTATATTTCAATCATTAGAGTTAATTTTTAATAGAGCATGTGAATCACACTAGATGTCACTATTTGTAACATCAATGATAACAAAATAACATGTATGAAACGTTTCTCGAATGTTTTCATTCCTAGTTCAGCATTCAAAACATAAACAAGTCAGAAATAACTTTGAAAGTAATTTTTAAATTAAAAAATGATTAAAATTAAATTAGTTGTGATTTTATTAAGTTTAAATTTATTATCGACATTTGCTGATGAAGTTAAACTATCGTTATCAAAAGACGGAAAAGGAGATAATGCAACATTTGTTGCTACAGAAGAATGGCAAGAAATTAAGCCGGGTAGGTAAAACTTAAGACTACAGGCTTATATTGGAACTTAAGTGAATTTAAATTAAAATTGTCTAAATTAATAAGTATTGACCAAAAGAATAAGGAAAAGTCAAAGTTGATAAAATTTAACAATCTGTGAAATATTCCAAAATAAATTAAATTCTTTAAATTTAGCTTTCCAAATCTTTCTTTCAATTTTCAATGCTTTTGAATTTATTCAAATAAATTGATTAAAATGTATTACAATAATTTAAGATTTACGATTAATTTTAAATTTTTATTAAAATATTTCATCAAGTTTCAGAAATCTTACAATTTGAAAAAATAAAAAAACAATAATAAAGCAATTGAAAACATTTCTTTTTTAACGATTAACATTACAAAACATTATGAAATCATTGCTAAAACACACGTGGCTCTTAAGTTGAATGATTTTGAAAGCAATGCAAAATTTTGATGTTTTCAAGTAATTTTCAAAAATGTTCTTTTATTTTTCAATCAAAATAATTTTAAATTTCTCCAAAATTTTCACGGATTTTTGAGTAAAATCCTAATTTTCAGTTAAATCTTTACAAACCTTAAATTTTTAATAACCAATTTTGTATTCCATTCACAGGCCAAAAAGTCCCCCAAGGTCTTCATTATCGAATGAACCTTCAAACAGGAAAGAAAGAAGCAAAACTTCTGGATCCAAATGAACAAAGCAGCAACAACGATGACGACACCAGGCCATCAATTCCAACATCACTTCAAGCTACACAATCACAAAATAACGAAGACTCAACAAACATTGAAGAAAATGCACGCCAGCGACTTGAAGATGCACTGAAAAACATTCCAGCTGACAAGTTTGACGACGACACTGAAGAAAAATGGAAAGAAATTTCAAAGAACTTTAGAAGCTATGAAAAAATCAAAGAAGAACTTCAAGATGTTGATTTGAATCCAAAAACAGAAGGTGAAGTAATGCAGCAGTTAGTTGATGAATTTTTTGATGACAAAATCGACAGCACAAGAAGATTGGAAGTGCTGAAGGACTTAGAATACTTAATGCACTCAATCGACAATTCATTACTGTTTATTTCCAGTGGTGGACTTGAAAAAATTTTAATTCCAAATTTGGTGAATCAAACGGATTTAAATCTGCGAGTAGTTCTGTTGAAAATGTTTGGTGCTATGTTGCAGAATAACTTACAGGCTAAAAAGTATGTTAGTGAAAAAACTAATTTAGGAAATGAAATTCTCAATTCGATGTCAAAAACTGAGAATCTACAAGAACTGTCAGCTGCTTTGTATGCCACTGGAAGTCTAATGAGAAACAACAAATTGTTATCACCAGAAATATTAAAAAAAACTTTAGTAATTCTTTTAAAAATACTTACAAAATCATCAATTAATCTTAGCATTAAAATCAAAGACTTAACATTAATCTCAGACTTGATCAGTGACCAAAATTTTGATGAAAATTTTGTAGAAAGTCAAAAAGTGTGCAATCAAATTGCAAAATTCTTTGAAGAGCACAGAAACTCGTTAATAATAGACACAGATGCTGCTGAAAAATGTGCATCATCACTTTTGAATCTTCAAGTTTGCAATCAAAATTGGTCAGAATTGCCAATGTTTAGGCACACATTGTTGGTTGTTATGAACAATTATAAAATAAGACTGAATGAAGAAAGTGATGAGGATATCAAGTTTGTGTATTCTTTAGTTATTGAGCATTTTGAGAACTTGAATGAAGAGCTATATGGAGATTTAAAGATAACTGATGATGACTTAACACCAAAATATCAAGAAAATATAAAAGATGAACTTTAAAAACCTCATTTAAAACATTAGAAAAATTAATAAATTCAACATTTATTTTGATAGCTTTTTAGCTACTAAAATCCAAAAAAAATAATAATAAAAAAAAATTCATTCAAACTTAAATTTAACAAACTTTTTAAATTTTCCCGCCAAAACTTTAACATTTATAGCGTTCAATAAAAAAAACAAATAAACATTTGTAAAGATTCTCACAAAATAAAAAAAAGAGAGGAAAAAAATTAGCAAAGAAATCTTTTTAGAAGACAAAAAAAAAGAAAAACAGAAGATAAAAAAATTTTACGATCAAATCAAAATATTTATTGCATTTGACAATCATCAGCCATAGCTGAATATCAAGTCGTCATTAACTTTATGCTGTGAAATTTTCCAATCAACACGAGCTGAAAAATTTCTGTGACACAAAAAAAAATATCTTAAAAAAATTTTTAAAATTTTTTTCCTGTCAAACACAAAAAAAAAATTTTTTGAATGGCTGATAAGAAACGCGAAGTCGATTGCGTTCATGAGGAGATTCAGTGCATTGAGATTGAATACAATGAGATTGAAATTATTAAGGTGAGTTGCAGACATGAGCAAATGAAAAATTGTCAACTCGATCATCACTGGAAGATATTTTTATCTTTTTACTTCCATCTTTCTTTTTTTCATTTCATTTCCTTTTTGTATCTCTCGCTTTATGATCGCCGTCTGGTCTGGTCGATGGGAAATTCTTTTGACGAAAATAGTTGATTGGAAAAGGAAGCTTTGGGAGTGTTTATAAGGCTTTATGGAGGAACAAAACTGTTGCGGTTAAGGAATTATCGATATTGCCGGAAAAAGGACCATTGGTTGAGGTAGGTTTTAGTTTATTCTTTGTAGATTTTGCTAAGTCGAGAGTGTTATTTACTAGTTTTGGTTCAAATTAACATTCTGTTATTATGATCTACGACCGTACATATTTGCGATCTTCTAGCTCTTACGACAGCTTCGGATCCCACTATAAATTTTGGATTTAGGTTTGAGTGCAATGGTTCAGCATCATCCTCACTTGTTAAGCTCCAGACAACTTGATCCAGATTTTGTCTTAGTGTCTGTTCGTCTGGGTCAGATTAGGTTTACCTAAATAATAGGATATTTTTCTATGAAAATTGAGTCTCTAAAGCAGTGTTGTCTCAAACTGTGTGTCTCGGCACACAAGTGTGCTATAGAATTGTTTTGAAAATGACACGAGCCGCATGCTGTGTCCGACTTCGGTTGTGACTTACCCTTCAAGTGTGCCGTGGCTTAAAACGTTTGGACAACACTGCTCTAAAGTTTAAATGAAGTTCAAACTTAACGTCATATAATTGTCATTACAATAATATCATGATAAAGAAGAATTAAAGACCAAGTTAGTTCCGTGAAAGATATTATTTATCAAATCGTATACACTTGGAATTAATATCAAAATTTCAAATGCACTTCCATTTTCTGGTTTCTATGATCATTAGAAATTCTTCAATCAACTTTAGTATGGATTTCTAGCAGTTATTATCTATTTGTTATTAGTATTCTCAATAAATCTCCTAAATACCATTAAAATAAAAACAGAACGGTAAATAACACTATCGGCCTGTTTCACTAAGGTGGATAATCCAACGATCGGATTATCCACTTTTTCAATCCGAGGATAATCCATAAATTTTTTACTTCGTTAAACTGCACGGTGAATCGGAAAAAATGGATTTAAAGAAAATAATTTTTTGATGACGGATTTCACAAAAAAAGATTATCCTAGTAGGTGGATTATCCGAAGATTATCCTGAGATCATCCTAGGATTATCTACATAATTATTCTAAAATGTCAAAACTGGGTCCCCCCAAGATTGAAAATTCGGATAATCTTTAGGATTATCCTAGGATAATCTTAGGATAATCCACATACTAAAATTATTTTTTCGCGATATTCACTATACAAGAAAAATGATTTTTTCAAACTAGCTTGATTATTATTAACCAATTAATTTTACATCGGAAAGAAATTATTTGGATTTTCCTTGCATCGAAGAAATAGATAATCCTAAAATGAGGATAATCCATCTTAGTGAAACAGGCCGTATAAGCTTACTTTGTCCTAATTTTACATTAACATGCTTTCTTTTGTTTTCGCTCAATGGAAATTTCTTAACTTTTAAAAAAAACTGCATCACTTCTCATATTTAATAGCAAATTTATTGACCTTTGAAAGCTGATGCAGGAAGTATTGAGATTAATATTATTCATATTTTTATTTCTGTACATGAAACACCTGAGTGATGTGGGTCAATAATTGCTATGAGAATGATATATGCAGAGATCTGATAATGGGAAATATAATGTCGTTAAATTGCTCAATTAGTAATGGCACTCATTGATTTATTAAAATGTACTACGAGCTTATTATGATTGTTCTTGATTTTTTGATTCACGAGAAAATTATTCAATTTTCTAGCATACTTAATAAATTTGAGAATTAATGCTCTCAATTAAGTATTGAAATTTAAAAACTAATTTAACCAAGCTAGTCCGATTATGATTCTATCATATTTAGAATTATCGTTAAAAATCTCAATTTCTCATTGCAGGTTCGCTACCTTTCCCGTGTGCAACATCGAAATATCATCGGACTTTATGGAACAGTCATAAAAGGACCAAGTGTTAGTCTTGTTATGGAATATGCAGAAGATGGTTCGCTCTACAATTTACTTCATTGTTCAAGAATCGAATATTCAGCGAGTCATGCAATGTCTTGGTGTAGACAATGTGCTGATGTAAGTACTTTATGCTTAATAATGAAGTCATATTCATTCATATTAGTCATAATATTTTAAAGAACATCGATTTAATATTATATTTTTACAGGGTGTTGCTTACCTTCATGCAATGAGACCAAAGCCCTTGATTCACAGAGATTTAAAGCCACCAAATCTGCTTCTAGTCAATAATGGATTGATTCTTAAAATTTGTGATTTCGGCACAGTCACAGACAAATCAACGTTGATGACAAATAACAAAGGAAGTGCTGCTTGGATGGCACCGGAAGTGAGTTGTTGATAAATTTATCTTCTAATTTATTAATTTGAATGTTGATCGCTTTAAGGTTTTTGAAGGCTCAATATATTCAGAACGATGTGACGTCTTTAGTTGGAGTATAATTTTATGGGAATGCCTTGGACGAGAACTTCCATTTAAAGAAATTGAACTGACTTACAGTATCATGTGGTGTGTCCATAAAGGTAAGTTTAACCATCTAAAATATAACAATCGATTAAGGGATAAATAAACAATGAAAATGTTTATTTTGAACAGTCGATCATGTAGTCTGCATTATCGATATATTTATGCATTACCGACTCAAACCAATTTCAATTTTTTAACTTAATTTATTTCATAATTCTTACTCACCATCTTCATTCCAGGTCAACGTCCACACAAAATCGACGGTCTTCCAAAGCCAATTAATCAACTCATGGTTCAATGTTGGGATCCACTTCCACAAAATCGTCCATCAATGGATGAAGTTCATGAGCGAATGAAAATCCTTTGTGACTTTTTCCCAGATTGTGAGCCATTGAACATGTTCGATGAACCATATGAAGATGAAGAATCCAATCTTGACACATACGATTTTGATTCAATTTATTGGCCAACAGAACAGACTGATATGCCACAAATTCGTGTCAGTTCAACGATCGATTCAACGTGTCACAGCACATCACGTACGCCTACACAACATTTACTTAATCCAATGAGTGGAGATGCGCGTTGGTCAAGTGGTGAGTCAGGAAATCCAAGAATTGTCTCTTTGGGACATAATGGAGCACCGATGGTACGTGGAAATAGTAATAATAGTCCAATGGCACCACTTAATGTTGATATTGATCCTAATGCTTGGGATTTAAAGACTCATGATCTGCAGAGATTGGTTGGTGGAGATTATGGTGAGTAATTGAATTTTATAACTTTTTGGTAATGAGTTGAAGGTTTTTGAGTAACTTTATTGGATGCAATTGAACTAGAAGTGAGTTTAAGTCTTTTTGCTTGAATCCAACAACAACAACAATTTCCCTTAATGGAAAGTAATGATAGTTATTAAGCATAAATTCGTAATCACTTTGAAAATTACAAAAACTTTATTTGGGTAAAATTGTAAAAAAAATTGAACTTACTTAATAGACTGATACAGTTGAGCTTCCTGGAGGGTCAACTTGATTTTTAATAATAAATTTTAATTTCCAACTATAGTTGACATTAAATTAACCCACAAAAAATATCACATCGTGATATAAAAATCGAAAGTTGTTGAGTAACTCACTGTTGTGAATCAAAACGAAAATAAAATTCTTCATCTTCTCTCCCAAAAATTTCTCTGAATTTTTCCCCTTAATTTCGCTCTTAAAAATCATCGGAAAATTCACGAATGCGACTGAAGAGTACAAAAAACAAGTAAAAAGATTGTTAAAAGATTGGAACCAGGCAACTTTAGCGTATTTTGATCGTGTAGATCAGTGTTGTTCAAACTGTGTGCTTCTGGACATCCTTAGGTGTGCAGATTAGAAATTTGTAGATTTTACACTAGATAAAATGGAATGAAGTGCAGAACCAAATCATTTTTATAATATCCATAACTAGATTCGTAACAGTCCGTACCAGATCCTGAAAAATTTGTACCAAATCTCTAATAACATGAACTAGATCCATAATTTGACATGCTATTTTTATATAGGTCTATCTGGATTCTTATTATGAAGATCTAAATAGTGGCATTAAAATCATATCCGAAACCACAGGCAAAGATCAAGTAGGAATTAAGTCTTGTAAGGCATCAAAAACAAAGGTCCAGGAGAATTCTGCTAATACTAAGGATCACACTACAAAGATCTAGAAAAACTGAAGCTAAATTCTGTTAACTGTAAAATTCACGCCATGGTCTTTGTAGTTTCAAACTTAAAACGGCTTTTTCATAATTCAGCTAAGTTAATGGAAAAATATAGAAAAGTAAAATTAATAAAGTTTTGGCTCGGAGTTATGAACTAAAATGTGGATTCGGTTTGCCTTCAACATGGCAGCATTTGAATTCAAAAACTCTGAAGTCCTTATGTGCTTATATCGCCGAGATCTCAGCCTGCCAGACAGACAAAAAACAAATTTGCATTTTGTTCCAACAGGAAAATACGTTAAAAATATATTTTTATAAGGAAAAAAAATCTTTTCTGCTTGTTTATTGTGCTCTATATTTAAAAAAATTTCTTCTTTTTATTCATCGATTCAGTATCATGACTTTTGAATCATACATTGCGGATGATTCATACTGAGGAATCTTGATTGTGCTTGTGCTACTCGCAAACAGAAATAGAGGCAAAATTTTAAGTGAGAGGAAAAGCAAAAAAGAAGGTTTGAGTAAGGATGAACATTTTTGAGAGCACAAGGCAGTATTTTTCATAGTTTTTGAGACGCGGTACACAGTTTGGACAACACTGGCATAAGGGATAATTTCTTTGTATATGTTGATTTCGGGAATGGTTGGTTGTAAAACTCACCATCCCTAGTCTGAATGTGGGGCTGCCACCCTACAGCGAGGTTGTTTGGATAGGCTTTTAATCTATCCTTTAAAGTACTCATTCTGCGTTGCATTTAGCGATACTACGAAGAGGTATGCACTTGACAATTGGACAGCTTTAGAGTCAGACTTCGGCTTTTCCAATTCCTAATATTTTTGGGTAATATTTTTGGAATTAAGAAACTTAAAATATATCTATTAGAAACTTGATCCAAAAAAATTGAAATGTGCGCCATATTTAGGAATTTAGTTTAATGTTTTCCGCGAATATAGCGCACGATATTCATATAACTTTAATATATGTTGATAAAGTTTGAAAAACAAAACATAAATTGAACATCTCGTGATACTCCCTGAATTTATTCCCAAAACATGACTCATTTATTTCCATAATTAATCTCAAGAAAAAATCTTAATGATCTCTAGAAGCTCTTAGAAAAGTCTTGAAGGAATGAAAACAGCTATAATATTTTAAACAAAAATGTTTGTAGTCTTTATTGCCAATTTAAGATTGATTGAGTGAATTTTTGGTTTAAGAACTTGCTTAGACAATGATTAAAATGCCGAGATGGCACAGAGATAGTGCTTACTACAAATTTATGATTCATCAATGACCAATGGATTAAGAAATCGATTAACAAAGCAAAATCGGGAGCATGACGATTGCCCATTGATTATTTGCACAGCAGTTTGTAGAAAAATATCCCCAATAAACTCTTATTAAAAGCTACACCATCATCACCTACACCACACCAATAATAATGACTCATTCAGCAAGCATCAACGCCACAATTTTTTCATTTCTTTCCTTCTCAATCGCTTTAAATTTTCTTTTTTAATAATATTTATGTCGTTTTCCTCTTGAAGGCTAATTACGAGCATTTTCCTCTTATTCATCTTCGTTCTGCTTTGCCCGCACACATTTCGTTTTGATGAAAATGCAAATTTTTTTTAAATGAAACATTCAATTGGATTGAAATCTGTCGTTGTGTCTTAAGATTTTCAATCATTCAACGCCTTTTAATTCATAAAACCTTTAAAAATTACCGTAAATTACCGTAAATTAACAAAACTATCGAAATTATGCGTCATATTACATTCAGTTTTCACCAAACTTGATATGAAACTTATCCTCTGACTTGAACATCATCGTCGCCGTTACGGCAGTGAGTCATCATCATGTCTTTTTATTGCGGCCAAGGCAGAGAATTTTCTTCATTTTTCTTTAAGTTTTAAATAGCAGAGAACAATTTTCTTCTTTTTTTCACAAAATATAAGAAAAATAAACGAAATATGAAGAAAAAGAAAACAAATTATAAGAAAAGGAAAGAGAAGCTGCAAATTGAAGCGATGACTAAGGCAATTGCCAGATGTTTTTGACTGCTTACTAGGGATTTCCTCATTCGAAGAATTGTGTGATTAATTTTGCGTTGTTTTTCTGACTTTTTTGATGTTTATTGTTTATTTTTGTGTCTATTACGATTAATTCGAATTAGGATGATTAAGTTTGGTTTTCGGGGTTTTAAAGAAATCCTAAATACTACAGCAAAACTCAAGAATCAGTAATTTTAAAGATTTTTTTTAATTTTTAAGGATCCGATTTAAATCCAAAACAAAAAAGAATGTTTAAATGAAATAATCACACCAAAATGAGTTGTTGCCCCAACAGACAATGATTACTCATCCAAATGGTCTTTTCGTCTTTCTCTATCCAAGAATCCTTTTTGATTTCCTCTCAGTTTTCTCAAAAACGTTTGTTTTGCTTATATTCAAGAGAATTTTTTACAAAGATTTTTTTTATGATGATTTTGATGAAAACAAAAAGAAGATTGCAAAAAGTTAAAAATGTTCGAAAGAATGAGGAAAATGAATAATAAAAGAAGATGAAAAATATATCAGCACTGAATTAGGACAGGAACTTAGTGACTTAAAACAAAGAATTAATTTTTTATAATAAAGTTTTGGTGATCAGATAATTTTATAATTAAGTTTGTAAGGTTCAGGTGTCTTCGCATTAAAGTTTGAAGTGCTTTCAAACTAGATTGTTAAGGATCAAATGACATTTAAGCTTCAAATCATCAAAAGTTATCGAAACTCAAAGAAACTCCATCCCTGAACATCAAAATGATCACAAAACCTCGCCTCATTTCGGAACAATTTTTTTCTCGCTCATCACGCGAGTTTAATTTTTCAGTTTCTCAGCGTTTATCGTCGAAAAAGCTATCCGTTCATTTTCCTCCGTATGAAAAATTTTGTCGTGTGTAAAAGAAGGAAAAATTAGCAGAAAAAAAGAAAATTTGAAAAATTTCGACCCTCCCTGACTGATTTGATTCAATTAATTTGAATGACACAAGGGAAAATTTTAAAATTAATTCAAATTTAAAGATTATATTATTTTTAATATGAGACTACGCTCACCAGACACGCTGGTGACGAATAAATGAAAAAATGAGTTAAGAGTGTTGCTTGATGAAAGAAAAAAGAATTTTCGCAAAGAGTGCGGATTGTGCTTTGTGTGTGGTTTGTAAGACATGCAGTAATGATTAATTAGCGAAATGAGTCGATACGGAACGAAGGAATTTTTTTATTTATTTTCAGAAGAGTTTTTTTTTGTTCTTTTGATCGTCTTTTTGGTGAATAAGCTTCGGTTTATCTTAATTTTCCAAGAAAATTGCTAATTTGGAATAAGTTTTTAAAAATGTGTTAAAAGCGCATTTATTGATTTTTTGACATTGAAATTCAGATGATTAAAGTTCAGCTTTATGTTATTGTGTTCTTATTTTGTTTAAAATTCTGAATTAAAGACTTCTTCTCATTTTCATCGAACCTATTGCTGCCCCTCATGTTTTTAATCTCATCTCAAAATTTTGAAATAAATGCGCATGCAATTTGAAAAAATGAACATTTCCCACAAGAATAAATAAAAAGTCACGTCATTTTCTAAACTTGTACCAAAAAGACAATCAACAAAACTCAAAAAATTGCACAAAAAAGAAAAAAAAATCAACAAATTTCTCATTTTCCTAATTTACTCAAAAAGTGGAAAATTTTCATCACAAATACCAAGTCTTACTGTGAAATAATAAAAACAAATTAGCTTCTTTCTGCACAAAATAAAAACAAATTTTTGCTTTGAAGTGAAGACAAAAAAATTTCAAGAAAAAGAAGAAGAAAAAACCCAAATACGATTGTTGTGACTTAAAATTGATTTAAAAAAATTAAACAACAGAAAAGAAATTGCTGAAATTTTTAAGTTTAAGTTTTGAAATAAACCTAACACAAAACAAGACTGGAACTTATTGTACAAATTTGATAAATACTGTGAACTATAACACGCAAAAACTTAAAAAATTTAAGAAAAAGCACAAATTTTTTTAAAACAATTCAAACGAAAACAGAATAAATTGAACAGAAAAGTGTAATAAATTTAGAAAAAAAAGCGAAAAATAAGAAAATGACGACAAATACACAAGCAATTACTGAATGCAGCAGCTGCTGTTGGATAATTTACTGTAAATAACCTGTTTGTAAATTTTTTTGTCATCTACGAGAAAAAAAAGTTGATGATGCAAATTAAATAAAAATAATTGCAAAACATTTTTTTTTTAAATTTATAAATTAATTTTATATCTTTTAAAATTTGGAATTTTTTTGGTTTATAAAAATGTGTCCATCAAGTAGAACGGTGACCTAACGAATTGAGTGATGGACTATATATGTGTTTTTTCTGCTATTTTGTGAAAGCAGAAAAATAACTTATTTATATTTTGTGAAGTTGCCAGTTCCGAGATATGAACATTTGAAATTCGACCTAGGGCCGATTTTTTACTTTTAACACTTTCGACTGTAAATCTGACAAGGCTTAACAAAAATTGTTCAAACTTGGTCAGTAATTTGTGCAAATGTTTCTTAATCAAATAAAATAAACGAAATATTTTTATCTAGCCTTACTGCGAAAATATGGGGATTCTACGACAGGACCTAGTGCAAAATTAACTTATTCTTTCGGTAGAATCCCCATATTTTCGCAGTAAGGCTAGATAAAAATTACTCGTTTATTTTATTTGATTAAGAAACATTTGCGCAAATTACTGACCAAGTTTGAACAATTTTCGTTAAGCCTTGTCAGATTTACAGTCGAAAGTGTTAAAAGTAAAAAATTGGCCCTAGGTCGAATTTCAAATGTTCATATCTCGGAACTGGCAACTTTACAAAATTTAAAAAAGTTATTTTTCTGCTTTCACAAAATAGCACAAAAAACCCATATATAGTCCATCACTCAATTCGTTAGGTCACCGTTCTACTTGATGGACACATAAAAATTTGGATTTTTTTTTTGGTTTATAAAAATTTGGATTTTTTTGGTTTATAAAATTTGGATTTTTTTGGTTTATAAAAATTTAAAAAAATTCAAACACAACCAAAATGGAAAACTTAGTATTTCTCAAATTATTGCAATCATTTTTGATAATTCTTTAACATCCAGTTACTTGATTGAACCTTCAATTTTTATTTAAACGATTTTTAAGAATATTTCGTTTATTTTTATTATATTTAATTCTTTCACAGCAAAAAATCAAGGCATAGCAATCACAAAAAACACAGCATCAACAACACTTCACACAGATCATCATCAGCCGTATGCGTCATCACATTCGCCACAGTCAAGTACGCATGTGAGCGTTGAATCAACGTCAATTAATGGATTTCCGACTAGCCGAAGTGAACTCGACATTGCGATGCTACAGATTCTTGATCCACATTTGAGACCAATACCACCTGCAAATGATCCAACGTCACAGAAAATTTATAAAGAACATATGGATTTGGCGCAGGAGTACTTTAAGGTGAGGAAACTTTTTTTTTCGGGAATATTTTTGAAAAAAATTTAGGATTTTATGAAAGCTTTATTAAAATAAACTATTGGATTTAAATTTTATTAGATTACTTTTAATTTATTAAAATAAATTTTGATTTAATTTATTAAAATATATTTTAATCTGTTAAAATAAATTAAATTAGTAGCCAAAAGTTTGGCTATTAAGTGGGTCAAAATTTGTCATTACTAAATTCTAAAATTTGAAGAAAATTATTAAAATATTGAGAAAAGTTCAACGACATTAAAGTTTAATTTATTTTTAATTTTAAAAAAACTCAAAACCAATATCCTTAAAAAATCTTTTCAATTCAAAAAATCATAACGCTTTTAAATTTTAAAGTCAAATGTCACACATGCTTAACTGGTAAAAGAGGAAAAAACTTATGGTTGACAGAAATGATAATGAAAAATGGAAGAAAACTTTATTAAAAATGACTTTTATGATGTTGGTGGTCAATGCTCTGATGTGTGAACGACTTAATTTTTTTCAGAACTGAAAGCAATTGATTATATTCATACTTAATCGTCTTGATTATTAAACTTGCAAGCTCTACTCCAAAGGTGCCAAAAAATCAAAAAATCATCAAAATGTAATTTATCAGTTCTGCATCCTTGACCTACACATTATAAAACGGCATAAAGATTTAATGTCCTTTATTAATATAGAATAAAAATGTATATAAAAGTTACAGTTCACAAAATCTCACCAAGCTCTTTGGTTTAGGTGGTTTAATTCTTTTTTTTTGCACAATGAAACAATTTTTAAATTTCCTTCTTTTTCTTATTCAAAAATATTTTTTTCACACGTGTTAGAAAAATCTACTTAGCAAAGGAATTTTGCAAATTTTTCTTCCCAATTTCTCTCTCATTTACCTCGATAAATTATCAAAACATTTAAAACAGCTGACATGTTTATGGTCGAAAAATTGGAGTCGTTTTATCAGACTCGACTATATATGAATTAGTCATGAAAAATCAGGATAAAGATTTAATAGATTATAAAGATGATTAATAAAAAAATTTATGGTTTTTCAAAGTTTAATAATCGTAGATTTTTTTTGGGATTTTTAAAGTTTTTAAAATGTTTGTTGATAAATATTTTGATGTATTCTTTCTTAATTTATTTGCTCAATAGTTCAATTTATTTATTTATTTTTTTTATTTAAAAATATCTCTTTAGACCCAAACAGAGATAGCATACCTAACCAAACACACAGAAAAAATTCTTCATGGAATGCAACCAGAAGAGCGGCAATGCCGAATGGATATTTGTAATAAGTTGAAAGAAAAGGTAATTTTTCAGAATTTTTGAATTAGAAATAACAAAAATTGGAAACTTAATTTTGATAATTTTATATTTTAAGGAATCACTACTAAAACTAGAATTGTCGCTAAGAAAACAGCTAGAAAAGGTGAAAATTGAACAAGATCATGATGTCGTGAATGAAGATGGTTTTTGTGTTCTCTGACAAAATCGAAATGCTTAATTACTGTAAGGTCAATATTAGGATTATCAATAAAATCCATAAAATTACTCATATTGAAGTAAAAGGATGTAATTAATGAATACAAAGTATGAGCTGTGAAATGAGTCAGAAAATTATTTAAAAATGTTATTTTTGAATTTTAAAAACATCATTCAAAGATAATTTGCAGCAAATCTAAAGAGTTTGAATCTAAAATTCATTTTATAGTTGCATAAAAGTCCCAAATAATCTTTGGACTCTCGAAAATCAAATAAAATGAAGAAAAAATTTTTTGACAAATTTTAAAAATGATTTAGATTTATTGACCAAAAGTTAAAAATCTGAAATAAAACTTTTTTAAAAAGCTTTGAGACACTTCAATAATGAAAATTAAAACTATTTTATAATAGAATAATCGAATTTAAATTACAAGTGAACATCTTTCATAGACAAATCCATAATGACAAGAAGAAATAAAAATTATAACCTGAAAAAATCAATAAATTCTTATGGATAAAATCTTAAAGTAAAGAAACATATTCAGAAAGTTTTTGAAAATTTAATTCAGCATACAAAAGCTTTTTAAAAATTCTGAATCTGTTAAAAGATATGGAAATTAGCCAAAGGGGTTGTGCTGATGAAATTATCAAAAATGATCAAAAACTTATCAAAAATGATAGAAAAAATCAAAATTGATCAAAGTGTAATTTATCAGTTCCGTACCCTTGAAATTAGCTTTATTTTACTCTACACATATTCAATTTGTGATTTCATCTGCAAAAAGAAAATAATAAATACAGTTTTCAATAAGAATTCAACTTTAATTAGTTTTTATGAAATACGAGTTCAGTGCTTATTAAACATTTTTTGAGCTGGTCGCACAACATTCTTCAAGACGTGGAAACTCAGAACTCGTGAAAAATCATCAAAAAAATCCCTGAGCCACATAACCATGGAAATGTGAAATCTCTTTAATTAATCCTGAGTTTCCAAGCCTTGACATTTTTATTAAAATTCATATTTAAGTGTAGCAGGCGCGTAAAGAGAACTATTAATTCAACATGCCTTCTCAAATGAATATTTCATTACGCCTAAAATGATGCCTATCAATACTATAAACACCGAATTCCCTCTATGACTCTAGAACGGAAGCCGCGTGAAGTCATTTTGAAATCCGTGTAAAACCAAAGATTTGAGGTGTGTTGACAAGGTGGGTGTCAGGTGGGCAAAGGTGTTTACAAGGCGGGTTTCAGTTATATTTTGTGAAGTTTTGTGGGAGGATTGAATCTAAAACTTTTACGGTTATATGATAAGTGGGGGCTACCGACAACCCTGAAATAGCCTAGTATTTACCAGAGATCGAAGCCGATCTTTTCGGCTTAACTCAATTTTTGATTTTTTTGATAGAAAAAAGCCATTTAACACCCATTTTAAGTATTTAAATTGAACTTTACATGCTTTACTATGATTCTGTGAAATATTTTTTCAGCATGTAGCTATAGTGAGCTCAGAATTTCAAGTTAAAGAATGTTAAGCCGAAATTTAAGCCGATCGGGTTAAAATCGGCTAAATTGAAATTCAGAGCTTCCTATAGCTACATGCTGAAAAAACATTTCACAGAATCATAGTAAAGCATGTAAAGTTCAATTTAAATACTTAAAATGGGTGTTAAATGGCTTTTTTCTATCAAAAAAATCAAAAATTGAGTTAAGCCGAAAAAATCGGCTTCGATCTCTGGTATTTACAGATTGTGATAAGCCTTAATTTACTTTATTTGTCATTAACTTGAGTTGAAGTGGCAAAATGGTTTAGTACTTCGGTATTTAATTATTGCAATACTGACTCAGTGATCATGAGTTCGAGACTGGGCATGAGAAACTTTTCACTTGTCTTTTTTGAATCATATGTAATGAAAATTTGGCTCACAGCCTTCTTTTGGAGGCTCCAGGCATAAATGTCATCAAAGAAGTGGTTTGGACCGAAATATAAATCGTAGGTCTAGTTTTGAGTACGGTGCTTTGGCGCATCCTCACTCGTTAAACTCTCAGTAGCTTTGAATCGCCATAGCGCACCTCTGGATCACAATTGATCTGAATAGGTAAAGGGTTTTTTGCGAAAACATCAACATTTAGTCCAAAAATTAACCTTAAGAAATAAATTGTCATATTTTCTCCACTTCATCTCTCATCAATCAGCTAAGAAAAATTAATTTAATACCCAAAACCTCATCACAACACCAAGAATGTTAATCACATCATCAATTTTTCACTTATTCGATTATGTAACTTTTTTTCTTTAATTTTCAGACAAAAATCACAAAAAAAATATGACACATCGCACGACTTATGGATTGCTATAGGTCATGGTTACATGGAAATGAAATTTTAATCATGCATGACATAAAAAGACGTATTTTATTCATTTTTCTCTTTCTCTCCTCTTTTTGCTTATTTTTTTCTTTAACTGCGATGCGCCACACGCATTCTGAGCTGTCAATTGAATTATTTTGTAGTATTAAAATGATTTGTTGATTTTTTTTGCGTATGAGATGCCAGAAGTGAGATTTATTGATATTGTTGATGGGAATCATAAGTTATGATTTTTGGGGTGGAATGTGATGAGATTATGTTGTTAATTTTTGGGTAATGGACATCAATTTTTGAGCAACACTTTAAATATTATCATTTTTTAAATACTCAAAATAAACTTTCAGTTTCAATTTCCAAACCAAGAATTACAGACTAGACGCTTCAATCTTCCTGCTCAGACTTAAAAAGGCAACAATGTCAAGAAACTGCCAATATAATCCAACAACATTAAAACTGTGTCATTTTATTTATTCTGTTGATTAATATTCCATTTACACAGCACAGCTCTTTAAGCCGACAATTTATAATAGTAAATGTTGATGCGCCGCGGTCAACTTTCACTTTTTTTTTTGCTAAAGCTGAAAGCCAAAGTCTGTGGATGACGTGATGAGCGCTTGTAATTTTTTACTCGCTTTGTGGTAATTTATTATGTTCTATTCGCGTAGATTTGGAAATAGATGAAGTTTTTAGAAGGCAAATGATTTAGAAAATGCATATTGAGTTGTAAGTAATACCAGAAAGTTTCCTAATCATTTATTTTCATTATCTGATGCACTTTTAGATTGCCATTTAAATATCATAAAGAAACATTGCTTTTGCAAATTTGTTGAGAGTGAAAATGGCAAAAAATCGTCGATCAAAATCATATCACAGTTATTCTGGCTTATTAAACTGAGGTTGCGATACAGGCACCTGTGCACATGTGAGAACCGTACGATTCCTTGATAATTTATAAGGTTTTTGTAACAAAACCGTAAAAATTTTATGAAAACTTTACAAATTATCACAGAATTGTAAGGTTTTAACCTGTGCATAGGTGCCTGTATCGCAATCCTGCATTAAACTATTGAAAATGCATCACTACTCAGGGAGAAGAATTCTTGAGCTAACCACAGGACCCTCGTCTAGAATCTGAAATCATTTATGGCAAAAATATATCTGTGGCTAGCAGTGATGAACTAGTCGTACCATTATAAACCGGCCTCTAGAATTCTTATATAATTTTATACCTACTATGCAGAGATTGTATGATATAAAAATATTGGCATCTAATAAATAAGACACCCAATTTTATAAATCAGTCAACAAAAAAAGATCCAAAATTCATCTCAACCAAAACTTCATCAACTTAAAATACAGTTTTTAATTGCAAATTGAATATTTCTCTCATTTTTCACTGGCATTATAAAAACAAAGAAAAGTTTATAAAAGCTAATATTACATAATCTACGATAGACTCATTGCATAAAACGAGATGAAAAAAAAAACTTTTTTATTGCACTTTAAAAAAAATTGTATAATTTTTCATTGCCTACATTTTTTATTGTTTTGTGCTTTTTTTTAATCAATCGAAGATTTTTAATTTTTTTTGTAGCTGAAGAAATGTCTCGGTCACGTGATTGACCCAATTTCTTTTTCTTTTTCCTTGTTTCGAAAATCAAGTTTTTTTTTATCAAATATTTCCTTAAGTTTCTAGATTTTTTATCAATTTAAAGCTTTTTGCAAAATAGTTTACTGAAAAAGGGGTTATTCACTATTGACGTCATACTAAAGAACATGATTTTTAAAACCCATAGAGGGGGATAAAACTGTCAAGGTTGCCAATAAAGCCCCTTCCCCCTCCCCCAGTTTTGTGACTTTCAATTAAAACCTAAGGTTTTGAGATAAAATCACTTCATTTAAGTGATTTTGTTAATAAGTAAATCGTCCTACACTATCTATCTCATTTTCCTATTATTTTTGAATCCAAAAGTTTAAAATTGAACAAATAAAGTTTAAAATTTTCTTAAAACATTTCATAACAATTAATTAAACAAAATAATTGACCATAATTGCTCCTAATCCTCACGATTGTATCACCAAAATTATTCAAATAGCCCAAAAAAAATTTCAATAAAGCTCTACTTACGACTTTTAAAGCTTCATAATCATGACAAATTAAATAAATTTAATTGCATGCATAACAATTTTTAGTGATCATTTCATTCACTTTATGTACCTCACGCATATGTGAGGCTCATTTTCACGGATTTTTAAATAATTTTTTTTCCACAACAATAATTTTCGTTACCGAATGTTGCGTGGCTGCCTCAAAACAGTAGCCAACCACAATAATGATTCAACAATTTATCGTGTAGCCCCAAAAAGAAATGACCACGAAATAAGAAAAAAAATTGTAATTGAAACAATGAAAAATAATTTTGTGCTCCAATTTCTTTAATTTTTTTTCTTCTTTCTTATTTATTTTTGTGTTATGAAAGATCAAGTAGAGACACAAAAGTAAGTGCGAGAGTTTTTTTTCTTGAAAGTAGGAAGCGCATTTTTGATGCGACGCAAGATGACTCTGAACACGTTCATAGAACGTAAGTGGAGCAGGAAGAACTCGAAGTTTATTCGAAATTTTCATCGATTTTGTGTGGCGGAAAAAATCTAAAGACTGCCATAGTTCCTTCAGTTCATCAATAATTTGATTATCACAGTAATTGGATCCCAAAATCCCAATCTGCTCTATAAAGCTTTATGCATATCTTTTAAAAACTGATTGTTTTCATCAGCTCAATTGCATCGACTAATTAGATGAAAAAAACTGTGAATAAGCACAGGTGGACACAGAAAATGTTCGCTAGTCCAAAATTATAAAGCATTAAATACAGCAAAAGTTACACAAAATTTAAATGAGACTGGATAAATTTTAAACAGATTTGAATGAAACTGCAGACTTTGATGAAATGAGTTCGTGAAAATAATATTAAATTTTCCCAAGAAAATGAAAATAATTTAGCTTACTGACTTAATTGGCTGGGGCGCACGTGAGTCCATTGCCGCGCTTATAGATCGTCTGAAGACAGCTCTATCCTTAGAAACCTTCTGCCAGTTTGGGATATTCAGGAATCTAGCGTCCTTTTCAAAACAACCAATCCACGAGATCTTCGGTCTTCCTCATGATCTCTTGCCATCTATAAAGTCTGCTCCTGACACTTTTAGGACTGGTGCATCTTGTAAGCGCCTGAACACATGTTCAGCCCTTTTTAAGCGATTTATACGGAGAACTGTAGCAATATCAGCTTTTTGATATAAATGATATAGCTCAGCATCATGTCGACATCGATACTCTTCTCCTTCCTTCACAGGACCATAAATCGCTCACAGTACTCATCTTTCGAAAGTAATTTGAATGAAATTAAATTCTCAATTCTGCCTTTTAAACAAAAAAAAACTCTTATCAATTTAACACAACATTTTAAGAAGCTATGACCGAGCGTACTGCTTAATAGACAAAAAAAAATTATAATTGTGCTGATATACTGCAATCGGGATGTGAAGGACGATTAAATAATATTTTATATTATTTCATATTTTCATTTAAAACTGAATAAATTATTGAGTGCTTGATTAGTGACTTAGCTTGACTTCGGTTGAAAGGATTTCTGAACATTTTAGAAAAAATGAAGTTACGAAGTATTTCAGTTCTCTGTTGTATATTTCAATTAGTTTTATATTGTGATGCATCATCTGATGGTCTCTTGGACTATTTTAATGTATTTGACATAGGAAAGAAAGTTAGTGTGATATTCTCGTGAGTGCCTTTCAACCTGATTAGTTTCAATTTTTAACTTAATTTCATCTATTTAAAAATAGGCCGAATGTTTTTGAAGCATACAGCTACAAACTTGAAAGCATGGCAGATATCATTAATAATCCAAAGTTTCGAAAGGATCGTCCAACTGTAATTTATATCCATGGCTGGTTAGAAGATGGTGAATTTGAAGAGAGTGTTATGGCAGTAAGGAGTGCATATCGTGTTAGAGATGATCATAATATTCTAGCTGTCGATTGGAGTCTCTATTCTCAATGGAACTTTCCTATTCCTTATAAATCATCAATTTCAAAACTAAAAGATATTTGTGAATTAATGGCAGAACAATTAGAACTTATCCGTACGCGTGGATGTAATTGCCACAAAAGTATCTATCTTGTAGGACATTCACTTGGTGGGCAATGTGCTGGTTTAGTGGGAAGAACTGTTAAAAAATTATCAAATGGACAGTATGTCATTCCGAAAATCTTTGCACTTGATCCTGCTGGTCCTGGTTTTGAATTTACAACAATTGTTGGAGTAACTGGTTTTGATAGCATTAGTAAGGATGATGCCAAATATGTTCAAATCATTCACACAAACGGTGGACGTTTAGGAGTTGAAAAAAGAGCTGGGCATAGTGACTTTTTTGTAAATGGAGGAAATGAGCAGCCTGGATGTTTAACTGATATATGCCACCATCGACGCTCATGGGTGTATTTCCAAGAAAGTGTAAGAGAAGATGAAATTTTTATGTCTAGGCAATGTGATTCTTATTATGATTTCTTAAATGGATATTGCGATAAAAATGATATTAAGTACATGGGGTACTCTAGTAATGAAACATATCCAATTGGAACATACTTTTTAAGAACTCATCCTAGCATCTTTGGAACACCTTTAGGAAAAGACGGATTAACGAATACAAAATTCATTTTAAAAAATCAGGATGGAAGTGTCAGCAACGGAGCAAAACATTTTTCATACGAATTGAAGATGTTGAGTAATATAAATATTGACAAGCATAAGGATTCATTTAACAATAACATATGAAGCATGATGTGCCATTTCTGATGTGAAAACATAAAACAATTTTGCTGAAATTTGCTATCAATAAATGAATAAGAAAGAACTAAAATTTGCTCTTATCCTTTTGATTTTTAAAATATTTTTTAAATTAAGATCCAGAATTGTCACCTATCAATTTCCTAAAAAAGGCAAAAATCTATCTCAGGTATTGTCTTTAGAAATGTGTCCAAATTTACCTTTGTCAAGGCATGTCTAGCCAAGGCGAAACCCAGCTGGCTAGGTTTTGTCTTTGGAAATGTTTTGTCTTTGGCTAGGCAAACTTTTTAGCTTTTGTCTAGAAACTGGCTATGCAAAAGTGTTGCCTGGACAAAGTCAAAAGCTACCATATTCTGGTAAGGCACCTTTCCAAAGGTACCTAGCAGACAACTCTGTAAAGATCTAAGCCTCAGATTTTTTCAGGCTTGGCGAACTCCCACTCAATAGCATATCACCAGCCACAAACTAACGTGATATGCATCAGGATTTTTAAACAGAAACAGAAATTTAACAAAATTTTGATCTTATCATTAGCTTTACCAATTATTTTATAAATCTTAAATATTGAAAGTATTTTGTGTAGCTTATTTTGTGGATGTGGCTCGTAGAGCCATAGTAAGATTTGTAGTAAGATAGGCTCGAGTATAGGGCTCGAGTTAAGACAGATTATATAGAGTATGATGGATAGCCGAAGTGAGATAAGTACCTCGGTGACCAAGTGGCAGGGATCTCTAATCGAGGGGTCAGAAATCACCTTTTTTGAGGTCGTGGGTTTGATTCCCATCGAACTCGACTTTTTTTACATTAGAATACACAAAAAGCAGTTATAAAGGAGTTCTGCTTAATTGATATTCTTATGACAAGCTTAATTCTCTGGTAAATGTTTATGATTTTGAATTTATAGCACATATGATCTGTTTGGATTGGTAGGACAATATTGAGGCAAAACAAATAAATCAACTATTTCTGTCATGAACAAAACTTCCTTTATTTATTTAAAATTATTAAAACTCTCAAGTATTTTTAACTCAGCATAATTTAAGCACTATCTCTTGAAATGAGTCCAAGTCTTCTCTTTAATGCACTCATATTTGATGAATTAATCATAGTTTTCAAAGTTTCGAATTTTTGTGTTCCAAGATGATTATTTTTGTGCATTTGTGTCAAAAGAGCATCAAGAACTTTTTCCTTATGCATTTGAGGTAAATCATCAGTTCTTACAAGACCCATTATAGCATTAAAATTGCTCACATCACCATTATAAGTTGCTTCAATTAATTTTGGTACAATAGATGTGAAAGCACCAGGATATGTTTTAGATAACATTAAAACTTGATCTGAATTTCCACTTCTAAGTTTTTCTCCTAAAATTTGCATGGCTTCATTAATTATTGAATATTTTTCCGTGTCATAATAAAGAAATCTTTCAACAAATTCATCAGTTTCTAAGGCAACATCTGCGTCTTCAACATGATGTCTCATCCAATATGCAACTTCAATAACTACAGAGTTCCTCATGTTTCTTCTTTTCTTCATTTCATCATACAATGCTGAGAATCCTCTCATTTGATAAGTTTTGTCATCTAAGTGTCTCAAAAATTCAATCAATTTAACTGTATTCATTAAATCTGCATCATAGGCTGCTTTAACAACTTCCCTTAATATTTCTGGTTTATTAAGTCCTTCAAATAATCTTTTAGCTTCGTCATGTTGATCTGCTTTTATTAAATTTGAAATAGAATTAGTAATTGCATTTAAAGCATCTTCTTTGGCTTTTTCGACTGATACAAAAGGAGCGTAATCAATTTGATGATAATGCTGCAAAACTTGATCAATTCCATCGACTGGATTTTCATCTTCACTAGAACCTTCTAAACGAGTTGGATTTTCAAGCGATGCTGCATAAGCAACACAGAATAATAAAAAGATTACTCGCATTTTCTTGTCTTTTAATCTTCTTCTGATACTTTACAACTGAATACGAACGACTGACTTTAATTCAATTCTCACTTCATGTTTTAAGCTTGCAAATATATAAAGTCAGCATCAGGGAACTACTTTGTAGATTTGCTAATTTTGCACTATCTTAAAGCATATTAAACATTGAAGGCAGATCAGTTAATCAATTTTTATTTGCAAGCGATTAAGCTGAATAAGCTCAATTTTACATTACTTGCTGATTAAACAGGCTCACTACTTGGAGTCAATGAATTTCCTTGAAATGTTTTGTTAAATCTTAATTTCTCTTAATTTCTACTAGGTCGTCAATTTATAGCATAGTAGACATAATCAAATCCTTGGATCCCTTTTCTGATGACCATTTAAGGTGGCACAAAAACCTTTGTACGTGAAACATAGAGCTTGAATTAGGTTCATTAGTTTTAGAGGAAGTCAGTCGATAAAACTCGAAAACTTTTGTGATTATTCTAATTTTAAAAATCAACAAAAAAATTTTGCACTGATGTTGGCATAATGACGAGTTCTATCAGCTTTTCCAGGATGCTAATATTGTTACAGTTCTTTGTGCGATTCGCTTGAGATAGGCAGGTCATATTTTAAATGCTCACAGGATGTCCCGGTACTGAAAGTAGACTTTATAGATGGCAAGAACTAGAGGAAGACTGAAGAACTATTGGATTAGATGTGTTGATAAGGACGCTAGAGTCTTAAATATCCTGAACTGGCAGAAGGATAAAGCTGTTTTTAGAAGATCTCCAATCACAGCAATGGGCCCGCGTGCACCCCAGCCAAAGTAGTAAGTAAGTAAGTAATAAATGAAGCCCGACTTTAATAAATCATCAAAAAACTACCTTCAAGTTCACAACAAATTATATGAAAATGTCCCAAATTTAGGTCAAAATCATATCATCATCATCCTTCCCATCGGCTCATTTAAATTATTTATTGATAACAGATTGAGACGTTAATGATAGACTATTAACCATATTTCTCTTTTTAAATTATTCGTCCATGTTACTCCCTTGAGTTGAAATTTCTTCTTTAATTTCATATATTACCTTAAATAAGTCACTATGATAAATCACCTGTGTATACAAGGAGCATAATTTATGCGCAATTCGCTGTCAATATCATTATTATCATCGATTATGGATTTTTTATGTAAATTTTTATGTGAACTTGGAGGTAATGAAGCTGAGTAAAAATTGAGTTTATATTTATCTCAAAAATCTGGGGAAATATTGAGAAATTTTTATTATTATGCACAATTTAAAATTGAATCAGAGAATACAGAGAATCTTAAAAATTAAGGACTCAGGTTCACTTCAGTGAAATCGACTACTAGAAACCAAAATATTGGCTTCACAATATTCTAGAATATTCATATCCGTCAGACCCCTAATTAGAGTCACTCAAATCTCTCAAATAGCTGCACATCTATATCAATCATCTCATCACGTATTACCTCATTACCTCAAACGAGGAAAACCATAACCGACACAACAAAAACATCAAAAAAATCTCCAAAAACCACAAAGAAATTTAACGCTAACTATCATGATCATAATCGTAATCATAATCACATTAACTACAGCTGTTATCTCAGCTTTTTGTGCCTTTACTGATTAAATAAGCGCCATGCTACCGAAAAAAAAAATTATCTAAGCGAAATAAAAACAATGAGAAATGTTTCTTGTGGCCCTTCTCATAACATTATGGCTTTTTGTGCTCATGAAAAAGTTATTTCTTTGGATTGCATAATCAAGTTGAAAGAAAATAATTTTTGAATGTGTAAAAAAAAGCTCGTTTGAATTACTTTTATTGTCATTTAATTACTTCTGTTTAACTTCAAACAAAACCATTCTGTGGATATTTTATTGGGTTGAGCTAATTAAAGCTTGGCTAACACAAATCTAGAACTAATCCAGAACCAGTAGAACTATTGCTACGACACACGTAGCTCATAAATTTCTTACCCAAAACTGAATTCGATTATTCATCACAAATTCCTACTTAAGCTATTAAGTTAACCGACATCAACTTTAAAAAAATTCACAAAGAGTTTTAAATTTCCAGGAAATAAAGCCACAGCAGCAGCTAAAAAAGCAGAATTTCAATTAATTGCATAATTCAGACTCAACAATTATGAAGAACATGACTCACAGGCCAACATTAGCATAAAGAAAAAAAAAGAGACTTTAACCGACTCCACTTGATCCAGAAACCCAGAAACATATTTTCAAGCCTTAAAGAAAAATTAAAGATGCGGTTTTTATGTTCGATTATGCAACGTTATGTAAATTTATTGACTTTTTCTTATATTGAGCTGCTGATGTTGCTGCTTAGTATGTGAAAAGATGAAATTGTGATGATAATGAAAGTCTAATGATAGATTTGAGATTAATTTTATTTATTTATTATAACCGAAATGGGTATAAGTATGGTGATGGGCTTAAAATGTGAAGCTATCATACCCGAACTCTCGAAGTTAATATCTTGAACCTGGAATCTTAGACTAGACTAGTATATAGTTTTTTTAAAAGTATTACCTTTAACGAAGATTAATGTAGGTGGTCTTAGCTTTTTTAATCATTTACTGCATCCAAAAATAAATTTCGGAACCAATTCCCAAATATTTCGGAAAAAACTAGCATCGCAGCAATTTTCACTCTCTAAAATCGCCAGATGCAGTGCAAGATTTCATTTTCTAAGTGCTTTGCTCTAATTTTTATTCATTCATTCTCATCTTCAACTTTTATGTGCAGCACCAGCTTATGTATTTATTGTGCGTGTAGGGCATTACATATATTGAGCATATCGCATGGGAAAGAAAAAGAAAAAAAATTCTAATTTCAGAAATGGGTCAATTGATATTTATGGCCTCTAAAACATTCTTAAGACTGTATGCTTCGCCCTTTTACGATCGTTTTTGCTGTAAATTAAATGCATTTGAGAATCTGGAATTAGATCTTATTATGTTGAACTATTTATTGAATAAATATGAAAGAATTGAGAACTTAATGAATGAATTTATTTAGATTTAGATGAGAGTAAATTGAGGAAATTAGGATTTTGGTGCATGAACTAGTTCTGATTTTGATCTTCTGATGCGGTTTTCATTTAGTTGCTCGCTGGAGTTATGTTGCTGGAAGGTTCAATGGTGTTATCCTGTTAAGAAGTTTATACGTACCTGTCATAGTGTCATCAAGACATCTTGGCGAAAAGAGGTCCCCTAATTAAAAATCAGTTTTAGGAAGACAACTTCCTTTGGTCCAAACAACATATTGGCAAGTGGACTCTCAAAATCATTCGATTTGCTTTACGACAGTGTTGTCCAAACCGTGTGAAGCGGCACAATGGTGAGCCATAGACATTTTTTTAAAATGATGCAACCCGCTTGTCGAATGTGACTTTGGCATGACTTACTCCTGAGGTGTACCCATGGCTCAAAAAGTTTGGGCAACACTGCTTTCCAAAAACTTATTATTTCATTCTATTAAATATCAAAATGATTAAAATTTCATCATTATATTAAAAAACTGCAATAAAAAATCAACTTGGTTATCAGCAAAATAACTTAAAAGCTATACTGATCTTTTACTCATCCGTTGTGAAGAAATTTTAAGTTGCTTTAAACATTTTTTGAGATTTTCAATTTCCTATTACGTTGAATTATCTATCGAATACTCATCAATAAGTTTTCGTCTTCGAAATTGAATTTTGAGATGTTTTTTTAAGTTTGCATTAAAAATAAAAATTCTACATTGAGAGTAAGTCAAGGGACAATAGATTCTATCATCGATCAGGATTGTAATGCCTCCAGCTCGTCGCAACGTGTGATGTTACTACACACATTATTATTATGTCATGAAAGGTATTATAAGTTTGCCAAAAGCAATAATAATTAAATCAAAATTCTTTCCTTTACCAACATTTTGTTTCAAATCCGTATTAGGCATTTATCATTTTGCCGTCATCCGATTGTCTCTACAGACTTAGATGATGAGTCAAAGGTTTAAGTCATGACAGCCAATAAGCTAGAAAAAGTCTTCAATTTGATGTCGCTTGACCTACTTTAATGAACATAGTGTGGCATATAAAATAAGTTTTTTTTTTATAAGATTATTGGCCGCACTGATGTGATTTGATGACAAATCGAATTTTTGAGAAATTTTGCTGTTTTTTTTTTCTAGGAAGTTTATGATGGAATTTCCAACATTTTGAAGGTTGCAATTTCATAATTTTTGTAATTTGCAAATTGAAGACACAATCTTTATGTCTTTTTCAAATGACTTTTTAGGTTTTGATGAGCATTTAAAGTTCAAATACTTTTTTCAATCAATAGAACAGATAAATAGTGATCCAGAAGTGTGCTAGGGCATTTCGCAGCTAATGAGAGTTTAACGATTGACGATGCGCTAAGTTACTTCACTCAAACCTAGACCTACAATTTATAGTGGGATCCGAACCACTCCTCTGATGACATTTCTGCCTGTAACCTCCAAAGGAAGGCTGTGAACCTCATTTCCAGGACATATGATTCGAAAAAAGGACAAGTGAAAAATTTCCCATACCCAGTCTCGAACACATGATCGCTGTGTCAGTATTGCAATAATTAAGTACCGAAGTACTAAACCAATCCACCGCCGAGCCTCTTCAGCTCACAATATCGTTCAATAGCTTCCACCAAAACAAAGAGCCACAAACTTAAAGGAGTGTATGTAAAAAGCACAACAGGCATAAAAAAACCTCTTTAACGTGTGAACATATAAATTTAATAAGTATTATCAAGTTTCACAATAGAAAGGTTTGAACATGGGATTGTGCACTCCTGATGCCGGGTGTGGAACCAGCATAATGATCATAAGTCAAAGACTCAGACGAGACGGATCTGTAAAACCTTGAGATTTATCTCTTTAACCAGAAGTTTGATTATACCATGAATCATACCTAAAGTACGCATGAACATCCAATTCGATAATTCCAAAAATATCTTCATGTCCAAGCTTTAATTTAACGATTAAAATCATTCATCATCAAAATGATTT